TCAAATATACGCGGGTTCAAATGTCCGTGGGTTCAAATATACGTGGGTTCAAATGTCTGTGGGTGGAAGTATACATGGGTTCAAATGTCCGCGGGTGCAAATGTTCGTGGGTTCAAATGTACATGGGTTCAAATGTCCGCGGGTGCAAATGTCCAGGGTGCAAATGTACATGGGTTCAAATGTCCGCAGGTGCAAATGTACATGGATTCAAATGTACGCGGGTGCAAACGTACACGGGTTCAAATGTCCGCGGGTGCAAATGTACATGGGTTCAAATGTACGCGGGTGCAAACGTACACGGGTTCAAATGTCCGCGGGTTCAATCTATATGCGGGTGCTAAAATCCATGGGTGGAAATGTATGGGTTCAAATGTCCGTAGGTGCAAATGTCCATAGGTGCAATAGTATACAGGTGCAATTGTTCTGGGTTCAAATTACGGGTTCAGATGTACGGGTGCAAATGTACGCGGGTTCAAAGATAATGGAACCAACTTTCACACATACATAGTTCATTTTCTCGTGATTTACGTTTGTTGTGTATTCAAATTTCATTGAACAATCATTTTATTCTGTAATCACCACATATAATATCACCACATAAGAACCGCAGCCGCAATTTTTTTGGTCTTTTTTGAGTTCTAGTTCGTATAAAGTATTGCCATAATCTTTTTTAGATTAGTATCTCACATTTTGAAGTTGATTTGAAGAGTATTGCCAAATTTTACATCGTGTCTTATTTTATTTTGTTCTTTTGACTGTTTTTGGTGGACGGGCACGTACTTGTACGTTTTTACCTCTTTCATTAGGTTATGCCAGTCTTCCAGGTCCTCTGCATTTAGTTTGTCCGTTTGTTGTTGTTTTGTTTCTTTCAGAGTGACCAAAATAAAATTGATTGATTGAAGTGCCATTTTTGAATGGAGTGCGGCCTGTGCGAGTAATTCCAATCCCTTTACGTTGCAAATCCGATACCTGAGTCCAATTTATTTACAATGCCCTAGTAGATAGCGTGTGCGAAGCGACCAACCCATGTCATAAGATCAATAACCAAACATTTTGTGCACGGGAACCACTAAAACGTCTATTTTAAATAAAGGTGTTGCTCGCGGTTTCACCCAGTTATTTGCATCTGGCATTTCTGTAATAAAGATGGCACACCCCTGGTTTAACTCACTATCAACAGATTTCCTTTTTTCGAAAATTATATGTACGACACTACGGAGGGTCGGAACTCATCCCATATCTATATCCCTTCTTTAATATGCATAAAAAATACTTTACATATTCAATCTCTAACGGTTCCTTATATAGTATTTTGCGCGAGTCGCCCACACGCGTATGACCAGTTTAAGTAGTTTATGAACGCATAATTAACCATTATAGTAATAATAATAATTATTAACAATTGTACATTTTATTGAATTCCCCATAGTCCAGTGTTTTTCAAACGATGAGACGCGCCCACAAGGGAGGCGTAAAGAATTTTTTGAGGGAACGTGAAGCTAATTAAAGTTAAAAATATTTGTTAAATTTCATCCTACCAGCCTTGTTTTAGTTAATCACATTTCTTTATTTTTCTCCATCCACATATTTTCAACGTTTTTTTTTATCAGAACATACTTTTGCCTTATAGTATATGTAACGCACGGATTGGAGTCTCAAACTGCGCTACGTTTATACCGAACCACTGTCAAGTACCACGTCCCGGTTCTCCTACAATTTGCAATGCAAACTCGTAATATTCAGTCCCCACTCACAGTCTTGAACCAGTGAACTTTTGAACCCAACACCCCAGAAGATCACACCAACTGAAAGAACTTTGTTGTAATATTCCACTTGAAACTCGACAGAACAGTAGGGCATTAGCACTTACAAATGCACACAAAGTTTGTAGACGGTGCTCCCGAAGTATACGAACCAAGATGGCGGACATCGGAACGTAACATGGGTAACAGGTTAGGGTTAGGCGATAATTTTTTTCCAATTTTTCTTATTTTAGTCCTATTATCAGTTCGAAGACTAGCCAAGAGCCTCCCGTAGTATTCATACCTAACATTATGGCCTAACCCTAACCTAGTACACATATTACATTCCGATGTCCGCCATCTTGCTTCGCATACTTCGGGAGCCCCTTGTAGACTATACTGAGTTTGTGACTCCACTAAATATTATTTAGAGTTTGACTAATACTCACAGAGTTTGATTCCAAATATTGATGGATTCCGGGATTAAATAACTGAATGAAATACAGAGCAGTTAGTAAATATTAACACACAATAAATCCCAGCCTATCCTATATAGTACCATGATGATTCCCTACTGGATAATAACCTACTAGCAATCTAAAACGATTCATAATACATGCACTCCTCTAAATCCTAAAAAGACCGGCAAAGCAGATAACGGCAGATTGCGCCATCACAGCTCGTCTCGCTCACGCAAGCAGAGAGCAATACAAGATACTAACTACAGAGCAAGAGTCGTCGTCGATCGATTGCCGCAGCCAATAGCGTGCAAGGTGAACACACATTGCACCATAGCTAATCTCACTCTCTCGAATACAATAAAGAAATACATAAATGCAACCTGCATCCACTACAGCAGTGGTCGGCAACCACCGGGCCGCGGCCCATCGCCGGTCCGCGGAAAGGTTACTGCCGGTCCGCAGAGAAGTGACACAAAAACGGACAAGGCCGTAATAAAACAATCTAACCACACCCAACAGTAAACCAGACAAACACAACACCAGGGGTTGAAAAAATGCGGCCCGCGAGCTTATTTGTTGCGGCCGTTGAACGACCCGACATTTAATAAATAAAACAAAAATTAATCCCAAATTTTTTATGGTCACTACATGGATTTATGTGGTGACAAGTGCTACTGTTCGGCGCTTTTTATGTAACAAGTAGCGTCAGTTGTATGTCGTTCGAGTTCATTTTGATTTTTAAAATTTGAAAATGTCTGGAAAACGGAGCGACGCGGGTGGAGCATTCCAATGTGCTTGAACGGAAAAATATTTTTCTTCTTGCGCATTTCAAAACCGGTTTGCTCAATATGCCCAGTCAGCATCGCAGTTGTTAAGGGTTTCAATGTTGAACTCGTTGCGAAACAAGTCGTCGAAAATTCGACCCCGAGACTGCGCCACAGCTCATCTGTGCGACAGTGCAAAACGTGTAATGTGCACGTTCGGAAGAACATATGGCCTTGAGCAGCTTTATCTAAAATGCATTACACTTAGATTAAATTTCGTACTCGGTTGTCAGATCATCATTTGGAAAAGAGTTGCCATAAAAACATCATCTTCCACATTGATAATAAGTACCTAAAAACAATGTATTGTTGGATAATAAAAAAAAACGCCACATATACATCTCATTGGGACAGACTTTCAACACAGCAATAGAAGGGTAGCAATGCGAATGCGCCATAATTTGAAGTTTAATTATGGAGCGATTGTTCGAAGGCGGAAATATTGCGCCCGCGCGCTACCAGAAATATTTATATTTGGCCCGCAAGTACATGAAGTTTGCCGACCACTGCATAACCACTATTGAGCAGCATGTCTGATTTCATAAACAATTACCATGTCAGTATGTCGCAATAATGCTGCGTCAATTGTTTTCTCTACGCCCGTATAAGTATGTGTCTCATCAGTCCGACTAAGATCTCCCCAACAAAATGATACAGGCATTGTTAAATTTCCCGAAATCTTAATTTGAAGCCTGGTTTTCAATATTGATTACTACAAAAACGAAATAGGCTGAAAGTAGGAAACACGTTACGTGTGTCAATGTCGACCCTATCTCGAATATGGGAACAGTTAAGGGCCATCAAACAAATACAGACTTCACATTAAATAGCATCACCGTCGTTTTTAGTATATTGTCAGCATAAATTTCATAGTTTCACGTATTTCAACTTAAAATCATTCTAATCTTCACAAATCTTAGAATCAGATAGCAAAGTGATAAAAATACGTAACTATTAGACGTTTTGTAGGCAGCAATGACAGTAAAGCGTCGTGGCATCGGGATACTAAAACAAGCGCGGCGGCGTGGCTCATCGTGCTAAGCGTTAGGAATACGCTCGCCAACGCACCTCTGATTACTCGGCGTAGGTTCGCAGGTTCGAATCCCATGCAGGAATGGTTATGTGCGAAAGGATTGCTGGTGGACGGCTGGTCGGTTACGGCTTCCTCCACAAATCAAGTCCATGCTTCCGAAAACAAATAACTAACTAATACCATACCCGACATGGCATGGTAACCGGACGAAAGGCCTTGGTTCGCCATATGGTTAAGCCGTCTTATCGGCTTTCCTCACCCCGGGATAAACATATGAATCATATTCTAGTCGAGAGAGCCGAATCTCGCTTGTATTTCGCGAACACGTCGACGTTCTTATCAAACCGGTGCGGCAATTAAACTGTTTATATCCTCAGGCAAATACTACGCATGGACAATATCGCTGTAAAAGTTACTTGATAACGAGAATGAGTGCTTTATATATTTGCGATGTAATCTGTAACAGAAGCTTAGTGCTTTCATGAAATTTTATGAAACTTTAGTTAGATATTGAGTAGAGTAAGAAATATAATATAGCGTATGGGCTATTGACATAAGCAGACATATATAGGACTAATGCTTTTACCGCTATCGCGCCCACAAGTCTGTTTCCTAGCTTTTCATTCTAGAGAGTGTGTTTCCAATTTTGATGCGTGGCAGTAATTTCGTTATTACTGATAAAACTATTTGTAACTTATAAAAATATGTTATGTATTTGACTGATCATCTGCACTGGAATATAAACCACGTTCTGGATATTCAATTACAATTTTATTTACGTTAGAAATTGAAATGTGGGGTCATATCTAAAAATTAGGGAGGGTGTTTAAAAACGCGAGGGGGTTGTTCACCCTTCTGTGGGGAAATTACAGGCGCTCACGTATATCTCGATATATATTCAAGCTTTGCTCTCTTGTTTAATTGAAACCTATTTTAATTTTCTCGATTTAGAATTATGAAATTGCTTTTCAGTTATCTGTTAACATTAATAGCGTTTTCAATAGTTGCAATACTTTTTGTATGGACATACTGGGAAGCTCAGAGCTCAGTTATCTCTAGAAATTTTCATGGTATTGGACACTTAGAATCAAAATTTGAAAATGTACCTATTAGAAGAGAAATTCTGCTTTATCCAACGTCTGGAAATAACACCAAACAAGGTATTTCTACTGCACCTACTATAAAGACCACCACTGCCATGACGTCAAAGCCTGTTAGGATTGAGACTATTACTAAAGGAATTCCGAAAAAAGCGAATTCATCTCAAGAACTTTTCAAATTTAAAACCGTTTTTTACAATCGAGTAGGAAAGTGTGGAAGCAGATCGTTACTTAAATTAATTCAAGCTTTAGGAAGAACCAACAAGTTTGAGGTATTTCACGCAAACCCCGCTTCTAGGGTGCATCCAGGTTCTACCGGAGTCGAAAAAGAAATGAAAAAAATTTCTAGTTTTGATGAAAAACCGACTTTTTATGATCGACATATACATTTTCTTGATTTTAAAGCATTTGGGCTTGAGGAACCTATCTATATAAATATGATACGAGATCCAATACAGCGATTTTCATCCCAGTATAATTATTTGAAATACGGAGACGCCACCGGAAGGGTCAAAGACCCCGTGAACAATTTACCAGATATTAATGAATGTGTAATGAAAAACATTTCGTTGTGCAATAACAAGGATTTTATGTTCAACATTGGTTCATATTTTTGTGGGTTTGATGAAGTTTGTTCGATTAGATCCCGCGACAGAGTCGAATTAGCAAAGAAACATATCGATGAGAATTATTATGCGATTGGATTAACAGAAGAATTTGAAAATACTATAAAATTACTGGAAAAAATGCTTCCAAGTTTTTTTGAAGGAGTTACAAGATTATGGAGTGGAAGAATGAAATCGTGGAAGTCATTGACGTCGACAAAACGAAAAGAAACTTTGACCGACGAGTCAATTGCAAAACTAAAAAATAGTTATCTTCTGGACGAATATGAAGTTTATAATCACGGTAGAAAAAAATTTGAGCGACTTAAAACTGCATTTGGCATTCAGTGACACAATAGAATACACTTACATAGGCTGCGCGTGAACACAGCACGACCATACCACCGTCAATTGCACCCGCCCAGCAAAATACATCAAACTCAAACATACACGTGACCGGAAACCCTCGTGGTGACGGGGGCGCTATATTTCAAGATCAGCTAATTATGGACCTTCTTGGCTGCACTTGGCGATGAACACAATAAACAAATTGAACACATCTAACAACAAGAAAGCGGTGCTCAAATATATGGACACGGAGTAGTACGAGTATACATTATGCCACAGAAGTCTACAGGTGCCGTATAGCAGTTGAGCAGATTTGAACTTACGCGATAGCGGAACCGCCACAAGAAGCGCAATTTTCAATTTTGGTGACGTCTTCGCAAAAAAATAAACGAGTCTCATAAAGGCCACAGAAATTTTTGAAATAAATACAAAGCCTTTTAGCGAAATGCTTTTAACCACGGAAAATTACAAAGCAATCCAGTAGTTAATGAGAAAAGCGATGAGAAGATTTTTTCACACCAACAAGAAGAAGAAAAGATATACTAACATGACAATCAACAACAACAAAATGATCCATAGGTCTACTTCCTGTCTAACAACTAATCAGCGAAACAATCCAGATGTCTATTTCGCGTCAAAAAATCCAGATGAAACCAGATCTAACAAGATACGGTTGATAAGCCCGCTCAAACATTATTTTTTTCCAACCCAGAAAGTAGCCAGCCCCAAATTTTTTGTATAATGACGTAATACGACGCTGGCTCTTGATTTTGCTCCAAACAGAGCCAGATAAAAGCAGTCACTTATTACTAAAAATATCTTGAAGATTCTCTCTATTGAGATGGCCCCTCAGCCTCCTGGCTACGCCAATGTTTCCAACATAACCTATCAGTGTTGGAAGGTATACACTGGTGCTTTTAAAACAGAATATATTAAACTGCTTTAAGTGGTTTTGAACGCAGCATAGTTCCGTGGATTTCTGATTGAAAATTATTTCATTGTTGTGGGACAAAAGAGCTTTCTTCTGCAACTAATTTATCCATCAAATTCGTTTTCATTATTTATTCAGCTAAGTTTTCTCTTGTCATATGCTGCCTCATTGAAAATCCATCACGTTGTGGTTTCATTTATTTATTATTTTTCTGTGTAATACTCATTTCTATTTTGTTGCTTATAGCTTTTTTTTTATCTATAACATGACCTCCGAATACACGCAAATTTTGGCGGTCCAGAAGTGTGCGTACCAATATGGCGGTAACTTATTTTGTTCGCCTACTTTACATCAAGTTGTGTAGGGACTGAAGCCTATGGGCAGGGGGTATGTTCATTTGGCTAACACAGACATTCACCGAAGTCGTAATAGAACTAAAATAAGGAAAATCGGAATAAAATTATGACCTAACTCTAACCTGGCACTTACACTACGGGAGTACCAATTAGTTAACATTTCAAAATCTGCCTAGTAATAACGTAGAAACAAAATTGCCATAGTAGTTTATTGAACATGGATTTTGATAGCATTTCGCTATTGCATGTACGAATTTGGCGCTAAAATTTCTGCTAGTAGTGTCGTTGCAGGGGTGGGCAAGGTTTTTGAACCGGGGGTCAGCAATTTTGCCCCCCAGATTGGTGGGCCATGTGACGTAAAATATAACATTTTATGAACAATATTTACAGTGTTACAAAAGCAAAAGTGGAAAAAATAAGCCTCGTGCCAAACCTAAATTTAATAGGATTCTCAAGGAATTTCGTGATCTATTTTTTTTTTATCTAAAACATCAACATCTCACTCAATAACAAACGGTTCATCATCATATGTGCACAAGCACGCTTTTAACAAATCAGCTTTTAATTGATTAAAAAGAGATAAAGCGTTGCGATTGAGGTATGTATTAGTTGAAAGTGGCTTTAACTTTTCAAAAAAATTAGATATTCATTTCGAATAGCAGGCAAATAATCACAAACAACGTTTCAAATTACTTCCATTTGTAGGTGGTTTTAAGATTAATAAGAGGTTGTAAATGATCAGGATCTGGCCGAATTTTGCCATGTGATACCAGATGCCCGAGGAATTCCAGTTCAGTCGCTAAAAATACAGACTTATTTTTATTTGATGTCAAACCTTGCCGCTCCGCTGCATTAATAAAAGCTTTTAATCGTTTATCATGTTGCGGTTGATCATCCCCAAAAATTATGACGTTATCTAAGTATAAAAAGGCGCCTTCAAGATTTTCAATCTCGATGAAAAAGTTCATGTATCTCTGAAATACAGCCACTCCATTAGCCACTCCAAAAGAAACCCTGCAAAATTGATATAAAGAGCCAGCAGCTTCAAACCCAGTGTAAGGTCTGTTAACGTCAGAGATAGGAATTCGGTGAGATCTTTCCTTCAGCAACCTCGTTAATTATATTGTTTATGCGAGGTAAGGGATGCGCGTCATGAGCAGTGTATCTATTTATTGTTTGTGAATAGTCAAAGACAAGACGTTTTTTATGTCTTTGGTCTTTTGTGACCAATACTTGAGCGCGCCACGGCGACTCTTGACCGTTCTATAATGCCTTCCCGCAACAAACGAGCAATCTCGAATTGTAGATCATCGGAACTGTAATTTTTGGACCTGACAGCAATGAGCTTACAGTTATCGTCAACAAATCGAAAAATACGTGAAGGTTCAGTTACTTTTGCGCTAGCCAAATTACAGACCTCATTACCAACGTTCGAGGTCTCCGTTGAATTTGAAGTCAACTTCTCGATGTTTGCTCAGAAAATCTTGGCCCAGTATGATGTCCGCACACAGATTTTCCACAACGACAAACTTCATTGCACCATAAACTCTCGTTCCAATCTCTAGAGGCGCGTCTACAAACCCAATCGTTTGTGCGACTGATTCGTTGGGAGCAAGCGCAATTACAGTTTTGGACCGTAGATGGTGAGGCCAAGACTTCTTGCTATGGATGACTTTATGTGAGTCTGTGAAGCGCCGGAGTCTAGCAGAGGTTTTCAGCATCAGAGGGTTTTCCGCAATTTTAGCAGTAATCGTCGATCGTGACAACGAAGTATGAATACCAGCCATAATTGAAGTCAGGTGCGAATCGTTCACGGTAGCAACCGATTTTTTCGCTTTACGGCATACATTTGCAAAATGTCCTCGAAGGCCACTATTAAAACACTCTGCGTTTCTAGCAGGGCACTTCAGTCGATTTAAAGCATGAATTTGTCCGCAAAAATAACACCTTCTACGATTAACTTCTATTCCGTAAGTACTTCTTGCAGCAGCTACAAGTTGGTCACTATCAGAACTAATCTCATAAAATTGGCCTTCTTTGTTTACCGAAAATTGATCATCCGTTGAAGAAACGGCTGCTTGATGAGGCAATAATTGCTGGTACGAATGCGAGAATTTCTCGGTCTGTTCTAAAGAATCAGCAATTTGAGTAGCTTTTTTTGGTGATAATTCGTCATATTCTAGCGATCTTTGTCGAATATAGCCCTGTTATACGCGCATCTCTCAACGCCTCCACTCTGTGTTGCTCGGCGCTGACTGCTTTGAAATTATATTCTTTTGCAAGTGACCTGAGCGCTTGGGAAAATAGTTTCACTGTTCAACTGAACCCGTGTAGCTAGCCGTGTGCCTTGCATATATATATAATATTCTTCTTCCTATGATATTGTTTGCGCAAAATCACCATAGCTTCATCATACAAATCCACATCTTTTACAAAGGAAAACACTTCAAGTGATAAATATCCATGATAGCACATTCCTTATATGGCCTTGAAACACCTTCCGTGGATCTATTGGATTCCACAGCTGTTAAGTAATTTGTAAGCATTCTGTCCCAATGGAAAAATACTTTTAGAGCTCCAACTTCATTCGGCAAGACATCAAGCACTGGCACCCGAATAAGTTTTTCGTCGTAAGTTGCCATTGCTTTCGGAAAACCAGTTAATCGTTTCAAAGTTTTAACTAATAAAATTGTGATGAGCCTAATACAGACAGAAACAAACTTGTATAATGTATACTATAGGCTTTTATTAGCTCAAACGTCGAATAAGAGTATTAAAGCAGCACAAACCGAAGAATGAGTTTAAAATCAAAACACCATGCTATTAAAGGACGAACTGTATACGTCAGCAGGGTCAAATGTTGTGGCTCATTTAGGCGATTTTAAGACATAAATCACCACCGAGTTCTAAAAGCGTTTGAAGCTACGAAATGTATATGTGTGATAAAAAATGTTTTTTTTTACATTTTAAAAGATGAGGGAGTGGAGGGTCGGAACTCATCCCATCCCTCCTCAATATGAATGAAATTACTTCACATATTCAATCTTCGGTTGCTTCCGTAGTATTCGTGATGTTCACAACCTGAACATAGTATGCGTACCTGGTTAGGGTTTGAAGGTTGTGCCCCATCTTGGTACGGTTATTACGGGAGCGCCCAATCTCTAACGCATCCTTAGCAAGTGTCGTGCGCGAGTCGCACACACGCGTATGAACAGTTTAACTAGTTTATGAGCGCATAATTAAGCAATAATAACAAAATCAAAATTATCAGTTGTACTACAGCAAACATTAAGCAAAATTAATTCCGAAGTATGACAAAATCCCCTCTGGGAAGAATATCATAGTACAGGGGGAGGGGCAAGGTTTTTGAACCACGGGCCCAAAATTCGCCCACTTGGGCTGGCGGGCCATGTAAGTGTGACATAAAAAGTTACATTTTAGGAACAGTATTTACAGTATTACAAAGCAAAGGTGGAAAACAATAAGCCTCGTGCCAAAACTAAATTTAACCGCAATCTCAACAGATTCCTTGCGCTATTCTAGCTGAAACATCAAGTTGGATTTCAGTTTGTTTGTGGCATCCTCAAGCGTGCCATATTGAATTACCCAACGGGCCGGATTTGGCCCGCATTTACCCATGTCAGTCATAGTCTTTTATTGGATTCCGCATAGCGAAGCTCGCTTGTATTCCGCAAACACGTCGACATTCTTATCAAACCGGTGCGACAATTAAACCTTTATATCCTCAGGCAAATACTACGCATGAACAGCCGTAACAGTTACTGAGGCTTGCCAACAGGACCGAGTATTCCACATTTGCGATGTTATCTGTAGCAGAAAGCTGCGGTATAAATGCTGTCAATGAATTTATGGAATTTCAGTTTAGATATTTAGTAGATTAAGAAATATAGTTTGGCGCTATACCGTAATGTATATTGCCATATGTAGGAATCCCAACTCTGAGCTTTAATGCGTTAGGGCAGTTTTCTTCATCCTTTTAGTACGTGTTATACCTTAACCACTTCTGCATCTGTTTCTAAACACAAAACTGGCTGTAGTGTATAGCAGAGCTACTTAACTGGCGGACCGCGGTCCGAATCCGGACTTTTCCGAGTTCTAAAGTTGGACCGCAGATGCTTCTTGACTTTGAATGCATCGTTTCTTTTTTTTCACAATCATGATGTAATGCGATATTCGCTAAACCACTGTGGATTGTCGTTGTAATATAAGTTTCTCAGAGCATCGACGCACTTATGTTACTGATCAAGAAGATGTCAATGCCGCCATTAAAACTGAAGTTTTACTGGTTTCTTGGATACATTTTTCACAGATTTTTAGACATGGTGGTAAACATTAGCTTGTATTTGTATGTTATCTATATATAGTTATATACCATACATATTTCACATCGCGCGTCATTTCACGCGCTTGGCTTCACAACTGAAGCCTTGTCATACCGACACCGAAGCGTGATATTGAGCATTTCTCTTGTGTTTTGTCAAACGACGCATTTGTAATTTTGTTCCATAGCTAAAAATATATTCTTGGAATGACCTTTGATTAAAATAATTGCGTAGCCCTGAAGTATAGTATATTCGACCCAGAACATGGCTATAAACCCTCGTATGTCATGCGTTTTTCGTATATCCGGGGTCTGACTTGGTATACACTTGGGTATACAGTATACCTGGTTGAATAACACTACGTTAGGGTCAGATACAAGCAATGAATCGCTTGAATAAAGGTTGAGAAATAAATCATATATAAATGAGCCTATTAGGGATTAGGGATGCACTCCTTAGCTTGCGCCTTGAGATCGTCTTCCCGCTGTTGTGTAATAGAACTCAGGCTATACCACTAACTTTAGGTAGATCTCATGATATAGTGTGGTTGACCTTACACCAGGGGTCGGCAACCTTTTGTCGCTCGCGGGTCAAAATGATAGTTGCAAGTCATTGACGGGCCGCACATATTTTTAGAAAGCTGGAAACCGAACGGATGATACTTTTTATATTAAAAATGGAGCAGTGATACATCTCTCGAATAGAATATAGATTTATTTCCTCATTGCAATGCATTTTTGGCGCCATTGAACCCTTTGCATCATTTTTCCTACGTTTTGTTGCCATTTGTCTAATTATAATTAAATTATAGGCTCATTAAACGAGTAATTGTGAATTCTATACTTGTTAGATTATAATATAATTTAGTCCACACGCGTCTCACAATGAATTGTGTAACGTAAAAGATATAATCGTCAAAACAGATGTTTTGTTACTATAATTCAGGGAAGCGTCGCGGGCCGTAGGTTGCCGACCCCTGCCTTACACTATAGCACTAGCTTCAGGTAGATCTTATGGTATAGTGTGGTAGACCTTACGCTAGAGTACTAGCTGGAGATAGATATTCAAGCCTTGCTCTCTTGTTTAATTAAACCTTTTTTTTATTTTCCTGATTTAGAATTATGAAATTGCTTTTCAGTTATCTATTAACATTGATAGTAGCTTCATTCGTTGCAATATCGTTTGTATGGACTTACTGGGAAGCCGAGAGAACAGTTATCTCTAGAAATTTCCAAGATATTAAACTCGTAAAACATAATTCGGGACCAAAGTTGGAAGATGCACTTATTGAAAGGAAAACTCTGTTATATACGGCGTCTGAAAATAACACCAAACAAGTTACTAGTACTGCACCTGCTATAAAGACCACCACTGCCGCGAGCTCAAAACCTGTTAGAATTGAGACTATTACTAAAGGGATTCCGAAGAAAGCGGAACCATCTCAAAAACTTTTGAAATCTAAAATCGTTTTTTACAATCGAGTAGGAAAGTGTGGAAGCAGGTCTTTACTTCATCTAGTTCGTGTTTTAGGAAACATGAAGGGGTTTAATGTATTCAGCTCCAATGACGTTGCTACCGACCATCCAAATTCGACCGAAGTCGAAAAAGAAATGAAAAAAATTTCTAGTTTTATTAAAAAACCGACTATATATAATCGACACATACATTTTCTGGATTTCAAAGCAGTTGGGCTTGAGGAACCTATCTATATAAATATGATACGAGATCCCATACAGCGATTTTCATCCCAGTATAATTATCTTAAATACGGAGACGCCGCTTGGAAAGACAAAAAACCCAGGAATGATTTACCAGATATTAATGAATGTGTAATGAAAAACATTTCGTTGTGCAATAACAAGGGTTTCATGTTCTACATTGGTTTATATTTTTGTGGGTTTGATGCAGTTTGTTCAATCAAATCCCGCGACAGAGTCGAATTAGCAAAGAAACATATCGATGAGAATTATTATGCGATTGGATTAACAGAAGAATTCGAAAATACCATAAAATTACTGGAAAAAATGCTTCCAAGTTTTTTCGAAGGAATTACAAGTTTATGGAATGGAAACATGAAAACGTGGAAGTCTAAGACGACGACAAAACGAAGAGAAAATTTGACCGAAGAATCAATTGAAAAATTAAAAAATAGTTATTTTCTAGATGAATATGAAGTTTATAATCACGGTCGAAAAAAATTTGATCGACTTAAAAACGAATTTGGTATTCAATGATACAAGAGAAAACACTTACATAGGCTGCACGTGAACACAGCCCAACTAGACAATCGTTACTCTCTCAGCAAAATCAGTGGAAACACACACGTGACCGGAAACCATCATGGTGGCGGTGGCGCTTAAAAATACCCAATTGCTGGCTTTCTAGATCGCACTTGGAGGTGGAGACAATAACTAAATGAATAATCTAACAACAAAAAAGCGATGCTCAATTATATGGACACGAAATGGTACAGGTATGCAATCAGTCATAGTATTCTACCCGTAGCACATTCGAATAAAAAAAATGAACACCCGTGGTTCCTGTCTGAAAATTAGTTAATGTTGTGGTACAAAAAGAGCTTTTCTCTGCAACTAATTTATCCATCAAATTCGTTTTTATCATTTATTGGACACGTTAGTGGACATAACGATCGTTTCAATATTATGTTGTTGTTGTTCCTTTTCTTGTTGTTCTTTGACACGTTTTTAAAAAGTCGCTTTTCCCTTTGATTACTGGACCAATTGCTTGGAAATTTACAGTAGTTAAAAATGGGATATTTTTTTAGAAGGTTATTACTTTTAATAATTTTTAAATATTCCTGTGAGTTTTATGGGATTCGTTATTATTTTGAGCTATGACGTCATCAGAATTTGCCACCATGTGGCGATTCCGCAAACATATATTGATCACGTGATCAGCGAACAGGTTCCGTGGTCAAGCCTGCTGGTAAGTTACCGTACCACGGTGAATTTCAGCGTAACGTGTCCATATATTTGAGCATAGATCTCTTGTTCAGCTAATTTTTCTTTGGTCCTATTGTCGCGGACTAAAGTGTTCGTGTTCATATTGTGTGTGTATATATTTTTATGTTTTTAAACAGTTATGTTGAACTCTGTTTAATGCTGTTTTGTCGGATTTGGACTCCAACCACTCACTACACGTGAGAGAAAAATTGTGTCTTCCGAACTTTCTTCTCCGGTCGCAGCGCTGGCGGCCAGTCGTATTTTCAGTTCTTTAGTGATGTAATCTGTTATGCTGTTTTAGGTTATAAATTGTGAGTTGCCGTTTAATAAACGACCAATCTGGAATACTTGAGTCTTCTGATTCATCTACAACCCCAGTAGCAACATCTTTGGACTTTGACAATATGCGGTCTCATGAAAAAGCTATCATGTTGTGATTTCATTTATGTTTTTTTTTGTGTAATACTCATTTTCATTTTGTTGCATATAGCTGTTCGTCTCTTTTATCTACAACATGACCTTCGAAAACATGCAAATATTTGTAGTTGAATCTTATTTTCATGAATTTGACCAATTTTGTTTCTACATTAATTTCAATTAAAAACGAAATTCTGCGCATTATCACAAATAGTTGAGTATTCAATCCACAGTATACAATTAGTTAACTTAAAATCATGCAAACCAGCTAGTAATGTTTTCATACCGACTCATTGAACAGGTTCGAATCCAATGCGGGGATGATTATGTGCGAGAGGATTGCTGAACTCCTCACCGCCGCAGGGTGGTTCACATAATCGCTAGTAGTATGTTACGGCTTCTTCTCCCAACAAGTCCATGCATCTTTATACAAAAAACTGGCTTACTAAGCCCATACTCAACATGGATTGGTAAATGGACAAGAGGCCGTGTTTCACCATATGATTAGGCCGTAGTATAAGCTTTCTGCTCCCCCGGAATAAATATGTAAATCCTATCATATTTAGCTGTCGCGGGTACGAAATTGCTCTTATAATTGCTGCAGTAGTGTTGTTGCTTTTACGAGGGCAACTTTATTTTTGAGTCTTTTTTGCTTAAATTAAATAATTGCGGACTTTTTTTAAAAAAAACGAAAAAAAAAAAACGGATTCGATAGACAAATTAACAGGCTTGTTCATGGGAATGAGATTCCCATTATACTTTATGAAGGGGCTGATGGACAAATGTATAATAGTTATGAATTAAAAGTTAACAAAGTCAGCAAATTTCGTTGTTCCGCATATGTCCTCGTACATGTAGTCCTATTTAGTAGGCACTAAACCTAAATTTAACAATTTTTATTGAATTGCATTCCAATGGGAAGGCATAACTTGCTATGGGATGGGAAAGAAAACGGTGCTCCCGAAGTATTCGTACCAAGATGGCGCACAACCTGAACATAGTATGTGTGCCACTTTTGTAACACTGTAAATATTGTTCATAAAATGTAACTTTTTACGTCACACTCACTCGGCCCGCCAGTGTAAGTTGGCAAAATTTTTGGCCCCTGGTTTAAAAATCTTGCCCGCCCTGCTTAGTTGAACTGCTAAGCCATCACGCCCAAATAATTTCATTATATTCAAGCCGTGTAAACCTTTTTTTAATTTTCTCGATTTAGAATTATGAAATTGCTTTCCAGTTATCTATTAACATTGATAGTAACTTCATTCGTTGCAATATTGTTTGTATGGACTTACTGGGAAGCCGAGAGATCAGTTATCTCTGAAACTTTTCAAGATATTGAACTCGTAAAATATAATTCAGAACTAAAGTTGGAAGATGCACTTATTGAAAGGAAAACTCTGTTATATACGGCGTCTGAGAATAACACCAAACAAGTTACTAGTACTGCACCTGCTATAAAGACCACCATTGCCGCAAGGTCAAAACCTGTTAGGATTGAGACTATTACTAAAGGGATTCCGAAGAAAGCAGAACCATCTCAAGAACTTTTGAAATCTAAAACCGTTTTTTACAATCGAGTAGGAAAATGTGGAAGCAGGTCTTTACTTCATCTAGTTCGTGTTTTAGGAAGCATGAAGGGATTTAAAGTACTCAGCTCCAATGACGTTGCTAACGTTCATCCAAATTCGACCGAAGTCGAAAAAGAAATGAAAAAAATTTCTAGTTTTATTAAAAAACCGACATTATATGATCGACACATACATTATCTGGATTTCAAAGCATTTGGGCTTGAGGAACCTATCTACATAAATATGATACGAGATCCCATACGGCGATTTTCTTCCCAGTACAATTATTTGAAATACGGGGACGCTGCTGGAGGGGTCAAAAAACCCAGGAATGATTTACCAGATATAAATGAATGTGTAATGAAAAACATTTCGTTGTGTAGTCGCACAACTTTTATGTTCTACATTGGTTCATATTTTTGTGGGTTTGATGAAGTTTGTTCGATTAGATCCCGCGACAGAATCGAATTGGCAAAGAAACATATCGATGAGAATTATTATGCGATTGGATTAACCGAAGAATTTGAAAATACTATAAAATTACTGGAAAAAATGCTTCCAAGTTTTTTTAAAGGAGTTACAAGGTTATGGAATAAAGAAATAAAAATGTGGAAAACTAGGACGACGACAAAACGGAGAGAAACTTTGACCGAAGAATCAATTGCTAAATTAAAAAATAGTTATTTTCTGGATGAATATGAAGTTTATAATCATGGTCGAAAAAAATTTGAGCGACTTAAAAACGAATTTGGCATCCAATGATACTAGATAAACACTTACATAAGCTGCACGTGGAGGCAGAACGACTAGACACTGCTGTTAACAGCACTCGCTCAGCAAAATCAGTCAAGTGGAAACACACACGTGACCGGAAACCCTAGTGGTGGCGGTGGCGCTATATTTCGAGATTAGTCAATTGTGGGCCTTCTAGGTTGCACTTGGAGATTAAGACAATAACCAAATGGATGTTCAAATACATGGAAACGAAATGGTACAGGTATGCAATCTGTCACAGTAGCCTACCGGCACCGTATCGCAGCTGATTTGAACTTTTGCAAAGGAGCGCAATTTTCAATCGTGTTGACTTCATCACACGCAACAACGAATCCCATAGGGGTCACATATTTTTGAAATAATTAAAATTAATAGCCTTCCAGTAAAAAGTACAATCTTCAGCCACTGAAAATTTCAAGCCAATTGGTCCAGTAGTTAATGAGAAAAGCGATGAGAAAATTTTTCCACAGCCGCAACAAGAAGAAAAGAAAAACTAACATGACGATCAACAACAAAATAAACCATAGGTCTACTTCCTGTCCAAAAACTAATCAGTGAAACGGCCCAGATGTCTATTTCGCGTCAAAAATTCCAGATGAAACCAGTCCTAACCAGAGATGAGTTACAAGCCCACTCAAACATATTTTTCCAACCAGGAAAGTAGTCAGCCCAAATTTTTTTGTGGCCGTATTTTTTTAAATAATAACATAATACAACGCCTGCTCTTGCCTTTTGCCCCGAACAAAGCCAGATAAAAGCAGTCACTAATATCTAACAATATATATCACAATGAATCTCTCCCCAGAGGTCCGCTAATGTATTTTACTCCCATCGATCGCCAGGGTGCTTGCCGTTGAAAATTATACATCAGACACAAGAAGGCAATGCCTTAATATAGGGACACGAAAGTCGCACAGATCTTCAAGAACTACAACTATTTTATATTCAACAAAACAATACATAGGTCCACTTCTTGTCCCACAAAGTAAACAATGCAAAATGTTCAAGAAATTCCTAATTTCGTAGACTACAACGGACTTTTCCCTAGGCAACGATATCTTATGTTTGTTTCTTAACAATGGTAAATAGCAACAAGATGACAATGACACAACAATCAGAATTTAACTACCCACTTGAAACATATTTTCCTCTATTAGTTTTTCAAGTAGGTATGTTTGATTGGATTACGTAGTTTTTAGATGAGATTAGTGGCAGAATAATAACAGTTTAACTACACATTGAATATCTCCTCGGGCAATGTTTCTTTAGCTGCTGTAATCACTAAATCATGAATGGTTCACAAAATGCTAGTTAAGATAGGCTGAAATCTGCTGCCGTTAGTTCTTAACGGCAGGTGCTTGAATAACCGTTGGTTGGTTGCGGCTTCTTCCACCATCAAGTCCATGCATCTGAAAACAAATACCTAACTAACTAATTCCGTGCCCGACATGGACTGGTAGTCGGACGAGAGGTCATGGCTCGCCATTTGATTAAAATCGATTTTCCGCCATTTACAGTTACACACACATTCGTACGTCACTTTGTCAGCAATATTTTGTTCTATTCCCGAGCGGTTCGTAGATTACCCGATGTTTTCAAGGTCACTATCAATAATCCTTCATTCAAATGAACCACCCTAGATAGATAAAAATGCGTAGCCTACTTTCAAAGGATGGATAACTTCGACAGCGAAGTAATTCTGAGGAGAAATTCTTTAGGATAAGAGTGCTTTTATCTGATCTTGTTCGGAGCACTCTATTAACTAATAATTTTGCATCTCCATGTTGGCTATCAATATTGTTTTGGTAAATAATTCCAATGTATATAGCTATTTTGTGTCTTTTCCAAGCGCACTGTTCAAATCCCTTTCTGTTCATTACTAGTCACTATTCACTTCTAACATTGGCTTGCTTTGTTTGTTTTCTGTATTCACAGGTACTGTCACCCAATTTTTATTTCCACTATTCAAAACTTCATCTGCTTTTCAACCATGTATTTCAAGCGATGTGTCCCATAAAATTCTACTTCCTTAGATTTATGTATTATTATATATTGGTTGGCTAATTAGTAAAATTTATCAGTCGAAACTCTCCTCCTCAATCTGCCGAATGAGAAGTTAGAACCTTGAGTGTCGCTGCTCGATAACCAGTTTTGGTTCCACGCGGCTTCCTTTCCCCAGTAATGTAAATATAATTTTTTTTCTTATATTTTTTGCATGTTTTCTGTCTTTAACTGGTTGGAAAGATAAACTTGACTTGACTATGCTATATAAAACGTAGAATTCCAGAGCCTTCATTTGTATATATGAGCTGTGACGCTAATCTGGCGATCTCTCAACTTATAATTGGGGGTGGGGGGGTGGGGGAAATATTTTATTTGCCAGTTCAAAACAACTAGCGGGTCCGACCGAACGCCGGAAAACGTGTGTGTTTCGTGAGTCTTAAAAGTCTAAAAAGATTCAAGCTACGAAAATTGCCATGTATGATACAAGAAGATGCTTCTATTTTTTTACATTTCAGGGAGGGTGAGGGCTACGCCCCTGCTCAGGAGTCTATTACATTTAAATTATATACCCACATTTTACTGTTTGTTTCAAGTGCAACACTTTTTTAACCCTTCAGCAATTATGTGTGTTGCTTTTTTAAATTGAGTTAAAAGTTTGCCCGATTCGTGTTCACGCTTTTTTGTATGCTTGTATTATTACTTTTTTTCCTCTGATTTCGTATTTGTACGTTATTTTTTTTTTTTGAGGTATGCTTACCTTCCAGATATCTCTGCATTTTGTTTTCCGTTTAATTTTTGTGTTATTCTGTTTTATGTCAGAATACCGAAATAAAATGATCGAAAAGGCTGGGGTAATCGTCGTATTGCTTCACATTACAAAAAATGCCCCCCCTCCCAATTTTGGGCGTGCCACGTTCTTGTTATAGTTCTAAATTTTCGACTCCAGGGATTTTAAAAATACGACTCCGTCGTCGATACCAATTATCGATAAAAATGTACTGAGCTCTGGCAGTTCCCAGAATCAAAGTTGCCGTTTTCACAATCCGAAATATAGCGCTAAAAATCATTTCATCTTGTTTCTGTTAGAATATCGGTGATGAAGTGCGAACTTTTCACCATATTAGCGTGAGATATTTGTTACTGCACTTGAGCAAACAAATTTATCGTTTTCTTGTTTTTATTCGTTTACTTTTCAAATCTGGTGGTTGACGATGTAAATATATATGAAAAATTTTGCACGCATTTTGTTTTTATTAATTCAGAAACTTTTTAGAAAGTTGTCTAATACAGTCAGTAGTTTATTTTTCATCAAAATAACAATACACTTGATGCAAACAAAAAATAAGAAAAAAAATTGAAAATGGCATTAAACTGTGAAAAGTGACGCGAAAAGGGCAATTTTGGTTATTGAGCAGCGAGGGACACCTATGATAAAAGTCTAACTTTGATACAGGTAGAAAGAAGTCGAAACTGTGCTAATATTCACACTGTCGCCTTGTTGTCTACTTCCTTAAACGTCGAATTCAGTAATTTCAAAGTAGAAGCGCCTCGTTCCGTCAGTACAAACTCAAGTTCTTTCTTTCCCTTGAATATATATAAGATACTATACATAGAAGGGTTAAAATTCATAAAACGATAATTAAAATGCAGTCAGCTGATAAACATTTCTACTTAATCTCCGTGTGTACTTCTCAATTTAATTGGTACTCCCGTAGTGTGTTTACCAGGTTAGGGTCAATGCATAATTTTATTCCGATATTTCTTATTTTAGTTCTATTACGGGTTTGGGGACTGTCTGTGTTGACGGTCAATTCAATATACACCCTGCCAATAGGTTTCAGTCCCTTTACACAACTTGATGTAAAGTAGACGAACAAAATTAGTTACTTCCATATTGGTGCACACACTTCTGGTCGCCATTTAATTTATTTCAGATGTCATAATAATACAAGGGAAGAGTGTTGTTTTCCACTCGGGAAAGCAAACCAGAATCATCATTAAGTTAACAAATAATGTAGTCTCCATACTTATACTTGCAATGGAATTTCCAATAATGACAACTAGAATAGAAGTAGCAGTATCACTTGCACAGCATACCACAGTTGTGTACAATGCCCTTTTAAGCATCGGAGTCAAATCATCGACTCCGTCACCACCGATATTTCTCTGATGACGCTGCAGTGGATAAATGAACAATCCCAACATCATGAGTTGCATTACAACTGACGAAACACTGAATATCAGCCACGGAATTTGCATCGGCATTTTTGATCCTACCGCCAGGCATCCATATTGAGTAACTGCGGTTCGGAAACTAGGAATAACGGTCGAGCCAATGCCGATTTGGATGGCCGCAGCTAGGAAGATCACCAATATGCTCACGATGCGTGTAATGTAATTGGTCAAATGTTTGATCGCAGGAATGTTATAGATTACTCGATGTCGCAACCATACAGTCAAATAGCTGATAAAAACTGCAAGGCAGCTTGAGAAAACGGTCCATCTAAAGTGAATATGGCAGTATTCCGGATGATAAACATCGACTAAGACTCTCAATAGCGAACCAGTCAGAAATTTAAGGTTGCAAATAATGGCCAAAGTTAATCGTGTTACTTTTATCAATCCGCCAATACGTTTGCCAATACTTTCATTCCTGCCTATGCCAACTCCGTTCACGTACATTTCAATAATCATCATTATCATAATGTAGGTCATAGCTATTAAATATCCGGCCGAAATTGAAATTCTCAACGACCAAATTGCAAAGTTGCCGCTTTTCAGCACCAAATCTTCGGGTTCTGTTCCCGAGTTATTTGATGTAGAATTCATTTTCGTCTTCTTAGTATTTTATATATTTCCTACCTGTGTTAGCCTTCTGAAAAGGAATAAAATATTATCTGATGGTTAATATATATTCATATATGTCTTAGATCTACGTCAAATTATAAATCAAATCATGCAATTTGATGAACGATGGAAATTCTAGATAATTTGATATTTAACACATGTTCATGATATTTTATCAGTAGTAGTAAAATATCTACATCAAAGTATAGGATCAAAAAGTTATAACAGTGGTTTTTGACCTGATGCGTAAGCTGTCAGATCACCGATTGTCGATAGCACAAGAAGCTATGTACATTTTTTATTGAATATTTATGGGAAAAAAACTCGGTGGTGTGGCTCATCGCACTGAGCTCATCACCGCACCTTTAATTAGTCTGCGTAGGTTCGACTCTCGTTGGGGATAATTAAATACGGCTTCCTCCACTGAATTCCTCGCCGCCGTGGTGGGACGGTTCTTGTAATCGCTGGTCCGCTTACAGCTTTCTCCGCCATCAAGTCAATGCATTTTAAAACAAATAGCTGGCTAACTAATCCCATACCCGACATGGACTTGCAACCGGACGAGAGGCCGTGGTTTGCCATATGATTGAGTCGTCTTATCGACTTCCACTCCCCGGGATATATATGTAAATCTTATCCTAGCTAGGGACATGATAAGCAAAGGCCCGATGAGAAATTGCCCGGTGACTTGAATGCTGTTTATCACAATGAACCAAAACAGGATACTTAGAGTGTGACATAGCAAAGTTCATTCTTTCTGGATAAGACAGTCGGTTTTGATTGATTTTTGTTCCTGATCATTGTGATCGTTAAATCTGTTTAATTCCACTATTTACAAACGCAAATGACTAAAAAAACTAAATGTTTTGGCGGTAAAAGCAACCTCAACTGGTCCCGCACGTAGTCTTGAAGGTATGGACATGATTTTCCCAAGGTATTCATGCGTTATAGCCCACACTCAAACCAGTACCGGTACTATTGTTTTATAAACAAACTGCCGTTTTACGTTTTCATTGAATAAAATAAAATACAGTAACCATAAAAACACTGAGTTTTTTTAATGCGCTCGGTGCGGCAGTCCAATACTTTTAAAAATCGTTGCGTCCTAGAGCACATTGAGCCTTATGTAGGGACAAAACCCTAATCTACGAAATTTATTGGAGGTGCGCGTTATAGACGGATGTGTCTTATAATCCGTAAATACGATATTACTCAACTCCCGAGTTGACTTCTGAAACCAAACGGCAAATATGAATCAGTAATTGGACACGTTTAGTGGCCATAACGATCGTTTCAAAATTTTGTTGTTTTTGTCATTTTCATTAAAAAATCGCTTTTCTCTTCGAATACTGGACCAATTGCTATGGAATTTTCAGTGGTTCAAGATTGATTTTTTTGCCAGAAGACTATTACTTTCATTTATTCCTGAATTTTCTATGAATCTTATGAGATCTAATATTTCATCCAAAATTGCGCTGTATTAATTTTTAAATATGGGAACACGGTTTTTAATCCGCCAAGCGTGACGGCTGACTGTGAAAATTCTTGCGACTGAAAACCTGGAACTTTTTGAGGGTACGGTACCGGTAACGTCAAAGGTAAACCCTGCTTCGCTCTAGTCCACGTGTCCATATATTTGAGCGTTGCTCTCTTGTTTGTTTTTATACACATTGAATTAGGTAGCGTCTGAAATCGATACACTCATTTTGCTAATCAATCTCATCCCTGATATTATATTGGAACATAAAGTCAGTCCATGCGTTATATTTATTGATGTTATCTTAACAATTAAAGCTATGGTAATTTTATTCCTGCTACAGCATCCTTGCATTATACGGATCCACATTGAGGAAGGATTGCGATTTGGTCTCGCGCAACCTCTACTGATAGTAATAAAGCTAATGATGTGTTATTAAATATTCAATTAATTGTAAATTATTAAAGATCTCAATATCTATTTATATATAAAACGTTATTAAATACGTTGACTGAAGCCTAATGCTTGGTGCCAACGCAAAAAATGTCGGGCAAGGCTGTAATTTTGTTCGGTTTCAAGTACTTTAACTTTCTCTTTTATCAACCAATGGAAGAACATCGGAAGATAAATACATAATAATATGAGTTATTCTCGAATAGATAATCATAGTATCGATAAAAGGTTTTAGTTGTGCTCATTGCGATCTTACTATGAAGTATTATTGGGCACGAAAGTTAAATATGAATCGTTTTGTTATCATATTGTTGTTGTTCTTAATGATATTTTCTTCTTCTTGTTTTGAAAAAATCGTTTTGCTCATCAACTATTGGACCAATTGCTTTGAAATTTAATTGGTTAAATTTTCTATTTTTAGCTAGAGGGCTATTACTTTTATTTTATAAAATCAATTTTTGAAATCTCATATTTGAAAAAAAAAAAATACGTTGTTTAATTTTTAATCATGGGAACACGTTTTATGACATTGTGACGCTTGTATGAGTAATCTATACTCTATAGTATACTCATCAGTGGTTCCCAACCGCCGGTCCGCGAAGCTTTTTTGCCGGTCCGCGAGAGATTTCCTCATTTTGTCTTATATGCCGTCTCAATCGCTTTACCGAAGCCGAAAAGTTGCGTTCGTTTATTACGCAATATCTCTTCGGTCGTCATATTGCTGTTTGATGAGTGCCGCCGAGTAATCATGTTTTCGTTTACCCGGATGCGATCCATCGCGAGAGCGCTTCGTCGACCCTCGCAAGATTCAGAAACGTAAAAACCAGCGCGCGTGTGTTTTTCTGTTGTGTATGCTTTTGCTGCTAAATATGACCATCCAAATAAAAGTTTACAAATATTTCTTTGTTCATACCTGAAGCCAAAGGAAAACAGTATAACATAACAAGGCTTCGCCTTGACATCCAGTAAGATATGAACTTTTTGCGACCCTACAGGTTGTCACGAGACGCGCAACAGAAGCATGGGCCGCAGAGAACTTTTCCAGTTGTTGCACAGCAGGATCTTGAGCCTGGTGCCAAGTTACCGACGACCTTTTCCTTGTAATGCAAATTAATTTTGTTGGAGGCGTCGATCATCTGAAGAGAGATTAATATGAAATCAGCTAACCAACGAAGTATTTTGATGTTTTTTGACAAAGAGAATAGGTCTTCTTCAGGATCAGATAATTCTCAAAAAGGAGATGAAGCGAGTACAAATAATACAAATGCTAAACGAGCCAAGAAGAGGACATGTCAAGATACGTTGACTGTCACAAGACAGCAAGAAAAAAAGCTCGAGTTTGTAGGGCAATACGATGAAAAGTACATGTAACTTGCTTTTACTGTAGCTCCCGGCAGTGAATAATCACCACGGCCTTTATGTTTAGTTTGTGACCAAGTTCTCTCCAATAACGCTATGAAATCTTCCAAACTTGCTCGATACTTTCACTCAAAGCACGGCAATCTCAAGGGCAAGCCTGCTAAGTTTTTCGAACGACTTCTCATCGACATGAACAACCAAAAGAATCAACTGAAAAATATGAAAATTTCAGAAAAATCTCTTCTTCGTGCATCATATCTAATTTCTCCTCAAATTGCTAAAACAAGAAAACCGTACACAATTTGAGAAGAGTTGGTAAAGCCGTGCATCTTATCTGCAGCTGAAGATTTTGGGCGTTGAAGCAGTTCAAAAACTGAAAGGCATACCACTTTTCAACAACACAGTTCAGCAAAGAATCGAAGATATGGAGCAGCAGGTTGTAGAGGAGGTAAAGAAGTCACCATGTTTTTCGATCCAACTCGACGAATCCACAGATCTGAGTAATTGTGCCATTCTCCTTTGTTTTGTGCGATATAAGGGAATCACGGATTTTAAGGAAGAACTCCTATGTTGCATTAGCTTGTCAGGACGTACGACCAAAGCAGAGATATTCAGATTTCTTGACGCCTACATAACTGCAAAAGGAATAGACTGGGGAATAGGCGTCGGGGTATGTACGAATGGAGCTACTAGCATGACTGGCTGTCGCTCTGAGATGGTCACAAAAATAAAAGAAGTTGCACATGAGAAAATGCTGTATACTCATTGCATCATCCATCGAGAGCATTTGGCTTCAAAGAAACCCTCTCCTGAGTTGAAAAACGTAATGAACAACGCTGTAAAAATTGTTAATGCGATTAAAACTCGTCCTCTGAATAGTATGGATTCACAGCATCAACACCTTCTTTTTCATGCCGAAGTTAGATGGCTATCAAGAGGGCGAGTTCTCACACGCCTGTTTAATCTCCGAGGAGAAACCAAACTCTTTTTGATTGAAATTAGCTTCCCATTAGCAGAATTCATGACGGATGAAACATGGTTGTTCAAGCTTGCTTACTTGGCTGATATATTCGGTCGCTTGAATGAACTCAATACATCCCTACAAGACGCTTGCACTAATATATTTGTGCTAAGAAATAAGACTGATGCATTCAAGAAGAAGCTGGCTATGTGGAATAGTTATGTGCTCGAAGAAAATATAGTCATGTTCCTAACTTTAAATGATTATATATATGTCAAGTGTTGATGTTAACAATAAGGAGTTGTTAAGCATTGTTAGTCAACACTTGAAAGAATTGGGGAACAGTTTTGATCATTATTTCCCGCAGAATGAGGATTCACGACAAGGAAATCTTTAGACCAACAATCCGTTTTACGAAGATGTGAACACATGTAACCTTAAACCCGATGAAAAAGAAAGTTTGCTTGAACTATGTTGTGATTCTACTTTAAAGTCCAGATTTAAAAAGTAAACATTGGCACAATTCTGGGTATCTCTTTATAACGAATACCCATCGCTAAGTGATCGAGCAATCAAACTGTTGTCCGTATTTTCAACCAGCTACCCATGCGAAAAAACTTTTTTATCCTTAATTTTAATAACAACGAAGCAAAGATATCAACTGGACGCCGCTGCAGAGCTACGTGTAGCAGAAACTTCTTTGATTCCTCGTTTGAATCTTATATAGAAACGAAACAACAGCAAAATTCTCACTAAAGTTAATTGTGTTTGTACATGATTTGGCATGTCGCTACATCTTTTTTTATTTTAGATGTTTTCGGTGTGTTTTTTTGTGCATAATGAGTGCCCAATACTACATTTTATAACGCAAATATATTACGTTATTTTTTATTTATGTTCCACCGGTTTCAATTTTTGGCTGGCACATTATTTGATAGTATTTTTTCCGTGTTAAGTTTTCTGTGTGCCTTTTTACCTAGAAACATAGTGAGTGCCCTTCCATGCATTTATTACGAAAATATATGTTATTATATCATGTTCCATTTATTTTAATTTTTTGCCGGTACGCGAGTACATTTTATTCAATTTTACCGGTCCGCCAGGGTAGAAAGGTTGGGAACCACTGGTCTACTGTGACAGATTGCACACCCGCACCACGTCGTTTTGGACTTCGTGTCCATATATTCGAGTATCGCTCTCTATGAAAAACAGCAGTTTCAGCAGTAGAGTATTATGACCTGAATTGCAACTCGGTTGCAAACGTTTTGATACCATAGTATATTGCGTTTATTTATATACAGCTAATAGAAGATGTAATATTTGCATATATATATATTTTATTAGTAAAATAATACTGAAAAAGTTATGTATATGAAAATTCACGGTAAAATACACGACTTTATGTTAACAAGTTCTCATTAAACACTTTTAAATTCTTGGAAATATTCAGAGAAATTTTTTTAAAATTAACTTGATAGTATCTTACAGACCCAATTTCAGTGGGTTTACATTCGAACGGTGGGGCGCGCCCCACAAATATAATTTTATGTTCGTAGACAATTTTTTGAAGGCGCGTGAAGCTGCTCGACTTATTTTAGAATTTTATCTGTTTTTAAAACTTTTTATTTATTTCATTATTTACATTCCATCAACGTATATTTTGAATAAAACGTACTTTTGCGTTACTATCTGTTATTTGTAGCCTATTGTTAAATAATTATTTTTGAGGTGGGTTGCGAACCAAATTTTAAAAAAGGGGCGCGACTTAAAAAAGTTTGAGAACCACTGTTTTAGTCAGTTTTTTATATACACTTTTCTTCTCTTTTACGACCAATCAATGTCTTAGTTTTCACCGAGTTCTATAATTTCGCTGCTCCCGGAATTTTCCCCCACTGCAATGCAAAGAAGAAAAAAATATTGAATTAAACTATGAAAAGCTGCGTGGAGGTTTATACAGTTTTATACCGATAATACCCCTCCCTCACTTGGAGAAACTGGCTATTTTTTTTCTAGCCAGGTACGTCTGAGTATAGCTAACCAGGTAATTGTGCAATATGTCGAGCCTGATAGAGACGCATATAGGCCCTGGGCCTTATCCCTCATGAGGCCCTCCCCAGCTTTTGTAAACTTTGATTCGGGGTCATAAATAATACCAACTTCTAAAATAGATTATGACGTCATGAATATATATTTTTTATATCACCATGGAAGGACAAATTTCGGTTACAGGTAAGATACGTGTGCCAATTAATCAAGTATATTAGGTAATAAATTGGATTAAAACCATTTTAGAAGCCCACGGATGTTCCAAAATAAAATTAAACTGAATTACTACGATTTATACTATTTTCGGATTCCCTTGTTTTGCAGACCCGTTCATTTCAAAAATGATTTATTTCTTCGTAATGTTTCATTTATTTTTAATTGGGACATGCCCCATCCCCTTCGGGACTAAAAACTGGTATTGTGACGTCGAGTTTTCTGGCGCATGTGGTATTTTAGTAGAGCGTTTAATTTTTTTGTCCAGTCTAGTTGTTTGATTAGTGTACGTATCTTGCCTGTAGCTAAAATTTGGCATTTGTCACTATTTATCTATTTAATTATTTTCTGAAAGTTCACCAAGACATCACAATGAATTCAATGGAGCCGTATGACGTCATTATAAAATAGATCTCTCAAAACTGGCATAGCCATGGGTCTCAGATCGTCGGCTCTGGCATTGATTACCTTACACTCACCCATAGGGTACGAATACCGAATCCCCCACCTGAAATTTCAATTTTGAGGGGTGATACCACACTGTCATTCCTAACTTAAGTATAATTGTATTCAAATATATATACTATGGCATATTTATCAGTGTAGTAGATCAGGGGTCGGCAAACTTTTGTCGTTCGCGGGCCAAAATTGAAGGTGGCAAGTCATTAGCGGGTCGCACATATTTTTAGAAAGTAAAAACTCAAAACAAATTCTGTTACGTAAACAATATAATCGTCAATACAGTTGTTTTGTTAATATAATTCAGTGAAGCGTCGCGGGCCGGATTATATTGTTTCGCGGGCCGGATCTGTCCCGCGGGCCGTAGTTTGACGACCACGGGTGTAGATCGTCTACCAAATACGTAACACATATTTTTTAGGAATCATAAATAGTTTTATTGCTAATAGTAGAATACTTACCACCATCTCAATTTCGAAATACCCCACCAAAATGGAAAGCTGGGGCACATACTAGGCCCTGGTTACGGGCAACAAAATATTTGCCCGTATATAAGGCATTATAATAATACTTACTCCATCTCGTCCATTTCACTTGGCCGCAGAATAGAACATCCTGATTGTATAAAACCACCTTCGGCGATATTTTGCTGCCTCTCACGTTCAAGTCCTGTAGGAAGAGTTGATACAACTAAACAACACCTAGCGACAACGATATAGTTCAATCAATGTTTCAAACGCCAAAAAATAAAAACTTTATCGGGGCGATTGATATAAAATAAAAGCCCCTGCATATGGAAATAGTCACATATTGCAGTTGTGCATGTATTACTATGAATAAGTCATACCATTTGAATTTAATTCAGGGGGGGGGGGAGGGGATGATACTTTATACATATCCGCTATATATACTTCACTTTTTCTCGGTATTACAATATAGATAGCAGTTTTCCCTGCCAAGTGCCAACCTACCCGTCCAATACCGCCTTCGCGATATCCTTCAAATAATTTTGATAAAGCTTCGGCATTCATATTGCAGTCTTCCAGATTGAGATGTTTGACGCCAGGATTTTTCAAAACACGACGAAGTTTTTGGGCTGCATCGGCATCTATGTCGGTACTCCCGCTCAAATCGATGGAACTAATCTAAATGCGAATATTAAATGTGAATGAATGTGACGTTCATTCTGAAAATATTGTCGCTTAGCTTGCGCGTTAGCTATATAGGGTAAATCATAAACGTCAAATAACTACGAAACAATGTTAAACACCACACTTACTGGATTTCCGAAGCGTGCGAGAATAGCATCCAGAACGAGGTTGAGGTATTCCGCAACGGGTAACATTTTTGGCATGGTGAGCTTCTGCAGATTTTCTGCTGTTTTGATTATTTTGCAGATGTTTTCGATATCTTTTTCCTTCACTGCATTGCTTATCTGAATTTCTGTGACATCTTTTGGTTCAATCACAATGCATTTCAACTCGGGGTTATCGCTGCACATTGCGCTGATGACGTCACCGTCTATCACCGAATTTTTGCTACCCATTTCAATAAGATATATAATGTATTTATGCACCTGTTTAATATTTTAACCTACACACAATGAAATTATTTAAAGCCTAAGAATTAGAAATTCGGACTCCGACTACCAGAAAATTTTATAAAACGACCTTCTCAAATATTATACTATAAAATAAATGGCTGCCTTCGCCCCCACGACTGCATAACTCTTGTTATTTTAGTTCCGCACGGTAAACTGAAAGCTACCGTATTGTTGATCTGACTCGTCGTATATACTGTATTGACGTTTATCGAAATAAAAGACTGTATACTGATGATGAAACAAACTGCAAAAAGTAAACACTGCATTGCAATGTAACAGCTTAAATGTTATTGACCAACTCGTCACATATATACTAGACCTTTTGAAATAAAAAATTTTAATCTTCCGGTAATAAGTCAAACTGAAAGACTGACTATTTAATCCTAGAAGTAAATCCAACTTTATAGCTTTCCAGTCTAGATAACCAAATGAAATGATGTCGAAATTTCGTTACATCACAAGCGGAGCGTGTAGATCAAATGTTACTTTCTGCATTGTGTTTGTTTGCGTCAAATAATTATTAACTTGTGGGTGAGTACCGAGTTCGTAAAACCAAGGATAGCGGTGAGTACAGCGAACATAAATTGATTGGGTCCTTCTTTCATAACGTAGAAAAGAAAAATTTGACAGTCGCCCAACAACAAGACTAACAAATCCTTGGTCAGCAAAATGATCCACATCGCAATTTCGTGTCAAATTATCTTACTTAAACTTTGTAGTTACGTTTTATTGTCATTGGAAACTCGCTGCCTGAAACTAATGTTGCCTCACTGACTTTTGTCATGGATTTATTCTTATTATGAGAGGAAAGCCGATAAGACGGCTTAATCATATGGCCGACCACGGCACGGTGGCGAGCGTAATCCCAACGCTTAGCATACTGCGCCCAACAGTCGCTGTAAACTACTACAAAAATATTTATTGACCCATTCAAGCATTTTTTGATTGTAATAACAGCCGCCGGAACTAGTTTCATGGCAGGCAAATATCATGAATGCCAAATCCACGACCAGACAAATTCGAACAATTCCTCTGAGATGCAGATGCTAATCTAGCTACTTGCTATCCAAGAAGATCTTGACATTGTCCTCACAAAACAACTATTCGCTCACAAGTACTGATTGTTATATCACAATGAAACAAAATAATCGTTGAACGAAAGGGACAACACAATTAAAAGAAAAAATAATATGGCAGAGAAAATAGAGCACCACTAAAAATAAATTCAAAAACACAATTCGGAAAGAGAGATAGATATAAGCCACTAGAGCAGGGGTAGGCAAAGCTTATTTGCAAGGGACGCATCCAAAAAGGCAGTAGCAAAGGCCAATATGAAAAGAACGGAAAGTAGTGACTGGAAGCATCTAGCGCTCATCAAATAAAATAAAATGCAGTCAGCTAATAAACATTTCTACTTCATCTTCGTGAAAATTAGTTACTTCCATATTGGTGCACACACTTCTGGTCGCCATTTAATTTACTTCAGATGTCATAGTAATGCAGGGAAAGAGTGTTGTTTTCCACTCGGGAAAGCAAACCAGAATCATCAATAAGTTAATAAATAATGTAGTCTCCATACTTATACTTGCAATGGAATTTCCAACAATGATAACTAAAATAGAAGCAGCAGTATCACTTGCACAGCATACCACAGTTGTGTACAATGCCCTTTCAAGTACCGGAGTTAAATCATCGACTCCGTCACCACCGATGTCTCTCTGATGACGCTGCAATGGATAAATGAACAATCCAAGCATCATGACTTGCATTACAACAGACGAAACACTGAATATCAGCCACGGAATTTGCATTGGTATTTTTGATCCTACCGCAAGGCATCCATGTTGTGTAACTTTGATTCGGTAACTAATAATAACGATTGAGCCATCACCGATTTGAATAGCCGCAGCTAGGAATATCACCAACACACTCACGATGCGTGTAATGTATTGGTCGAAGGTTTGATCGCAGGAATGTTATAGATTACTCGATGTCTCAGCCATACAGTCAAATAGCTGATAAAAAGTGCAAGGAAAGTTGAGAAAATGGTCCAGCTAAAGAGGATATGACAGTATTCTGGATGGTAAACATCGACTATGACTCTCAATAGCGAACCACTCAGAAATTTAAGGTTGCAAATAATGGCCAAAGTTAATCGTGATATTTTTATCCATCCGCCAATACGTTTGCCAATACTTTTATTCCTGCCTATGCCAACTCCGTTCACGTACATTTCAATAATCATCATTATCATAATGTAGGTCATAGCTATTAAATATCCGGCTGAAATTGAAATTTTCAACGACCAAATTGCCAAGTTGCCGCTTTTCAGCACCAAATCTTCGGGTTCTGTTCCCGAGTTATTTGTTGTGGAATTCATTTTCGTCTTCTTAATATTTTTTATATTGCTTGTCAGCCTTCTGAAAGGGAATAAAATTTTTATCTGGTTACAATATATATATATATATGGCTTAGATGTACGTCAAATTATAATCTGATCATGCAATTTGATGAGCGATTAAAATTTATGATAATTTATTAAAGAAAAAAAATCTCTACAACAACGTAGGATATCAAAAATGTGGTACTCCCGTAGTGTGTGTACCAGGTTAGGGTTAGGCCATAATTTTATTCCGATTTTCCCGATTTTAGTCTTATTGCGAGTTCGGGGATCGTGTTAGCCAAGTGAATATACATCCTGTTCATAGGTTACAGTCCCTTTATACCACTTGGTGTAAAATAGGCTAACAAAATTAGTTACCTCCATATTAGTGCACACACTTCTGGAGCGCCGTAAATGTCATAACAGTGGTTCTACCTGTGGCGTACATGATGGTGCGGAGCCGTATGAAGCGTATACTGCAATATATCACTCTGCGTTTGCAATCTCGTTACAATATGTCAGTTCACCAATTGTTGATAAGACAATTAGTTAGGTACATTTGTCATTGAATTTTATGGAAGATCGGTGGTATCGCGCTAAGCGTTTGGAATACGCTCGTCACCGCACCTCTAATTAGTGGTTCCATTACATTTGAACCCACGACAATTGCACCTGTATGCTATTGCACCTATGTAATTTTTTTTGTTTCACGGATAGTTAACCCATACTAACCCTAACCCATGGGTTTTAGCACCCGCATATAGATTGAACCCGTGGATATACGCATGGGTTCAAATGTACGTGGGTTCAAATGTACGGTCACCCTAATTAGTAATTACCCTGCGTGGCTTCGCGGTTCGAATCCCGTGGTGGATAATTATCCGCGAAGGGATTGCTGAAATTTCTTGCCGCCGTGGGACGGTTCTGCCGAGTTAACTTCTGAAACCAAACGGCAAATATTAATCAGTAACTTGTTTTTATACTGATTGAAGTGAGGTAGCGTCTGAAATCGATATACGCATTTTGCTAATCAATGTTATCCCTGATATCATATTGGAGCATAAAGTCAGCCCATGCGTTATATTTATTGATATTATTAACAATCGAGCTATAATAATTTCATTCCTGCTACATTATCCTTGCATGATACGCATACGGATCCACTAGTGCAAAGACATTGAGGAAGGATTGGTAATAAGTCTCGCGCAATCTTTACTGATAGCTATGTATAAATGATATAATGTGTTATTAAATATTCAATTATTTGTAAATTATTGAATATCTCAATATATATATAATTAAAATGTTTATTAATACGTCGATTGAAACATAATGCTAGATGCCAACGCAAAAGACGTTCAACAGGGCTGTAATTTTGTTCGGTTTTAGGTATTTTAACCTTCTCTTTTACGAACCAATGAAAGAACATCGGAAGATAAATACATAATAATAACATTTATTCTCGAAGAGATAGTCATAGTATCGATAAAAGGTTTGTGCTCATTGCGATCTTACTATGAAGTATTATTGGGAACGAAAGTTATATATGAATCGTTTTGTTATCATGTTGTTGTTGCTCTTAATGATATTTTCTTCTTCTTGTTATGAAAAAAATCGTTTTTCTCATCAACTATTGGACCGATTGCTTTGAAATTTCCAGTGGTTAAATTTTCTATTTTTATCTAGAGGGCTATTACTTTTATTTGTTACTAAATCATTTTTTAAAATCTCATATTTAAAAAAAAATACGTTTTTTAATTTTTAATCATGGGAACACGTTTTATGACATCGTGACGCTTGGTACGGGTAGTCTACTGCGACAGATTGCATACTCGCACCACGTCGTTTTGGATTTCGTGCCCATATATTTGAGTATCGCTCCCTATGAGATAAGAAATTTTCAGCAGTAGGTTATTATGACCCGAATTGCAACTTGGAGGCAAACGTTTATATATCATAGTTTATTGCATTTATATACAGTTATTAATTAAATCACGTAATATATTGTGTTTAGTAAAGTAACACTGAAAAATATATGTTTATGGAAAATCAACGGTAAATACACTACGTCATGTTAATTGGCCAAGTTCTCATTCCACACTTCTTTGTGATTCTTGGAAACATTCATCTCACAGACCCAGTTTCAGTATATTTAGATTTTAGGCCAGTGGTTCTCAAAGAGTGGGGAGCACCCCGCAAAGACAATTTTTGAGGGGGCGTAAAACTGCCCACCTTATTTTAGAATTTTGCTTGGTTCTAAAACTTTTCATTTATGTCATTATTTACATTTCATCCACGCATTTCAAACGTGTTTTTTAAATAAACATACTTTTGCCCTACTATCTGTTATTTGTAACTTATTTTTAGCTAGTTATTTTTAACGTGGGGCGCAAGAATTGACAAAGGGGGTGCGGCTCAAAAAGTTCAAGAACCACTGGTTCAGTCAGTTTATTATTTATATACACTTTTTTTTCTCTTTTATGACCAATTGGTGTCTTAGTTTTCGTAGGCTGGAGGAAAGTTGTTGAGTTCTAAAGCTTCGCCGCTGCCGGTGCCTTTCCCCACTTTAATGCAAAAAAGAAAAATAATTTAATGACGTAATGAGTTGCAAAAATACCATGCATTTTGTTCAATCGCATGTGTTTTACTTGTATAACAAGTAATGACACTTCCCTCATATTCATTCAATCGGGATAAGAAAAATTATGAGCTGTATGTATCGCCAAAAAACAAATTCAATATAAATGGTGATTGCTGGGACCGTCACAGGAGTGTTAATTTGCCAATAGGCGAGGCGGGTCCATGGCGTATACGGAAAATTTGCCGCAGGAAATCTCGTCGTAGGGTTAGGGTATGCTCTTAAATAACAAATCTTTTTTAAATAAAAAGGTACTTCAAAAACATGTTTTACAGAAAAATGCTCTTGCGGCGGTTTTACTATGCGACGAAATTTCCTGCGGCAAGATTTGCTATGGCGAATTTCCCTAGAACCGGTTCATGGCAAGGTGTGTAACATAAAGTATATTATATTGTTATATAATTTATCTGTATAAACATTAAATTAAAAGTCTGCGTATCTTGTAGTAATAGCCACGGCCCCCATTAAGAGTCGTCAGTTATTAGCAACAAAATATTTGCCAGTAAATAAGACATTATAATAAGACATACTCCATCTCGTCCATTTCACTTGGCCGCAGAATAGAACATCCTGATTGTAAAGAACAATTTTCGGAGATAATTCATAACCGCTCACGTCCAATTCCTGTAGCAAGGTATAAAAAAGCATTATGTTAAAATCAAACTATTAGGGTTTTGTTTTTTATCAATTCCAAAAAACAGTCGGTTTTAAAACAAGGGCTAGTTTTAAATCTTTTTTTTTGTATTTTCATTGAAATACTCCCTGCATCGCCGTGAAACTAGGCCAAAATGTTGAGTTTATGTATTATGACATCCAAGTACAGTTTTAAGTTGAGTGAATTACAAATTTTAGCTACAAGAAAGATACATTATGCAACCCAACGTCATGACGCCAGAAAACCCGGCACTGCAATATTCATTTTAAGAGAGATATGACATAGTGAAAATTATATATAATAATGCAATATTTCTTTTCATAAAATATAGGCAATTTTACGAATAAAACTGTTCAGTTAATTTAAATTAGTACACTCTGTTTTCAAGGTTAAAAGGGTAGAGTTTTTCAAGCTTATATAAATTCATTTATTCGGCCCTATTTCATTTTTTAATCTTTTAAACAGTAAATATTTGGAATTATTATCTTATATTTTGGAATTGACACCGCAATGGGCCACAGAGCTGATAGAGGGATATACAAAGATGAGGGCAAAACTGATTCCATTTTACAATAAAACTTCCCATTATCCTCAAATTCATTGATTGATAAGGATATTTCACAGGTTCTTTTGCTGTTTTCAATTTGTTGAGCATAAATTGTTGGTTAATATAATTGGTTTTAAAATCTACCAATGACAATAATATACTGGAATGATATTGATATTGCTAAAGGCCTCCTGAAAGGGGGGGACCATTGGTATGACCTACCCGTCCAATACCGCCTGTACGATATCCTTCAAATATTTCTGATAAAGCTTCAGCATTCATATCGCAGTCTTTCAGAACGAGATTTCTGACGCCAGGATTTTCCAGAATGCGACGTAATTTTCGGGCTGCTGCTGCATCTACATCAATACTGGCACTCAAATCGATATAACGAATCTAAAACGTGAATTTTTAGGATAAAGGATTGTGCTAGTAGGTTTACGGGTATCTTAACTGGGAAGACATTGGCTGACAGCAGAGATACATTTTTTTGGATCGGCATTTAAGTTTACTATCCGCGATACTGGGCCTACAAGGCAGATTTAGACCATGATAAATAAATAAAAAAATTGTCCTACACGAAATTATCAACATTTTTTTAACTGCAATTTTGCGGCGAGACATAAATTTTTACAACTTTACCAAGACAATTTTTTACTATTCTTGAACAATTTACTGAAAAACTGGACGTTTTCTGGCTTACTACCAATAATCCTTCCATCAAATGAACCAACCGAGATGAAAATGCGCATTTTGTATAGCTTGGATTACTTGACAGCACAGCAAAGCAAGTCTGCGGAGAGATTCTTTAAGAAATTGTTAGACATCGGTGGCTGTTTTTATTTGCTTTGTTTTTATTTTCATTTTTAAAATACTGCCACCCCGTCCAGCGCCCTAATTCACACAGTCATATAACTACGTTTGACGTCGTAAAAAATCGTACTTACCGGGGTAGCGTACCAACGGCGTTCGAGAATAGCATCCAGAACTTTGTTGAGCGATTGCGCAATAAGTAAAATTTTTGGCATGATGAGCCTCCGCAGGTTTAGGGTTATGCGGATTATTTTACAGACGTTATTTAGATCGTCTCCCTTCACTGTTGACTTTATTTGAATCTCGATGACATCTTCTGGTTCAATCAAAATGCATTTCACGTCCGGATTATCGCTGCACATAGCGTTGATGACATCACCGTCTATCACGAGATCCGGTACTGACTTGTTGTTACCCATTACGGATAGATTATTCTTATCTTTTTAAATATATATATATGTTAATTTAGTTTCAGACTAAATACATAAAAGTTTTTTTAACGCACAAGATTTCAATTTTTTCTCTCCGACAATCATAAGTTAGAAGGTTATACACAAAAACCAACGAGTACTGGATATGCAGATAACTGATTTGTTGATAACTGACATTTGTTTCGTAAAAATTTTCTTTATAGGACTAGCTCAGCGTAGTCTATATCGTATTTGACGAATGTACAGTACTGTATTCTTAAAACACACAACAGGCTGCATAAAACTGGTTCAATGCAATTTTGGGGGAAATTTCTTTAAATTCACTCAAAATCAGACGCGATCGACTACTCGGGACGATGCGATCGACGTGTTGGCCCCTCTGCGCGGCGGTGTGGCTCATCGTGCTAAGCGTTAGGAATACGCTCGCCACCGCACCCCTGATTACTCTGCGTATGTTCGAATCCCATGCTGGGATAGGCATGTGCAAGAGGATTGCTGGACTCCTCGCCGCCGTAGGGTGGTTCACGTAACCGCTCGTAGGTTGCGGCTTCGTCCACCATCAAGTCCATGCTTCGGAAATACAAATAACTAACTAATCTCATAGCGGACGAGGAACTAAAATAAGAAAAATTGGAATTAAATTATGGCCTAACCATAACCTTGTACACATACTATGTTCAGGTGCCCGCCATCTTGGTTCGCATACTACGGGAGCGCCGAATATTGTATACCTCAAGAACAAAACAAAACAGCAAAATTAAACATTGAAACCCCAAAAATCAATTCAACTTTGTAGTCTCATACAAAACTGAAGTTAGGATAGACGATTCTATTTTTGTCACATCACAAGCGGAGCGTGTAGAAAATATATTATGGTTGGTTGCTCGCTAGACGGTGCTTGTATTTTCCTAAGATAGGCTGCCTAGTTTGAAATCATAAAAAAGACACTGCATATACACCGTTCCCGAATACATGTTTTGATATTGTATATATTCACAAATACAATTGAACAGTTTGAAGCGGGGTGAAAGCCAGACAGAAAATTCAAGTTACAATGCACGCAAGCAGCGGTGACCCAGGGCAGGGCAACTTTTTTCTACGTGGTATACCTTTTTCCATATTCATTTTTTTCGTATACCCCACAAATAACAAAGGTTATGTAATAACATAAAGTCGAGAAAAATTGTTTGGTAAAGTCATTACAGAACTCTTACTCTGGTAACAAGATATCATGCGTGCAAAATAGACGAAAAGTAGAACGCTGACGTTAATTTTATGACTATAGGTTGTGTTTAGAAATTCGCGAATATCATAGCCTTTTGCGTGTATCTCTCCGCCACTCTTTTTTTTTCGCTTGGGTAGGCTACTGTACTTGCGAATTAGGAAATACTGATGTCGAATGTGAACTACATCTGTTTCGAAAACTGGCTGTCGTGTGTAATATAAATTACAATAGTTCATCGAATATATATAATTTTACACGTTTAAACAACTCGTAAAATAGCTTTGACGGGTGTAGCTTCGCGCAGATATATATTTTACAGGAAATGTCAATGACTGTTACGTACTGAATTTATTACACATCATTAAAACTCATATCAAATCGCGCTAGTTCATAATGTAGACAGAGTGTATACTATGTCAATTTCGGTAAAAATCCGTGAAAAAAACGCTTCAACATGCAGTTGAGGATGCCGTTTCAAGTTCGGGAAACGAATGACTTCAGCTACAAACACTTTCGAGGTATCATATCATCTTACGAGTCTCAAAATGCAATTTTTAAACAACAAAAGATGAATGTTGCCAGCACAAATGTGACACAGCAATGACCATTTTCACACAATGCGTATTAGGGAAGTATGCGCACCAAGATGGCGCACAACCTGGACTAAGGTCTTGGTGCGAATACTTCAGGAGGTCCCGTATTAGTATCTAAGGTTACACCACAATTTATATTTTCCATAACCTTGCACAAAATTAGCTTTCCCTTGTGAAGTTCTGGTTGCGCTCCTATTTTTATCCGTCGAATGGGGTTCGAAGGGAGCTGCCCACAATAGCGCAAACCGCAAAAGTTAGAAACACTACGCTAGAATAAATGCATACTTGGCCATAGTCGTTTGTCACTTAAATATCGTTTTGTTCTGCGACTACATTTTATGTCATTTCATCTTGTATTTCGCAATTTAGTGAAGTTTCGATTCTGGCAGTAAATTACGCCAGTAGACTTTTTTACTCGAGAACTACGGCAGACGTATCCATGCTTCAGAAGAGGTCTAACTGATGCAATATTTCCGGATACGTATTTTCGTTTCCGAGGCGAATAAAGGCAAGATTAGCTTATAGTTGCACGTTGACAAGACAAAAATGCATTATTGCAACTTCGTCTATTGTCACTTCTATATTTAAGCTTAATTTAGTAGATATATATTGTATATATCTCAGGCACAGGTGAAATATAGTTCTACCCGGTGGTGGGATTCAAATTTTTTGTCAGCCGGTTCCATCAGACAAATGTCATATTTTCAGGCGGTTCTGTTACAAAAAGTCATGTAATGCTAACCGGTTCGCTGATCTCATAAAATTCCGTGAGACGATTCTATAGAACCGGTGCAAACCGGCTGAATCCCACTACTGGTTCTACCGAATGATGTGTCCTCCATTCAGGGTTTGGAAATATGGCCATCCTATTTAAACAGCATTTCATTTCACCATAAAAAGGAGAAGCTTTTTATATATCAGCTGCTTTTTGTGGGGAGTCTTGCTCGAGCCGAAAGCGGTCTTCATATATTTCTAATATGCCGACGGATTTGTAGGCGTATAAAAATGCGAGGATGTCATCTAAAATAATCATAATATGGCCTTTAATCAGCAAGGAATACTGAAACTTTAATTATTCAATTTCAGATAACTCTCATTATTATCATTTTTATATATGGGACTTACGGCCTCGAAAGGCCATGATTCGGCCCTGGAGTCCATGCGACACGAATGAATAAACAAGAATATCGGTCGAAGACCGAAGACTTATCGATCGAAACTGCGGTTTCGATTCATGACTCTATAGTGACACCAAGTGTCCCATCACTAATTAATTGATAACTCGCTAATTATACGACATAATTCATCCAAAACTAATAGGCTTCTGGTCCGAGATATGATGAATGCAAATGCAAAATTTGGAGCAGACTCAACCACGCCTTCGTGAGATATCGCGTGCATCTAACAGACAAATATCTATCAACATACTTACCGATCTAAAGATCGATAAGTAATGATTAGCACACCCCACCCAGACTGGATTGGTAAATGATCACCAAAACCCGGCACCTTTTTATTCTTAATACATATGAAAACCCTGGCCTTGCTGCTGGCTTCCAAAAGCCTGGACGACCTTGCTGCTGGCTTCCAAAAGCCTTGACGACCTTGCTGCTGGCTTCCAAAAGCCTTGACGCTATTTCCACAAAAATAGAACTATTCGCTCACAAGTACTGATTGTTATATCACAATGAAACAAAATAATCGTTGAACGAAAGGGACAACACAAATAATTATGAGGAAAAGTAATATGGCAGAGAAAATACAGCACCACTAATAATAAGTTCAAAAACACAATTCGGAAAGAGAGATAGATATAAGCCACTAGAGCAAGGGACGCATCCAAAAAGGCAGTAGCAAAGGCCAATATAAAAAGAACAGAAAGTAGTGACTGGAAGCATCTAGCGCTCATCAACAGTCTAAACCTGAAAAAATTCCCTTGGTACAGAGGGACGCACTGAAAAAAAGACTTAGTTTTTTCAAAAGACTGGACAAGTTACCTTTAATTAAAATTCAAAAGATACCAAATTATAGATTTCTAAAGAAATATATATCAGATGACAAGTAAAAAAATCAGCTGATCCAAATTTATTCGACAAGTAACCATATTTAGATAATTCCGAACATTGTATGTAATAGCGAGATATTTACACACTTTTTCCAAGAGCAGCGGGGGCACACAAAACACTTCGCGGGTCCTAGTTTGCCCATCCCTGCATAAGAGAGTAATTTTGTACAATATCCTGATCAAAAAGGGACCAAAAGCACTTTAAACAGAAAAAAGATTCATATAGAAGTTGCCAAAATGGTACTCCTGAAGTATGCGTACCAAGATGATGGACACCGGAACGTAGTATGTGTACCAGGTTAGGAATAGGCCATAATTTTATTCCAATTTTCCTTATTTCAGTTCTATTATGACTTGTGGAGACTAGCCAAGCGACTCCTGTAGTATTTGTACCTAAAATTATGGGCTAACCCTAACCTGATACACATAATACGTTCCGGTGTCCGTCATCTTGGTTTGCATACTTCAGGAGTAACACAAAAACAAAGCTCGTTCCAGTTTGAAACATGCAAACCACATAACATCAAATGGTCTGCTAATAGAAGGTGCCTACACTATGATATAAATGGGATAAAAGGTCATGGCTTATAGCTCACAAAGACAAGAACTTTTCTTCTTATTTTTAATATACAAGAAAATAAGGTAACTTGAAAATTCATATGGTCTATTCGGATATAAGTTACCATGATGTGACCCAGGTAAATAATTTGGGAGGAATAAAAAAAATTCAACCTAGCCCTTACAGTACTGGCCGGTATTGCTCTCCCGACAACTTCTATTTACAGATACAGATTTCTTTCAGAGGTTATTGACCATGGGTTACCAAACTTTATTTTTAACACATAGCGCTAATTTTTTTTTGCCTGTGCAAACCTTGACAATAGTCAAAAAAATTAAACAGTACAAAATTAACAAATATGATGAAAAATTTATGGGGAATTGGACTTTTATGCCAGATCCAAAATTAAAGGGCGGAAATGGATGAATCAAAGTGACAATCAAAAATATGAGTTATCCTTTAAGAAAGCTTTTTCTATTCATTCCATCTTCACCCTCCTTTCATGGACCCCTCAAAAAACTATTTCTTGGACCACTTGGAGTCCACGGAGTTTAAGAACCCCTGTATTAGCTTATTATATTAACTCCAAAAAATCTACTCTTCGATTGTTTAGTTCGGGGTGTGCAACTTGCGGACCAAATTTATACCACAAGGAAAAATTGTGCGACCCACATTAGCCTATGTGAAATGAAGATGCGGCCCTTGGTTTCACTTAGTTATTCGTTTCTGGCACTCCTGTAATAAAGGTTGCACACACCTGATTTAGTTGAAAGCTCTCAAGACCTACTTTTTTATACAAATGAGTTAAAAAATTATTGCAATGACATGACATTGTTGTACTACTATTAAACATCTTTCTCGGCTTATTTTGAAGCACTGAGAAACTCAAATGGATTTCAAACTTATTTACAAATACATAGGCAAGATTTAATCAATTATTTAAATAAAATGAAATCATAGGAAATGATAGTTAGCAGCAAACATAAGGAATTCAGCATTAGCTTTAATTTTCTAAGGATCATAATCCTCCTGTTTCGGTATAATTATAATGCTTCATATATCACTGAAGTCAAAATTTTTCTACGCATGACACCTTTATCAACTGAAAAGATTAAAAGATAAGGTAAATTAACACACAGAAAATGATAATTATAAAGTTCTTTTTAATCCCTCAAACATGAAACTTTTCGGTCAATATTTATATCATAGGTAAAGTATGGGATGAGTATTCATTGAACATATTTATGGTCCAGATTAAATAGGCAACAATTTTCTGTTACAAAAAAAAAGCTAAATTTAAGACTCAAGTTGAAATAAATTGCACACAAATACCCAATCCTACAGATCGCTAATCTAAATTGTTGTTAAATGCTCTTGTTGGCGAAAAAAAGGCCTTTCCCTCACCTCCCTTCATTTTCTAAATTCCACTAGTTGAAGATCTGTGGTGTTTCACAAACTGCTATTATGACTTTTATATTTTCTCTTGTTTCCATCGTTTCACCCTAAATCTTACGTATATTATTAAACATGATCTAACTGCATGAAATTTCCACATGATTGTTATTAATGATCACATGACAAACAAACATATGTTTAAATGAGCAAAGTTACAGGGGACTCAGTCAGAAGTAGAAAAGACTCCTTTTTGAGCAAAATTATGGGCGCTCACACAGAAGTCAAGGACATTCATTTTTAAGCAAAGGTATAGGCACTCAGTCAGACGTAAAGGAGATTCATTTTTGAGCAAAGTTATGGGCACTCAGTCAGAAGTAAAGGAGACTCATTTTTGACCAAATTATTGGCCCTTACTCAGAAGTGAAGGAAACTCATTTTTGAGCCAAGTTATGGGCACTCACTCAGAAGTAAAAGAGATTCATTTTTGAGGCATGTTATTTGCACTCACTCAGAAGTCAAGGAGATTCCTTTTTTAGCAAAGTTATAGGAACTCACCCAGAGGTAAAGAAGATTCATTTTTGAGCAAAGTTATGAGAACTCACCCAGAGGTAAAAAAGATATTTTTTGAGCAAAGTTATGGGCACTCACTCAGGAGTAAAGGAGACTCATTTTTGAGCAAAGTTATGGGCACTCACTCAGAAGTAAAAGAGTTTTCCGACCTCCAGTCATACAGCCTAGCTGATACGGTCTAACTTGAAAATTCCCTGCAACTGCCCTGGAAATTGCCGTAGAAAATTGAATTACGGTGCGTCATAATTTGCAGTTTAATAAAATGGTGGTGTTTATAGACAGAAATTATTGTGCCCACATGCAAACGTCAAGGCGCATATTAGGCACAGTAGTATATAAAGTTTGGCGACCATTGGCCTATAATAAAGTAAACATTTTTCGTCCTAATTTAGTAAACCCAGCTTGTAGGCACCCACTGATGCTTAGTTTTAAGCTGGCCCAATTTTTCAATGATTTCTTCTGACAGTTGGTTAGTTGGAGCCATATCCAATGTGGTGTCGATATATCTGGAATAATGCCTTTCAATGTCTTCATTGGAATGATTGAATATCTGAAATATGAAGTGAAATTAAGTAAACTTGGGAAACATAAAATCTAATACTTGCTTTTGAAAGTAATATTTCTTGTATGACGATTTTGTAAGGAACTACTATATTTTAGAACAATGGTTCCCAAACTTTTGGAATTTTTCAAGTCTCGCGTTCCACCCCAAAAATTAACAAGCTAACAATAAGCTACAAATAACAGATCGTAAGGCGAAAGTATGTTTAGTTAAAAGAATTCGCTGAAAATACTTGGATGGAACGTAAATAACCAAAATAAAGAATTGTAAATATCCAAAATAAAGCGGGAAATATCAAATCTAACAAACGGTGCGCCCCGCCCCCACCGTTTAAAAAGCACTATTTCAGAAGGAATAAAATCTTCCTTGTTCAGTATTCTTGCCCAATTTATTACAATCTGGGTGAAGTGGTGGCCATAAGATAAGTTGAATAGATGTACTTGGGTTACTCAGTACTTTTTTATATGCATTTAATTCTGAACAATAATGGCGGATCATAAGAAAAATTTGATCTTTGCCAGTCAAGCATTTATCAAGTATTATTGTGGCCTTTTGTGCAACCAGTCTTGGACCCGCATGGTACTCAACTCTAGTATAAACTACAAATACTCACATTCTCTTCAGGAGGAGACTCAAGATCTTCATTTGATTTTAAAAATACAACAAATGGCATAAACTCAGATGTCCTCAACAACTTGAGACACTGCGATTAAAAAAAAAACATAGGAACAAAAAATGTTTTGTTTAAAACTTGGTATCATGCGTTGAGAACTTAAATAAAAATTCAGTATGTAAATGAGAATTGAGCAAGATTTTATGTCATGTAATTAAGACATTTTATTGACTTCTTCTCTTTGAATAAATAAGAAAATCATATCCTATAAATTATGCAAGGCAGAAAAATTATTTAACATCCACCTGTGGTGTTGCAGTCATGACACACGTTTTCCCTTCCTTTAAAATCTCTCTCGCAGCCGTTAACTGAGGATTATAGAAACTTTCAGATTGCTCACCTAAAAAACACAAAAGTTATATCCAGTGAGTAAAACACTCAGTCAAAAGTGATGAGGCACCACTGTGGGATAGCATTGAGTTATTATCAGCATGGGAGTGCAAGAATTGGTTGATGATTTCAAAAGGTTGAGTAACACTGCACCTTGCTAATTGGCATAGAATTTTTCGACAGTAATCAGTATTTATTTTTTTAACATAATGAAAGTACACCTCATGCGCACAATAAAATGAAGAAACTTGAATACGACATTTCAGGGTGAAAGGTGGTGCAAGAAACCAATACTGGTTAACGAACAGTGACACACAACACAGGTATAATTAAATGAACTAGAATGTGCATCTAGTATTAGCCTGACTTAAAAAATGGTCCCTTTTTCTCCGATAGACCAAGAGTATTTTATATTTCTTCTATCTCGCATGTGTTTACCACGGAAGTCATAGTTAGAAAACTTGAATTCTGAATTTCTACACCATAGGGTGAGGAGAAAATGCACTATATGTCTCAGGCGGCAGTTAGTGGAAAGAGGCGAAAACAAGCTTTCCAACGATACATGAGTGAATTTTCTGGCACGTTTGGACAATTTTAGGAGTGGTATAAGAAGTCGCTCAGGACAATCAGAAAAGAAGCGTTAAAGGCTCGAGTCATTGCTTTAAATAATATTTTATATGAAGAGGAAAAAACAAAATAGGAATCTGACTTACTGTGTAACGTAGTTGAAGAACTGGACCCATTTGTAGTTGGAGGCTCAATAGCTGAAAATAGAAATAAAACTGTAGGCAATGTGCCCAAAGTCACGTTTGTAAGTAGATAGAGCTGGCAAATGTTAAAGTGCCAAAGGATTTATAGCCAACATTTTTTATCTAGGAATCAAAAGCAACAGGCAAAGTGAAATTATTTTAGAGCCAGGTAAAATTTTTGCCGACTAGGATTTTTCAATTTTCCAACAAAGTTGGGCGCTCCAGAAGTATGTGCACCAAGATGGCACACAACCTGAACCCTAACCTGGTACACATACTATTTTCAGGATATGCGCCATCTTGGTGCACATACTTCTGGAGCTCCCAAAGTTGAATGAAATGTTTTTATTGCTTATAGTTTCACTGTTAGACGTTAGTATTTGACTCACTTTTCTCTGATTTTCCATAAATATCTGGATTGCTTTCCACAATAGTTTGAGTAATTCCATCAGCGACTGTTCGACTTTGTATCAAAAGTACAAGCATTTTTCGTGAGAAAGGTGGAATGCAGGCAACCTAAATACACAAGTGCTGGTTAACGAATTCCATAAACACTTTGGACTAGAAACCAGGTAAAGGGCCACACCTTGCTATTTGATAATGTTGTCTTATCATGACTGAATGAACACAAAATTATGAATAATATGTACACTATCGGCATCAATGGTTGTGATTTATGACTGCAAAACCTACACCTCTTTCTACACAGCAAGTTCATTTTTAAGTCCATGAATCTCAAACATATAACTGGTTAACCGATCCCATACTCAACATGGACTGGTAACCTGAAGAGAGGCTGTAGTCCGTCATATGATTAAGTTGTGTTATCGGCTTTCCTTTCCCCAAGATAAAAGACTTGTCCAAATATATTCTAATATTTGATCCTTTACAGACATCAACGGGTGCTCCCGAAGTATGCGAACCAAGATGGCGGACATCGGAACGTAACATGGGTAACAGGTTAGGGTTAGGCGATATTGTTTTTCCAATTTTCCTTATTTTAGTCCTATTATCAGTTCGGAGACTAGCCAAGAGCCTCCCGTAGTATTTATACCTGAAATTATGGCCTAACCCTAACCTAGTACACATATTACATTCCGATGTCCGCCATCTTGGTTCGCATACTTCGGGAGCCCCCATCAATGGATGTAAATTTTAACTTCAATCTCCCCACCTCTTCATAAACAGCAATATCATGTTTATCAAAAGCAGCATTTTGTGAAGCATTGTACATTGTTCGCTTGGATTTCAATTTGCGAGATTTCTTCTTCTCTGAAAATAAAACCAGATTATATAAATTGGTTGATATAAAAAGCAGAAAGCATTCTTTAAATGTAATTAATGGCCTTCAAGATGCGGCTTGGTTCATATATAAATGTGAAACATGGTGCATCCACCCTCTCAAGCTGGCAGGTGTAGCCTACGGTTTGAAGTGTTAGACTAAACCGTGTTGGCATCGTAGGTTCCGTATCCCGGGTCAGATCCCAGTATGCTGAACCGCAAAGATTTCGGGCCTTCTAAAATAATAGCTCCTTAGATACCAGTGGATGCCTGGGCAGGGCCTTGTAACGAAACAGCGTTCGTTGATGAGCATCTGATAACAAAACTGGATCACTGGAGCTAAGTTTGTTAAATGTTACAGCAGTGTTAGTTACATTGGAGTGTTTTTTTACAAGCAGTCAATTTGACTTTTATCGTCTGAACAAAATGACACAAACTCAAACTGTCTAATCGTAAAAAATATTTGGCTCGAGATATATAATAGATATATAATTTACTAAGCAATAACTAGAAATAAGAAATGCTAATTCTAAAATAGCACTCTTTTTTGAGAATCTTTCCAACTATCCGAGCTCCACAAAGAAAATGCCAAAAAACTGTGCAGCAAGATTCTTGTAGCACTCAGGATAGTTATCTTTACTCTTGCTACAGCATCCTTGCATTATTCGCATACGTCTCCGCCGGCACAAAAGCTTAAAAGAGGATAATTAGTTAGTCCCGCAGAAATCAGATCATTACCTGTTAATGTGTTCTTTTTAATTTCCTTCAGTGCTCTTCTTTTTTTCTTCAAATGATAAACTAGGAATTAAACCTGCTCTTCCACGAGCTTCCCCCTTGTTGTTTACCCTTTGAGCCTACAGAAGGTCAAGCAAATCTTCGAATTAAATATGTTTTATGGGACAATGATTGACAAGCAGCCAGGTTTCTAAGTCACACTATATTAAGTCTCGAAGCCTCAAATATTTTATTTAATGAGGTTCTAATTAGGTATGTAGGGTGAGACAAAAACATCCCACATTTCAAAATTCTTTATGGATTAAAAAATGGAATATGAAAATTTGTTAGCCTCATCCTGCTTAATAATGGCATTAAGAGCTTTTATCAAAATTCAAGGTTTACTCGAGAGCTGCTCAGGCACTATGTAGTGTTCATGGTTTGATGGTCATTAATTGAATGATTTAGTCCTGCGCGATATAAATGCGCAAATATACAGTCAAGGAGAACAGAAGGACATTACCAATCATTAACAACGTGACTGCATGATGTTGGTTCTATTCTATGGTTTTATTCACTGTTGGATAAAGTTGCATACTGAATTGTAGCAGTAAAAGCTTCTTATTTTGCGGCAAATTTTTTGTGTTGCTTTGGGGGAAGGTTAGCAAGATAGGGAACTAAAGATAGAAGCGAGAGACAACACACGTATTTATCAATTTGCCAAACCAAGTATCTACTTGAGTTAGATGCTGTGCAGAATTTGAAAAATTCAAGATTTTGTTTAAATTATTTTCCTTATACATTCTTACCTGCCACCAGTCTGAATCTTTTTGATCTACAACTTGAAGAATATCTCCTTTTTTAAAACTTAATCCGGCTTCAACACATGGAGATTGATCATCTTCTTTCGGATCATAATTAATATGGCATTTGATATAAAGCTAAAAGCAAGAAAAATGATTTAATTTTCAATTATGTATAATTTTATAAAGATCAGCAGACAAGAGATAAATATAGACAAGAGATACATTTTTAAAATAATTTTTACAAAGAAAGGTGGTGTTCAATCGCTAATTAAGAAGTGAAGGAAAGTCATTTCTGAGTAAACTCACTGCTATGAACGACAACAGCTACTAAACTAACCAGTATAACAGCGATTACATGCTATCAAATGACAATTGATGCAAGATTTTTTACGTTAAAGTCCCAAAGTTTAAACATCGATTTTTATCAAAAGAATTTTCTCAAAAAAAGATCAAGCGCAGTGGCTCAGAAGCAAATTGAAGAACCATAGATATAATATCTCTAAGAAGTTACTAAAACTATATAGGAATATCATGGTTCCGTATATGTAAGTTAACACAGTGGAAGCTACTTTTCCTAAATCATTATTGTACGATGGTGAAAAAATATATTGTTGGGTGGTGATAGTGAAAGTATTCTAAGTCCAGCCAAATTTGGAATTTATTAAATACAGGAAAATTCAGAAAAAAATATAAAAAGTAGTTTCAGGAAACCGTTAAACCCAAGATTTATCAGCATATGAGAAAACATTAGCACTGAGTTAGCCAGGGCAGTAGGGCACACATGATTTTTTGAAGTAAAATATTTTTGTCGGAGGTGCATGCATAGGCGCTATAAAACTCTCAAAGATGTTGTTTGTTTGATTTGTTTATTTTTCACACCAAACAGTAGCAAGTACCTGCTATAAAATATGTAGTCAATGTATATTTAATTAACCAGTTGTGATAGACTGCTGTGTTTACATTGTACACAATATAGTACAACGGGTTTGCTAGTTAGGCATTTGCTACTACCATGTTTCCCTGAAAATAAGACCTAGCCTATATTTTAAAAATGATTTTAATATAAGCCTTTCCTTTAAAAAAGACCTGGTGGATAAAGACCCTGTCTTATTTTTGGGGTAACACGGTACAACCCTCTGCATTGACCCCCTAAAAACGACCTTAAAAAGGTGAATTTATGAAAATTTGCATAATAAGCGGACCCTACAAATTGTCATTTGCACAAATTGTCAATTGCACATATCACAGCAAATGGTTGCATAAGAGAATTACAAGCCTAATTTTTAGTGCAATCTGGCAATTTTTTTTCACTTTCAAACTTGGCTTATATGAAAGGATTTATGCTATTTCATCGAGCAGGGGTTTCAGGAGCCTCCTAAATGTTTCATTAGGATTCCGCTCATCCAAAATGGTTGAAAACCACTGCCATAAAGCGATATTCACTCTAAATAAGAAACATTCATAACAAATAAAATGTCACCAGTTTAGGAGGTAAATTTTCTTCATAACTTGGTAATATTTTGAAGACAACGAGGCCTGATGTTTTTAATAAATATTCCTGCAATTTCTTCGGATCGCCACCAAGAGAATTCCCGTTCACCTCCATGATGATGTCATCTTAAAAATAAATGTACAGTCAAGTTTGTTCCGGGGATGTACGGAACGAATCGAAAAATCCGAAATGAAGGCGCTCTAGAAGTGTGTGTACCAATATGGAGGTAACTAATTTTGTTCGCCTACTCAACATCAAGTTGTGTGAAGAGACGGAAACCTATGGGCAGGGGGTATATTCACTTGGCTAACACAGACAGTCACCGAACTTGAAACAGAACTAAAATAAGAAAAATCGGAATAAAATTATGCCCTAACTCTAACCTGGTACACACACTACGAAAGTACCGGAATTAATTATATGCAGTATTCTAAATTTTTAATTTTATTAATAATTTAAAATAGTTGAAGTGCTTTATTCTAATATTAGAACCTGGGCTTATTTAAAATATGGATTCAGATAGTTTATTACGTTTTAGTTTAATTTGAAGGGAAATCTCAGATCAGAGAGTTTCCCAGAATAGTTTATATGCTACCTATGGCACAATTTGGCAAGTCGATATGACATATGACTTACTTTGATGAAATAGTTTGAAACTTTGAATAGGCAACACAGAATTGTGGTTTTAGAGTTTTTATCATGACATCACGGACTCCGAAGATTCAACTCCGGGCCATTATTCAGATTCTCTGTACATATCTAACACTAGCATCATCACATCCCTAGTGAAAACATTCTTTTCCTCTTCCATAGTTAAAGAAAGGTTACTCCCGAAGTATGTGAACAAAGATGGAAGACACCAAAATATAGTATGTGTACCAGGTTAGGGTTAAGCCATAATTTTAGGTACAAATACTACGGAAGTCACTTGGCTAGTCCCCGAACTCGAATTGGACTAAAATAAGGAATATTGGAATAAAATTATGGCCTAACCCTAAACTGGTACACATACTTTGTTCCGGTTTTCGCCATCTTGGTTCACATACTTGGGGAGTACCAGAGAAAGAACTAATAGAAATATCAAGTTACACAAAACTTTCAAAATTATCTTACCGACATGTAGAAGGCCTTTCTTTTCAATTTCACTTCCATGTAATATTCTTGCTATTTTCAATTCATTTCCTTCCTTTGCAACTGTTAAACCCTGAAAAATATGGATCAGTGTGATGGTTGAAATAAATACTAGTAAATATTACGGGTCCGAATATCAAGACAATGACAAAATTGAAAGAGAGAAAAGAGGGAGAGATTTATAAACTCGCCAGCCAGAAAACAAGCATTGAAACAATAAAATATACAACATACGTAAACTAATCCCATACCCAACATGGACTGGTAACCAGATGAGAGGCTAAAACCATATTATTAGGTCGTCTAATCGCCTTTTCTCTCCCCCGAGATAAATATGTAAATAAGAACCTAAGTCAAAAACTGTAACATGCATCCATAAACCACTTAAAAAATGCTTGTTCGTAAAGTTTTGATTTTTATTACAATAATAACTTACCAATGGTTCCCAAGACTTCTTGTATAATCCAACCATTCTTATTGCTCTTGGAATGTTAGTTTTCTTCTCTAGTCCTAAAAAATGTATAAACAATAAAGCAAAAGATAATGTGTATCAACACTTTTATATCAGAATAAGGTTTTTCCTGTCAGGCATTAATAATGGCATGGTACTGATCGACTCCCTGTCAGTGGTGGATACAGACTAAAGTTGATCATAACTCAAAATTTCATTCTATCCCCCACTTCATTACCTAACTCGAGAATCGAGTAAGCAAGATATCGCTTTCCGTGTGTAAATGCAATTGTTTGCAAATCTTTGCGTGTAAATTCTTCAAATGAGCAATTATTAAAATGGAATAAATCTTCTTATTTATCCAGGGTGAAAGCAAAGATATTATGTTGTATGGGATCAGTTAAATAGGTTTGATGTTGAAGTAACTAGATCTTACCATCAAACTTATGATTTCCATTTGTATCAGTATTTGTTCCATGAAGTTGTTCGATATTAGTTTTGTTCTTGATGCCAACGTCATCTTGACATTTCAAAAGACTCTAAAAATTGGATAAAAAATTCTTTCATAAAAGAACCTCATAGATGTTCTCGTAAACATATTAACTCGAACTGCAAATATCACTCAAATCAGTTCTTACTGGCTCACCATGCATCGATAGAACTCTATATAGTTTCAGTAGCATTCCAGTATTGTGAAGAGCCCATTATATTAAAAATTCATTATAAAGTTTCTAAGCTAATTCCTGAGAATTGTATTAAAAGTAAAAATCTCAAACATTAGTATTTTTGAATTTGTATGCCAATCTGTTTCTACTCAACTCCAATACTCAGTGGCCACATTAAAACTCGTAAGGAATTACTGAGTGTAAAAAGAAAGAAAAACGCTACGGCACAGTTTTTCGATTCCAAGAATAGCCCCCGTATTAAACGACATCGATTATAATAGTGAGGGCTAATCCCTCTTTTACGAGACGGTCCGCACTCACCAGTAGTTGCACAGGGATAAATCTCCTTTACTTATGAAAAAATTTCAGACCTCCTGAAGTATACGCACCAAGATGGCGCACAACCTAAACTCAGGTTGTGTACCAGGTACCAGGTTAGGGTTCAGGTTATGCGACATCTTGGTGCGCATACTTCAGGAGTACCAAAATTTCTTTCTAAATAAAAATAAAACATACAGTGAAATGTGGTTTGGTCAGAAGTATCTTCAATTGTTCATATAATTCATCTTCTGGCAATTCATTCACATATTCCATGATTCTTTGAGATAAATCTAATGAATCTGTACGAATTGGTGAAATCTTCTTTTCTGCCATTGCTTTATGAGCCTGAGGAATAGAAATAATCTAAACTTCACACGAAATTTACTTGTGATCAAATCAATTTAAAAATCTAGTTATGATTGTATGATGATATGATTGCAACTATCATTATTAATGATTCAAAATCAAGAGTCTTGTTGCACACTAACACAAATATATTTCTGTAACGTTTCTGTTTGTCTGAAGAAGTCTGACCTTGGTCAGACGAAACGTTACAGAAATACATTTGTGTTAGTGTGCAGCAAGACTCTTGAATCACTTAGGTTGTCATCTTTACTCTTGCTACAGCATCCTTGCATAGTATGCATACGAATCCGCCGGCACAAAAGCATAGAAGAAGGATGAGTAGTTAGTCTCGCAGAAACCAAATCATTAACCCATCATTATTAATGATATGATTATCTTAACCCTAACATTTTGACAGACACACCATGTCCCCTTCTTTTTACAAATTTAATATTTTTTTTGAAGTATTATACTGGCAACTGGAATTTACAACAGAGCTTAAAACTAGCTTGAAATACAAACTACCCGAATTGCCAGAATGAAAGAAAACAACTAGCATTTGGGTGTATTTACTTTTCATACCCAACCTACACTTGTTTATAAAGTTTTTTTTAAAAAGTCCTATGCAAGTTTCGTGTTTTAATGACAATTATAAACTTTTCAGATTTTACAATCAAGTTGAAAAATACGCAGATTATATAACAGGTTGTTATCACACATTGTGTATATGAAGTGTATCTCAATAGAACACTCTACTTTATCAAAGTTGAAGCTTTAACGTGAATAACTACATAGTTATGAAAGCTACAGCATTTAGCTTATCAGATAACCGTGAATAAAAGAAAATATTTTTTTATTTGGCATTCTGGATTCGATTTAAATATAGAATAGTTCAGAGTGAAAGATTTTTTTGAATAGACCATCCCTACAAACACAAGTGCAGTTTTAAGCACTTTATGGCGTCTGAAGCTGACACAAAACCATGGAAATTCCTATGGTCAAACCATAGCCGACTTTTTAGCCAACACAAACCAATGGAGTGAGGCGGGGTACCCTGAAGCAAAGTGAAAACCATGGCAGGTAAAATTGCGCTGCCACAAACCAAGGCATGTAGGCTGTAATGGCAAGACTGCCCCTGATGGTGACAAACTTTGGGTAAGTTAGAACATTTTCTTTATGAATATAGTTTTGATGGATTCAGGGCTAGGTTTCAGGTTTAAGTAGATATAGATTTGCATGATAATTTGAAATCTGGTACATGACTTTGTGAATATATCGGTAATCGCGACATAAAACCATGGTTAGTGGCAGGAACTGCCATGAAGTGGTAAGAACTGCGCCTCTACAAACACCTCACCTTTGCAAGAGATTGTACAACAGGATTATTTGCAAGTGCTTCAATCTCTTTTACTTTACTTTCTTTTGACATTATATTGACCTCTTTCAACTCATCAATCCCGGAAAGAACATGCCTCACATCTGCCAAAATGTAATTGCTGTTTTAACAACAATACAAAATCATATTTTTTGTTTTAGAATCAATTTTTAAATAAACTTAAATGCAGAAATAGTAATGATAGCTCTATACAGCTATGTGAAAACAACCGAAATGTCATGAGAAGTATTCAAAATAGTATTGATAAACTGAGATCTTTTTGTAAAGCCTCGTGTATGAAAGAGATACGATTTACACAAGGTATTCATCCCAGAAAAGAGAAATGTCGATAAAACAGCTTAATCATATGGCAAATCACGTTTTGAAGCATTTAACCAAATGATTGAAATTGTAGCTATGTCTGTATGTAGTAACTGCACAAAGACGATATCTGCCTTGATACTGAGATTAGCAATAGAAAAATCGGGCAATCCCGATACCGTACTGCCATAAATCGACTGGTGCTCGTAATATGTACCGCATCTAAAATATAGGTCTACGTGATTTACGTACCTCCAAGACAATACAGCAATAAGTGCTGTGTAATTTACACCGGTACATCTCTTATTCTACCGGTATTTTACCAACCTGTAGTTTGGTCATGGCCATTTTCAATCTTGTCCGTCATTATGAAAGTACAATCCCGCAGGTGTCAAAATCCCCAATGACTGAATGTGGCAGACCGGGTTCGGAATTTTCTTTTCCGTAATGGCTGACTAGCGAAAAGGGAAATACCCGAGTCACGAAATAAGTGATGTGTGACTGATTAATTACTTTCGCTTAAGAGGGGGTAAATGAAAAAAGAATAGCGAAGAGAGAAAGAGAGAGTTTATTTCATTGAATTTAAATTGCAAAAATATAAAAATGATCGCAACGAAATAAGTTGGAGCGTAGGTATTCAATGATACCAATTATTTGGGTAATTTGTGTACTTACGCGGCGGTGTGGCTCAACGGGCTAAGCGTTAGGAATACGCTCGCCACCGCACCTCTAATTACTCTGCGTGGGTTCGCAGGTTCGAATCCCATGCAGGGATGGTTATGTGCGAGAGGATTGCTGGACTCCTCGCCGTCGTTGGGTGGTTCACGTAACCGCTGGTCGGTTACGGCTTCCTCCACCACCTAGTCCATGCTTCCGAAAACAAACAATACAGTAAAAACTAATCCCATACCCGACTTGGAATGGTAACCGGACGAGAGGCCGTGGTTCGCCATATGGATAAGCCGTCTTATCGGCTTTCCTCTCCCCCGGGATAAATATGTAAATCCTATCCTATCCTATCCTATCCTAAAAACGAATGTATGTAAAACAGAACATGCAGGATTTTGAACAAGCAAACATGGGTTGTGTTATATTCTGTTATACACATACAAGTGCAATAAATTCAGAAGCCACGTCAGATTTATGGTGTAAGCAATACGCTTTCTGCTGGTCAAAGCCAAGCATGCAAATATTTCAGTAAATTGTAGACTTCGTATAAATGTATAATAAAAGATTCAATATAATCAATACAATCGATATCGAAATATCAATCAAGTGAATGAAAAAACACACGGTTGGCTTTATATAGGAACAAATAAAATGCAACATTTTATAACACCATTTCAACTGCTTTTGGACACTTTGAGTATAAACATTAAATAGAAGTGTTTTTACACAAAACTTGAACATTTATTAGTCCAGGCCAGCGTTTCCCAAACTGTGTTCCGCGGAACACTAGTGTTGTGCTAGCATCTTCCGAGTGTTCCGTGGAAAAGGGATCAAAATTACGACTAGATTGGTCGCCATGGCTATTTCTTTGGTTTTCTTATAGACAAACACAGCATCGGTATACGCAACTTTTGGGAACCGCTGCATTACACCATTTTTCTTTATCAAGTTTACCCCATTTTTTGGTGTTCCGGGAGACTAGATAAAAAGCAAAAGTGTTCCGTGATCAAAAAAGTTTGGGAAACGCTGGTCCAGGCCATTCATACAATTTTTTCAGTAATTAGTAATTGTTGGATTAATTTATCAAAGATTGAACAAGGAGCTCAATGAAGAAGTATTGACATATGATTACCAAATCAAGGGTTGATGGGAAAGAGCTAATAGGTTGGCATAGTAACTTTATAACAGAATGTAACATTTCATAACACAATTTAGGAGGAAAATTTAAATGTGAACATTTATTAATAGTAATAAAAATCAAATCAGTAATAATAATCAAAAACAAAAACAAGAGAGCCATGCTCAAATATATAGACACGTCACAAGGTGCCGCTATTTTTTATTCTGACACATAATAAACGAATCTCTTGAAGTCCATAGAAATTTTTGAAATAAGTAAAAGTAATAGCTTTCTGGCGAAAAAAAATCAATTTTTAACCACTGAAAATTTCAAAGCAATTGGTCCAGTATTCGAAGAGAAAAGCGATTTTATAATGACGAAGGAGGAAAAAAACAACAACAACATATTATTAAAACAAATCATAAGTCCACTAACGTGTCCAATAATGGGCTCAGGTTACCGTGGAAGTGTCATGAATGCAATATAAGCTTGGTATATCACATTTATAAAATAGAAAACGAAGGATGTAACATTTTATAACACGATTTGGGACACTTTGAATATGAACATTTAATAAAAGTTGGCTAGTTGGCTCTCATGATTGTTTCCTGGACATCAGCATATTATTGTTAATATATATCCGCGTTTCATCGAAATCGACGTGACGATCGTAATATTGTGAATAATTGGCGCTCCCGAGGTATGTGCACCAAGATGGCGTACAACCTGAACCGTACCTGGTGCCCATACTTTTGGAGGTCCAAATAATTTGTAATCAGCGCTTTATTTTTTCAACGTAAAGAAAATACACGTTGTACATACATGATGTAGAATGGTCTAATATGTATTTTCATTTGATTTCTGATTTTTGAAAACAAGTGCCGATTCTCTTTATGGGTTCGCGGGAAGTCAAAGTCGTTCAGATCTACCGTTTTAATCCGCGCTGTACCGTTTTTTGCTCCATATATATGGTAAGCCTATGCATGCTGTCTATATGGCAGCCCAGCAGCCTTTTACATAGCAAAAACTGATACCTATATTCCAGAGATTTCAACCATTTTTGAACCGCGAAACACTTCATATATCTATCCCAAATAAAACACCAAATTAAATTTCCGAGTTTTGCACCGGTTCTATAGAACCGTCTCACGGAATTTTATGAAATCAGCGAACCGGTTAGCATTACTGGTTACTGGTCAATGTTCTGTTGGTAACAAATCCGGCTGAACAATATGACTTTTGTGAAAGAACCGGCTGACAAAAAATTTGAATTCCACTACTGGTTATTAGGTGTATGTTTTTTTTTTAAATATCTGTCCACCATCTGACAAAATCAAATGTCGCTGTTAATTGAATGTTTATTTTGTGATATTGCGATAAACCAATGAGAATATATATACAATGAGTGGAAACTTCCAAATATTTGCTCATTAATCCATTGTCCCCTGCATTTTTACGTCGTCCAGCTAAATGGTTCGTTGCATATGAAGAAATCACATCCGTTCGCTGCAAAAATCCCTTGTTTCAGCTGGGTCGAGTGCGAAATGGCCGTATTGAGGCTTTTAACTTTTCTATTCGTGTTCGGTTTTGGGTTTCGAAGTATGGTACGTTGAAAGCATACTAACTCGGAGCATATGCATATTGGGAATACATTTCTATTAGGCAGAAACCGTAGATACAGAACAGAATATGAATCAGTCGCCACGTGGGGTGCGGTTATTGCTGTATTTATTCATTGATATAACATGGGACTTACATGTTTATCCAGGGGAGAGGAAAGCCGATAAAGCCGAAAGCCTAATGAATGGCTAACCACGGCCTCTCCAAATAGCTCTGTGCTCCACATGAACCCCCAGGCTGCCTGGACATTGTGAGATATTCGTATACTTATTAAAAATACTGATTTTAACTATAAATTACTCTGGGATATCTTGCCATTGAAATTTAAAAATTGCCATTTTCATGTCTTGTGAATTTACACAAAAAAGTTTGTTTTTTTATTTTAATATTTAGAGTACATTTTGTTATCAATTATGATTTTTGCATGTATATTATTTAAATTCAACGATCCTTCAAATAGTCATGTATATAGATACTGTTGATTTGGATGCAATTATACTTTTGTAATCAATATTGAGATATAGAATTTTAACAAGGGTCGCAGCCAGGATTTTTCCAACGGGGTGGGGGGCATACTGTGAAATTAAAACAGTGCGCCAAATGTTCAATTCACGATGGCGTGAGGCGAGTAATAAATTTAAAAAAATGCGTCGTTCACAGCGAAATTCCACAGTCACGTGTAGCTCGCCTCTGTTTTCTTGACGGTGTTTGGTGAATATATACAAAAACACGCTCGCGTGTAGTGCCGATCGAATCATGAAATGTGGAAATTTTACTCGGAATTTGATGCTAACAAAGTTGATTTTTTATTGTCATTTATTGATTATTTACATGTGCCGTGATTAATGGTGGGCAAACCGTATTTTATTTATATAAAATTATTCGAATATTTTAACGAACATCGGCGAAGATGTTAAAGACAACTATTAAGGAATGTATTCACAACAAAAATTAATTTTATTCTGATTTTTATCTTCTGTGTTGGATTTGTATCGCAGATACGGTCCCAATTTTGAGCAAACAATAGTATCATTACTGACCCTGGGATGCGATATTTGTGAAGCTGATAGTTGACATTTTTATGTTTTAATTTTATATCGTTTCCGTGTTACTTTCATATTAAATAACAATTAAAAAACTCCGCAAATTGGTAATCTCTAGAATACTCAGTGTTGAGTATTCACGTAACTCAGCTTTGGTTTAAAACACTGATACTTAACACGTGAATAAATCAGCAATAATGGCATTTCTACGTGGTCAAAATATTATTTCTCCGCAATATCTCGGGAAATTTGCATAGAATACATTATTCACATGCCTTGCTTATCTGATTCAACGTTTCTAAATTTACAAAAACGATGTTGACGTGATTTACGCAAAATTAGAAATTGAAAAATATGATGGCACAAAAATGACACGAAATAAAAAAGTCTCACATTCATCGTTTCTGTCTGTTGGCGATAGCCGTCGGTAAATTTTACGTAACTCGTTGTAAATTTATGTTAATAAATTCTATTTTGCTTTTCAATGCGCCCTGCTTTGTATTAAAATAAAAGGAATCGGGAAGAGAATGTCCTGAAACTAGCTCATAACCCTTTTTTCATTTCGAAAGGCCATAACGGCGGTTACATACGCGTTACTGAATAACAGTCAACAATCCCGCATTCTTATTTGTCATTATCAGCGCCAACTAAAAAAATAACATATCATGAAGATAAAAAAGTATGGCGGTGTTAATTGCGCCGCGGTGATAATACGCAGAATAATATCGTTTTGACGAAACCCTAATGCGCGACCGTAAAACGACGGTGCTGCTTTTTTGTGGAAGAAGTTTCGCATGAAAATTTTTTTCAAACCAAAGGGGGGTTAAGACCAGTCGTGGGATTTAGCCCGTTCTATAGAACCGTCTCACGGAATTTAATGAGATCAGCGAATCGGTCAGCATTACTAAAAAAACATGTAACAGAACCGGCCGAAAACTATGACTTTTGTGATGGAACCAGCTGACAAAAAATTTGAATCCCACCACTCGTTACGACCCATGTAAAGGGGGACGTGGGGCTTTGTATTCATTGATATAAGATGGGGTTAACATATTTACTCATGTGGAGAGGAAAGCCGATTCCCTGCTATTCTTCTAATTTTTGTCTTCGTTTTTATTGTCAAGATATCCCAGACTGCCAGAGTGGTTTGAAATCGGAGAGCCCTGGGGCTTCTTATGGAGCGCCTTATAAACTATGATTGCGAGAAGCTTGGTTCGCCATATATTTAAGACTTCTTATCCCTTTCCTTTCCCATGGATAAATATGTACCTAAATCCCATGCTATAATCAGAAATAACCGCACTTGATTTCAAATTCTGTGCTATAGCTAATAGATATGCATTCCCAATAAGCATATGTAGCCTATATAGTCAGTATGCTTTCAACGTGCCATACTTCGAAACCCTAAACCGAACACCAATCGAAAAATTAAAAGCCTCAATACGGCCAATTTCGCAACCGGCGCGGCCGAAACGAGGGATTTTTGCAGCGAGCGATATGCTTTCTCCATATGCAACGAACCATTTAGCTGGACGACGTAAAAATGCAGGTCACAATGGATTATTGAGCAAATATTTGGAAGTTTCCACTCATTGTGTATATGCTCATTGGATAAACCGAAGATCTTTGGCGTCATATGTACCCTTTATTAACGAATAGTGTTATTTTAAAATCTCAAAAATTTTCTACAATATGATCTATTGATCATCACAAAATGAATCCTTCGACACCAGATTACTTTACCGTCCGACAGTCTGCAGTTTTAATATCAGAGCACCAGCACATTTCTGCTTGAAATTAGCATATGTCGAATGTCCTGTACGGTCGATAAATGTTCGTATGTTGATCTCCTATAAAAACATTTATCCTCAATACATTTCCATGAATTTTTTATTCTCTTTACACTTTGTGAATGTTCTGTTTCATACTGCAGTTGGACTTGATCATCAGTGGCCTCAACACCAATTAGTCCACCACACTGCTGCACTGTGATTCAGCGTGTTCCATTTTACATCCAAAATCCAGTTGTTTGAGTTTCATGATCTCGTCCCGTAATCTCATATGTATGGTGGCCCATCGTTGTCACGCATAAAATTGAAGAAAAAATAAAAATAAAAAACTCAAAATAAAAGAAAATAAAAAAATAGTTGTGGAAAAACATAAAAAAAAATAAAAAAAAATAAAAAATTAAAATTATAAATAAAAACGAAAATAAAATAAAAACGGAATGAAAAAGAAGAAAAAAAAAAATTGAAAAAAAAAAAACGTGAATAAAAAGAAAATGAAAAGGTTGACAACGATGGGCCGCGCGTTTTTATTTCGAGGAAATTTGCTTCGGCTTGGGACCAACGTTGTCATGCATAATCCTGCGCGCACATACGGTGTTCCCTGGGTTTCTAACTCATTACTGATTTTCTTCAGCAATATTAAATAAATTTAATATGCAACTGTACTATGAATTCTCCATGATACAAGTTCAACTAGAAGTAATATATATAAAATACTAATAAGAGAATATAGAATTGAATACGAAAATTCGAGAAATTTGTTTTTACGTGTAGAAGGTAATTGAATTGGAGAATGCTGCTTAAATGCTCAGTTGTCCGGACACTTGTGCGATACCGATACCGTCTTATCGTACCCGGTGCCCAGCATACAGTCACTCATGAAACGAGTGGGAGTCTGGTGCAGGGGTTCCCAAACTTTCTAGAGTCGGAACCCACTATTTATTACCACAGCTTATGGCGACCCGCTTAACTTTGATTTTCTGATAAAGGAACGCAAAATACCTCTTCCAAAATAAAAACATAGTGTTATTCTTCAAAAGAAAATAAATCTAAATTCTGTCTAAATTTCGGGGAAACACGGTAAGAAGTGCTGTACAGTGTACAAAACTGCTATGCGTGAAAAAGCCACATGGTCATTCTTTAAGTAGCAAATTTTAGTTCTTTTGAGAAGATCGTAAAAAGGAAACTTCCACAGATTAGAATTTAAATTCAATTTAATTTCTTGAAGATTCACGTATTCGAGTCGCCACCAATCCTAATAACCAGTATAATTATCCAAAGCTTTATACATCTTTTCACGACCCACTAAGATTCCTTTTGCGACCCACCAGGGGGTCGAGACCCATAGTTTGGGAACCGCTGGTCTAGTAGAATATGGTGAATCGAGGAATGGATTGAAATAAATGGTTGAGCCCACGCGATTTATTATTCGTCTGGATCGGTACGTTACGGCTGTACGGTATGCCGTACCGGTGCGGTACTGGTATGCCATACGTATGCACATGCCGACATGCACGTTCCATTGAAATCAGGTCTAACCATAATCGCCTTCCAGCCTCATGGTTGTAAGATCAGACAGTAGTGGCTAGAGCCGACGGACGAGTCTACTGGCTGCGTTCAATCCATCCCTCGATACACTATATTCTACTAGCTAGACTATCCGTATCTCCCATTCGTTTCATGAGTGATTGCATGGGTACAGACGGTTCCGGTATCGCAAGAGTGTCCGGACAACTGAGTAGTTGAGCGACATTCTCCAATTCAATTATTTTCTACATGTAAAAACAAATTTCCCGAATTTTCGTACTCAATTCTATATTCTCTTATCATTATTATAAATGTATTACTTCTAGTTGGACTTGTAGCATAGAGAATGTATAGAACATTCCCGTTTTTAATTTAATGAATATTGCTCAAGAAAATCAGTAGTGAGTTAGAAACCCAGGGAACACCGTTTGTGCGCGTAGGGTTATGCATGACAACGTTGGTCCCAAGCAGAAGCAAATTTTCTCTAAAATGAAAACGCGTGACAACGATGGGCCACGAGGCGGCCCATTTAATTTTAAACGCGGAACACCTGAAAGTCCTCCATGGAACACCAGTGTTCCGCGGAACTCCTATTGAAAATCACTGTATGTTCAGCGCCCATTACTATCCCGAATATATATAAATATGACGACATGCGGTATCTTACATTTGCAAATTGAAGACGGTTGTTTAATTTATAAATCAAACGAGTCTGTGGATTGATGCAATCGTTTATTACATTTGTATAGAGGAATTATAGTATGAAATATTTGCATAATTTTTAACAAATCAATACTGTAAAAAATGTTTCCGAATTTCGAGGGTAAAATGTTCGGCTCGATTTTTAATCGGATAGCAGGTTTTTCATTCAGGACTTCTTGAATGTTTAAAATAAAAATAAAATTGGTTAGCGTCAACTTTGGGTATAATGAAAACTTTGTGCGGGGTTCCATTTTAGCCCCTTTAATATATATATACACTTTTCTCGCTTCACAAAAAGTTGTTGTCTTAGTTTTCGTAAGCTGGAGGAACATTGTTGAGTTGCATCATATCGCTGCTTGCGGTTCCCTTCCCCACTGCAAGGCAAAGAGGAAACGAGTGTTATTATAGCAAACAGGATTTTTATATTCATCCCTGAAGAGAGGAAAAGCGGTGGCTCAATCATACGCCGAACCATGGCTTCTCGTCAGATTACCAACCTATGTCGGGTATGAGATTTGTTAATTATTTGTTTCAGATGCAAAATCTTTATTGTGGAGGAAACGGTAACCGACCAACAGTTACGTGGACCACCTTACGGCCGTGGGGATCTCAGCAATCTTCTCGCACAGAATTATCCTCGCGGGACTCGATCACCCTGCGACGGCCAGTCTAGTAATCACCAATTTATATTCATAGGCGATACGTACAGTAGCCGTTTTTTTATTATTTCAATTAAATGTTGAAACAATATAAAGCAACTACCATGCCTCGCTCAGTTGGAAAATAAAACAACACACAAAATACATGCTATTGCACCGCTAAATTTTCACAGTTGCGGGAAACAAAATATTCACCATTATATACAACAGGGGTCCCTAAACTTTTGGTGTTATGGAGCCCCTGAAGACTTTGAATATTATTTACGGAGCATGCGCACACTTTAGAGGGAACATTGCCCCTCATTGCCACATTTTGACGCTACCGTTGACAAATTAAATTAATGGCATGGTTTACCACACCAATCCCTGGGGCTCCGCATGGAGAACTTTTAGAGCCTCTAATATAAGACAATATAATATTACTTACTCCATCGCGTCCATTTAACATTTTCGCAGAAGAGAACATCCTGATTGTATAAAACCATTTTTTCTGATATCTTACTGCCTTTTACGTCCAATTCCTGTGGGAATAATTAAGAAACTGCGTCATGTTAAAATTAACGTGTTAACTTTTAGACATAGCAATATAGTTTAGCTAACAATTGAAATGTCTATAGTTATACAAGCAGAACATCATCATGGCAACGAATAGAAACTGAAAGTCAATATCGGAAATTTCCATCGTCGTCTACAACAGTCATAGCAATTACGAGCTCGTTAAAAGAGCCGCCTTTTTAGCGTATAATGAGTTTTCTGTTGCGTAAAATGTTCAATCCATGACAACTACTAAATTTTAAAATGTCTCTATATATTAATTTAATTGTGTCCAACGTTCCAACGTAGACATTCCTACAGTAGAATACCACGGCGATCTGTGGACATAAAAATATGAGATAAGCTGCCTGATGTATTTAAATTGGATACCTATTTTTGCAATCTTGCGAACTCGTTATCGCCGTTAGAAAAATATTAATATCTGGTATAAAATTTCGTATAATACAATTTTACTTTATACAATGAAAATACATATAAAGTACACCAGTAAATCCAAAATACATATTCACCGCCTCGAATACATGATGTCAAACAGTCACGCCAGTACGCCACTTGTTAAAAGAGCCGACGTTTTCAACCGAAAACGATTATTCTGTTATGCAAAATAATCAATCTATGACCGATTTGGGCATATTTAAAATGTCTTGCTTTACTAATTTAACTGTCTTCAATTTAACCTGTGGTTGTGTCGACAAAACAAGAGTCACTCTTAAACACCACGGCAATCAGCGGACAAAAAATGTGTGGTGAACTGCCCCATTATATATTGTTTTGATCCGTATTTTGTGAATTCGACAAATTTGAGAAGCACCTGTAACACTGACTCCGCTCAATCGCAATGCTGCTCCGATTATTTTCAAGGATAAAACTTTTTGAAAATCTGCTGTAAAATCTCACAGAGTAAAATCTATTTAAGTACAATAAAAATTGATCGAATATACTTTAGATAAATTATCTTATATATATACATATATATATATATATATCATCACAACACGGGGAAATCGCGTTTTCAACTTTGTTTAATGTTAACACGAAAATTTTTGACGGCAATTACAAAGTAATGAATAAAAGGCTAATCCCGCCCACAATTAACCGTGTTTCGATTTAGTGACGACATGTTTCTAAACGCCGATCAAACATAATATGTGCCCTTGGAACACGACATTTTGCGATTTTCAATGCCTATAAAAGCGTTTTTAGACTGTCGTGGCCTCAAAAAAACTTACATACGTTTTATTTTCAGCATTTTATATTGCCGCTTTTCAATCAAAAAATTTTGGTCGTGGATTTACTCCTTCGTTTGTCCTTCGAAACTCAGATGAAAATCAAAAATGCAGGTGAACTAATGCAGATGAACTAATAATAATAACTCTCACTGGATTGCCGATTCCGTGCCAGTACAAAAATAAAATAATCATTATCGTTATCGTGGCACAAATTTGTGATTTAGAGAGAATAAACACCAATATAAAGGCGTTTACTGTGTAAAAAACATGTCAGGATGATGAAAACAATCAGCGATTTTAGCAAAAGGCAATTGCACGCGTTATTGGCCACTTTTTCAGTTTTCAAAAAAACTCGAAGGGGGTCAAAAAAAAAAAGGGACTGATTGGCTGTCAACGTACCCGTCCGATACCGCCTTCACGGTATCCTTCAAATAATTCTGATAAAACTTCAGCATCCATATTGCAGTCTTTCAGATCGAGATGTTTGACGCCAGGATTTTTCAAAATACGACGCAATTTCTGGGCGGCGCCGGCATCAATGTCGGTACTCCCGCTTAAATCGATGTAACAAATCTAAAACGTGAACATTGAAAATAAGAGCAGTTTTGGCTTTCGTGTTCATATATATGTTGTCTAAAGTCTAAACTATCGTTATATTGTTGCCACGATGTCTTATATCTTATACGTTAAATAATTCATGAATGCAATAGAGCAACATTGTACTTACCGGGGATTCGGGCCGTTCGAGAATAGCATCCAGTACGTTGTTGAGCAATCGATCAATTTGTAGAATTTTAGGCATGATGAGCTTCTGCAAGTTTCCAGTTGTGCGGATTATTTTACAGACGTTACTTAGATCATCTCCCTTCACTGTGGTCTTGATATGAATTTCTGTGACGTCTCTTGGTTTAATCAAAATGCATTTCACGTCCGGATTATTGCTGCACATTGCGTTGATGACGTCACCGTCTATTACGAGATCCATTACTCTTTTACTTGTTGACTCGTTGTTACCCATACCGATTAGATTATCCTTTTAATATGTTAATTGTGGTAACCTAATTTTATTTTTTTACTTCACAAACAAATCCATCCACAAATAGTAGGCTTTAAGTAACTGAAACGTTAGCAGCACCTTAAAGCAGTACACAATGAAGTGATAAAGCACCAACAAAACATGACTCAACTAAAATAAGCTGAGTATGACTCAGCAGATAAATTACATTTGCCAGAAAACATATGAGTTGAGAATACCAAAATATGCAATAAATACAATATAAATTATCACATCAACCTAGTTTAAGACTGAATATAAAAAAGTATATTATATTTAACGCCTGAGATCCGAATTTCCGACACCTCCACGACCCTGATGACTGCACAACTGTTCTCAGAATGTTTCCCGGCTATTTAGTTTGGGGGGAAGGGGGTGTGCAAATTTGGTGGGTGGTAGATATTTTGTGTTTAATTTCACACTCCAAAATTATGTGGTAGCGGAGTGAAATTTTGGTGAAAGCGGAAGAAAATTTCTGACTGTTCTAATTTTCGTTCCGCACCATAAACTGCCAGCTAATGTATCGTTATCCACAGCTTGTCATATATACATATAATAATATTTTACAAACTAGTAGACTATATACTTCGATAATAAAGCAAAACGCAGAAGTAATAATTGAAACCCGGGAATCAATACAACTTTATAGCCTTCCTACCAGACAGGTAATAAATACCCAACTGAACAAAAGACAGGATATTCTATTTCGCCATACCCCAAGCGGAGCGCGCAAAACGAGAGGAAAGTCGGACTCTTTTGTTACAATGTTTTTGTTTGTGTGCGTGCCTTTGATATTATATCTGTTTTTAATAAAACAAACTTACTTAAATTGCGAAGCAATAGTTGTTCCACTTTATGCACATTTACTACTCGATTTATAACTGGTAATATTTCTATACTGACTCAGTTTTTCTGGCAATCAAATTGAATTGAATCAGCCAATCAGGGGCACGCAAGCAAATACGTTTTTATATTCTGATTAGCCATTGTTACGAAATAAACAAAGGATGTATCAGTTCTGTGATGCACGGGTCCGCAAATATGGGATCGTGACCCACATTCCGCACTGGGTCGCAAAACAATTTAAATTTGCCATAAATATAAGCATAGCGTATGTGTAGCGTATTTAGGTACTACAACATTATAACCTTCTAATTAGAATTATGGTTGTTTCCCCGAGCATCGACTTTGTTATTTACTGCCGTAACATTGACCAATCAGCATACGTGCAAAATTTGACGTAACAACAAACGTTTTAGCAGCCGCTCAGACACTTTTGTGTCACTCAAACAGCTTCTAATGGTTGTGAATATTTTATTGTTTTTGCGTGCTATTTTTAGGTTTAAGTTATATTTTGGTAAATAAAAGTCTAAATGAAATGAAATCTACCGGTACATTTGAATGAAAGTTTGTTGAATATTTTGAACTGAAATGATGGTTTGAAACATATAAACCGGTTTATAGGCGTCGAATCGTAAAACCACCCTTAAAATGAGTACCAACAATTTTGCACAGGTCCGCATCTTAAAATTCGGGGAAACATTCATTACGTAGTTGTTTGCATCGTTTTTATCCTACGACGTAGTCAATGGACGTTTCCTCGACCCTTGACCCCAGAAAAATTCTTTCTATACTTGAATGTTTATTTGTTTGGATGCTTATTTTGCGAGTGTTTTGAAGAGACGGCATTTACAAACTGATTTACATGATCAAAACCATTATTTTTATTGAAATATACAATCATGTGTCTTTTATATGTACTAATAGCTCATTTTAGCCTAGTCTATAGCAGCTTTCCCGGAATAATTTTTGATTATTGGAACTAAACTAAAACTCATCGGACTACATAATGACAATTAAAACACTTCATTTACGACCAATTTTTGGAAACACAACTGAAAACTGACAGATGAACGCAACTGCAAAAACGAGGCAACGTTTACAACCATGCTTGAATATCTGAACGTAGTGTGTGAGCCGCTTCAAAGATTTCAGTTGTTACGTCATCGGTGACTTTTTGCTGAACGGTCTTTGTTACGGAAGTAAATAAGGAAATCGATGCTCGGGGTAACATCCATTGTATTGTTTCGTAGAAATGCGACTAATGCGAGGTTAGTAGTAGTTGTGTGGGATTGCTTGATAAGACAGATAATGAGATTTTAAGTTGCCAAGTTTCATATAATTTTGTGCAAGTAAATTGCTAGTGTCAATAATAGTCCTAAAATCGATCACTAATTACATGTTTACCAAATGCTTGGGTCGCGAGAAATTAGAAAATATTGTTTTGGGTCGCGCCAAAAAGTAGTTGCGGACCCCTGCTGTAATGCACTAACGCGTGTCGCCAATCGATATCCAGTAATGTATTGGTTTCTCGCGATTATTTTACTTCGAATTATCCGTTTTTGCTTCTTTTTACATTCTGTATAAAATAAACCCATAATTACTGATGTCGTTGCTTGGGGAAGTCATTCTTTGTCGTCCGCTTTAAGATTTTGAAGTAGTATTTGCGTATTTCTAAAGCCCAGCGCGATGCGCCAGCCGCGGCGCTGTAGATGTTTCCCCGAACAATGTCTCTGAACATATAAACCAGTTTATAAGTGCCAACACTTCAAAATAAGCATCAAAAATTTTGCAGTAGAAAAGTATAAGGAGAATATTACTAGGGTCAAGGGTTGGGAAATGTCCATTCGGAAATTTTATAACATTTGACGTGGCTTTCTAGTTGCAGTGCCAGTCGGCGTTCTTTTCTCGCTCATAACTACACGAGTCGAAATTGCGAACCCACGCAGAGTAATTAGATGTGCGGTGGCGAGCGCATTCCTGGAGCATAGCACGAAGCGTCACATCGCCTAATAGAATTCCTTTCTTTTCAAAGAATGGGTTATTAATAAACCGTCCTACGACGGTGAGGAGTCAAGCAATCCTCGCACATGTTCACCGCCGAGTGTTTCATCTAACCACTGGTCGATTACTGCCTCCTTCCCCATCATGTCCATGCATCTGCAAACAAATAACTGGATAACTAATCCCATACCTGACACAGACTGGTAACCGGAGGTAAATCCTGTCGTCCTATCCCAGGGGTGGGCAACCTTTTTCGGCTCGCGTGCCAAAATCGGCTAAATTTAACGAAAAACTTTAAAAAATAAACCTTTCAAACAGGAACAGACAGATTCACTATTCTGGAAAATATCAGTCCGACAAATAGTTTCGATTACTTTTCGTATTCTATATCAGTGAGACTTTTGCTTCTGCATTACCGATGATATAGATTTTACATTGGGTTATTCTTTTGTAACTTTCAAAGAAATACACGAAGTAATGCAGTTGCAAAGTTTATAAGACACAAAAAATGTTCGGGAATGGCATAATATCACACAACAGTTTGTTTCCGGCACTTCTCTCATGTATTCCCTTCCCTAATTTCGTATATTTCTGTCGAAATCAATTTATAACAGTAAGTTAGCAAGTAACTCCAACACGAGCTCTACAACTTCATAAATCGAGCAGAAATGAACAAAAATGGTGGCAGAGACGAACTATATTACGTAAGAAAGTAGTCAAATGAATGCTGTGCTCTTCTCGACAAAATTTCCCCGAGAGCTCACTCATTTGTTACGTCATAATGTATTTCTTTGTAGCCTTATGCCATGAAAGGACAAAAAAAATTAAAGAAATAACGGATTATAAACAAACGATTATGAATAAACAAACACGAGTATCATCAGATAATTCAGAGTCTTGAAACTTTTTATCTAAAGGAGAATGTTCTCGTCTTCAAGGCCTCGTTCGCGTGCTGAATAAATGGGTTGCCCACCCCTGTCCTATCCTATAAAACGATGCGCCATAACATAATTTGAACTGCGAAAATGCGCAGGTTAATCGGACGTTACAATGTCAAGTGCGATCATTTTTCTTGGCACAATCTGAACTATGCTATTAACAATACACCATTTGCTAATAAATTGATTGTATTTTAGCTCATTCAAATCACTCTATCTAATAATATTGACAATTAACCTAAATATATTTGTACGATGTGAAAAATCAAAAAGAATTAAAAGATACAACCAAAAAGAAATCGGTTACAGGACTTATGTTCACAGACGCACAATTTCCACATGCAGAATGAGTACAATCTTTATACTTAATGGGAAGGTGTGAAAAGAAGCTCATTTATCGGGTGCAGTAAGCCCAAGTTTGAAGATAGCTAAAAAATGTAAGGCTACAGATACTTGGACTATACCGTCTATATGGGTCTCATTCAGTGTGTATCATTATCACAAATGGAGCAAACTTCAAGGATTTTCATTTTTATATACACATTGAGAAAAACCAGTATGACTATCTAATAACATGCTATTACAGTGAAAATCTGAGAATTAGATAATCATACTATGAACTAATGGGAATAAAAATACAACATTGGTAATTAATTCATAAGCAACTTTTTCTGCTCTTAATCATAGAATCAAACATTGTGAAAAACAAAGTCCAATAACTAATTTCTTCAAGGTACTATTGTAGTAGCTTGATACGTAATTGGCAAACATTGCTTGAAAATTAAGAAATGAAATAATTATGAACAAAAAAAAATAAAAAGTTAGTAATATTGGAGCAATGTGACAAAAACAATAATATTATAAGAAAGTACGATTCACATATATCTCTCTGGGTAATTTAGTTTGAAACCAAAATTAGTTGCTGAAGAATGATACCAGTATCTTGTATAAGGTAGCATCAAAAGGATTGAGTCATTGACAGGGCAAAGCTATGCCTCTGGTCATCGTAATGAAATGACTTGGCCTTGAAATTTTGAATAATATGAAGAATCATTTGGATACACAAGTCATATGTAGTAAATAAGAATTTGCATCCAATATTCATGGCAGCCAATTATATTTTGAAAATTGCGTTTAGCAGTTTTTGACAATGCTTGCTTGTAGTTTCAAAATTAAAGCTCAAATTATTATTTTTAGCAGTAAACTCAAAGCTCATGTCATCTAATTAGAATAGCCTGGGCTTGTCAACAATCATCACCAGTGAGACCTAACTCAATGATTTACTCAATTTCAGGGCTCTGGATTTAGGGACTCCTCCCCAATACTAATTGTTAAATGTAAACAATTTATACACTTGAGGGTACCCCCGAAGTGTGTGAACCAAGATGGCAGACCCCCGGAACGTAGTATGTGTATCAGGTTACGGTTAGGCCATAATTTCATTCCAATTTTCCTTATTTTAGTTATATTACGAGTTTGAGAACTAGCCAAGTGACTCCCGTAGTAATTGTACCTGAAATTATGGCCTAACCTTAACGAGAGTTCATTGCAGAAAATCAAAGAAAATGTACATATTACATTAGATGACAAATATTGCTCAAATGAAAAAGCTTTTATATCGCATTATCTATAGTGGTGGCATTTTCTCAATGAAGTTGGATTTTCATTTCATTTTTATTACAGAATAAAATTCAAAATTTTTTTTTAAAAACTAAAAAGCATCTAGTTCTATTAAATTTTGTTTTAATGGGCTTTTGAAGGTGGCTCGCTTTAATCAATGTTTTTGTTATCACAATATGATTTACTCTAGGTTTGGTGAAGGCATCGACATTTTCCAAGAGTCCACAGGGCTTGATGTTTAATAATGTACAAATTAAAAATAACGGTATTCCCGAAGTATGTGAACCAAGATGGCGGACACCGGAATGTAGTATGTTTAAGAGGTTGGGGTTTGCCATAATTTTATTTCAATTTTCCTTCATTTAGTTCTATTACGAGTTCTGGAACTAGCCAAGTGACTTCCGTGGTATTTGTACCTGAAATTATGGCCTAACCTGGTACACATACTATGTTCCGGTGTCCGCCATCTTGGTTCACATATTTCGGGATTACTGAAAATAATCTACAGAATGGGCGGGGTCACACAAATCAATCAAATTCTAAATGCTGATGTGTAAGATCACTTGAAAGATGATGCATGATGATTCACACTACAGGGCTGTGTAGTAAGTGTTGTGTTTTGTGTAGAGTGAGATTAGGATGCGCCAATGTTGTGATTCCAAAATCCTTGAATCTGAGGATATATAAAGGGTGTCCATAAAGTCACTTTACAATTTCAATTTTGTTATGAAGTCAGTTCTCAATATATCTTAACCAGGTTTGTTGTTTTTTAATCAGTAATTGTTCAAGTGTTTTTACTTCATTTCATACATGGTATCGATAAATTCCCTTTGCAATTTTTAAAAAATTGAAACTTTATGGACACCCTATATTTGAAATTTTGGATTTTCATAAGTCAAGGGGAGAAATTTCATAGTTCTAGAGATGTAAACCTAAAAAAAATGTTCTTATCCCAGAAATTTTCATTGGCGACATATTTCATCAGATCATATTTTAAAATGTAATTCAAAGGGAATCATAAATATGAATTTCAAAGGTAAAGTCCTAATAATGGGTGAAAAAATGCTAAAAAATTTCCTTTTACTGAGTGATTTCATCATAAAGATATTTCTTGCATAGCCAGATATCACTTGAATGGAGTGTTGTGCAATTTGTGTAAATAATATTGAGGAAATGGGTTCCTGTGTAGAGGGGAAGCCTAAGATTATTTTCTGCTTCCGTAGTATGTGAACCGAGATGGCGCGAAATTATGGCCTAACCTTATTTACACATTCTATGTTTCTGTGTCCGCCATCTTGGTACACATACTACAGGAGTACCGATTATTTTTTATAAGAGAGGGAAAGATAAGCCAATAAGAGGCTTCATCATATTATGATGAACTTTGGCCCCTTGTTTGGTTACCAGTTCAAATCGATACGAGGGCATTTATAGATACCCTGGCATTTTGTCTGATTATTAGATCAAAAGTTCAAGATAGCGGATAAGTGGTCATTGAACGGAACCACAATGCAATTGAACGGAACCACAATGCAATGGTGGAAATCTACTGTGGTTTGCATTATCTACAGATAGAATTAGTGATTAGATAACGTTTTATCTCAAAAGCATCTGGGATAAAAATCTGAGACAAATAGTGCCTCATATCAGTGTCTAGTGTCTGTATAATGATAAATCATAATTTAACAATACAAAACGCCAAGTACTTATCTGTGATTAAGATAAGATAATGCTGTATCTTGAAATTATCTTATAACAACTTCCTTAGGAATTGAGTGGGACTAAAAGTGAATTAGAATGACTTGCAGCTTGCAGCCTATGAACAAACAGAATAAGTATAAGTAACACATAAAAATGAAACTAAAACGAATTGTTATGAATATTTCTTGAATATCAGTCTGATTATATGTTTAAAGAATAATTCCTATAACACTTTCATCATTTTGGCAATAATTTGTAAATTCAGTGGAAATTTAACAATGTACCGACTTCAAGTTCATTTTTTTGATGAATCATGATCATGAAGGCAAGTAATTTTTTGATGTGTCATAAGAGGGATGATGTCATAATGATGTTCAATCATGCATGGAGGAAAAAGATCACCAGACCAGTAAAAGATTATCTAGAATAACAAAAAAGGGAATAAAATAAAGTAGCACATGAAAGAGTGAGAGAGGAACATGGTAGGCTTTTGCGTAGGGTGTGTACCAGGTTACGGTTAGGCCATAATTTTATTCTGATTTTCCTTATTTTCGTTCTATTACAAGTTCGGGGACTGCCTGTGTTAGCCAAGTGAATATGCCCCTGCTCATGGGTTTCAGTCCCTTTACACAACTTGATTTAAAGTAGGCAAACAAAATTTGTTACCTCCATATTGGTACACACACTTCTGGAGCGGCGGATTTTGTGTATGTTCATAAATCACATGAAATGAGTTAGTGTTAGGTTATTGGGCAATGAATAAATATCAAGGAGTGTCTATGCTTGATCAGGAATTAAATTGAACACATTTTATCAATATCAGGAGAGTCCTTATCAAAGATAAATACAAATTTTGATAAAGTAAAATAGATAAAGTCGAAAATTCAATTTTGGACAATAGATAAGTTTTATTGAGATTTGACAAAGGATGGGATGAATAGAATTAGTGACTAGAACCTGGGATGAAAATCTAAGTGATATTATGTAATAAATCATAATTTAACAATATAAAGTGCAAAGTCTTATCTGTTGTTTAAGATAAAGTACTAAAGTATACATATAAAGACTTAATGGATAGATAAATTGTTATCACATCACACATTTTAAGATAAAAATGGACAGATAAATCGTGGTAAATCGCGAGTCGTTTGGGATCTACTGGTATATAAAAATCATTCCTACCAGCCAGCTCATAAGCATGATGAGCCTACATGTACTAAATAAATACAGGAAAATATCACCGAGTGGTAAAGTTCTAGGCAATAAAAGAGCAAAATAAAAATAAGTGCCGAAAAAGTACACATTGGGCATGTTGTGAAATGTACTGATTACATATAAATCTCTCCAAGTTAAATAGTTCAACATATATCTATGCTCTGGTGTATATTGGTGTTCCTATTTAGACTCAAAATGGCCGCTGGTGTAAACCAGGACAGTGATAATTTATTGTTTTCATTAAAACCTGATGGAATCGATATCAATGACAAGGGTTGGCATGAATTGAACAAACAATGGAGGAAAATTGGCCAAATGATGGACGATGATTTGAAAAATGCAATGTGAAATATGGCAGATGGGTATTACTTATGCTGGTACACTTCTGTTTTCACCACAATGTCAAAATATCAGGGCAATTCACAAATCCTGGCTCTTTTCTTCTTTTCCAGTATTCGCCGTTGTAAACCCACGATTCATCTTTTGAATCACTGGACACTTTCCTGTAAAAAAAAGAAAGTAATGTTCAGATTATCAAACAGTGAGTGAAGGAGAGTGAGGAAAGAGCCAGAGACAGATTAAAAAAAATAACCAATTATCACACATATCAAATTCCGTAGCTTGAAACATTTGATACTATCAACTGTATCAAGACTGTACCAATATGGAGGTAACTAATTTTGTTCGCCTACTTTACATCAAGTTGTGTGAAGGGACTGATATGTATGGGCAGATGGTATGGATTATTCACTTGGCTAACACATACAGTCCCCTCAAACTCGCAATGGAACTAAAATAAGAAAAATTGGAATGAAATTATGGCCTAAGTATCAACTTACTTGAAAAACTTTGGAGAATATTCTTCCTTATTTTCATCTCTTTGTTTCTTTCTATCTCTTTGCATTTGCTCAATTCTTTGCTTTTCCTTTTCTGCTCCATCTATGTTTCCTTCCTCCAAATACCTGAGAACGGGAAAACACAGATTCAAAATAAAAATTATTTGAAAAATAAAATTAGAGAAGACTCCAAGATATTTAGTTACAGAGGATTCTACATACACGGCCAGGGAGGCCATTTACCACCCTCAAGTGTTTGTAAAGTATAGATTTTATCTCGAAAATAAAAAATAGCATTCACAAAAACATCATAAAAAATTAAAGAGATTTTTTTCGTGTCGAATCATAGCTCTCTAAAGTGTCGTTTTCCGGTGTCCAGAAATTGTTGTGTCTTGTCTCACACTCGTGATGTGTTTGGACACTCATCGGATTAGTGTTTGTATACTTGACTTTTTCCGAAGTTTAGCGAATGATCCATTTGAATGGTTTAACAAATATATGATAACGCTCTATACCTTAGAGTTATTATTTCTTGTTCTGCGCAAATATAACTATGTGCAAAAGGATTAATGAACTCCTACTGATCAAATATACTCATACAAGACCTAAAAGAGGCTGCGGTCCACTAAATCCTAATTGAAGACTTACCTTTGATCAGGTCTGAACCTTGTATCAGTCCTTGGCAGGAAATTCACATCGGCTGTTTCCAACTCATTCAATTCCATCGCAAATTGTGTGAATCCATAATATCTATCGTAATCTGTTGGCATTCCAGCTGTAGAGATTGAGTGGTTATTGAGTGTTAATGCATGATTTGAAAGAGCAATTTACTGCTTGTAGAGAGCCTTGCTCTAACGACACAAAAAGGGCTCTCCAGAAGTATGTGTACCAATATGGAGGAAACTAATTTTGTTCACCTATTTTACATCAAGTTGTATAACAGGACTGAAACCTATGGGCAGGTGGTATATTCACTTGGTTAACACAGACAGTCCCCGAACACGTAATAGAACTAAAATAAGGAAAATTGGAATAAAATTATGGCCTAACCCTAACCTGGTACACACACTACGGGAGTACTGGGAGTTGTGCAGTCAGGGCCCATTTACACCCAATCAAACTCCAAACAAAAAAAGCTGACTTCAGAGTGCTGGGACTCCTTGACTTCTGATTGAAGAAAATTTTGACTCTAAAAAATCTTGCCAAATGCAAGTCTTTTTAACTTGCTGTTGAAAAACTTCATTTGCTAATAAAATACACTTACATTTTCTCCATATGCATTTTGCTTTATTCCCAGTCCCAGTATATATAGACTCAAACCATCTCCCATGCATATGTTGTTGTGCTTCACCAGAACTATCAGTAACTGTGCCAGCAATCTCACCGTTCTTACTGTTCCAATATCCACTCTAAATGAATATATTTCAAGTATTGGAACTAAAAAATGTCATAGAATATATTGGCTTATGTATTTCAGCCTATAGTGTGTATTGTTATTGTTCAGAGTAAAAAGTGAAGCACTTTATAACAAGGTCATAGCTAGCCCAAAGTTTTTGTATACTAACGTAATACGATACTTACTCATGCCTTAGCACCGAACAAGACTAGATGAAAGCTGGCACTGAAATCTTAAAGAATCTCCCTGCAAACTTACTTCGCTGTCGAAGTTAACCAAGCTATATTCAACTATCTTGGTTGGTTAATTTGGAAAAAGGATTATTGGAAGTAAACCAGGAAATGTCCAGTTTTCAGTAAATCGTTCAAAAATAGAACAAAATGGTGTTGGAAAAGACGTAAGGATTTATGTCTCACTGCAAATGCCGCAAAATAGAATTTCGAAAGATGATTTGTCATATGATTGCAATGTCTTAGACTTTTCATCTCTCCCTGGAATAAATATGAAACTCATATCCTAATCATTCACATATATCTATCATCAGTAAAACTTCAAACAAGGAAATGTGCCTGTAATTAACAGTTCACAAATTTTGAAAACCTTACCTTACTGAAAACAATCTTGCAAGTTATATCTTTATTTGTGATAATCATTTCTCCATAATGTTCGACCCATCTTGTGCCGCTCATAATGTTGTGGACACATGTAGTGACTTTGTTCCATTTGTATTCATCATTGAACCTCAAATAATAGAAAAGGAAACGCTAGAACAATAGGACATAGAGTATATATGTTAAAAATAATTTTGAATGTGAATTGTAGTTTTTATTTTACCAAAATCTGCTCAAAGTGTGGTACTCCATTATTCTCCATACTCATTCAGAAGTACGAAACACTGGGTTTCTGAGTGGGTCAGTTACAGATAATAGACTTGGTTACTGGGACAGTGGCTTGAGACGCAATATAAAAAAACTATAAATAAAAATTGTTTATATACAACAGCTAGTCCAACATTTATATAACCATAACAATGCAACAACTAGAATATCGGTTAGAAACCGAGGACTTATCGATCGAAGGTTAGGGGATCCCCCAAAACAGTGGTCTTACTCCATAGTGACACCGTGTGTCCCATCACTATTTAATTAAGAACTCGTTAATTATAAGACATATACATCCAAAATCACTAGGCTTCTGATCCGAGCTATGATGAATGCACATGCAAAATTTGGATCATATTCAACCTCGCTTCCGTGAGATATCGTGTGCATCTAACACACAGACATACACACATAAAAATACCTATCAACATACTTACCGATCTTAAGATCGATAAGTAATAACAATCACAATGTAACTACATTATGACGATATTTTCATTGATACTTTCAAATGAAATTTATATCCATAAAAACTATAGCCATAATTTCAGCAAACACAAGTGAGCCAGATGGAACAAACACTCCGGTGGGACGGATCCGGAACAAGACTTCAAAGGTTGTTCAGTGTGAAACCAGATGCAAAGTACTTTGCAAGGTAGAGTAGAGTAAAAATGGTGAATATCTTAGCAAGAGAGATCAACTACAACATACTTAGGTATTTTCAAATGAACTGATCCCATTGGCAATATCTCCATTGATTTACCCCAGAACTTGTTTTTCCATCTCGCATCTGAAATAACGAACAAAAAACAGTAAGAACAAGAGCAGGAAATTCAACAAAGTAATAAAAAGTAAAGAAATCTATTGAAAACAAATTAGGATTTAAATGAAATGCAGAAAATGGGTATAGGAAGATTATTCAGTGAGAGCAAGCCAGCGAAGTAACTCAACAAACCAAAAAGAATGTAGAAATATCCAATAACTAGGAAAACGTTCTATAATTAAGTTTAAAATCAATTTCCAACTAAGCTTTTCCTAACATGAGGATTTCCATTAGTAATGCAAAAAGATTGATTGAAAGTTGGCTAAACGTTGATTATGGTAATTACTATTCGCAATATATTCTAAAACGAATATATTTAAAAAAAATTAAAAATAATATTCCAAAATGAGTTATTCTCAGCAAAGAATTTTAAACTAGCCATTGTATATGTGTGAAAATTGCTTCTTGAAGGGTAGAAAGCTGAGATGAACTGTTAAGATTCTCTTTTAAAGAAGCTAAAATTTAACTCTCTCTCAATTAGTCTGAAATGCAGATGCATATGGCACAGAATCAAATTTTCTTATAAATATAACTAATTTGTGTGTATTTGAAAAGTAATCCTTTTTGTATGCTCATGGTTCAAATCAAAACACAGGTTGTCAAATGAAATTTCGAAACGTAATAATTATCATTATCAATAAGGATTCGAATAAAAATAATACTAAGTGCACACTGCACATGAAAACTGCCTGATTCAGATCACAATATATCAACTACCTTGCCAGAACTCGTAATGCTCTGAACTGCAATGACAGGCAGAGATGGGTGGATGATGACTGACTTGCTCTGCTACAAACTTGAAATCCCTGTGAAATGGATATATATAAATTGTGTTAAATTGATAAGGGAAAGCAGATTGGACCAAGTTATTGCATCTCAAACCATTTGGTGTGATTTTGTACCAATAATTGTGGATGTGGCATATTTCACTTCTTGATGCTAATGGATATAAATGGTGTGTGTGGACCATTGTATATAGCTAATATTAAACACATGGTCCCAATCACCAATTGAATGGTCTCCTTTGTAGAGGGCTATTGGATCGCATATAGACGGCAGGTTAGGAATACAATTTATCTAATTTAATATATCTTGAGTGAGGTTTGAGCCTTGAGATTTTAATTTGATGGGCCAACGATAATAAAAAAACTGAGAATAATAGTAATACTATGGCGAATACAAAGCAAACTCCTTCACAAGTAAAGAACTGTTGCATTACGCCAACAAGCCAAGTTTGCTATAAAGACAATCAACTGCTTGCATTTTGTCCGTGACAAGCTATAATATTAATGCAATCTATATTTTAATACTTACTTATCTTCTCTTAAGCATTCATATGTTTCTCCGAGCAATGGATTGAAAGGTTTTTGACCAGCCCTGGAATAGGATATACAAGTTTGAATCACCAGTGAAAAGACCTTGGAAGAAATTTTGAGCATCGCAAAAATGTGTAGAGCACTGGTTCAGTTTTTTTAGTTGGGAAAAATAGCAATAAACAAAAATTTCAGTATCAATTTCATATGTACCGGTATATGAATATTTTATTTTTTATTTTATTTGTTTATCCCAATTTTTAATACATTCTGTCCAGATGATTGTCATTCTGGTATAATTGTGCTCTGATTCTATTTTCCCGAACTCTATTTAAATGACCAATGATAGCACAGCATGATGGGTGAAACCATCGATGCATTACTTCTTGTTTAAAAATACTGTCATGCTGGTCTTCAGAGGTCATTCAGCACTTTGGTATGGCGATGGCAACATGTGACTTATGTATGCTATTGTTTGCGACCTTCAAACTGTTTATGATGAGTGTAAATAAAACTTTCATCTATACTTCGGGTCGACAACCATTTGCATTGAAAGAGGCATTTGCCATTTTTTTTTCAGACTCACCCCTGATAAGAGCCGCAATACTACTCTAATGTCAATGGCAATGAAAATTTTCAAAAAAACACTTATGATGCAAAGTAATTAGTGCTATGTAACTAATGAGTAGCAATCATATTTATGTCCAGACTTTCATTAAATCCCCACTGCTTCTAACAAAAAACTGATGTAGAGCACCGTGAACAAAGAGCCGCAAGTTGCCGATCGTTGATCTATACCAGCGTTTCCCAACCTTTTTTGGTCGCGGACTATTTTATCACCGGCGAAAACCTTTGCGGACTCAAGGTGCGTTTATTGCAACCGTACTCTGTGTGAAGAAGCAATAAAGCCAAACACCACAGAAATTTAACAAATTTCAAAATCGGAAATTCGCTGCAATCACGCGTTCGTTAAAAGAGTCAACTGTTTCAGTGTATAATGGCATTTTCTGTCGCACAATATTCAATCCATGACAACGACGACAATTTAAAATGTTTGTCTATTTTAATTTAATTGTATTTTATGGTTCTCGCGGTTGCTTCGACTTACGACAAGATGAGAGCATTACTTCTTTAAAATGCCACGGCAATCTGCAAAGATACTAATGTGAGTATATATTGCCCGATTATATTTAGTTTTGATACATATCTTTTGCGATCTTGCGAATTTGTTATCGCCGTTAGAAAAATCCTACTATCTGCTATCAATTTCCAGAAAGTTCAACTTGATTTAGTATTTACTGAAAATATATTTAAAGTATATTAGTAAATCAAAAATACAAATTCATACCCTTGCTTTGTTATTAATTTATTTGTGATCATTTGAATCTGTGGCTGGGTTGACTAAATGAAAGCAATACTACTCAGAAAACATTGTGACAATTCGTGGATACAAAAATGCGTGGTGAAGTGCTCGATTATGTTTTGAATGGTAGTTTTGTAAATTCGACAAATCTGAGTTGTTCGTACAATACTTACGGCGCTCCAGTACATTACGTACCAATATGGAGCAGTAAAGCAAAGGATCCTAAGGGGAAATGCCATGGTTAGTCTACTACGGTAGCACCCGAAATTTTGCGATTTGCAATGTCTAAAGAAGCGTTTTTAATCGGTCGCGAACCATTATGAAACTTATGGTGTTCTCCGTTTTATTTTTAGTATTTTCTATTGCTTCTTTTCAATTTGGAATATTTGGGTTGCCACTATTGACACCTACCAGGAAAAAAATTTATTCCTTGTTGTTCGAACTGGCGAGAAACACCACTTTCGATATGTATCAATTGTCCCGTGTGCCGACTCGTGTTTTCGTCGGAAATCCACAAGTGAGTTGTGAAATCCAATTGTTTGATTAAGGGACGCGAAAGTGACCTATAGCGTCACCTGTTACCAAATTTTTGAATAGTAAATCGCTATTCTAATAGTTGAATATTTGAATATATGCCCAGCCCTAATCGGTAACCAATAATTATTGACTCGATTAATGTTATGTGAATAAACCTGGTTTTTACGTTTTATGAAAATTTTAACGTAAATCGTAACTTGGCTGATAGTTAGTTTTCGCAAAAACGTTTGCTGTGAATTTCTGGCTCGTTGCGAACTCATTCAAACCTTCCGCGGACTCATTTGAGACCGCGGACTCAGGTTGGGAAACACTGATCTATACCAATAAACACCAGTCACCAATTGATGTTATGCTAATACTAATTACCTTGTATGGGTAGATGCATATGCTGATACAGCAAAGGCAGCAACATGAACCATCCTTTCATACGGATCTTCACATTGCACAGCTTTGTCTAATAAATCCGAATATTCTAATTCTTCGCAAAGGCACTGAAAAAGTAAACATTGAAAATTTTAAATAAAAATTATAAATCTACGTCTAATAGATAGTTCTCGGTTACTATCAGAAAGTGCCTCAAGTCAGCTAAATAAAATGACCCAAGCTAGGGCGACTTGACTTAATAGGATCGACATTTGGTTCAAATAGCCGGTAACTCACGAACTCACTCAGGTTTAAAAACTTCTACCTGGCCAAGATATGTAGATGCCATATTCGATATTGCGAAATATTTAAATATTCCAGCATGGAATGAAATAAAGCGAAGGTTACCCATGTTGGCTGGCTCTGTTCAGCAAATAAATAAACGATAGCTCGCGAAATTGTAATAGTAGAAGACACTACATAACAGACAGCAAATAGCATAGAAAAATAAATTCTTTCATGATTCATATACACAGGATTCAAATGAGAAACAATAAAACATTTATAATAAATCCAATATGCAAAATATTCAATCATATTTTAGTTGAGTTTAACACAATTCTGTTAATTTTTGCGGCGTGCCCTCTCGGAACCGTTGAAATAAAGAATATAAAACTAAGCTACAAACCTGTAAGGCATTCAAGGGTTCATTTAATGTGACAGGCATTGAAACTCTACTGAGATCTTTCCCGATATTTTTTCTTAAAATATTCCACAAACTGAAATCTCCTCCTTCTGGTCGATAGCAAGGTAGTTTCGTACGACGTCCTGTCCCTGTGATTCCTTCGAGATCTATTGGAACTGTGAAAAATGGGGTAAATTGTCAAAAATTAGGATCGTAAATTTTTTTTGATGGTTTTAGATGCTACATGTCACAAGATTCAAAATAATTCAAGAATACTGTTCCAGTGAACTCGAATTCCTCAAATACTCACTGCTTTGTAATGAAGTACTTTCTCCTTCTGATAATTCAGCATCTGTTGAGGCTGCATCATCATCGTCTTCATTTTCACTCTGAAAAATAAATAAAAATATCCTTATCTAACTATTCTTTAATCAAGGTGCCTCAATATAATATGAAAACAGCTTCATGAGTAACCCAAAAGACATAACCCAGGTTAATTGGAGCATATTCTAGAGCAGGGGTGGGCAAGGTATTTGGGCCAGTGGTGGCGGGCCATGTGAGTGTGTCATAAAAAGTTACATTTTATGAACAATATTTACAGTGTTACAAAAGCAAAGGTGAAATGAGCCTCGCGCAAAAACTAAATTTAATCGCAATATTAACAATTTTCTTGAGCTATTTTTCAGCTTAAATCTCAAAACTTGGTTTTAGTTTGGTTGTGGCAGCATCAGGAAGACCGGATTGAATTACCCAATGGGCTGGATTTGGCCTGTCAGTTCTAGAAGGATAACTTATGTGCAAACCGTTCTAGATATCGTTTGGTTACAATCATAAACAATCGGAGGTTTGAGAGTTGAAAATATTTCTTTCGTTATAAAGATATTTATGGGTTCTGTTTTTTTGATCACCCTGTACAACTAACTATAAGCTTACCTCTCCGTCTGTTGAGCTCTCCTCAGCATCCGAAAGTAAATATTCTTCAGCGTCATAGAACATATCAGACATCGTCTCAGAGATGGAAAGTTGACTGTCCAATGACATGTTGCTCAATATCTTTTGCTGAAAAATAAAACAACCGTAAATGGTAGTTTAGACAGAGCAAAAAAGAAAGTAGGTCATATCGAAGAGGAATGGTAAAAAATGTCAGAAGCATGTTGATGGCATATACGAAACCCTTTCAGATACGTATGACTGTTGCACATGCATGTTAACATGCATACTGTTATGACTTTAATATGACCTGTAACACTGATCTGTAAGAAAAAAAAGATTATCCTCATATGTTTGAAAGTTTGAACCCTATGGAGGAGGACAATGTACACTAAGATTGCTTGATTGTCAAAAATTGGAAGTCCAAATTGGAAAGTTGATAGTCCATATGTATCCATTGTCACTGATTAGTTAGTAGCAGTACACCTTGCTAAATGTTTTTATCAAGCATGTCATCACACCACTGAATACTCTGCATGGGCTCACAAATCGAAATCCTATGAACGATGACCCTCTTCTGGAGGATTGCTGAAAGCCTAATTGTTGAAAGTTGGCTCTCGTAATCATAATCAGTGGTTAGTTAACCCTATATCTAGTCAAGACAGGTCAACAATCACCCATCAAACGGCCATGTTTTGTAACGAGATGAAACCATTTTAGCAGCTTTCCTTTCTTAGAAATAAAAAATAAAAACGCAATAGCATCCAATACCTTTATGAACAATTATTATATCCAGTCTGGATTGATCAACCATCAATGCATCAAACATTGATGTTTTAATGGGAGCATTTTAGCAGCATCCCTCTCTTAGAAATACAAAATAAAAATGCTGTAGCATATAATACCTTTACAATAATGAGACAGGAAACACCATAATTCCCTCTCACATTTTTCATAACTATAAACCATCTTTGATATTCCATTGTCTCAAACACAACTTACAACCCTAACTAACCATCAAATCAAACAAACTAATTCTAAAACTGCAAAGATTGATTAATGATAACATTGTGATTCAGTGTTGAATGGTGACTTGAGTAGTGACTCAACATTATTGAAATCACTGAGTCATGGAAAATATTTTGACAATGGACTAAATGCTGATTGGAAATTTTGGTTGGCCAAAAAATTTTTTCTTTTTTTTCGAAAAAATTCCATCTTCTTTCAATGATGTTTTATGCAAATATTTAGCATTAACTGGAATGAACGAAACTTGAAAAAGCTCCTTTTTAGCGCAAAAAAAGATCCATTTTTACAATGCTGTTTCATGCAAATAATTGGTATTATCCAAAGAAAAAAAACTTGAAAAGTCTGATTTAAGAAAATAATAACTCAACGTTTCCAAACTGAGAAGATTATTTCCCAGGGAGGAATTTTGCCGTTTTGGGGAATAAATTTTGCTTTGTGTTCGCTGTAGTATTATTAATATTCTTTAGTTTTTATTATTACAATGATATCGATTAATGAACTCATAATAAACTACTCTACCTGTAAAAAAGAGGAGTGCTGCTTGCGCATAACACCCTCAAAGGATCTAATAAAGATTAAAAAATTAAAGTAGTTTTTACGCATAGTGAGGGAAGAATAAAAAGTTACAAAATAAGTGAAAAATTTAACAAAAAAGGTTGGGAACCACTCTAGCTTTTCAAATTATAATCACTTTAAATTTCAGCATTGTCTTGATACCAGGTTAAAAAGCAAAAATGTTGTGAAAAGAAATCTGAAACAAAGATAGCTAGGTGTGTAGGGATGGTTAGATATGGTCCTAATCACCATTTGAATGGCCTTCCATGTAGAGGACATATTAGGCCTCCATTTGTCAGTAGAAGTGTTAACTATTAGCGCCCTTTTTTTGCGAAAACTGAGAAACACCTTCGTGGCCCTAGTTATAACCATTTTTTAACGGACAAAACACTTTTCTGGCTATCTAATATATTTAAAAGAGTTGAAACGAAAGCAAGCGCACCAACTTGATAAAATCGCCCAGGGTACCTTCGCACTTTTTTTGACTTGTGAGGCACCTTCTCACTCATAATTTCGTTAGAGTGAACATTGGTCAGCAGATCCGATTTTAAGGACAGCTGCATATTTTAGGCCGCTCCAGAAGTATGTGCACCAATATGGAGGGAACTAATTTTGTTTGCCCCTTTTATATCAAGTTGTGTAAGGGAACTGAAACCTATGGGCAGAGGGATATCCACTTGGCTAACACAGACAATCCCCAAACTCGTAATAGAACTAAAATAAGGAAAATTGGAATAAAGTTATGCCCCAACCCTAACCTGGTACACATACTTCGGGAGTACCAATTATAAACAAGCTATAATGCTCTTACATGTAAAGCTCCTTTCCTATGGTTTAAACTGGTAACAGGCGTGGAACCGGCTGTTGGTCCAATTTGCGACGAAATCTGTGAGATCATTTGTAGTTTGGTTTTCAAATCTTTATTCTCTTTGCCCATTTCTTTATTTTCTTTTGTTAACTGAAAAATGAGATTAGGAGCTGAAAAAATTAAGAATGGAAAAATCTATCGACATTTTATCATCAAAAGTTGAGAGAAGAAATGTATGGATCAAATATTTGCAAACAGGTGCAAGGATATTATGGATTCTAACAAACTTCCAGATTAGCGGTCCTCAACCATTGACTGCCAGCGTACCAATTTGATGTTTCTACTCTGGCCACGTACCTCCGACAATGACACCAATAAAGGAAACAATGGCAAATAAACGCGCTATGGGCTAAGTAACACGCAAAATGAAGAAAACATGCCTGTCACGTTTACGCTGGCACTAGCGAGCACGGGCGATCTCTAAAGATAAGGATTGAAAGCGCTATAAGCACAATTCAGCAAATAGATAATATAAAGCGATGTCAGCATATTTTAGCCAACTCAAAAGTTAATTGTTCCAATAAATCAAAGCTGAAAGTCAAGTCAAGGTTATTTTTTCCAACCGGTAAATAAAAAAACATTAGAACACAGAAAAGACAAAAAAACTGAAAATTACACAATTTCACTGAGGAAGGGAAGATGCCGGGAACCAAAGCTAGTTATCGAGCAGCGACACCCAAAGTTCAAATGTCTTATTTGAAAAATTGAAATTTTCGAGTTTGGATCTACTGTTTTTGAGGAGAGTACTATAACAATCGTACCTCGCATACCAATTAAAAATCTCCCACAGATTGAGAACCACTGTATTAGATGTTTAGAAAATTGGAAAGACAGTAATATATAAAAACGAAGCATATTCAACTCAAAACAGATACCAATATTTCATAACAAACAACCATAAAGTTAAATATTCTGAATGCGTGATATAGTTTATATTTTTTTAATTGGGTTTGGTTTAAAAAGGAGGCCGAAATTGATCACCACAGAAATGTGAAAAATGTCAATTCTGTGAATTATCTTTGTATAATACAGATAGGAATAGCATATTGCAATTTTGTAAGCTGCCTATTCATTACAACTACATTTTCTGGTTGAAGTAAGAGTAAGGCTCGTAGCCAGGAATTTAAAAAAAAAAGGGGGGGGGGATTCTCAAAAATTTTATTTGCTAAGTTAGACGTAACAGCTAAGTCAGGAAAATGTGTATTTTCAAGGGTCTTCGGGGTCCTAAATGCGTTTCGGGCTTCAAAAAAACACAATGTATGATACAAAAAAATGCTTTTTATTTTTACAGTTGAAAAAAAGGGGGGGAATGGGTTTAGACCCTTGAACCCCACTACCAGCTACCCCCCTTGCACATAGCCCCCTGGGAGAGCCCAAGAGACCAGTTTTAGTAGCTCTACCCTAAACCCTTATAAAACTTAGTTTTTTTACCTGTGTAACTACTTTTCTAAGATTACCGCCAATTTGATTATTTTGTTGTTGCTGTTGATTTTGTTCTTGTTTCAAAATCGTTTCCAGCATTGCATCTAGTGAGCTGCAAACTTAAATAATAATGAGGAATGAGTAAATTAGAAAAACTCAAGCTAAAAGTTTTAAAACGCAACTTTTTTCAAAGCAAAGTCTCCAGCCGTCAACTTAAAGCAGAAAGACTAATGACTCCCAGGAAACCGCTAGAATGTAAATATATACTTGCAACAAAGAGGTATGTGCTTGGGATTTATTTTTCTGGCAGAACACATATTTACAAATAAATTTATAAATTGCTATGACAAAAAGTTTTCCAACTTTGCTCTGGAAAAAGCTTTGCTAGGATAGGTGGAACAAACAGGCCGGTAAAATATTACCTTTGGCAGCATTTTCCAAGAACTGGTCATGCATATTAAACCTATCTTCTGGTGTTAAATTATTGTTTGAGTCATCGCCGACAGAGAATGAGATAACAGGTACTGATTGGGTCCCGTGGGTCGGGGTAGAATGCGTAGATTTGGACAAATTTTGGGGTCTCGGGGGAGTTATGTTCTGATCTGATGAAGAAATGCTGTTTACAGATGTAGTTGACTGTGTTGATGTTAAGGCAATGTCTGGATTACTTTTGCTGAGATTGGATTGATCGCTGATTGGTAGTACAGGAGCTGATGGTGCCTGAATTAAGAAATATACATTCAATAACATTTTATTCCAATTTTTCTTATTTTAGTTCCATTACGACATCGGAGACTAGACAAATGACTTCTGTAGTATTTGTACCTGAAATTATGGCCTAACCCTAACCTGGTACACATACCTCGGGAGTACCAAATTTTTGATGATAATTTTAAATGAGTCTCTGAAAACATAAGCTAAAACATAAAAATTTTGTTTTTGTTTGGTTGTGGCAGCATCAGGCGGGCCAGATTGAATTACCCAACGGGCCAGACTTGGCCCGCCGGTCTCAGTTTGCTCACCCCTGGTCTGAAACAATGCTAACCTTGAACACTTCACTTGCTAACTCAGGAGTTGAAGCAGGTGCATGCATGCTACCAGCTTTCTGTAGTTTCTTTGATGCTTTTTTAGACATTTTTCTTTCTTTTTTTGACATTGTGGACATGTTTAATGTTGCAGGAGGCTTCATCGGACTCCATGCTGGTCCACTTTTAATTCCTTGTAACAATTTCCTGAGTTTTTCAATCTCGTTTCGCACAGTCCTGAGATCTGTAAAGAAAAAAATCTTCGTCTACTTTAGCAACAACAGAACCCTGTTCCTTCCAAATAACCGCAGTCACTTACATGCCGTGTTTCCCCCGAAAATAAGCCAGTGTCTCATTTTTATTTCTTTTTGAAAAATCACTAGGGCTTTTTGGAGTGGGGGTTGTCTTTAATTTTCATTTATCAGAATCAAAATTAAAAAGTAGAACTACCAGATTTTTGAATATACAAAATATGAAAACCGATATCCATCTACTTATAAATACCACGTTTTTATTTAGAATAACTGCTGAACATAGATTCTTAATCATTTAAAATGAGTAAGAAAGACTTCTTGCTATCGACTGGGTCAAAAAAAATTTTGTGCTATCGACTAGGTCCTATTTTAAAGGAGGGCTAGTTCTTATTTTGGGGGAAACATGGTATGAGTGAATGCTTGTACTGAGCCTTGGTTTGAACAAAAGGTGTGGAAGAGCGTTGTATAAAACTGTACCTAAGGATACAGGATGGTGGGCGATGGTCCAGTCCTAGTGGATAAAGTGTTAGGCTTAATCATGTTTAAGTCGTGAATGGCACATCCGAAGTTTAATTCACATGCAGGGAATCAGGATGTAATAATTTCATTGGGACGTGCCTGCAGTCCTTCTAAACTGCAGTAGCCTTGTTCAAAGCCAAAGACATGGAATAAGGATGGGCATTCCACAATATTTTACTATTTTGGAATACTTAAATTGAATTCCATTACTCTAGGCTACTGAAAATTAATTCTTCCATCAAATTGGTGGATTGAAGTTTTTAAAGAGAAAATTTGAAAGGTTTGAGTGTCTATATTTTAATTTAAAATGTTCTGGAAATTTGATATTAAAAAGGCGTATCTCGAGATAATGAAGTTTTGAAATTTGCCGAACAGGCAAAAATAGAATCCTGCTATCTTTTCTAAACAATTTGAACATTAAGAATTTGGCATTTATAAATATAAATGCATTTATTGCTTGTTGCCTACTATTAATAACACACCTAAAGCCCAAATCCTATCAAAGTTGCCACATTTATGTGATACACTCAGAGTCTGCTACTATAATCACTTCATATCATTTGTCCGTATCTATTCGTCATCATTGTATATCACAGTGAAATGTGGCAACAGTCACAGCAATTTTTTTCTTGTTATGTTAATTCAAAAAGACATTAATAAATATAAAATTTGTGTAAATTCAAAAAGACAAAAATGTCGATATAATAATTATTCTTTCCATAACCATCAACAAGAAATTGGGGGAAGAATAAATGCAATTAGCAAATAAATTATGCATGAATTTCTTTTACTTTGAAATGCATTAGTCAATTCTTCGGAAACCGCTTCAGGAGAATATCCCAATTCAAATTTCCAAATCTATTAACGTCTGCCACTGAGCATAGATTAAATTTACCACGCAGTTAAATCTTTATTGCTGGGCTCTGATTTTTAGAGCTTTAATATCATTAAAAGCTTTTTTCACTCAAGTTTTCAAAATGAGGATGGAATTGATTGTCATGTAATAAACCTAGTAATCTTTTAAATTTGCATTGACTAGCACTCAGAAACAATTTCAATAAGCACACACATTGCATTTAACATCCAATTAAAACAGAAAATGGCCAACGTTATCAAAGGCACAATGTAAGTTTTTTCTATGGCTTGGCTACTGGCATATTGGCTGTTGGTGCAAAGCATCAGGAGCCTCCTTTTCACTGCCCAGACTTTCACAGTCCAGACTGTACCGTAGTTTTGTCCTTCATAATTTTAAAAAGGTGCTAGGTATACAAATTACCAAATTACCATCCTACATATCCCCTTATATATGAGCAAAAGTTCCAGTTTGGCCCTTTATCGTTAAATTCACCCTTCGTCTAATTTGGAACCCTTTATTCTGCCATCACTACGTTTAAAAACTTATTCAATCGTTAATTGGATCCTTAGATAGTGCCATACACAAGTCCCACTCTTGCGTATGTACAAGCTTATCCCGTAAATAGTTCACAATGTGTGCATAAATATTATAGTAATAATAAAGAACTAAAGAATAGTAGTAATACTACAGCAAATTCAACACACAATTTCTCCCTAGCTAAGAAATGTGGTGTTGTTAGTGGCATTGAAATATCACAGATTCACAGTATATCACATTGAAATATAACAGTATAAAAAGAGAAATATGGGACAGTTTCCAAAAGGAAATTTCAACTTTTATGTTATTCATGGTGACCGTACATTTGAACCCATGTACATTTGAACCCATGCGTATATCCACGGGTTCAATCTATATGCGGGTGCTAAAACCCATGGGTTAGGGTTAGTATGGGTTTAACTATCTGTGAAACAAAAAAAATTCCATAGGTGCAATAGCATACAGGTGCAATTGTCATGGGTTCAAATGTACGTGGGTTCAAATGTAATGGAACCGTTATTCATACCTGTTGCGACATCTTCTACTGTAGATTCCGAAACAATTTCTGAGTCCGATGAAGGTTCTCGAATAGGTGAAGCCTATGAATAAAAAGCATTTTAAATTTTTTATTTTAATTATTTTCGAAAATTGACGATATCAAATATAACTAATTTTGGTGCTCCAGATGTATGAGTGTCAATACGAAGGTAACTAATTTTGTTTGCCTATTCACATCAAATTGTGTAAAGGGACTGAAACCTATGGGCAGAGGGTATATTCACTTGTCTAACACAGATAGACCGCGAACTCGTAACAGAACTAGAATGAAGAAAATCGGAATAAAATTATGGCCTAAACCTAACCTGGTACACATACTACGGGAGTACCCTAAATTTAAATCTTTATTAGAGAGCACCCTATCATGTCTGTACACTCATATTTTATGCCACAAAGTGAGATCGCTCATGTAGTTTTTATATCACATGTTTAAAGCTCAATTGAAGTTCTTGTTCTGGCGAACTTAAAATTTTGGTCCTGTGTGTTTCTTTCATTTCTAGTAATTTTATGATCTACTTATCTATTTAAGCATTATGATTCATTTTGGACAACATGATATGGACCAATCAAAAACATATTATTCACAGTTAATTATACATATTTTTCAACTAAATATGTGTAAAATTAGCTTCAAAATCCTCTTTAAAGCAGCCCTTAGGCCTAAACTATAAAATACTGTACATCAAGTAAAATATTGCAACATAACTCAGGTTATTATACCCTTGAGGGCTATTTGTAACTACTTGTATCTAGAATTACATTCTGGTCTCAAGGGACCAATGTTAAAGTTATTTTACAAGTGTATTGACTTTTTCGAATTGTTAGTTTGTTACATTTTGAATTGATGGAAAATGTACAGTTGTTAAATTAAGTATACTAGAGTAAGGACTACCAACCCAAAACCTAGAAAATCAGGTACAATATTTCAACATAACTCATGCCCAACACTACAAAAATCTTGGTGTTCCATGAGTCCATGACTTCGCTATATAGATGTCAAATATGGAACAAAACTTGGTGTGTTAAACACATGTGTACAAAATGTCAGATGCCAAATGCATAAAATTAATGACATGGCCCACTGACACTATATTATATTAGCTTAGATGTTCAACATTTTCGGACTTTTGACTTATCACGTAGTTAGACTCCATAGCCCTGCTTATTGCCCTAGAGCAGAGGTGTGCAGCCCTGTGTAATACAGGTGGGCCTGATACACATAACTGGGCAAAACCGCGGGACTCACCTTTGTTAACATCGGCTTTCTGCGGGTTGCAGGCACAAAAATGCAGGTTATTGATTTTATAACATGCAGTGTTCGCTCAAGCTAACTGGTAGGGCATTGTAACGTCATAGTCACCGATGATAATGAATTGGACTCGGTTATAGGCTTTGCAATGCAAGGGGATTGAAATTACTGGTACGCACCAGATTTAACTAAATTAAAAAAAACTTTCACAGAATGCACATTATTCAAAAATGGCACTTCTCCAACAGGCCACCCAATTTTTTAGTGTAGGTCGCATTTTGCACACTCCTGCAATGAATTTATTTGTGTTTGGCGAAGACTTAGAAATTGAAAATATTTGGCTTACCACATGACTGTCAACACCATCACTTCCGATCAGAGTTGTATCGTTTTTCATTTCTGCTTGTCTGTATTCTCTGTGACTTCTGATCTCCGTCACCCATTGTTGGAATGTGGCTTGAGATTTGATCTTGTCAAAGAATGAAGATTTTACCATAATGATCAGGTTAAAATAAAACTATATAAGCAAACTTGTAGAAAAAAATTAGCAATATGTACAATCTGTTTCTTGACTTGAACCCCTGGAACCCACGCTAAGGAATATTGGTTAATGCATGATAAGGCCTCGAAAAAACTAAAAATTTGTAAATTGGACTTCTTCAAATAACGCTGAAAAAAGCCTCTTTCTTCAACTAAAAATCTCAAAAACATTTCCGTTTACTTGACAATATTTCGAAAAGATTGCTAAACTTTATATGTATCCTAGCTGCTTGTACAAGCCTTGTTTAGATCAAGGCATGAAAAAACCTGATAAGGAAACTAATAGCTTGTCTGAAGAAGACGAAACGGTACAGAAATACATTGCGTTGGTGTGCAGCAAGACTCTTGAATCAAATAGTATAGTCATCTTTATATTTGCCACAGCATTCTTGCATTACACGAATACGGATCCACTTACACAAAAGCATAGAGCAAGGAAAATCTAATAGATATAACTGATTTTTGTTTTTATTCAAATGACACTGCGTCTAGTCTGATTGTACTGCTATTACACAAAGACTTCGCTTTCGTTACTTGAAGATGCCATGACTAACCAGAAGATGGTGATGTAATCTCAACATTAATCCTAGAGAATTATACAATGTTTTTCTTATGACTAAGTATTGTTGCTGGTTAGGGCATCACAGGTTACATGACTGTGTCATGCAATGAGAAAATTTCCTGTGAGCAATGACCCATATAGGAAAGTCCAGAAAAGCTGGAAGAAATTAGAAATTAACAGCTATTTCATGAGATGGTTTTCAACATTACAAATATCAACGTATTCATGAATATATGATTTAAGATCATTTTGCAAAGTAGCATACATTCAAGGCTAAAATCTTACCCAATAAAGCCATGCATCTGAATCAAATAACTGGCTGAATAATGCCATACCCAACATGGACTGTAATCGGACAAGAGGCCATGGTTCATCATATGATTACGTCACCTTGGCAGCTTTCCAAGGGGTTTGAAACTGATTAATAACAATAAGCAGGCGGCATCAGGAATTAAATGATTTTAGCAGTTTTAGCAGTTTAGCAACAAATTTTAGGGTCGCGAAGACTGAAAAGTACACCAATTTTACATAAAGTAATATATTTATTGTACTTTTTTAGACTTTTGATTCAAAATACAATTATTAAAACTAGTGCAAAACATAAATCTCATGATTTCGAGAGAATACAGGATCAGAGAAACGAAGCGCTTGCATAACAATGCCGACTTTGGTTGTAAGCCTCGAGAAGTGGTGCGCTACTCGTAACAGGGGGGCATGGAAAATTTTGATATATTGGAAGAGGTTGCGGAAGCTCTGGTATAATCGATAGTAATAATAGACTACAATGAGAGATTTGTCTCAGAATTCCTTATAAGGTATTTGCTATTGTTATCTGCGTTGTTATTGGAAGCATGACATCATTTTATATTTATTGTCATGCATATGTGTATAGTAATGTCATGATCTGCTTCGCGATTACACAAAAATTTATAGATAAAATGGATGTATAGATATATATACTGAGGGTTTGTTCATAAATTCAATCCAACTATTTTAAGTGGATCAGTGGATAATGCATAAGGATCCACCGGCATAAAAGAATAGAAGGATAACTACTGAAAATTAGTCCTTTAGAGACGCAACTGGCAAAAGCATAACTTACTTGTCCGAGATCATTACATACAGAGAAATATTTACTTTCAGCTAATATGTTATTGTCTTATAAAGGTAGTATACCTACTAAAAATAAAAATTTAATATACAGTAATGGAATGGGATGCATACACTGTTGGTACTTTCTAGCATAAGATGCAGCACTGTGATACGTGTATGAATCTTATTCAATTATAATTGCTATACTTTGCTTTCAACAGACTGCTTTATAAAATATGAAAAAAGTATTTTGGACAATAAAAAAAATTGTATAATTTCACACAGTCAAATCTAGTCAAGGTCAAACAGCTCTAATGGAAATCTTCAATTAATTTCATTCGCTAATGACTGTTTATTCTGTCTATTTTTGTTTAATTTAAGTTGGTGTCAAGTACTTAACACCTTTTCAAGTACAAGTATTAATTAGTTCACCTTGCTTTGAACATCTGCTGTGTTTGAAGAATAAATATAGTCAAACAAAGAAACATTTTAATCAAACATTTAATAATCAAAAATTCAAGAGGGAGATGAGCGCAATGTTTTGGTAGTTAAAGCAATAGATATACCATGCAAGCATCACAACCAAAACCGAACACTTTGCTTTTCCTGAATCAGTGATGTCCAAAATGAATACCCGAATACAATTTACTTCTCAATGAAACTCTTACTTCCAAATGAAATATCCGATTTGAACATCCGGAAATTGGAAATGAAAAGAGTACAATCAAACTAAACATAGGCTTCTCAATAAGCACTAGCTCACCAAACTAGATTGTGAAATTTTTTTCAATATCGCTAGAAATGGAATTTTTTCCCTATTTAAAGCATATATCAGAAATTGAAAGCCCGTTCGTCTACTTGCAGTATTAAAACAATAAAATAACTTTTTCTTTACAATCAAAAGCAAAGTCAGATTTATTCAACTTCTTAAAACTCTTACTTTCAAATGAAATATAGTGTCTTCGGCATCTAAGTCTATTCTGCATGATTTCTTCTGTGTTGACATGACACTCAATCCAACATCGAGAATCCCATGCAGTTTGCCTTTGACAATCTGAACAAAAGAAAATAAGCTTACTTGATGATAGAAAAGAAAGATATGGGCTTAAAGTAGTGTTCGTAATTTATAAACACAAATTTCTACATTCCTTATAGTCTCAGTAGTTCTTGGTATTTCATTGGTCATCCATCACTTCTTCGCACTAGGGCTGGGCATTTCTAATCGAATATTCGAATTAAATCGAATAGTAAATTATTCGAATCGGTTAAGAGCAAAATTTCTAATCGCCGCCATCTTGTTTTTTTTCTTTCTGCTAATTGTTGCAATTTTTTATCATTTTTTTTATTGAAATCATATTTTTTCAACGCTATTCTGACATATGACTCTTTTCTTTCAAGTGAGATATTGATGGAAACGTGGTTTTAATTGTGTGTGAACTCTCAGAATCTGTCTGAGTGATGTATTCTATGTTTTCAGTATTTTATGTGTCTGGTGGACCCAATACAATAAGTAACATACAATTATATATCTCCCAAGTATTCAAGATTCGATTCGAAAAAAATATTCGATTCATTCCGAAATGATCATGTATTCGAAAATGCCCAGCCCTACTTCGCACAGAGATAAATCTATGAGAGATGACATTGCTCTCCTCTGAGCAAACTTTTTCAACTAAATTATTTAAAATCTTCTGTTCTTTTTGTGGATAAAGTTTTAATTTTAAATCATAAATAGTATATATAATTATAGAGAACTTTGATTACTTTGAAATCACTCATAAATTAACTCTGAAAAATTTACTCAGGTTAAAATTAGATATAATATAGCGAAACAAAAGGGTTTAATAAGATTAAGAATTGTAAATACGGTAATCGGATATTGAACAGAATGATTGTTTTGGGTAAAAACATCAGTTTTGTGATATAACGAATTCAAGCTAAATTTTCACTATATATTTTCTCATTCGATAGTACCTGTTCTGGGAACAATTTGAGGCGCTCCCGTAGAATGTGCACCAAGATGGCGGACAACCTGAACCCTAACCTGGTACACATACTATGTTCAGGTTGTGCGCCATCTTGGTGCACATACTACGAGAGCACCCAATTTGTTCCATAAAAAGAATGCATGTATCCATGCATTATTTCCTCGTCTAATAATTATTCTACCAAGCCCTCAAGACAGGAGTCAATATAATCCTGAGGGAAGAGCAGGCAATGTTACACTTGATAATCATACTATTATTATTGATGTTATAAAACAGTGTTATCATTACATAAGACATTACTTGACCTCTGAAGAATAATATTAAAATCAATACATTAATATTCAAATAAGCTGATGCTGAGTGGGAGCCTATCCACATATTATTATGATAAACTACTACGTACATCGTAGGATAAAGGATTATTATGATAAATTGTGAATCCATTCTGAAAACAATAACAAAATTGTGGAACAACAATTCCTACTAACATGGACTGGTAACTGGGCAAAATGTATGAAGAAATGGATGTGATACAATTTTATATTTATCCTGGGGGAGAGGAAAACTGATGGGATGGCTTAATAATCATATGGCATACAGTATGCATATGATACCAGGTTTTCAAATGCATAGGCTTGAGTATTGATAGAGTATTATTATCACGCTTTGACCATCTCTGTAATCAGTCAGAAAAATCTCTAGTGAAGCAAAAATAAAAAAGTCGCAACCACACATAAACATTTACTCAATTTCGAACCCCGCAAAAATTACCTGACCATGACATGAACAAATAAAAGTATGTAAAATCAATTCAGGTACTCTCAGTAGTGAAATATTAGGCATTTCCTGTCTAAGTTTGGCTTTCTTAGTGCAATAAATAGATCAATAAGTCATGCACAGAGCAATAAAACTTAAAGATGAAGCAATTTAAAACAAAACTACATATTTAAACAAATAAATCAATGAAACTAATCAATATTTAAAATGTAAAATGCAAAGTTGTTGGTAAATCTTAATTAGACTGGGATGTCAAGTTTTCTTCATTTAAATTGTTAAATAAGTTACTCCTATCAAAGAAAAGATATCTTATGTTATTAGTTGATACGAATAACATAATCTCTTTCCACGGAATAGCAAGTACAGTATATTTAAGAGCTTTTGTTTTATTACTATTTGCTGTTTATTGAGCCATATCTTGTTTATCTGAAGAAGTTAGACTATGATCTAACAAAAGTAATAAATATACTTCCTATTTCGTGGAAAGAGATTAGGTTATTCATATTTATCTTTATAGTATGATCTCGTTCAAGCATCCTTGTGGCAACCGACGCATACGAATCCAAAGTAGAAAGTAAACAAGGAGAAAGGACTTGCAGTTCAGTACACAATACCCTAGCACAATCCCAATTAGTTGATAGTGGAATAAAAAAAACTTTTATTTTTATTCCATTGTTCAGAAACAATCCACAAGCTACTGTACTGGTCTTGGTTAAGAATGAAATTATACTGATGTAGGTCTATTACTGGTAATCGAATATTCTAAAATCTTAACTAAGATTCATTAATAAAATCTGAATGTATATGTAAAGAATATATATTTCGTTTCTGTATTTAGTATCGTCTCATTCCAGCATGTACCAATTCAAAAGCCTTAGTGAGCAAGGAACAGAAAGATGATCATGTGTGCCATTGACTCCCTTCTAAGAATGTTTCATTTTACCTTTTTATTAATAAACCTGAGAGCATATTATGTCCATATTCATATCTAAGCCACACTATCTAACGAAAAACTCAACACAAGAAGCAATGAAAATAAATAGGAAGTCCATATAACTCACATCATGAGGAGACTTGGCATATTTCATGAATCCTTTCTCCAGGACAAAGAATCTCTGAAAAGTAATCAAAAATAATAGCATTAAAATAATTAAACGAAAGGCTTTCATTACAGCCTCTCAATAATGGGGGTTAGGGTTAAAGTCTGTCTTGGTGTTGAAATTTATATTGAAAATTTTGGCGCTCTCGAAGTATGTGCACCAAGATGGCGCACAACCTGAACCATAAACTGGTACACATTCTATGTTCAGGTTGTGCGCCATCTAGGTGCATATACTTCTGAGCTCCAAAAATTTTCATTTCATGGGTGGTATATTTTTAGCATCAATTAGAACGTTGATAAAAAATTAAACGTATAACAATACAAAAACAAGAATTATCATTATGAAATATTCCTCTATGAAATATAAAGTTAATAAAACAGTCTGATGAAAAATCTTTTCCCCAAAAAATTTTCCCTGAAGCACAGATACCCATACTTACTCAGAAGTGATGAAGACTAATCTCCAAATGAAGTTATGGTCAAAGGACTGAAGTTCAATAGTTACTAAACCTATATGAACTATATGATGCGTCGTTAAATTACTGAATGACGCCAGATATGAAACCGCTAAGTCAATGAAATCAGTAAATGGCTACAAAGTAGTGAATTCCAGATAAGTTCTTTGAAAAAACCTTCAAAATTGAATTAACAAAAAAGAACACTCTTAATAACCAACCATCTACGACTGATATGGGCAAACCACGGCCCGTGGGTTAAATCAACCCGTTGGGTAATTCAATCTGGCCTGCCTGATGCTGCCACAACCAAACTAAAATCAAATTTTGATGTCCTAACTAAACAATACTTCAATGAATTTGTTAAGATTGCGATTAAATTTAGTTTAAGCAAGAGGCTTACTTTTTTGTACTTTCGCTTTTGTAACACTGTACATATTGTTCATAAAATGTAACTTTTTACATCACACTCACATGGGCCGCCAGGCTAGGTGGGCAAAATTTTTGGCCCCTGGTGCAAAAACATTGCCCACCCCTGATCTACAATTACATTTTTATCATTCCATCCTAGTACTTCCCTATATATCTCTTTTATTAAATAATCTTTAAAACAATTATTACCTTATGCCATCCTTTCAGTGGCCATTTTCTTCTTTTCAAAACGTATCCTTCATATTTCTTGGGAATATTTGGATTGTCTTCCATCTCCTTTAACAAAAATGTTAAATTAAAGAAGTGTCCCATACAAAACATCAACAAAGAAAACTATACATTGCCAGTGACTAACTAAATTATGTAAACATCGAGACCCAAGATACACCTTGGAAAACTAACAAGAAATAACCATCAATTGAAAAAATATCTTTGGAATTATAATCAAATTGATGTATTGCCTACAAGACTCAAAAATGATGGAGAATTCCCTTACATTTTCGAATAAACTGTGATAGCTACATTGTGCAAAGAAATCTAAAATGTGTGAAAGAATATCAAGCAATGAATGATTTAATAAAATTCGGAGATGTATAATTACTTCTTGAATAAAATTTTCGAAAATTAATGCACTTCTAAAATTCCCAAAAAAAAAAATTTCAAGACCTGCAAAACACTTTTAAATATCTAATGGACAATACCAATAGAAATGTGAAGCAACAGTGAAACATTAATGTGAAACGAGTTTACAAATTTTGTTAAGACAGAAATTCACCAACAGAAAGATATTGCTAAAACATTAATATGCCCATACTAATCAACAAATTCAACAAATTGGGAAAAATAATTTGCAATATAAATAAATCTAAAAAGAAAAAATTTGAATTAAAAAAGGAGTTCTAGGTTATTAAAAATGAATATCACATAAAATATCTAGTATTCAATAAGAAAACAATAATAAATAATTAATTTCCCTCTCAAACAAAGATATTCTATGCTAGGCATAACTACTGTAATACTTTGTCATACATTCATAATTGTTGTTTTCAAGCATGTGTGAGCTTGGAAATGTCAAAAAATAATATAAATCCTATGCCAGTATTCACTAGAAAAACAGTAACAAAAAGTGCCAAATCATTCCAAAATGAAAATACTTTTAATAGTCAAAACTTAAGTTCGAAGCTATCCATAAATTGTATATTCAAGCATGATTTTGATTACGGTACATCTAAGAGACTTCTTCACAAAAACATAAAATCAGATTCGTAGGTAAGTACAAATCAATCATAGATAAAACAAAATATAATTATACAATAAATGAGGTTTAATGATTGCATTAGTAAAACATAACTCAAACACAAAGATGGAAATTAGTCAAATATGGATGAACTTACCATTTTCAACATTTATCAATGATGGTTAAATGACTACAATAAAGTGAAGAATATGAAACAAACATGGCTTATGGATATAATAGTTGAAATATATGCCCTATCTGCTGTTCTATTTATCTTAGATTAGACAAAGCTAAGATAGACTAGGTGAGGCCCACATTCAACCTATCATAAATAATGAAACCTAACTTCATACAGGTAATTTGTAGTGATGCAATGCCATGAATATACCCAAATCGTGACATCAAAGATATGATAGGATTATTAATCATATGGGGATGTTTTCAGATGCATGGACTTAAAAATGGAGGAAGCTGTAACCAACCAGCGATTACATGAACCACTCTACGGCGGCGAAGAGTCTAGCAATCATCTCGCACATAATAATCACGACATATGATTCGAACCTGCGAACCCACGCAAGGTAATCAGAGGGTGAGATAACAAGTGTATCATATGCTATACCGCCTACATACAAGAAATTTGGAGTGATGCACATGCAATACAATGATAGTACCCAAATCTAGACATCAAATATTGGCTAAACTTAGCTAGACAGCAAATGTCAAGAGAAGGGACATTGAAAGAGAAAAGATGTTTTGATTCTTGACTGTGCTTGATTTACATAAAAGTCAAATACACTTTACAACGATTATATACTTTATATTGATGCAAAAATCGCTCTCCTTTATTGTAAGCTCTGAAGCTGGATGTGGTAAAATAAAAACTTGGAATAACTTTCTGAGCAAGATAATAAACATAATTATACTTATCACTGCTTCAAAAGCTTGTCTTCAATTGAATGGAAATATTAGATAGGAATTCAGCTTCAAAATTGTATTCCCTCACAGATACCGTGGATGATGTTATATTTATACATCAAATACCCAATTGATCTGGTGTTAGATAGCCTATATCTAAACTTCAGGACTAGTTCACTAAACGCCGACAAGTACTCCTAGTTGGCGTGGCATACCATTTTCCCATATGTCATTTCTAACCCCCACCTGACTACGTCATCCAAAATTACGTCATTACAACGTCACAGTGACGAAATAAGGCCCGTCAAAGTATATGGATTGACGTCTTAAACGCACAGACGATCACCCGAAATCAAGCAAGCTATTTCTCTCGTTTACTCGTTGTAACAATCCCCACATGAAAAAGATCACTGGCGTTAGCGAGTTCGTTATCGTCAGCTCAGCAGCTGAAATGCCATTTCGGGCGATCGTATCTTTGGCAAGCTCTATGACGTGATTGTGACGTCGTAGTGACATAATTTTATATGACTAAGTCAGGTGGGGGCTAGAAATAACATATGCAAAAATGTTTGTGCCACGCCAACTAGAATTACTTACAGCGTTTAGTGAACATTTGCCTAAACTGCTAAGAGCCTGAGAATCAATCAACAGATCAAGGTACTACAGTACTAGAAATACGGTTTCTTGATTTAAATAACACTTGCAGACTTGATAGATTCATAAGAAATTATTTGAAATCTGACAAATACAAACACTGAAACATGCTTTTCTTTGTGATTTTAGAATTTGGTCAGTTCAAATTAAAAACCCTGAAACCTGAAAATTCAAGCACTCCTGCACTCTGACATCTGGAACTTGAACTATTCAAGACCGGGTGTTGGTATATGGGCTACCAGTATAAAGATACAGTACAGCAGTACAGGAATCTGGGAATGAAACAGCGGAAGGTCTGGTAATTTTAACTAATAACAGAAAAAACTCAAAAATTCAAAATTTTGGACATAGAAAGATATACTCACATTATGTGGAACCAAATACGTCATTAGAGTTTGCAACGCCATTGATAAATCCCAATATTATCCATTAAAAATTATTGAAAGGCAACTTTGTTAACGTATACACGTAAGAGCAACAGCAAGAAAGTCCCGCTCCCGTGACTGTGATGACGAATCGTCAAATGAGGAAAATAAACAATGGAAAAGACCGGCGTGGTGCACGGAGTCCAATTTGTATCGATAGATATAGTTTTTTTCAATAATGTTTTTAATCAGACGACAGACATGAAACGAAAATTTTTCAGATAAAGAAAATATTCACCGCAGTTTTCGCCATAACATAACCTCAGTGATATTATATGTACCTACCCACGAATTCATATCAAACACAAAATTATTGGCAATCGCGTATTGGGTCACAAGTTAAGAAAAAATATAGGTACGTATGAATCGAGTCGAGCAAGATTAATATAGGCTGATTTTCTTTTCTGAACCAACTCCTGGTCTTTAATTTTTATTCCTTGCTAGGACTGCATAGCTTAAGTTCTTGACAAGTAGAATGACATCGCCATTAATTTAAGTTTCAGCGCAGCCTAGGCTGTCCAACCTCATGTGCGCATCTGAACTCCGCGTTCTAACTTGGCGTTTCTAACCAGGAGACTGCAAATGCAAGAGAATATGGTAGGCTATGCATTAATACTTAACGGTAATGCTCAATCAGGTAGTCTAATTATGAAGTTATTTGCACTGCTAGGCTATACACAGACTTTGATATAATGAACCGTAGGCCTACTTTGAGGCATTCTGTGGGGTAGGAAGTAAAACAACTAAATGTTGTCGAAGTCCTGGTAAACTCAGCACCCAAATCTGACAATGGCCTTGGGGACGATACGCGACAACCACTCAGATTCCTCTGTTTGTTCGACATCAGATCCTTTGTACAAAGCTCCCGCCAACACTCAATACAAGAAAATAATAATTATCCAGTTAGGGTTAGGAATGCAGATTGCGCTGGAATATTAAATTTTCAAATCATTCCTAACCCAAACTGGATAATTACTAATTTCTTATTTTAAAACGTGGCGGGGATGATTTTCTCAAATCTCACATTTTACATTTATGGCGGGGGACTTTCTGTAAAAGATTATCAAGTGCTGTATATTAATATGTAACTGATTGTTTATGAATGCTTTATGGTGAAATACAGTTAATTTCATATGATGGGTTTTGCGGTTCAAATCAAAGCAACAGTCTTGTTTGAGCGTTTAAGGAAACAACTGCGTTTACAATTGGACAATATTTTGGCATTTTATTGTTGAATGAAGCGGTTTAGCCCACCCCCTCGTGCACTCAACTCTGGCAACTTTGGTTGGGCAATTTGCCTTTTGATTCCAATTCCAATGGACCTTTCCCCGAGCCTCGACTCCCTTGTTTACTTTGTGACATTGGCCAATCAGCAAGATGTAAAAAGTGACGTAACAATGCCCTCTTTTGGCATCCGCTCAGACACTTTTGTCACTCAGACAGATTTTCAAGCAGGGTTGTAGACATTACCTCGTTTTCGCGTTTTTGAACTCTATTCGTTAGTTTTCAGTTGTGTTTCGGAAACTTAAATAAAATTCAGATATTTCAATGATCACTCTGTCTTCCTAGGAGTTTTAATTTAATTGCCGTAATAAAAATTAGTGTAGAAATAGCTGTGTTACCCTAGCCTGAAACTATTTACCGGTACTTTTAAAAAACAGATCGTTGTGTGCGATGAATCATAATGATGGTTTGAAACACATACCCCATTTTACAGGCGCCAACTCGCAAAAGCACTCCTAAAATAGCCCTGAAAATTTTGCAATTGTAAAGTATAGGAAGAATTATCCTGGGATCAAAGGTCGGGGAAAGGTTCATTCCAGCTTGGCGAAATCTTTTTTTTTTTGTCTTTATATATTGTTCACTTTTATTTAATTTTTTATAAAATTATCAAAACGGTGTGGCAAACAATTCTTATTTTGTATTACAATTCCTATCTTTTATTCTAATGTGTTTTTTTATCATATACTTTATATAAAGCTCTCTTTTTTTTCTAACTTTATTTTAGCCCTGTGTGTGTGTGTGTGTATTGATTCAATAGTTTTAGATGAGTGACTCGGCAATGCCTTCTTCCATCTTATATTCTGTACGTTTTAAACCTTATTCAAGGTTTTGTTTGCTCTCCTGATTCCCTAATCAGTAGTGGTTTGTTTTTATCAATCATTTTATCTTATCACATTTTGTGCCGATTATGGAGTTGAAACAAACTTATGTTATCTTTGTTACGAGAAAAGATAGGTAAATTTTACAACGATTTGTGGTTTTACCTCCCTGTGAAATCTCACGACACCGACTATAACTTTTAGGAAGTAATTCTCTCACATATAATTATCACTCACTGATTTCGTACTTGCAAATCTACGCGTTATAATCAAAGGCATGATAGCAACCGAGCCTACAACCAGGTCGGCCAATTGTGTCGAGATGACTTTATACGATAGGCGGAGGCGAAACACTTTCCAAAAACACGTTTTGAAATGTTAAAATAAGGTTTCATTACATTTGAACCTACGTAGCCTACATTTGAACCCACTGCAATTGTACCTGCATACTAATGCACCTATGGAATTTTTTACAAATATTTGAACCCATACTAACCCTAAACAACGGAGTTTAGCAACCTCATATAGATTGAACCCGCAGAACCCGGGTGCAAATGCATGGGTTCAAATGTACGGTCACCTTAAAATAATGAAACAAAATTACCATACGTTCAGTGTGAAACTTACTGTGTTTTGTTTTATTGTTTCATCGCTATTTTTATGTCAGTATTATTCGCTTTTATTCCGTTTCAAATCGTGACACATCGCAGTCTTCTCACTTATGACAATTCCAAACCTTCTTTTCGGCTTAAAGTCACAAATTACAAGCCAAATACTAAAATCTTTGAGTGAGATAAATCATGGACAGTGATCCCCCAAATATTATAGAATATTATTGTAAATCTTCATTGTGCACATATATGTAATAAAAATAACCTCAAGAATATGTCGTGAAATTATTCAGGTATTAGGATAGGAGGATAGGATAGGATTTACATATTTATCCCGGGGGAGAGGAGAGCCGATATGACGGCTTATCCATATGGCGAACCACGGCCTCTCGTCCGGTTACTATTCCAAGTCGGGTATGGGATTAGTTTTACTGTATTCTTTGTTTTCGGAAGCATGGACTTGGTGGTGGAGGAAGCCGTAACCGACCAGCGGTTACGTGAACCACCCAACGACGGCGAGGAGTCCAGCAATCCTCTCGCACATAACCGTCCCTGCAAGGGATTCGAACCTGCGAACCCACGCAGAGTGATTAGAGGTGCGGTGGCGAGCGTATTCCTAACGCTTAGCCTGTTGAGCCACACCGCCGCGCCATTCAATTCAACGTCAATTTGTACTCAGGTCTGATTGTACAGCTATAGCCTAACACATTTTTTCATCAGCACTTAACTGTTTTCGGGTCTTAGTATTCCTCCATCACAGTCAAAAGATTTGTTTGCAGATTTACTTCTTTGAATTATCTTATGCGTCTTGTCGCTATGATTGCATAATAACACATTTTTTTAATAAAAGTGAACGAAGTAATATGCACCACAAGTTTAAAACGGGATATCACGGGCATGAATACACATGCTTCCTATCAACGACGTATGTTCAATGTAATTTTTCTGGGGTTGTGTAGTCGTGAGCTGCCAAGCGTGAAGTCGTTAATTAAGTAAGATTCTGATCAACTGGATCCTTGTCAGCAGCGGTGGCGCAGGGGAAGCGTAGGTACATGGTCAAACATCAGACCAGGGGTTCGAATCCCTCAAGGAAGACTGAGTTATAAGGATAGGCCAGCATGACAGGTTGAGGGAGTGGGAGCAGATAAAAAAAAGACTAAGAAGGAAAGAGATTCGGATAGTAAGTGAGTGCAGTCAACAGGCTAAACAGGGCTGGGTCGGCAGAGTTATATAGCTGAGAATGGGAGCGGATAGCAAGGGAGTCGCGTGGGTGAACAGGAAGGAGTGAGTCATCTCGATAGACAAGCGGCCGATTAAGGGTACAAGAAGGTCGAATAATCAAGGGTATGACGGCACGGCAGAAGAAGAGACAGTGAGAGGTTAAGCGGATCTAGTGAGAGGCTAAGCAGATCGCTGAGTTGTAAGGGGCCCAGCAGGCATGACAGGCTAAGGGAATGGGAGCAGATAAAAGAGACGTGGGTGGAAAGGAAAGTGTGCAGGAAAGAAAGGGTCACCCAAGACAGAGAAAAACAGGAAAGACTGACTGACTATCTATGGTGAAGGAGAAAGAACGTGTGGCAGAGAAAGTCGCAAATTTACATATGGGGGAGAATAGGGAGAAGGCGAGATACCCCATGTAAAGAAATTGGAAAGCAATAAGACAGAAGGAAAACAGGAACGAAGGAAAAAAGGAGAACGTGTGGCAGAGAAAGGAGAAATAAGTCGCAAATTACGGTGAAGGAGAACAGGAGAAAATACGGTGATACAAAAGAAGATACGGGATACAAAAAAATGCATACGTGAAGTGAGCAGGAAAATGTCGAGAATTCCAGGATACAAAAAATAGCCGTCATTGGAGGGGCGAAGCACGGGATTACAAAAAGGAACGAAAAAGCTTGAGAGCGCCTTCGATTTTGGCCCCGATTGATTAAAATTCTTTTTTTTTTTAATGTAACTTGAAATGGAGCAATTTTCGTTTTCACTGCTCACAAATTCGCGAAGAATCGGACAAGCCACAATATCATAAGAACATTAATGTGCCTTATCTCCGGACTTTGATCTACTGAATTAAACGATAAGAAGTATAGCAAACCAATGAGCATGTATATATGCTCATTGAGCAAACTAATTATTGTCGAAGTTTTGGTAAACGCATTTGGGAGAGGCCTTTTCTTTTACACGTAATTGCTGCTCGCAAATTCGCGAAGAATCGGACAAGCCACAATACCATGAAAACATTTGTGCTTTATCTCCGAATTTATTTTCGGACATTGATATACTGAATTGAACGATAAGAGTATACGTTAATGCTGTATTTGAAGATATTCGATTGGATAAGAAGTAGAGCAAACTAAATATTGTCGCAAGGGGAGTAGCATGGGGGTTGTGAGGTGGAGAGAGAAGAAAAAGCAACGTGACAGAGAAGTAGGAATTGATAAACAACAAGATAAAAGAGCTTCCTCGAACCTCTCGAATAGGAGAAATAAGAAAAAACTTCTGTGTGGCTAGAGAAAAAGAAGAAGCAAGCGCATATGGGAAATGAGCAAAAAAGTGGTGCCACAAAAAAGAGCCGGCATGAGCGAAGCTCGCAGGATTACAAAGAAAAGGACGAGGCAAGAAACGAAAGAGTTTGTTGTTGAGATATGGCTGCGCTCTCGATTTTGGCGCTACTTTTGTGGTACATGAAGCGAAGCATAGAAATTTGCGAAAACTGAAAACTGAATTAATTAAATTGAAGATACATTGAAATTCTTTTTTAATTAATGAAATTTGAAATGGAGCAATTTTCGTTTTCAAATTCGCGAAGAATCGGACAGGCCACAATACCATGAGAACATTTGTGCTTTATCTCCGAATTTATCTCCGGACTTTGATCTACTGAATTGAACGATACGAGTTTATGCTGTACTTGAAGATATTTGATCGAATAAGAAGTAGAGCAAACTAAATATTGTCATAGTATTGGCCGATTTTACTGATTGTGACTTCATAATACCCCCGCGCGCGTTCGCTGCGCGCGTCGTTTCGAGGACCTTGATTCGACCTTCTCAGAAACCTAGGTTTGCAGATTTGTGGTGCAAGGTTTTCGTTGTCTGGTTGCAGATTTGTAGTTCCAAGGTTTTAATTGTATTTAGAATTAACAATAATTTAACTTTAACTTAACTGTTTCCAATCAAATGTCGATTGTTTTGTAAGCTGGAAGATACCCTGTCAAGTAGGCTACGTATCTCAGTTTATTGTTTTTATGTTTAGGAATTATTTCTGCTATAGAATGGTATGCGAATGCCTGTTTTTGTAATCAGTCGTAACTGTTATTTTACTGGAGACGTAAGTGTGTTTAGTTCAGTTCTAATTTGCATAATTTTGTTAAGTTGTTAATTTCAATTGTCGACATATTTTATGCCGGCACACTGTTATAAATATTGTTTGTTTGTTTTGTTTAGAAACCCGTATTCACGTATTGTCGTATCCACCTACTTCTCGTACTCTCGTATTCACGTACTTCTCGTACATCACCAAAGTGACTATAAGTGTTACAGTCACTTTGTACATCACATATTCACATACTGTCGTATTCTCGTACTTCTAACATCGTAGCCTACTTCTCATACTGACGTACATCGTACCAACGTATCTTCGTACACCTGTACTTTCTTGACAATAAACGACATCAACTTGTACATGTTATACACGTCTTTTTGCAAAATCAGTTTACTAAAACAGATCGACCAACTGACAAAAATCAGTTCACTAAAACAGATCGACCATCTAAGAATTACACCTGGTGTGGGCGCTAAAGGCACTCCAAATTTGACGTCTATAGATATAATCGATATATAAATATGTAACTGATTGTTTATGAATGCTTGACAGTAAAATAAACTTCATCTCATATGATGGGTTCAGCGGATCAAATCAAAGCGGCAATCAAAGTTTTGTTCAAGTCAAGAAAACGAATACATCTTTGTCACACAAAGAGATAGGTGGATTTTACAACGATTTGTGTGTCATTCAGAGCAGGGGCTCAGCCGAAAACATTAAAACTGAGCCATGTCTCAAGTGCTTGTGAAGTTACCCAACAGCGCTAATGAGAATTATTCCAAGTTGTTTGTGCTAGCGCTAACGGCAATTTTGTCTGTCCTTTTTTTTTTTTTTTTTAATTATATTGCGTCTTTTTCACGCAACTTATTGTCTGCCTCATTTGGAATTCTCCCAGTATTCTGTTTTCAAACATGATCACGACTAGTCACATTCTGTGTTATTGATGTTTCTTGCAGGATATCCAACTGCAGATATGACTTTTGTGATGAAACCGGCTGACAAAAAATTTGAATCCCACCACTGCTTATAATGTAATTCATTGTTGAAGATAGATTGTAGGCCTAACCGTTTTTTTTGAATGCTTGCAGATTTGCGTAGAATCGGACAAACCACAATATCATGAGAACATTTGTGCTTCATCTTCGAAGAAGTTTCAAGTAATTATTTAGAGGAGTGGAAACCCCGCCCAGGCGAAGGCAACAACTCAAATACCTCATTGAACTTGTTACGTTCAAACTTTGATAATACGAAACGCATTTGCACCACACATACAATTGTTAAGGAGAATTTTTCAATAGTATCAACACATCAACTATCGCTGGTAGAAAGTTTGGATTCCAATTCGCTTGAATCTGAGTTTATTTAACCTAGAAACGTTCAACTGTTCCTGTTTATATGACCGCTAATCAGAATTGTTTTCATCAACATTTAGTATGCTACTTCATTAGCGGATAACTTCAGGTGGTAGAATATTGTCGAATTCGATTGCGGTTGGTATTTTTGAACCGAGATAAACAAATAATTAATTTACAAATACATAAAGTTTCGAATGAAATACCTAAATTTCGCAGGTAGTTGCAAGCAATAAACTTTTTTCAAGAGTAGAGGGCGCACAAAATACTCTAGCGAGGGTATTTTCCATCACTGGCATAGTGAGTAGTGATTGGGTCCAAATGTGTTGACGTCGTGGGTTTGCGACTTCAATTAAAAACAAAATACGGACCTCTTGAAGCATGCGCATCAAGATGGCGCACAACCTCAACTAGGGTTCTGTGCCACGTTAGGGTTCAGGTTGTGCGACATCTTGGCGCGCGTACTTCGGGAGTACCCAAAATACATTGTGAAACACATAAAAACGATGTGCTACACATAAAAACGATGTTTACTCATCTGTATGACCCCTCTTTAAAATAAACTCATTGTTGTCACTGTTATACACAAATTTATTCATTTGAAGTTATTGCCCGATTCTGTATCGTGTATTTTCGTTTTATTGTGTTATTTGACTGTTTTTGGTGGACGGGCGCGTATTTTCACGTTTTTAACTTTTCTTTAAGTTATGCCCGTCCTCCAGGTCCTCTGTGTTTGTTCGTTTGCTATTGTTTTGTTTTATACCAGAGCGACCGAAATAAAATTGATTGAAACCCCGTCTGAAATTTAAAAACCCTTAAAAATTTTGAAACCCCACTCTACTCCAATTTAAAATGATTTATTTCAGCATTTCTTTCCCCAATTTTTATCCGTCTATTTTGTGGATACAATTGTGAATTCTGGAACTTCTAAAATTTAGTCCACAATTGTGAATCTTAAACATAATAGCGAGAAGGTTGGAGTTTGATGACCGCCTGGTCGCATCACTCCCAAAATAATTTATTACTTGTTATTATTTATTCTTATGACGATGACCGTTGTTTTATTTTGGTCGACGAAAGAAGTCAATCCCTCTCATTCAGGAACGGTAGAGGATGCCAAACCGAAAAGATTCCGATTCAGTGCGGGAAAAAACACGAGCTTGTCTTCGACACTAATCGCATTTTACTGTATAGGTGAATCTGAATGATTATTCCGAGAGATCCGAAGTAACTTATCAGTAACAAGAACCAGACCAAAGCAAAATTCTTCATTTCTATTGATCATAAATAAACAAATATATAATTTTCTACTGATAATATGGAAACATCTTGTTCTGCAAGAAGACTCTCAGTGTACTTGTAATAACGACTTTAGAGTCGAAGTATCGTTGTTCCACTTGTTCCAGACAGCCCGGGCCGAGTTGGAAATCAAATTGTCACTTCCCCCAGAGCCGTGGGTTGGATTTTATATAAATTTGATTTTCTCTGAGTTTGGAGTCTGCATCAGAATTGTTTACAGTCTGGAGATGAAATTGTCCTTCATCCAGAATTGGGAGTCTGAGCCATGCTCATCACACGATGAATTATAAAATGATAATTTGACAATTTATCAATGAAATGGTTGCTAGTACTAAGACACAAAGATAAAGATGTAAAATATCACAGGGAATAAATGAGAATAATCAGAGTAATAGCATTTTAGCTATGATATCAATAGCAATGATCCTATTTTGGGAGGAGCCGACTCTGATGACCGTATGGTTGTATAAGTCATTATGATTCTCATAATTAATTTTGTACTCGACAACATAAAGAACAGCAAGACATAGTGATTTAGCACCAGAGAGACAAAAAAAATTGGTAAAAGCACTAAGAACGCTATTCCTCATAAAACACTTCATTAACACAAAAAAAGTACAATATAACAGTTGAAAGGTTTGTACAAGAGTGTGATACATCTGATTCTCTCTCTCTCTCCTACTTGACAAACATAAAAAACAGTAAGAAATACAATTCTAGCACCAGAAAGACAAAACAATTGGTAATAGCATTGAGAAATTTTGATCAAACGATAGAAATAGTACAAACTGGAAACTAGTATTGGAATATTAAAAATTCTAAACAGAATGTAATGACCGACTCGCAATTGTGGACTAAGTTTAAAAACATGAGCCAATGAGGCATCAATTAGTCAACAAAAATTCTGGTAATTGTACAAATGGGTTGGATATTCTTTTATAAATCTAAAAAAATTTAAAAAATAAATATTTTTCAAATGCTTGTAAATATATTTTATTGACAAGGGGTTTTCAAAGCACTGCTTGTAACAAGAGTCCGTGCAAGCTACCAATGATACATATAGCCGCTATTCTCAATGCTTCAGTCCAGTAGCTGTTTGTTTCCATTTTAGAATGCTTCTTGTGTAAAAATGAGATAAAAGTACTAAAGCAGAATTTTGGCACATTGTTATTGGTACTCCCGTAGTATGTGCACCAAGATGGCGCACAACCTGAACATAGTTAGTGTACCAGGTTAGGGTTCAGGTTGTGCGCCATCTTGGTGCACATTTTACCGGAGCGCCTTTTTATCACAGTGTAATGACAAATCAAAACATATTGTGATTTAAATTATTTTAAATTAAAAAATTTCATTTTGATATTTTAACATGATTTATGACAGACTAATTACAAAATGAGGTATTCAATGAACTTTGTTAAAAAACATAAATATCTCTGGTTGACACTCAGTCACCATCTGATCTTCATTTCAAGAGATGTGAAAATTAACACAATAGAAACATACAGGGTGATACAGGGTGTCCATAAAGTCCCTTTACAATTTCAATTTTTCATGAAGTCAGTTTTCAATATATCTTTACCATTTTACTTCATTTAATACATCTGTGAGGGTCAAAACAATATATGGTATCAATAAATTCCCTTTGCAATTTCAAGACTTTACCCTATAAAAAATTGTGTATCAAGTAATCGCTAATCGTATAGAGATGAAAATTCTAAATAGTGAAATAAAGTCATTTCAATTATCTTGTGACCTGCTTAACAAAATTTAAATACTAGCGCCCTCATAAACTTTCCAGATAAATCATTTATTTTATGTTTACAACAACTCTTTCCTTGCTTCGAGTGACCTTTAAGAACCATATAAAATAATGACACTAAAATAAAACAGCAAAAATTTTGGGTGAAATACTGGGATTCAGAGAAAATTTGAAAATATAAAATTAATCCTTCTGGCGACTATTTACATCTTTAACTACAAAAAGATAGAAATAGATTAGTTCATTAATTATGGAAAAAAATAATTTCTTGGCACCAAAAAAGTCAGAATACCGCAGAGGGGATGTTTCCTCGAGCATCAACTTCTTTGTTTTTCTGAACAATGGTGTATTATCGTGAAGTTCCCAGTGATGTAACAATTGAAATTTAAACTGCAGCCCAGACACTTTTTTTTACCCATACAGATTTTCAAGCGCGATTGTGAACATTGCCATGCAGAGATTTTGATTATATTATAAAAATATGAGTATGAATCAAATGCTAGAATAAACAAACAACAAACGATTCGATGAGGATACTTTGTGTCCATTTATGCTTTCAAAAAGCATCTATCTCCATTTTCAACCACTGAAAGATATAGATTGTTTAGTTCATTAATCATGAAAAAAAAGGTAATTTCTCCACACCAAAAATGTCGCAATAACAAGAATTTGGCAAAACGATTCATAGAGTCACTTTGTGTCCAATTATGATTTCAAAAAGCGATTGGTTCAAGGTGTAGATACTCTGCAACAAAAACACCAAAAATTTTAGTGAGACGCGCAATTGTGTCATTATGAAGATTCTCGCCATTGTCACCAATTCTATGCCATTGTTTTGGAAACGGACTCGGGATAATATGCAAAACAGGTACATTTTTATTTAAAAATGGCACATGGTCGTCTTGTACGGACCAACTTTTTATTTGAGGCTTAAAATAACGAAGCCCATCTTTAACATGGAGTTTTTCTTCTATTCTTATTAACTCTTTATAATGCCTGGAGTGAGTATTTCTCATGCTTACGAAAGAAGGGTCCTTTTCACCTAAAAGATCCAATAGTACAAAAAGATCTATGGAGTCTAAAACTTTTTTATTTCCTTTAGGGCCTGGGGGCCATTTTTGTTTATCCCATTTAGCTGCCAGATGTCTTGAACCATACAAAGAATCTTTATCTGTCCATTCTTCAAATGCCTCCTCCCCGTCGAGAAATAAATATTGTAAGGTGAGATCCATGTCCTTTGGAGTGCGAGCTAGATATTCCGCTAATACTTTCGCAATCTCAATCATCATTGCACACGGTACTGCGGAATCTGTAGCCCCCAAAAATCCAGTCGGGGTAACTTTAGAATCATAGTGACAAGCTAGAACTAGTCTTCGACGTGCACGAGGATTATATGTCGCAATCACATTTGCAAATTCAATTTTCTTTTTTGAGAAACTTTTCGGGGGGGAATCTTTGAATTTATTTTCTTCTACTGTCCAACCAAGGGATTTCATCGTTGTCATTAAAAATTGTTTTACTTTTATAATATTTTCAGACCCAGGAGTTCGTACAATCAAAATATTTCGTAGATATTCTAGATTCAATCGTTCAATTTTAACTCTATTACACACAAGTTCATGTTGATGATCGTTTAATGGTTGTAAAGACCAAATATGCTTCTGATCATGCCATTCTCCAGTTACTTCCTTTTCAACCACCCTGTCTAAATTAGGCGTTGAAAATGCAAAATAAAGCATGATAATGGCGCAGGTTGATATTCCAAATATAGTACCAAAAACAATTTTATTCCATCTTCGAGGTGAGGTGTTGTCAAAAGATCCAAACTGCTTCTTCGCCGATATCATTTCTTTTCTTGTTCTATGCCTAGCCATGAATTTATGATAAATTATTAAGGTATAGAACCTGAAATTCACAGAAAGAATGTTATTTTTTATATGACACTTATTACCAAACAATGCACTGTACCGTGTCGGGAAAATACGCCGTAGAAAATCTCGTTGCAGGAAGTTTCGCATTTTGTTGTGAAACAAGTATTTGTGATAAAAACAGTTAGGTTTATAGGGTTAGGGCCGGGGTGGGCAACTTCTCTAGTCTGCGGGCCAGATGTGGAAAAATGAAGTTCTCGGTGGGCCGAATTATAACATGAATAGTATTCAATATCTTAACCACATATTTATTCGCTAATGCAAGAAAGAAAATTATAAATCGCGTTTAAAGTAAAGTTTAAACTACAAAAACAATAGAGACCAAAATACACATAATGAATTTATCATAATGTACTGATGCACAGTCAGCGGGCCGGTCAAAATCTCGTTGCGGGCCGGGGCCGTATGTTGCCCACCCCTGGGTTAAGGTATGCTCTTAAATAACAAATGTTTTTAAATAAATCGTTTTTTCCTATGCGGCGAAATTTCCTGTGGCGAGATCTCCTACAGAAAAATTTTCTGCTGCGAATTTTCCTAGAACCACTTTGTACATGCCTCCATTCATACCCAACAATATATAACTGGCTACTATAATTCGGAAGGAATCTTCCCGTTTCAGCATCTCCTACCCAATCATTTACACCTTGGGTGTAACATGCAGTAAATACGTAATAACACTTGTCAAGAGCCATGTTCAGAGAGAAAAGACCTGGTCAACTGAGGAGGCCTGGTCAGAGGCACTCCACAGGTATGTGCACCAAGATGACTGACACCATAAAGGTGTATGTGTACCAGGTTAGGGTTAGGCCATAATCTATTAGTTATATTACGAGTTCAGGGACTAGCCAAGTGACTTCCGTAGTATTTGTACCTGAAATTATGGCCTAACCCTAACCTGGTGCACATACTTCTGGAGTACCAAATCAGGAATGTATTCTTATTTTGTTACCCAGAGAATTGCAATAAAATATAGTATTCTCAAAAATTGACTGAAAAGAAATATTCCAGATTTAATCCAGAATTTACAAATATTGGTTACCAGCTTAGGTCCCCCATGTGACCAACTATGTTTGTATGTATGTTTATTTGCCTTAAATATGTAACAGTATCTGCATAATGATTAAACAGTGTAAAAGAGATGCATGCTAATGGGCAACAAAATTATCATTGCAACAAAATTGTCCACGAAAGAAAAAAGGTTGAGAACCATTGGTCTAACATGAATGAATTTTGATCAAAACTAAATCACTTTTACCCAGAGCCAGAATATGAAATAAGGCGCTCCAGAAGTGTATGTACCAATATGGTGGTAACTAATTTTGTTCGCCTACTTTACATCAAGTTGTGTAAAGGGACTTGAACCTATGGACGGGATATATTCACTTGGCTAACACAGACTGTCCCCGAACTCGTAATAGAACTAAAATAAGGAAAAATCGAAATAAAATAATGGTCTAACCCTAACCTGGTACACACACTACGGGAGTGCCTGAAATAGATAAAAGCAAGACAAAATGAAAAGTAACATCAGCACTCAGCAAATTGGAAAACAGAAAAAATGAGAGCAAATTGCACTAGCAGTTAGCTAAACATGATTGCAAATAAGAACCAAATAGTCTGAAGCAGAACATTAAAAAAAGAATTGAAGGAAACTCTTCATTAAAATGGCAGTTGTTTGAGAATTAAAAAAATTGCAAACAGTATGGAAAATTGTAACTAACAGTATTCTACAATTCATATACAGTGTGTTAGGAAATTAACTTACAGTAAATTCAATTATACAGGCACTTGTAGTGTTTTTAAAAATTACTTTTGAATCTTTATTCGATTCAGTTTGGAAATTAGTTGGAAAACTAATTAGATTAGATACAATGAGGATAGGATTTACATATTAATCCCGAGGTTTAATCATGGGGCGAACCAGTTATTTTTACAATACTTTGTGTAATCGTGTTTACTTCGCCAAAGCTGCTCAAAGTGCTACTGACACACAGGGCCATGGAGTTCAAATTGACTTTTATTCATAACAAAAACATTCAGAATCTTATTAATGAATAAGCATTTTGACCTTATATATCCCATTTTTTGTGTATTAATCGTATAAGCTTTTCATAGCTTGATCTGCTTTTTGGATCATCAAGACTATTGAAAACCCATGTTTTCTGGCCTCCGACCCGCTAACTGTCACAGTCTAACTTGGCAATTAGAAATTTCAGAACCCCTTCTTTGAAAATTCCTGGCTACACCCTTGCAGTGGTCTATCAGAAGCTTTCTGTTGCAGTCTCCCAACCTTTATTCGAATGAATTAATTTTGACAATCATAATTCCTGAGTGTCCCATTTCACATTTTCTATCCCATCGAAGATTTCAGTATTTAAAGTCGATGGCACTGCAGAATTGGACCTCAAAGAAAACTGCGCAGCAACGAGACCCATCTTTGTACAAATGTCTGATTCTTTCCCTTGCAAAAGTCCATGAATATAAGCAGCTGCAAATGCATCTCCTGACCCACTGACATTGACAATCGGTTGAAACATCCATTCAAACTGCGGCATAGAAGTCAATGGATAATGTGTTGCTTTGATTCCAGATGACTTGCTGTCATCCTGTGAAAAGGAATTTTTATGAGTGATATCACCGTTCTATGCAAACTAAAGTTCTAACAGTTACTAATATGTAAGCATCTTCTATGTTTTTTGAAAGCACAGGAACCTTCAAATCAGTGGCTACCAGAGTTGATTGACGCCAAAATTAGAAGCTGAAGGATATTTGCAGGCCAGGAGAGGGGAGCAGCCGCAAGTGGATGATACCAGTACCGCTATGTATAATTAAAATACTGAACTGACTTGTTATGAATACACAAATCCTCAAACTGGGATGATGACATAACAATTGGCGGTAACTACAGCACTCAGAACAAAAAACATAACGTGTTATTAAACTATTTCTCTTGAGTTCGGTGGGCCATATTTATTCGTTACACGGTTTTATCAAAGTTTATCGAAAAAATTTAGTTGAAAGAATAACACTCAAATATATAGACATAAAGTTGCTTAGAAAGTTTTTTTAAAGAGATCCAAAAAAGATTTACTGAAAAATATTAATTATTTATTTGATTTGCAGGTAGAACTGTGTTCTCATGCGAACAAAAATTCTTATTGGATTCATGTTTGAGATACTGCATAAATCACACAAGAAAGCAATTCTCACATAGATAGAAATAAATTTGGTGGGGGAAGGACTGAAAATCTCTCTTTGTTGAGCACTGACTCATTGAAATTGTTCAGTGGTAAGGAACTAATTTGAATACAAATATAAAGAAGATTCAACAATCGAGTGTTAGGGAAGAAACTAAAGTAAGCGTTCTAGAAGTCACTAGATATAAAGAAGATTCAACAATCGAGTGTTAGGGAAGAGACTAAAGTAAGCGTTCTAGAAGTCACTTTCATCTTAAAATAGACTATAGTTAGAGTATTGGACTTAGCTCTAATAGTGCCTCAGAGTGGAATAAATTAGACAGGATCTTCTGAACCAGCCTTTAAAATTTGTGGCTGGAGTTTGAAAAGTAATTTTTCGTACTGATTAAACAATCTTCAAAAGTAATTCATAATCACACTTCATATCCGACACCATATACAAGAAAATATTTCTAACCTGAACAAATGTGGCAACACCTTTGCCTGCTAAGGTTACGATTAAACAATAAACGTGTTCCAGTAACGGTCGGCAAGTTTCATAGATGGCTGGTAACGTTGAATCAATAAATTTCCCATTTTCTGAAAAAGTAAACCATTAAGTGATTTATTACAATAGATTACAGAATCCAAAGTGTTTGAATTTTAGAACATTGTGAGGGCCAGGGATGCTGAGTCAGGAGAAACCTCACACTCTGACCAAGGGCGTAGCCATGGTAGAGTGGGCAAAAAAGCATTACAAGCTCCCCCCCTGGCTACGGCCGTCGTTAAGAATGCTTCTTTGTTTTTATCATATATTTCTACCTCAATCATTCCAAGTGGAAAGAAATTTTGACTCAGAATCCAATTCTGAATTTAAAATAGAAAACTAATACAAACTGCCTTCACGGCCCTGATGAGAAAGTCACCTCATGGTAACTAGAATTAGGATTTTTCACATACATAGAAACTCTCAATTCTTGGGGGTAGGTCGGCACCACTGGATAAAAATTGGGTAAGTCACTATAATCTGAGCCCATCACCTCACCCACGTGATGTAATAAATAGTGTAAGTAATCATAAACTGGAAGTTTCCAAAGATGGTTACTTATCATTGCTGCTAGAATGAGTTTTGAAAAAAATTGCCATCAAGAAAAAATAACTACCGTTCAGATTTATCTTCTTTTCCTTCCCAGTAATAGCAGACATAATCACTTCGAATTCTTGTAAATTTGGCGTCAAATATTTGATGGATTTCCAAGATAAATTATCAAGAAACGGCCTTCCTGCTTTTAATGATCCTGTTGGCTCGAAAAACAGATCCAAGTCTCTCCTGAATGATGATAAAAAATTTTATTGAAGACACCAATTTGGAGCAGGACAGTCTTTTAAAATATTTTAAGTTAACTGACAATAAGTTGATGGGTGAGCGAGCACGTACCATTTCTTTTGACAACATCTTACGTTTTAAACCTTATTTAAGGTTTTGTTCGTTTTCCTGATTTTGTAATCAGTTTTATTTATTTATTTTTTTATCAATTAATTTATCGTCTTTTATGCTGATTATGGAGTCAAAATAAACTTATAAATGAGACTGCCTAAGCCAATGGGTCTGATATCTTAGTTGAGTAATGCGCTGAAACAAGACTTTGGGTTCCATTCCCATCACCTCACCCAAGGTGTGATACTGTATTTCTCTGCATATAATTTGCACTTTCACAGTCAGATTGTCTTCAAGGAGAAATGTGGCAAATGCTGAATCGGAAAAGTTACAGCCCTTCAAGAAATCCTTATCTCATTACGTATCATTGGCTGCTTATGCAAAGCTTTGTTCGGAGTGAAAAATATGAAGAAAAAACGAGTGGGGTTCATCGAGTAAAAATTGAAAACTTAGACCAAGATGCCGAGGACGGGTATGGTATACTAGTTATAATGAGAGATGTGTCATTTCAAGGAATGTCTATAGAAAAATAATTACATAATCTGAGATTTACACTTTAACGCAGTTTCAATTTCAAATAACCTAACCTAACAGTAATGGCAAATTAAAAAAATGTTCAATATTGAGACATTCGTATACATATCTATTTAGGATTTACATATTTATCCCAAGATAGAAGAAAGCCGATAAGACCGCTTTATCCAATGACGAACCACGGCCTCTTGTCCGATTACCAGTCCATGTCGAGTATGGGATTAGTTAGCCAGTTATTTGTTTTCGGAATCATGGACTTGATGGTGGCACATAACCATCCCGCATGGGAATTGAGACTTATATTTTGTATTGAATTTTAAATTTCTTCTAACCTGTCACATAGATCACATATATAAGCGATAGTCTCAGAAGTCAAATTGGCATCAATACATACGAGAGGAGCTTGGGATATGACATCTTCATTCTTCATTATGGTTTCTATGTTTATCCTGGAATAGAAAGAGACAAGTATTGACTTTAGAAAAGTCAACAATTAAAAGATCTTAAAAGAGCCTTGGCATCTGCTCGCCAATCGAAAACAAATTTGCTAAAATTTTATTGTTATTCATCGACCATAGTTCAGTATTTTGCAAAATGACACCAGAAATGAACATTAGACAGCCTTGCTAGATTTTTATTGTTATTCATGTTGTTATTGTTGATGTAAAACCACTATCTCTTGACAACTGGGCTAATCGCTATCAATATTTCAAAATCCTGGGAAATTGATGTTAATTTTATATATTTTTTTAAATTCCCAGAGTTTGTGTTTCCTTTTTAAAATTTTGTAATTTTGAGTGAGCCCCATTTTTTACTGTGCCACGCATAACATTCATGGTCTTGCTGATTCGCACCTACATCTACTAAGAGCTCTAAATACTGAGCAAAATACTATACAACTGAGTACTTTGAAAAACCACTTTGCAACCATAATCCAGTACTTTGCTAATTGACTTACATTTCATGTACTTTCATTGATTCTATGCCAACCTTGAGAGAGCCATTCACATCAAACACAGCATTGTATAAACCTGAATTATATTCTTGAATCTTTTCTATAAAAGACAAATCCTGAGATGAAAAAAGAAAAATGAGAAGGTTGATTTGAAATTTGTTCAGATATAAATTGCTGTAAAACAAAGTAAGTTAAATTGGTATATTGGACATAATGGGGTTAATTGAGTGCAATGTATATAAACTTCGATAACTTTTTTGTATGTTGAGTGAATGGTTTGTACTTTGTAGCAACAATAGTTAATATCCTATGCTCCCATTTCATTGCATATAGCTCACATGCCTACCCATGCTAAAATTGTTTTGGGTGTTTGTATGTGGATTTATGATACTCCCGAAGTATGTGAACCAAGATGGCGGACAACGGAACGTAGTATGTGTACCAGGTTGGGGCATAATTTAATTCTAATTTTCCTTATTTTAGTTCTATTACAAGTTCGGAGACAAGCCAATTGACTCCTGTCGTATATGTACCTGATATTATGGTATTTAGACTAGAGGTTTAGATTGCAGTGTAACTCGGGAGTGTTAAGGCAAAAGAGTTGAATTTCTAAAAAAAATTTAGTTGAATATTTTACATCGAAACCATATTTATTGGTTATATTATTGGAAATATTTAGGATTATATTTGAATATAATTTAGGATGAATTCGAATACGATTTGGCCTCATTTTTTTCCACTATATTTTCGGCTCTTCATCAAGAATAAACAAACATTGTTAAGGTGGAGCGCTGGTCTAACCATGGTTTCCCAAACTGGGATCCGCGAATCCATGATGACTGCACAGAGAGTCCGCAACGATATGAAAAGCAGGGGCTCCCGAAGTATGCGAACCAAGATGGCGGACATCGGAATGTAATATGTGTACTAGGTTAGGGTTAGGCCATAATTTTAGGTATAAATACTACGGGAGGCTCTTGGCTAGTCTTCGAACTAATAATAGGACTAAAATAAGGAAAATTGGAAAAAAATTATCGCCTAACCCTAACCTGTTACCCATGTTACGTTCCGATGTCCGCCATCTTGGTTCGCATACTTCGGGAGCCCCGAAAAGCATCTGATCTATCTTTAATATTCGATTTTCTACAACAAGCCATTGCATCTTTTTTGTTGAGCGTTATTGTTCAATTTTTATTTTATTATTTTTATTTCATTATTTCCAAATGTGGTTTGGTTGAGCAGTGAGCATTATCAGCTTTTACCGATATAATGACAAAATACAGGCCGAGACTTGCCGTAAAGTCGGACCTACGAGTTTGCTCATCACAAATTGCTCCAATAATTGATTAATTGTACAGTGAATCACATTTAATGTTGTTCGCGTTGTAAATGAAACATTATCCTTTTACGTTTGGCACAGAAATTGATACGGCATAATATGGGGATCCGTCAAAACTAAGATTTACAAATAGTGGTCCGTGGCTCAAAAAGTTTGAAAAACTCTGGTCTAACAGTTAATAAAGCGTTAACTGTGTTGGCATCACAGGTCACACGTCTTGGGTTCAAATTCCACGCCAGAAAGATGACGATACTTTAAAATAACGGTCGCTCTTTACATTATTGTTAGATACCATTTGTTGGAGCGAAAGGTGTGAATAAGCATCGAATAATGAAAAAATAAAATTATTGAACAAGACATCAGTCATTGAGGAACGAAACTTTAAAAATAAACCTTTTGCCTACCATATATTCCTTCATTTCCATTCTAACCATCTGAGCATGACCATCGTCACCCAGGGCAGAAATGAACACTGGATTGTCATTGTATCTGCATAATCCCTCTGAAAAAGAATACAATGTGTGTGAAATAAAAACTGTATAAAATAAATAAACCTAGAACATATACCGGTATCAAAAAACTTATATGTATCAAAATCTAGAGAATTACTAGGCAAAGTGGCGCATCATGCGAGGTGGTATGAACACGCCAATATAAATCTGATTCCCTGAAGGAATTCGCAGATTAGAATTTTGTAGGGGATAAGTAGGATTGCTGGGCACCTCAAATTAGTGGGATGGCCATGTTATTAATCGCCGATCATTTACGGTTTACTCTTGGTTAACTATTTTTCCATTCTCAAGATGAACTGCCAAGCAGACGAGAGGAATAAGTTGTCTTACCGCCTTTACTCTCCAGGAAGTAAGTAAAAAATTCTATCCTATATCCCAACTCAGAAAAACCTACATTAATACCTGCAATATTCCTTGCAACACCTCCCAATGTGTAACTTATATCAGCTGGATTAGATGGCCCATCATACAATATTTCTGATGTACATTTTGCTATTACATCAATGTTAGTTCCTCCAATGACAACCTGAGAAAAAAATACAAATTTACAATAAGGCAATAATATACAGGAAGGATATATTTCAAGATATTGCTAAGTATATGAATGAATTTATATTCTATAATTAGCTACTTGGAAACATCACTTTGAATACATACTGGCTAATCATTGAAGATTGTGGATTATACATTTTGAAACAAGCAGTGAGGATACCATCAAATAAGCATTAAAATACACACTCTTCAACACAAATAGATAAAGCATGAACTGCCAGCACAGGTACTTTAGAATCCAGACCAAATTATTCTAAACCGTTACACTCCATTGATTTTATTACACACTTACAGGTCTCTCTTGTATTTCCTCAACAGGAGTCGCAACACCAATCTCTTCAGAATTAGAAAAACACTTTGCCAACTCCACTGCGATATCAGCACCCACTGAAGCATTGTGCTTGATTAAAGCCACGTCTTAAGTTATGGTGTGGAATTAAGGAAAGCAGATTTAAACCTAATGATGCATTAAACGGTTACCTACATTTTCATAAATTGATATACATGTAACAGCGCATGTTCACTAAATGCTGTAAGTATTTCTAGTTGGCGTGGCACAAACATTTTTGCATATGTCATTCCTAACCCCCCTGTCTACGCCTTCCAAAAATTACTTCACTGCAACGTCACAATCACATCATAGAGCTTGCCAAAGAAAAGCTAAGATCGCCCAAAATGACATCTTCACCGACGATAACAACCTCACTAACGCCAGCGATCTCCCTCATATCGGGATCGTTATGATCCTCTGCACATTCTAAACTATAATCCGTATACTTTGACGGGTCTTATGTCGTCACTGTGACGTTATCTTTGGGTGACGTAGTCAGGTGGGGATTAGAAATGATATATGCGAAAATGTTTGTGCCACGCCAACTAGGAGTACCTATGGCGTTTAGCGAACATGTGCACATGTAACTATAAAATTTGATCGAAACACGCATGACTCAGAAATAAAGAAGACTGATCATTCTCACAGAAATACATGAAGACTGGAAAATTGAGGTGTCATGATCTACTGAGACACACAATCTCAGTCAGGCATAAAGCAGATTGATCTATGAGCAAAGTTACAGATAATTACTAAAGAGCAAAGAGCTGCTGAAACTATGAAGAGTTAAGGTGTAGAATTACACATTGTTAATAATAGGATGGCATTGTGTTAGACCAGGGGCCAGATAGAAATAGTTGGGTGAAACAGTGGGCCGCACCTTTATTTAACACAGGCTCCCTAGCAAACACAAAAAATTTGTTCAACAGTTAGACAGTCCAACAATTATACCTGCTGTGTCAACCGGGAATCTTGATAGAAGGTTACGCAAAACTTGAAAGAGACTTAGGTTCTTTTATAACCAAATGGATGCATAAACTGCCTAGTTGCAGACTATTTTGGAATGATACGTTTGTATGATTTATTCAAATCAAATTTATCTTTGTGCATCAATTGTTTAAAAATTTCTACCCAAACCTCATCTACAATAATTTTTGATTGTTCACTTAAAAGGATACTGGCTTTCAAAGATTCTCCTCCTGTGATCTCATTCACTCTTTTCAAAATGTATGGAGTAACATCAGGCCCTTTTATTGACGAAGATCTGTAACAAATATTGTAAGCCTTTTTATGGAAGAATGCTCAACGGGCTAAGCGTTAGAAATACGCTCGCCACCGCACCTAAGTGATATTGACTCATAAAGAGACAGCAATATCTTTTATCGAGAGATAAGCTAATCATGCTGAAATAGCAGTATTTTAAAGAGATATTACAATAGAATACAAACATGCACAATGGCTATATGAACAGTACTTCACTAATAGAAAAGAATGTAAGTGCCTGATAAAAACAACAAAATAGTTGAGCGTTATAAAATTAAACATACCGTATACTGTGTATTCTAAATTGAACTTAAGGTATTTAAATACTGAACATAAGACTATATCCTCGCATATGCCTACATCGCATCAGAGCCGACCCCCTAAAAATGACTTTAAAACATTGAATTCATAAAAATTTGGATATAAGTCGACCCTACAAATCATACGCTCTTATCGTTAGAAGTTGGTTCGAGTTGTAGCTGTTGGAATAGGGTTAGCATCATGTCATTCCGTTTGAGTGCAATCAGAGTTATGCCCGTATAAGCTGAATTTTTAGTCCGATCGGAGTTATGCGCGTATAAGCCAACTCTTAGGCTACTTTTTTTTTTGAGTTTTAAACTTGGTTCATATGCCAGGATATACGTTACATACTCATTACTAAATACCCAATATTTCACTTAAATTCAAAACGAGAATATCGGTTGGAAACCGAAGACTTATCGATCGATAGTTAGGGGATCCCCCAAAACAGAAACTGCAGTTTCGATTCATCCGCTCTTGTAACTTGCGCATTGCGCATCGCACACACACACTCGGCGGGTTTCAAAATTCTCTCGCTTTACAAAAATCTAGATCACTATATCAATAATTGATTGATAACTCGCTAATTATACGACATAATTCGCCCAAAATCAATAGGCTTCTGGTCCGAGATAAGATGAATGCACATGCAAAATCTGGAGCAGATTCAATCTCGCTTTCGTGAGATATCGCGTGCATCTAACAGACACACACACAGACAGACAGACAGACATACATACATACAGACAAATACCTATCAATATACTTACCGATCTTAAGATCGATAAGTAACAATCATCCACCTACTCTGCCTCTGCTAAAGCAGTCTTGATGGCATTTTCAATTCTTTCTCCAGAGGTTGCAAATTCATCAGGAAGAGGCACAGCAATAAGGCATCCACTATCCATCTCTAAGTCTTGAGAAGATTTGATCAATTGTGCTGCTTTCGAAGCGTTTTTGACATTGAATTGCGATTTGTGGCCAGATTTTTGTGTGAAAAAAGCTGGAAAATCATTGTTTTGGCCAAATGTAGCAACAGTGACTCCTTGAGTTTCCTACAAAAAAAATACCACTTTTGTTTCGTTTTTCAAGCACATGATTAACAAGCAGCATAGAATCATGACAAAGAATTAACTATTGTACCAGACTATTTATTGCAATATAAAAAAAATTCAAAAACATTTCGAAAATGGAAAATTTTTGTTGCAAAAATTTGAAAATTATCATAAATTAGCATTTGATTAGTCTATTTTCAGATCAGTCAGTTAGGGAAGAATAGGTAATTTCTCAATAATACAACTATAAGACAATACAACTACAGAAGTGCTGAGAAGAAGGTGCTCCAGAAATAAGTTTATCAATATGGAGGTAACTAATTTTGTTCGCCTACTTTACATTAAGTTGTGTAAAAGGACTGAAACCTATGGTATATTCACTTGGCTAACACAGACAGTCCCCGAACTCATAACGGAATTAAATGAGGAGAATTGAAATAAAATTATTGCCTAACCCTAACATGGTACATATACTATACGAGTACCAGAAAAAACTAACTTACTAAAAATTCCAAGGTCCTCTGAATATCCAAGATAGACTTAACACCAGCACTTATAACAGTAACTGGGGTTCGGCCTAGTTCTGTTAAATCCGAACTTATATCAAGTGTGTTCTCTCCATCTCTATGAACTCCACCTATCCCTCCAGTTACAAAGATAGGGATGTTACATCTAGAAAGCAAGTATGAAAATAGGATGTATTACAGGTAAGTGCATCAGTTGATTACAATTACTAAGTATGGTTCCATAGGTTCTTAAAGTGTTGTTGAAAATTATGTGTAAGAGAGTTGGTTATGGACTCCTCAACATTAACTGAGCACTCCGGACCACACCTCGGGGCGAGGGGTTTGGACGTTTATTCACTTCTCCCTTGATGTGGTGCTGGTTCAATGGCCTATTCAAAGATGTGAGTTTGTGTCTATTTATTCCGGTTAAACCCGATAAGGGAGGGGTAATCCCTGACACAGCAACTTGGTTCCACTATGGGGCGTTTTTGGGTCGCTAGTGTGTGATACTCTCATACCTGCTACTGCTGTTGTTGCTGTTGCTTCCCCCTAGTGGACATAACAATGGATCAGACGACTCACCTATGAGCAAGCATCATGGTAGCTGACACTGTTGTCCCTCCTGTTTGTTTAAAAGCAATTGATGCTGGCACACCTCTTCTTGATATTTTAATACTTGAAGGAGAAGTAGCAAGAGTATGTAGATTGTCTTTTGTTAAGCCTTGAATAAGAAAAATTGTGAATGAGAACTAATTAAACCTGCGTGGATACTAGAGGACAGGACTTGCGTTTAGAGTAGCGTTCTCAAAGCGAAGAGAAATTTCGTTTTTGAAAAGAAAAAAAAATATTACTTTGTATTCGACATAGTTTTAATGGTATTGTTCAGATATTTAGTATTACTGAAATAGATATTTATGCACACAATATTCATACCTAAAGATTGAATAAATAACGTGAAACCAGAGTTTTTAGGCATAATGAAGGGAGAATGGAGAGATTTAAAATAGGAATATATATATACATGAACTTGGTGGAGGGGAAAGCCATAACCAACCAGTAGTCACATGAACCTACAATGGCGAGGAGTTCAGCAATTCTCTTGCACATAATTATCCCCACTTACACAGAGCAATCAGAGATGCGATGGAAAATGTGTTCATAATGCTTAGCACAATTCTCCAAATGTCGAGCTCATCTTAAATGGAAAGATCCAAACATTTAACCATTGCTAATTTAAAATCAAAAGTACTAATTTAAAAATGGAATCAAAGCCAACAATACCAATGTGAATTTGTCCATCAATGATAGCAATAGTAGCTGGTGTAACAGACTTTGATTTGACAATCTCCTCAACTTCCAGTGCAGTTCTAAACATAAGAATGTAGTGTTAGCTTCTCTAGCGCCTTTGAGGCTTTTTACACACTTTCTGAATAAGTCTCTGTACAAGAGGCAGCCACTTACTGCATAAAGGCCAGAATCTTTTGTAGTTTGACACTGCCTTACCAAATGTACCCTGGTTATTAAGGTGGTGGACGAGGTGTTTACGCCATATTATCTTTGTTCCAGACGAGGGCTAAGCTATACACAATTAGTAATAGGTGTTGAGCTATGGGCTAAGACCAGAATTTTTACAAGTCAACATAACCTACCGGTACATCCAAAGTTACAAGAAACTAATAAAATATAGTTCAATAGTTTAATAAAAACACCATTATAATCAAAAAACATATTCAGATTATCATTTTTCAAATAACATTTTGCAATAGCTTCTCCCAAACTTCTTGATGATAACTTTGCTTTTGTTTAAATAAATTAGTATAACGTTGCAGTATAACCAAATTAGCTTATGGTGACATTTTAAGGTTTTAAGAAATCATGTTTTTGTAATTTTAGGATCCGTATAGATAACCCCCAAAATGGACATAAGGCACAATCTAAAATCAAAACTAAAACAGACATAGATTCGAAATCCAGACCACATGATGGTCTCTGGTCCATAATGATGGAAGATGAACAAGTTTATTTCTGAAAAATGTGACCAGGGGCGGACACTTTCCATAATTTTGGGGGGGCGAAGTTGGATCGCCTACCGAAAAACACCGCGCCGTGTATCGTCACGTAACAATAACTGGTCGATGTCATTCTCTAAGTATTAGCATGTCATTTTGCTACTCATATATCGATTACCTAGGCTGCTTGGCTCGGACACGGAACTTGCGCGTCACTGAACCAATTTCTTGAATTCCGCGAGAATTAGCCCACGGCTCTCGCTAACAAACAGAAAATAACAAATTTGAGGTCGGAACTTCCCATTGCCGTCTGCAACAAGCACCGCGATTACGCGCTTGTTAAAAGAGCCGCCTATTTAAGCGTATAATGTTTTTTCTGTCGATCCATGACAGCCACGAGATTCTAAAATGTCCTTACATATTAATTTAATTGTGTGCAGCGTAACTCGCGGTTGCGACTTCTTAGGTCAAAATAAAATATTACTAAACTAAAGTACCACGGCAATATGGGGAAATAAAAATATGAGATAAGCTGCCTGATGTATTTAATTTTGATACGTATTTTTGCAATCTTCCGAACTCGTTATCGCCGTTACAAAAATCTCGATATCTGATATAAAATCCCATATAGTACAATTTTACTTCATACAATGAAAATAATTATAAAGTATACTAGTAAATCAAAAATACAAATTCACCGCCTCGAAATCCACGCGGAACAGTCGCCGCGATTACGCCACTTGTTAAAAGAGCCGACTTTATCAACGAAAAATGATTTTTCACTTGTGCAAAGTAATCAATCAAAGACCGATACGGGCATATTCAAAATGTCTTGATTCATTATTTTAATTGTCTTCAATTTAAACTACGGTTGAGTCGACAAAACAAGAGCCATTCTAACACACGACGGCAATCCGCGGACATAAAAATGTGTGGTAAACTGCCCGTTTATATATTGTTTTGATCCGTATTTTTTGCTATTTTGCGAATTTGATAAATTTGAGATTTACTTGTAACACTGGCACCAATCGCAATGTTGTCACTCCGATTTCAATGTTGTCACACTTTAAAGATGAAACCTTTCGAAAAATCCATAAATTTTTTGTCAATTCTCACGTAGTAAAAGTTATTTCAGTACAATAAAAATACCTAAATAAATACAAAAAGTGATCGAAAATACTTTAATTATCTTATATATCATCACAAACCGGGGAAAAGTCGCGTTGTCAGCTTTGTTTAATGTTAGCACGAAAATTTTCGACGTCAATTTGAAAGTAATGGATAAAAAGGCAAATCCCGCTCACAATTGACCGTGTTTCGATTTTAGTGACGAAATGTTTTTAAAGGTCAAGCAAACATAACTTGTGAAATTTTGCGATTTTCGATGCCTAGAAAAGCGTTTTTAGACTGTCGCGGGCCTCAACAAAACCTATATTGTTTACAGTTTTATTTTTAGTATTTTATATTGCCGCTTTTCAACTTTTCGACATAGTAAATGCTTTGATCTTTGCCCGCAAATTATGCTGGGTCTTGCACGAAATCCATAACGTGAAAATATACGTCCAGCGGTGAAAATTGTTTATAACAGCTTTAGATCTAGTTAATTTTTTAGCGATAATAATTAATTGTTGTAATGAAACACAGTTTGCCTCTTTCACTTCTCTCGCAAGTGCCAACAATAACACTATTGAAAGATTTTGACAATGAGAAAATCATATTAAATTGTACAAAAATGAATTAGTTGTGAAAAACCGTGGCGCGTGATCGGCGGTGCGTTTGAAGACGGAGTATTACCCGTGCGGACGCGCATGTTTCACGAAAATGTGAGGTGCTCCGAAGACGCTCTGGTCCACATTATTGTGAGAAAACAGTTATAATATCGGTGACTATTAACCGTTCAATTGCGCTTGACTATCGCACTTTTCGGAAATGATAATTTTGTAAGGCGGAAACAACATGTATCAAATTTTTTTGCGAAATTATTGGGGGGGCGACCGCCCCCCCGGGTGTCCGCCCCTGAATGTGACATAAGCTACTTTGGGTGTTACTGTGGCATCATAAAAAAAGACTCACTCATAGTTATCAGGATATGGCATTCCATGTGTGATTATTGTGCTTTCTAAAGCAACAACTGGCTTTTTTGAAGAAAGAGCATCTTTTACAGCTGGATGAATTTTCAAATATTTTTCATCGATATTCCATGTTTGAGTTGCAAAATAATATTTTTGACTGGCGAGTATATTTCTAAATATTAGGCCTTTTGCACATTGCAAAACTGCCTTTGTTATCATATTGCTGATAAATTGAAAATGTAAAATAATAATAATAATAAAATAAAGCAAGTGGCAAATTGATTTTGAGTTCATGCATATGGATTAAAAAATTATTCTTGGTAGACCTAAATTTTAAAAATTACACATTTAAATTGTTAATAAAAACGAATCAGAAGGATAGATAAAATTAAGGAATAATAAGACTTTGAATGAATAAGCCTTGATTAAAATATGTCAATGTTATAGTGAACCATAGCTTCTTGTCTATCTGCCAGCACAGGGATGGATGGGTCATATCAATCAATCATGGTTGCATGAAAGCAGTTAAAATATAAATATGATTTATTGGTGCCAAGAATGGGCTATAATAGCAGCAAGAAGGACAAAATTCAAACATATTAAATCATCATGAAGGCAAAGCTTTATAAATATCAATGTTTGTGTCAGAATTACTGAACACCATTTCAACATTTAAAAACTTTTTTAATTTATTGATAAACTTCGCTTCTCTTGTATATCTCATTTTAGCAGATAAAAGAGTAGTTGGTTTTTTATTTTGCGCTATATTTCCATTGCTATACAAACTAGATTCATAACCTTTAACCCCTGATAGATAACAAATAGTATCCAATAAATCTCCAAAAGTATCTTCAATGTAAATGACATCAGCACCAATAATGATGTCATAATCCTTAGGATTATATAAATTCAAATTATCTCCCCATTTTAGTTCTTGCACTTTTGGAGCCATTTTGTCATCATTTTGAAAGTTTTTATCAATATTTTTTGATAAAAACGGCAGTGCTTCTTTCAAGTCGGTTACAGTTACTTTAGCACCAAGTTTACTGCAAACTATTCCAACTAGTCCAGTTCCAGCTCCAAGTTCCAGAACAGTTTTTCCTTTCATTTCTTCTCTTTTTATGATGTAATTGGAGAGTTCAATGGCCTGCAAATAAAGAAAGACCACTATGGTATGACTTTTTATACAGTAGTTCGCTAGGTGCAGCGTCCTAGTGATTAAGAGCATTGAGTTTATCTATATTAGCATTGGAAGTTAAATACTTAAACCCCATTCCCACAACCCTATCTAGGGTGTAATAAATTAGGTAGTTCCAAGCTTAAAGAAAAATTATGAGATTGGTACTATTTATTTAGTTCAGTTTAAAATTTTGACTGATTGGTGAAACCCATTGACGTTCAGATTGCAAAATGGGGGCTCCTGAAGTATGCGAACCAAGATGGCGGACATCGGAATGTAATATGTGTACTAGGTTAGGGTTAGGCCATAATTTTGGGTACAAATATTACGAGAGGCACTTGGCTAGTCTTCGAACTCATAGTAGGACTAAAATAAGGGAATTGGAATAAAATTATGGCCTAACCCTAACCTGTTACCCATGCTACGTTTCAATGTCCGCCATCTTGGTTCGCATACTTCAGGAGCACCGCAAAATGTAACTATATCAGTATGTGCACTAACTTGGCAATGCATAATATATACTGATATACGGTACTGACAAGGTAGAATAGAATTTAGATATTTAATACAGGGCAAGGCAGCAAGAGGAACCTGCGAACCCACGCAGAATGATAACAAGAGCTCGTACGCTTAGTACTGTAGTACCGGTACTATGCGCCACACCGCCAAGTATATTTCACAGACAAAACATTAAGGTTAACTACAGTGACATGACTGAATGCTTGAATATAAGCAATTTCATTTTAAAAATTATGGTAAACCAGCAATGGTACTTACTGCTTCCCAGACAACAGCTGCAACACCTTTCTCATCCCAGTCCTGATAAATGGTGATTTCGTCCTCAATACCTTTGAAATTGAATTTCCTAGTTTTCTCCTTAAAAGATGGAAAGAGCTGAATGTGTGTCAATTCATAAGGAACAAGTGCCCAATTTTTGTCTTCACAGCCTCCTGTGGAATGATTTTCCAGGGCCTGTCCATTTTCGCCGGCCATCATCGATTCCGTTAGAAATGCTAATAATAGAACTAAATATACATTGCAGAAGTTGATCATCCTTCGCTGAATGCAGATTTAACTGGTTATTACATGCAAATGAATGATTTGAAACGCCGGCACTTTGGAGGAAGAAGTCGCCGCCCCGACGGCGAAAACGAACTGGGGTAAATTTTCGCTGGACACTCGAGTTTTGTTCCAAGTGAAATTAATTGTGATGTCACACGTGGACTTGGCAAACTAGCCTTTTAGCACGCTCCAGTGCACAATTATTTTCACCGCCAGGTGTCGTTATTGTATAACCGCAGGCCATTTCTGACATTTTTGTTATTACAGAAGTCCCTTAAGCTATTTTTGTTTTCATTGGTGTCAACAAACTGTCGCAATTGTTCAAATAAAAACTTCGCTATGCCTTTCCAGTTTTGACCAACTTTTCAGCTAGGCGCTAACATCACAGAGAAGTTTGTCTGTCAATATTTTCTATTCTTTTCAAGTTTTGTGGTTTGGGGAGACAGGCACAGACTGGCACTTTGTCAGCAGCAAACGTTTGCAATTTGATCCTTTGAAGATGATTGAAATCTTCACCCTGTCACCAGGTTTTAGCGAAATTAGGCTATACCATACCTTTTACTCAGTCATTTAGTCAGTTTAGTCACTAAAAACACTAGTGATGTTTAGGCTACATCATTGTCTGATTGTGCTATGCGACTGTGCGGGTACGGTACCGGTACCTCTACAGCTTTCTCTGCAAGTTTGTATGTTTTTATCAGGCCGTCTTTCAGTTTTCATATTTGGAGTGTCAGTCTGTCAGAGTAGAGCAGCACGAATGTTAAGATTGTGTTGTACTTGTAGTCTTTGAAATCTTTCAACCTTTGACGCCATGTGAATTTCGATATGAGAATTGGCTACTTTCGATTCATAACCATATGAAATATACAGAAACTGATATTCAGGATACAGGGATATGATATATTAATATTGGTTTATATACCTAATCACTCGATCATAGGAGATTCTGATATTGAGATATTTAAATGTTCAAATATACTAAGTCCTGGTAATATTAAAAAAACTAAAGGAGTAAGACAGGTGTTGCAATGGTATCAAACTATTGAGTCAATAAATAACACTTCCAGACTTCAATTCTATTTTTAGATTTTAGCATCCTAGAAAAATGTATTTTTCTGTGATATGCAGCGTTTTGTTAATAACCATAGTAAAGGCAGACACTGGATTTGTAAATATTTCAAACACTGTCAACCAATATACACTGGAAGTATGCTCTGAATATAACCCAAGTTTTGCCCCCTATCCTAAAGAAATTGACAATAATACAAAAGGAACACCTGTTGTTGATATTTACCCAGATCCTGGGTGTGAAGCACCACAGGATCCGAAACTTTACAAAGGGAAAATCGTCATTATGAAAAGACATAAGAATTGTACTTTTGCAGCAAGAGCTGTGAATGTACAAAATGCAAATGGAGTGGGTGTTTTGGTGGTCAGTGATTATCCTATAATAAGCCCAGCTGCGAATGATTCTGAATACAATCAAATTCACATTACTGTCTCTCTGATTTCTAATGACTCGTATTTACAATTTGACAATATGATTACTGACGTCGGAATTGAAAATGTGTTCATAAAATTATATGCACCCAAAACTGCATATTGGGATCCTAATTCTGTTATAATGTGGTTATTAGCTGTATTTACTTGCTCTCTCGGAGCCTATTTGCAAGCATCTTTTTACGATTCTCAAGTGAAGGCTGCTCGAAAGGCGTTGCGTGAGGGAGGGCCAGCGCAGGACACCAGCAAGGACGATGAAATGAGTTTCACTGTTATACATGCTATAATATTTTTCGGAATGTGTTCTGTAATGATATTACTTATGTATTTCTTTTATAAATATATGGTTTATGTTATAATAGGTATTTTCTGTCTTGCTTCATGTTTTTCAACTTATGATTTTTTAGATAATATTTTCGGGAAGTCTTCGTGTTTTACAAGGCATAGAATTTGTGAGAATAAAATCCCATTTTTTAACTCACGGCCGCCAATTCTTAGTATTTGTCTGTTTTTAGCATGTGCTGCTTTTGCCATTTTTTGGGCTGTTGAAAGAAAGGAACCATATGCATGGATTTTACAGGACATCTTAGGATTCACATTCTGTATTCATATGATTAAACAAATTCGACTTCCCAGTTATAAAATCAGCACAATTTTGTTGATTTTATTTTTTATTTATGATGTGTTTTATGTTTTCATAACTCCATTATTCACGAAGAACAAAGAGAGCATTATGGTTAATATCGCCACTAGGGGAGGGGGGTCATCTAGTGAAGAATTACCCATGTTATTTAAGATGCCAAGATTCCGTAAATCACCATATTCAAAATGCGGCCCACCGCCTTATTCATTACTTGGTTATGGTGATGTCATATTACCGGGTCTTCACGTTGGGTTTTGTGCCGTCTGGGACTTAAGAATCAGTAATACTGTACGGAGGCATGCTTATTATATAGCTGCTATAATCGGTTATGCTACTGGACTTGTTTTAACTTTTGTTGGAATGTATTTGACAATGATGGGGCAGCCAGCATTGTTGTATTTAACGCCATGTTGTCTTTTAAGCACATTAATCGTTGCTGTTAAAAGAAAAGAACTAAGGCCTATTTGGGCAGGTAAATTGCCTGTTAAGTCCCGTTCTACTAGCGTGGATCCACCCAGAGTCCAAGACCCCAATACCCCAAATGAAGCAGACTCCCTTTTAAGAACACAAGCCTGAATTGTTTATTTTATTCACTGTATAAAAGTTTTATCATTGGCAAAGAGATTCATTTTTTTCATTTCTTCTTTTCAACTCCCATTTTCTGTTATTTGCCTGAGTAAAAAATGATTAGTGAGCATTGTGGACGCAGAATTTATATAAAAAACTTTACAAATCACAAAGGGACATTATTATTAGCGAAAAACTGTTTTTTTTTTCAACATTTTTAGAATTAAAACATTCGAAACATTTTCACAAATATCAAAATCTTACAGAAATTTTAAATTTTTATAGAATTTTTATTCATTTCATTTGCGTTTATTATGAATTCATTTCAATTCATTCGCTGTCACTATGGTTAGAAATATAAATTATCAATGTGCTTCATTGGCTACTGTAAAGATTTTCATTAATATTTAAGAAGTTACTAAATTATTAGAAAAAAAGTTAGGGAACATTTAGTTAAACTAGTTTCTCAAATAAACCGTTGAACAAAGAAACCTATATGCCAAGTCGTGGCAAGAAAATTTCAAAAAAAGGGGGGGGGGGTGTCTGAAATTTCTATTTGCCAAGTTAGATCGAAACAGCTAGGGTTTCTACACCCCTGTCTATATGTATTTATTATTTTGTGTGCTTTTCTGACTTCTGTTAAATTTTCTTCGGCGAAGTTTTAAAATTTTTCATACAATAATAGCTAAAAATATTATTTATGATAAAACTGTAGTATTTCAATATTTGTGTGATTCATTATTCTCATTTATCACCAGTAATTTGAAAATACTGTAATTAGCTGTTGAATGATGGTGACTGAGCTGACTATACTGCATTTCATGGTCATCACCCTTTTTCTGACACTCAATTTAAGATTTTCAGGTTTATTTTTTTTAAATGATCATAACCTGAATTTTCACTTCAGTCCAATTCCTGTGTCTGATCTACTTCACTATCATTTCCAATCTTCTAACACCAAAAATCATCGGAGTGTGACTGGTCGGTACAATTGTGTCTTGATTGCTTAGTGCCCATGCTGCTCCTTTCTGCACTAATGTTTTCTGTTAATGAATATGGTTTCAATTTGCACCAAAGTAGACTTGCCAGCGTTTCTCAAACATTAATGATCTATGCCCTCCTTCTAAATAATTAACCAAATCAACCAATTTACTTCAACCGTGCCCTCTTTTCAGAATTTTCAAGTCTCGTTTCTCACGTTAGAAATAACTAGCTAACAATAGGCTAGAAATAATAGATAGTAAGTCAATGTTTCATTCAAAAAAACGCATTGCAATACGTAGATGGACCATAAATATCCAAAATAAGAAAATGTAAATACCCAAAATAAGGCGGGCAAGATCAAATCTAACAAATATTTTTATTTTTAATCAGCTTCACGCCCTCTAAAACATTGTCCACGCCCTTCTTATGGGGCACGCCCGACTGCTTGAGAATCACTGCTCTGACTTATTACAGGTTGTATTGAAAACTCACAAATTTGTCACCTGAAGTGCCCACTGATTTTCTGTACAAATTTTAGCAATCTTTATGGAATTTTCCAAAGGTATAAAAATCTGATTATTAAATTTTGCTTCGTTTATTATTTTCATGTTTTATGCTCATTAGAATGGCAGTTAGTAAATAAAATATGGGTAAATAGATGGATATATTGGTGAACTTAACATTATCGTTGGAGCGCCCGGATGAACTTGCTGGGAATATAAGGATATATACTAAGGACTGAGCATGGGAAATACTGACCACCTTTATGAACTATGGACTTTATATACAATCAAGGTAAAGTTCATTGGTACTAGATCTAGGAGTTTTTTTTATATACACGGTAGGGTACTCCCCCCCCCCCGTCAAAATGAATCCATGCCATGTAGAGCGTAATCTAGAGACACTTCAGTATCAAGTTTATTTAGACCTCCAGAAGTATGTGCACCAAGATGGACATAATAGTTGTACCAGGTTAGGTGCCATCTTGGTGCACATACTTCATGAGCTATTTTTTGGGGGGGGTCTGAGAAACACCCTGATTAACATAATTATGATTATTTTTGTGAATTCCCTCAGAACCGCAATCAATATATATAATAAATAAACAAACATATTTGGATGTGGAAGAGAGTTTACATTTGGTGTTTGTGTTGCCCAGTAACGAAATTGTGGAAATGACATAATATGTCATAATAATTTTAGATATTATCTTTGATATTTTATTATATTTGTCGGCCCTTTCTTGCTCAATGATAGCGATTATATCATGACAGATATTTTTTTGCTTCTTTGTGACAAAACTACTATAATTGTCTAATGACCTCGTCTAGCTTAGTTAGAGGTCAGGTAAATGCTAATTCTTCTACCAACCAGAGCAGTGGTTCTCAAACTTTTTAAGCCACGCCCCCTTTTAAGAAATGTCAACTTTCGTGTCCCACTTCAAAATGAATTAGCTACAAATAACAGATAATAAGGCGAAAGCATGTTTTGTTCAAAAAACACATTGAAAATTTGTGGGTGGAACTTAAATATCCAAAAATAAGGCAGGTAAGATCAAATGTCACAAATACTTTTATTTTTAATTTGCTTTGTGCCCTCTCAAAAAATAGTCTATGTCCCCCTTGTAAGCCCCACTGTTTGAGAAACACTGAACTAGAGAACGGTTTAGTAAAAATGTAGTAAAACACATATTGGTGGTGGCGAAGGGTTAGAGTTAGAATTTCCAAAAAACTGAGATAACATTATTTATTCATAAGTTATAGGTTGTATCAGGTAATTTATATTACCGTAGATTTGCCAATACCTTTTCAGGTCAAGCACTCAGGTTGTTGAAGAATTCGATGATGATTGCTTTTTACAAATTTACATATATTTTTGATTAGATTGCCATATCTTACCAGTTAGTGTTTCCATGGCGATTAGCATTGTCAAATTTTTACCTATGGCACAATCAAACTGCATAGCTCAGTATGTTTCCTGTGAGCTTGATGACCATTTCCTGTTCGCTATTATGATACATTGTCATTTGATTGTGACTTCATAATTATTATCGCTTTGTAATGAGAGTTGTTGTTCAGAAGATAACATTGGTGAAATTGTACCGGTGAAAATATGTCTGGTTTTCTTTTGAATAACGTTTCTTGTTTTGATGACAAAGAAAAGGTAATTTTAGTTGAAGATAATTGTGTAAAAATGTTTTTAGTGATTTGTAGGCGCTCCCCAAGTATGTGTACCAATATGGAGGTAACTATCTTTGTTCGCCTACATTACATCAAGTTGTATAAACAGGCTGAAACTTATGGGCAGGGGGTATATTCACTCGGCTAACACAGACCGTCCCCGAACTTGTAATAGAACTAAATCAAGGAAAATCTGGGGAAAATTATGGCCTAATCCTGACCTGGTACATACACTACGGGAGTATCAATGTGTATATGTAATAGTATTCTATTGTGTGAAATTTAATCAAGTTTTGTGTCACTCCGCCATTTCCTGACATTTCTTTATGCCAGAATAAATCAATCTATAAATAGCTTTTAGTGAATTTGGTAGTCATGTGATTCTTATGTCAATGTTCAGTGTTATTTTCCACTTTTTGTTCGGTGATCCATATCTTACTTTCAGCAAATTTGAACATATAAAAAATATTTTTGAAATGATGATTTTCGAATAGACTTATTAATGTGATTTGTTACAATTAGATTTATTATCAATGTTGGTTTTGGTTCCCATAATAGGGGAGAAACTATTCACTGTGCTTTTTATTATTATTATATTGATTTTATTACTGAAATGCTTTTGTAGGCACTAAATTTAAGTTTTATGGTTAATAATGTTAATAAAAATGCTCTTTCTTGTGGTGAGAATATGTAACCTATTTGTAAAATTGAATACTCTACTATTCAAATACATTCTGTACATTCTGGTGTAATATTAAAAGGGTTTATTAGGGTTTGGTTTTATGTGCCAGGAAATTTAAAGTTTATTATTCAAATGCTTTTCATTCTGGTGAAGACGTTCATTTCAGAAATAAAATAATTGACAATTCTAAATTCAGTCTGTAAGTTCTACAGTGTAATGTCAAAAGGATTTTTAACGCCGAGCATGGTAGACAAACCACCAACTATTTACCAAGAATAAGCTCAGAAATTGCATTTCCTATCTTACTTTCTAACTGTTTTGGTTGGAGTTTTACTGCTCACTAACAAACGTATTTCCATTATGTTTAGTATGAACAAGGTTGATACTCTCGTAGTGTGTGTACCAGGTTAGGGTTAGGGCATAATTTTATTTCGATTTTCCCTATTTTAGTTCTATTACGAGTTCGAGGACTGTGTGTGTTAGCCAAGTGAATATACCCCCTGCCCTTAGGCTTCAGTTTCTTTACACAGCTTGATGTAACGTAGGCGAACAAAATTAGTTACCTCCATATTGGTATACATACTCCCGGAGCACCCCAAGGTCATCCTTATTCTCTAGATCTAAATTTTCCTATTTTTACAGAATGAAGCGCAATATCTACAAAGATACATTCAAGAATTTGCTCACGTCTACGAGGGAATCATCGACCTGAACTTTGAACTCGTCGATGTCAAACGAGATTCGAATGTAACCGTCACCGATGGGGTTAGTTGTGATTAATAATTTTCCTTATGATTCGATTTATTGGACATATAATAATGAATCTCGGAATAATTTGGCAAAATTGCTATTTTGTAAAGAAATGTTACTGTAAGGATGTTTCCCAGAGCATCGATTTCCTTGTTTATTGCCGTAGTCAACGAATACGTAACAATTGCAATTTTTGCAGCCGCTCAGACACTTCGTTCACCTAGGCTGATATTTAAGCATGGTTGTGAATATGTAATTCAATTTATTGGGCATTGAATGAACTTTAGAACGGGTTTGCAAAATTTTGTCATAAAAGTTGGTGCGGACATTCGCAAAATTTTGTCATAAAAGTTGGTGCGGACATTCGCAAAATTTTGTCATAAAAGTTGGCGCGGAAGTACTATTTTGATTTCACAGTAGCTGCAGATTTGGAAAATTGTGTTACCACAAGGGTTTCTGCTGATTGACATTGGCTTTTGATGTGCTTAATAAGTAATAACCCAGCATTACTATTATTTTGTCGTGCTTCTTTGTTGGATTCATTTTCATCAATTTATTGTGCAAGGAGGAGAGGGATTTTTGGATCCTTCTTCAACAATTATTGTCGTTTTGTGGAAAAAATTTCAAGACTGCTAGTCACTTATTATTTTGCTGAATTTTTGTGACAAAAGAATCACTTTTCTCTCCAACTTATCCATATTTATATTTTTAGTTGTTAATAAAGATGTGTCTCTTTATTAAAGACTTACTTTTATATTGTCATATACTTCTTTCTGACTTAATAGTGGTTGTTTTATTATTATAACTTCACTAATTTTGAGAATTTGCGTCACAGCAAAGATTCTCTGCTGATTTGATTTTTGCTTTAGTCAACTTGACCAATGATATGATTCATTCATTGTTGCAATACCTCTTGGAGAACAGCAGTCTCACATGCTGTTGTTGGTCAACGGTATAACTTGGTTCTAGCTTGATAAACGACTTCAGATATGATAGATATGTTTACGTTTCTTATGTATCTCTAGTAAAGTTTTGTGCTTGTCACCAGTTTGAGAGAATGCTAGTCAACCGTATATCTAAGTTTGAACTTAATACAGGATTTCTTGTTTCAAATTGTTTCAAATGTGACATTAAGTAAGATTCAATTCATTCTGACTGCAAACTTGTAGAGAGGCATCGTCACAGCTCGCAGGCAACATACCTCATACCTATGTTATATTCACTTGTCTAACACAGATAGCCCCCGAACTCGTAAATTCGTAATAGAGCTAAAATAAGGAAAATCGGAATATGGTTATGGTGTAACCCTAGCCTGGTACACACACTACGGGCACCTTTAATGATGTAACATAATATTTTTACTCCTTGATGGTTAATGTTTCATCTCCTTAAATCATCTTTTATATTTCAGGCTGATAAAGCAAAAGCAGCCAAGCAATTGGTTGATCTTTTATCAAATCCAAAAGATTCTGATGCAGAATTGGGGCCACCAAATTTATCCGAACTACCGGATGGGTTTTTGCAGGTATGGTCACATTTTCGATTGTGATATCAATCATATCATGTACAAATTTATTAATAAGTTTATAGAAGTAGATGGATACTATTGTTTTTTTATTTCTAGTTACTAAACTGTAGGAGGAGTTATTTCTAATTTTCATTCAGTCAGATTAGAAAACTTTGATACAAAGTATTAAATAGAGTAACTCGACAATAAAATTGAACAATATCTATTGTGTAGACATTTAAATCTCCTTTTCAAGAGAATTTAGCCATGCCCACTCACTCGTAATTATCTGAAATATATGAAAAATATAAAGTTTACTAAAAATGCATTTTGGACTGGAAACTGGATGAGAAGCCATGATTAACCATATTATTAAGCCGTCTTATCAACTTTCCTGTTTCCCAGAGTGATAGTGAAAATCCTATTATATTCAAAACTCTTCTTTTTTCAGGCTATTAATCGTCAGCTAATGGGGATTCGTGATTACTTCAATACTGCTGCTCTATCAGTTGACAAGAACAGTTTCAAGCCAGAGAAAGTTGTCTATGCAACTAACCTTGTCAAATCTCTCTCTGTTATTTGCAAGTAAGTCAAAATTTTGCTTATTTCAAAGTTTTTCGCATTTACTTTGTGTATCAACTTGCACAACCGGCTTATCACATTATCTCTCCTGTAGATATTATTATTTCTGTACATAAAGAAAGATGATTAATGGATCATGTACATTCTCAATACTTAATAGTTTTAATTTCAGAAGATGTTATTGGTCATTGGTTCCCAAACCGCGGCCCTGCGGGCCAATTAAGGCCTGCGTAATGATTTATTAATATAGCCAGCCGATATATACCTAAAGTGAAAAAACCCTATGGAAAAACTGTCTTCTTGGGTTCAATATGCTTGTGACATTTTGATAATACATAAATATAAGTGTAAACACACATTTATGTATTTTTATATTCGAATATTTGAATTTGCCCAACTCTAGTGATAATATATGAATATAAATTACAAAAAAGAAAATATAGTCTTTGTACTGACTTATTGAAGCTTGGGTACATTGTAATAATACATGCCAGTGACTGACAAGTTCGTTGTTTGTACTTGTTTTATTTCTATGACATGATGCGTATTGGAATGTAAATTAAATGTGGTTCCACAAAGCGAAGTCTGTTATTTCAAAAGAGGTACTTTCCAAGCAGTGTTTTCAGTAATGGCTTGTGTGTTCATGTTGTATTAAATTTCAACGGTTTCATAGTTGTTTTAATTCAAATGTGACAGCTTTTTACCACCTGCCAAGTTTGCTTTTTATAATAAAGCCCCAGCTACTTATCAAGAATAAAAGATGCCTATGTCCATCACATTGTAACTATCGGCCTGTTCTGTTCTCAACTTTTATAAAATATTATATTCCTTTCCGTAATCATTTGCTGTGATAGATGCGTACGGCGTGTTACGATTTGTAGGGTCAACTTATATGCGAATTTTTGTGAATTCACTGTGTAAGGGCCGTTTTTAGGGGTTGGCTTAATTTATTCAATAAATTAAGTTGTACTTGTGTCTTGTATTTACTGATTTTTCCAATTTCTGATTTAATATTTTATTTTATTGAAATAATAGCAAAATTCTTTAATGTTTAGGAATCATGAAAACTTGAAGCTTCTCTCATCAGCAAGTCTTGTTGGTCTTGTTTTGAATGTCGCATCATATGTAGTACAATTGGTAAGTTTTGTTTGGTTGATCTTAAAGTTTTATTTTATTGATTTTCATATAAATCATACAGGGTGGTCGTTAGAGAAACAGAAAATTTTACAAACAGCCATTGATTTTTACAAAGAATCACTTTTACAAAGTTTTTCAAAAGCATATGTTATATTACACTCATAGATGCTCGAAATGTCGTCTGTGTCGTCCAGAACAAGAGTCTAAACCTAGAAGTCCAATCTTGTGTAGCCTTTCGGAGGTTAACTTGTGGGATGTCGTTCCAATTCAACCTAAACTTGTACGCATTTTATTCATGATCTTATCTGACTTTTTTTAAATTTTCTGTTTTTCTAGTGACTACCCTTTATATTATTATATAAAATCTATATTGTTTGTTGACTTTTTGGGCAAATTTAAATTGTTTAGAAAGAGTTTTTGGCAGGCTTTTAATTGTAGTGAATATTATTATTCCACAATCTCGTTCAGTTAGAATGAATTTTTCTTATGTGATTCATAAAATTTATATTACCAGACAAATCGCTTTCTTTGAGAATGGAACTATAAGAAGAATTATAGTAACTTTTTTCTTGGTAATCCTATGGGAGAAAATAGTAATTAGATGACTTTATTTGAAGAAGAATGTCTCTTGCCCTGGAAGCCTAGCAGTCCAGTTCTCTTATATAGAGCGCCTGTGGCTCACCATGGGTGCCACAGAGCAGTTGGGGGGGTCACCACGCCTGCGGCAAAACTAATTTTCCTTTCCCTTTTACTAAACTCCCTGTTCTTCTTAGTTTAGTTGCTTGATAAGGTTATTTTACAGAGTGTTTTCCCTTTGCTGAGCATGAATTGTTTGAACATAATCAGACTTGGAATTAAACCAATCAAAGCAACACTATAAATACCACTGGAATGATAACCATTGGTGTCAGGAGTGCTTATTAATAAACATTCAGAAGGGGGTCACAAGATATAGAAGATTGGGAACCACAGGTCTAACTATTTCAATTCCTTGAAATTAAACTTAAATTTTAGATTACTGGAGGGAACTCGGAGGATGCAAAAACATTACAGAGACTGGAAACATTCCTACATCATGCTTTGTATCTTTGTGAATGTCTGTATGATCCTCTTCATACATGGAGAAAGAGATTGAGAGGGTAACTTCACATTATATTATTATTTTGATTTTTTTTCTTTTTCGAATTATTATGTTTTTAACAGGTCTGAGAAGCTGGTTTTGAACCTCAACGACTCTTGCTCTGACATGGGAAAACTACTGCCCACAGGCCGAATCCGGTCCATTGGGTAATTTAATCTGGCCCGCCTGATGCTGTCACAACTAAACTAGAACCAAATTTTTATGATTCAGCTAAAATATAGCTCAAAGAATTTGTTGAGATTGTGATTAAATTTAGATTGTCACGAGGCTTATTGTTTTCCATTTTTGCGTTTGTAACTGTGAATATAGTTCAAGTATTGTTACGCTATACTCACATGGCCCGCCAGTCGAGGTGGGCAAAATTTTTGGCCCCTGGTACAAAATCCTTGCCCACCCTTGCACTAGCTCCACCTCCGGAGCCTCAGTCTGGATATACCTCCCCTGCCACTGGCGCTTCATTTTCCAAGGGGATACTTTGGGGGGGAGGACACTCTGTAACTTTTAATTAATTTATGAATTCGTCATTTCAGCCTCTCGGTACAAGCATTGCCAAGGTTTGTTCTAACTTTGTGTAGGGTTTGATGAGTTTTCTGCTTTTAAGATTCATTTCTTAATGATCTGTGTGTGATTCATAGAAAATTATTACCGTTCATAAATCACTCATAGATGAATATAGAAATATTAGGCCTAGTGAACATATGAATATTGTAATTGCTTTGATGACTGTGATTTGCTGCAGATTACGCTTTATTAATAATAGATTATGAACATAATTTTTTTTCTACAATTTTCAACTTCTAATTCTCAGCTTATGGTCATTTAGTGATCGTTTCTAGCATTGCTCAGAGACCAATCTTCTTTCTTTTTTAGTGAGTGTTGACCTTGCTTCGAGTAAATTTCCTTCAAAAATTTTTTTTTGTTGAAGACTGTGATTTCTGAAGATATTGCTTTAATAAATACGGTAGATCATACATTGTTTAATTTAAAATATAGAACTTTTTATACAATTATGTGAATCATATTGATAATTGAAAACTGTGTATGCATCACATAGACATGATGACCAGGTGGTTGAGGCATTGGTACAATCTAGAAAGATATTTTATTTAAACCCCGCAAAATTGGGTGGAAAGGTCCCGACCGTTCACAAAACACCCTCTCCGACTCTCAACCGCAACCCCCTTGTGATCTCTGTCTATAAATCTTGCCTGTTGTGTAAAGGCTGGAAAAAACACTCATTTCAAACCTTTTTTTCATAATAAAGTCGAGTGTGATATAACTTGTGGAAGCTCAATCGAATTGTACGGCAACAACTTAGATGAGATCAGTTTAGTTGGCCTATCTGTATTTATGAAAATTGAATTCTGTGAAGTTTCATAAAGATGGTTTTTCTCAGAGCAATGCCACTTATTTGTAAACGAAGTTACTGGCAGACATTTAAATGATAAAGAATATTAAAATCATGTAGAATAATGGTGATGCAATATGTGCTAATAAATACCAATTAATATGAGACTTTAATTATAACAACTATGAAGGACTGAACCAAAAACAACGAAAAAACAAATTTCTTGAAAAACATTTTTTAATTTTTGAAATGAAAATACTGACTTTTGGTCTTTTAAATTTACCTTTCAAGGAATTAAAATATTACAAGTAATTATATGCAAATTATTGCATTGCCTGGGGTTCCTGAATTGATTATTAAAGTGGTTAATTTAGATGATGCAACGTAGGTTTGTCAAAAATGAATGCCTTGAGGCAGTGAATTCCTAGACATAACAGTCTGATCTGTAATTATTGTGTCATCAATTTGTCGTCAATTACCATTGATGTGTATAATCCAATTGTATGATTATGATGATAACGAAGTAATGCGGATTATGGTACCACAGCTATTTCTTGAAATCTGTGATGTCTAAAATGGATTGAATAGTTTAATAATTCCCAAATTATTACAATTTTACATTATTAAACAAGGAATTTATTAGAATAATTTACTTTAGATTGTGGTGGCACTTGATTGGCAGTACATATCTTATGTAGATGCAATAAAAACCACATCTGATGTCCACATGGCAGCCCATAGATATTGTCTTCCAATGATGATTAGGGTTTGTTTGGACCATAATATATCCATCCTTATTCCACTTTCAGTCTATATAGGTGCACAATAGCCCATTGCAAAGAAATGGCAATTGTAACATTATAAATATTCCTTTCTTTCTATATGTGGCAGAACTTTACCCCATATTGAGGAGACCATACAAATAGTGACTAGGACCATGTTTTAATTCCTAACTTTTCCTACAGGCTTCCTATTCCTACCTTTTTATACAGGGTTCTCAGTATATGCAGAATATTTGAAGTGTTTTACAAATAGGATGTTAAAAAGTAAAATATTTATATTACCAAAATATAAATGTCATAATATTTATTACAGTTAATAACATAATTTTGTGTTTGCTGACATGTTATAATTCCTGAATCATTTTGTAATAATCCTAAAAAAGTTGTTAAATATGATATCAGCACAAATACGATTATCTCATTCAACAAAAATTCAAGGTTCAGCATAAGCTTTGTTCAGTCTACTGGAAACTGAGAAAAATATTCCAAATTTATATTTATAATCATATAATTATAATAGTTATAATCTAGTATTAGTAAAGTATTTTTTTTTCTAAGAAACATCAATCTAGTGAAAAATACTGAACATGATGTCCATAAAGTCCCTTTACAATTTCAATTTTGTTTTAAAGTCAGTTCTCAATATATCCTAACCGGATTTGTTGTTTTTTAATCAGTAATTGTTCAAGTATTTTTATTTCATTTAATATGTCTGTGAGGGCCAAAACAATATTATGTCATCGATAAATTTGCAATTTTAAAAACTTTTTAAGGCTTGGACCAGTGGACACTCTATAGTTTTCTATACCTATGTAGTGTTTAATTAAAAGCAAGGATAAAATAGCAATAATCGGATATCGTTATAATGCTCAAAATATTTTTGCAAAAATCTTGAATCATAAACTAATCAATTAAGAAGTCTCCCCTTGGTCAAAAAAAAATTACTGGTAGTTGTGAATCAAACATCTGAAATCATAAGGCAACAGCTTCATTATGAGGTATTTTCACACTTCACTCTAGACCTGTGATTATCCGCGGGCCGTATGTAATCCTAATATCGGTATGTATTATTAAAATACCGGCATAATTAAATTGTTACGAATATACATGTGCTTAAACTGATAATGACGCAACAATTGGGGGTATCTAACACGCAAAATGATGAAAACATTAAGTGGTAAACGTATAAGTATTTATTTACGATTAAACTATTTCGTTTACTGAAGTTCGGCGGGCCATTATAAATTGTCACCCGGGTCACGGTTTGGGAACCCCTGCCTTAGATAAACGAACTCTGGAATGTAAAAGGCTATAATATTCCGATGGATATTTAAACCTAATAGGTAATTTAAATAATTTCTATAAAAAGTTTTGTACAATATTTTCATATTATAGAAAATATTTAAAGTGACACTAGATTATAATGTTATTATTTCTTCTCTGCATCGATTACAACCTCCATCTTATTTCTCTTTCTATAAGCACGTACATGTACATACAAATTATTCGACGTTCCCGTCTTATACTTAAATTGATATTAAATCTTTCGTTTTTTTATTTTTCAGAGCTGAATTGGAAGCTGAGACAGATAAGAACATAACTCCACTTTTGAATGTTGACATCATTCCATTTTTCTACGGTAAGTTTTTGAAAGGATTTATAGTGGTGGTTCATGACATTCTAAAATTCTATTTATTGAATTAAGATTTCCTTTTGTCTAGTTTTACTTTATTTTTGATGACAATTTGCTAAAAACTGGTCACTCGTATAAGCCGCCATCCTAAAATCTACCCTAAACGGTGAATTTATAACAATTTGCGTATAAGCCAACCCTAGAAATCATGACACATTGTTATGTTTTATTTCTATTATCAACAGTAATAAACTATCTGAGAGTTATTACATATAAGAGATATGCGAATAAAAGCTGAATTTTTAGTGCAATCAGAGTTATACACATACAAGCTGACCCCTTAATTTGGCAATTTTTTTTTAGTTTTAAACATGGCTTATATGCGAGGATATATAGTAAATGGGGCTCATATCGCATCTGTGAGCACTGACGTTCTACCTAGTGGGAATTAGGGGCTCCCGAAGTATGCGAACCAAGATGGCGGACATCGGAATGTAATATGTGTACTAGGTTAGGGTTAGGCCATAATTTTAGGTATAAATACTACAGTAGGCTCTTGGCTAGTCTTCGAACTGATAATAGGACTAAAATAAGGAAAATTGGAAAGAAATGATCGCCCACCCCCTAACCTGTTACCCATGTTAAGTTCCGATGTCCGCCATCTTGGTTCGCATACTTCGGGAGCACCGAGAATTATCTATATTTATAACAGTGCAAGATATTCTGATATTATATTTTTAAATAAATTGTCTGTCAAGCATATATTTTCATGAAACATTTTGAACAGCTGTCTATATCTATTATTCAAATTTGTTGTTTCCAAAGTCCAACTGAATATTTTGCATATATATATTTAAACATTTTAATAAACATCTGCCTAAACCTATTAACTGCTCTATGAATTATAGATTTCTCCCATGGATCAGATTATTTACCACCATAACAGATAGTGTCTGGCTCACTTCCTATGTTCTTATTTTGGGTTTAAATAATGTATTGGTTCCTCTGTGATTTAAAATGATAAGTCCAAGATATTGGATATGCTATGTAGTAGAGGATGTTCGTATAGTTTTGTTGTTGTTACAGTTTCAATTTTATCAATCTCAATATATATTATCCGAGTTTGTTTTCTTTATTTAATTCACCCATAGACGCCAACAAATTAAAGGGTATTGATAAATTGCCTTTAAAATTCAAAATTTTTAAGAGTTTGTTCACACCTTCTATACTGTATGTAATTACGGTAGTTAAGTTTATTTTGATTCCATAGTCAGTCAGCATAAAAGGCAGCCATAGCTGCTAAAAATTATGATAAAAGCAAGATCCAAGTATGTCAGGGAGGCAAACAAAATCGATTTGAAATTTTTGTAGGTACTCTAAAATGGAAGATACATGTGTTTTTTTTCACCCATAAGAAAAATGCATACTAAAAATATGGAATAATGTATCTACGTCCTCACACACATTTACATCTAGATCTAGAAATTATAAAAACTTTCAGTATAATAGAATTCATCAAATTCCTCATTCTCAGTCATTCTGGACCAGAAGTATCTCGGAGTAAATTTTCATTTTATAATTTATACGTTTCAAGGATCTGACGTTTCGCAGTCCTGCATCGTCATACTAATTTTTCCACCCCGAGTGGGGTGGGAAGTGAAAGAAACCATGCATGCGGCTATTTTTTTTATTTTTGGATAGCCTACCTGTCAGCTTATCAATTTTCATTACAAATTTTTCCAGGCACACTTCAAACACATGATCGTTCACTGAGCGATGATTTGCAGAGACATTTTTTGCATATGTTTGGTGCATTACTGTGTGGATCCCAGAGGAATGCTTTATTGGCATCTTCATCGACTACTTTAGACATTTTATTGAAGTAAGTCCTGTATTTAATCTCTTCTTGATCTGGAAAACGATTTGTAATTGATCATGTCTGGGTTGTGGTTTCACAAGCTGAATTTAATTTCTAATTAAGGGTCATTGATGTACGAAAATACCAAAAAATATCAAATCAGTATTTTGTTTTTAACTAGTCACTACTTTTTTCAAGCTTTCTTTCACGCTTCATGGGCCTTGAAGATCACAGCAATCAGCCTTCACCTGTGAAACCATCGACTGAGCAACAACAACAACAACAGCAACAGCAAGAAAGTGGAAAACCAAAGTTATCCCTGGGCTTGCCAAGGATTGAGATTTCAGGTTTGTTAAAGGAATGTTACATCAAAATTCAATTTATTTTTTTTATGTAAATGATGGCCAGAAATTAATGATTTAATTTTACACATTTCATTGATGTTTTCGAATCTGTTTTATGTAATAAATTCATAAATTCTTTCAGATTTTGAAGGAACAAAGCTATTTACATGGTCTACCATTCACCATTCTACAGCTATGTCGTTTTTGGCCATAGGACTGTTTTTTTCAATAAATAATAACTTCATACTCAAAGTTCTTTCTTTTTATTTTTCTCAACATAATGTATAATAATATGCTTTACCGTTTCACATTTTGGTTTGCGTGCTCCAATACCTTTTGCAATCGATTTCCCCACATTTTCCAAAATTTATTCCATCATCAGGAGACGGAATTACGAGGCTTTTCAACCAAAGCAAAGATGTTGAGGGAGCAAGACTCGTTCTGAGATTGATTATAAAGATGGTTCATGTTCTACATAATGCTGGTCCTGATCAGGTACTGATAAAAATTATTGTTGGTAACGTTAGCGGTCAAGATTTTGTTTTCTCTTTTAAATTGGACCAATCGCTTTTAAATGTTCTGTAGTTGGGATTGATAATGAAGGCCGTAACACTGCAGTAGAAGCAAATTAGTTGGACTTGTAATGGTTTGATTTTAATAGACAAACCGAAAATGGAAACAACACAGCATGGAAACCCAGATTGAAATCTGGTTCATAATGACGGAAGTTGACTATTTTGGTTTTACTGGGGCAATACATGTTCTGTTTTTGTTAAAGTTTTCTTTGAGATTCATTGGCCTGTTATTTTTCTCAAATATTATTTTTTATTAATAAAATTCTACCAATGTATGGGATTTACACTAGTTGATTTAATGCAAGCCATTGCTCCAAAGATGTCATATTTGAATGTATCAGTAGCTGCTATGTCTATATTATAGATATAAGTTTATTTCTCTCATTTCAAAATGATAGTTGAAAATTCAGACCGAAAAATAATAAATCAAGTTTATTAGGTCTCAACATTTTAATATATCGTTTTAGCAAACAGAACGCTTCACTGTGTTATTGACTTAATATTTATTTAGTGTACGTTTTTGTTTATTAATGGTTGAATTGAATAGGCCTACTAATTTTTTGTATCCAAATTACATTTTTTAAATTCTTGCAAAAGTCAATAATTTTTTTTCATTATCAGAGACAAATCAGTGTGAAAGATGTTCTCGATGAATATTTTACTCTTCTGACAAAAGCAAATGGAAATACAGATATGCAATTACAAATGATAAGTAAGTTTTTCTGAGATAGGTTGTTTATATATGAAATGAAAAAGTCAATAAGACTACTGGATGATATGGAAAAATTAAAGCACCTTATTCGTCAACTAGCCCAGCTGGAGCATAGGAATTCTTTATCTTTACCCATTTAATTCTTCCATAGTCTTGATAGCGACGAAAGGAGCCAGAACCAACCATCTGTCTTCATTTTGTCTTATCTTTGTGTACTTGAGTATGTCTTAGCTGATGTACAATTTATCTTCCAATCTTATCTATACCTCATCTTCAATCAGAAAGTTTTTATCTATTGCTCCTAGGATTCATTTCAGAGTCTTTGATGTGGAAAAATCTTCTTATTGGAATCTCGTCTTTTCTTTACCCAGATTTGTTATCTCTGTATAAATGTATAACCAGCGAATGCCTATAAACATAACCAAAGTAACTCCTAAGACACACCAACGATAATGCGTCCTCAAGTACAGAGAGCACATGGCCACTTCACCTTCATAGCTGTTCGGTCATGATCAGTCATCTGTGACTGATGACATCACAGGTCATGCTTAGCCATCTGGGAAAATGCTAGTTGCCAGAAATACAATAATGATATCTTTAATAACTAGTATGATATTTATCTATTTGCTTTAGGATTCATCCCAGAGTTTCTCAACACCCTGGATCGACCAGCTTTGCAAATGATGTTGCTGCAACAAGGTTGCTTCAACCAATTGAAGAATGTACTTCAAAATTATAATCCAGGTAAAGTTTATATCTTGTTAATTGTTCATCATCCGACTAACAAGAGGGACAATTAAAATTAACACATTACGTACATTACAGCTCGGAGGTCTGACTTATCGTGCGTTAAGAATACGCTCGGAATACGCTCTGATTACCTTTTGTAAGTTCACAGATTTAAATCCTGTGGGCCTCCCTGTTTATTATTCCAGTGGTGTTTCAGTATTATTTTGATTGGTAGAATCCAAATTATTTTATGATAAAACAATTCGAGCAATGAATCTAGGAAGAACTGGGAGTTTTCTTGTGAAGGGAAAAGTAAAATCAGATTTGCTCTTAGCATTTTGGCTCCTTCTAGCTGTTCTGTGGCACCCTTGGCCACAGGCAGTGGTGGGATTCGAATTTTTTGTCAGCCGGTTCCATCACAAAGTCATATTTTTCAGCCGGTTCTGTTACAAAAATTTATATATTTTTCAGCAAATAAACCAGTAATGCTAACCGGTTCGCTGATCTCATAAAATTCTGTGAGACGGTTCTATAGAACCGGTGCAAACCGGCTGAATCCCACCACTGGCCACAGGTTGTTTTATAATGGTATTTATATTTCAGGGTTGTCTACTGAAGAATCTGAGCAATTTTCAGTTCAATTTGTTAATATTGTGACTGCACTTGTAGCAGGATCTATGAGTGCTAAGGTAAGATTTCTTATAAAATGTATTTTATTCAGTTTGTTTGCTTTTATTGTTATTTGAGATATATTCATTTCTGCATGGAGTTTTCTGTCAATTTATATCTTGATTTCAAATTTTGTTATAAACACTGATTAGGAACAAATTTTTAGGATACCATAAATCCTTGCATATAATCCGAAATTAAAACTAAAAAAATTGCCAAAGGCGCATAACTCTTATCTGATCACACTAAAAATTCGACTGATACGTGATAACTCTGATCACACTCAAACGAAATGACTTTATGGCCAACTTAATTTCAGCATCTACAACTCGAACCATGCTCATGATACCAAGTTCTCACGATAAGAGCTTACAATTATAGGGTCGGCTCATATTCAAATTTTTATAACTTCACCATTTTAGAGTGGTTTTTAGGGCGTCGACTCATATGCGAGGATATACGGTATTTCAATCATTCGTATTACATTCACCCATAAAATAGTGATTGCTTTGTTTTGAACTGCTCAAAGTCTTGTGTCGTTCAAAGTTTACTGGCGCAAAATGTACCACCAAACTTTTTATCTAGTTTCAGTTGTGATAGGCATTACCGTGGTCAACCGGAAAATCACTCAGATGAGCGAATTAACTCTTGAGTGAATGCGCACTCTATCTTGTTTTGGCATATTATCTCAAACTGTTTATTTTATTTCAAGTCTTCAGACGACTGGGTTTTCTGGCACATAACTAATTTTGTTTGCCTACTTTACATCAAGTTGTGTAAAGGGACTGAAATAGTCCTCGATTAATAGAACTGAATAAGGAAAATCGGAATAAAATTACGGCCTAACCCTAACCTGATACAGACACTAAGGGAGTACCCCCATATCATTGCTCAGAAATGCTTTTTTGAGTGAGTAGGTACTACTTTGCCTTTTTTAAACATAAAAACTTAAGGTCCTATGATATGTTATGAATAGTTATTCTTTGTTATTTTTATTTCCATTTAAATAAATATTTCACATGCTGATTCTGATATTAAATTTTCGTTGATATTTTGCATGTTTTATGTTCTCATTATGTTTTGTTTCTCATTTCATGCATGATTGCACATTCATCCGTCAACAGGAATATTTTCAAGACGATCTAGGTTATGCTTTTCTGTTTGAAAGAATCCGTGAATTGAGCACTCCTACCAAGGAGATTTTTATTTCTTTTTTAAATATGGTTAGTATTTTGTGTTTGATGTTTTTGTTGGTTTTATTTTATTTTGAATTTTATTTTAAACTTTGGATTTGGAAAAGTGTAAAGTGTACACAAGTGTGATTATAGTGTCATTCACAAACAAACACAGACATATACATACATACATATGTATAGGTACACATATTATATACACACCACCATATACGCAAATATACTTTCTCACATACACACACAAAAACACATATACATACATACAAAACATACATATATTGTACAGACACACACAGACATATACACCCATATGTATACGTAAACAAATATACATACACACCAGTGTTCACTATTAGCGCACTTTTTTGCGAAAATTGCGAAGCACTTTCGCAACTTTTTTTAGGGACTGCGAAATAGCACTTTTTTACGATTTTGAAGAGAAATAGCACTTTTTTCCGATTTTGAATGGAATAAAAATTCAAAGTTAACAAATATTTTCGAGTATTAAGTTGACAAATAAGCAACATACTAGTACTTTTGTAACTCAATTCTGCATATCATAACGATATTTACCGGAATTCTAACCTATGAGATGCAGACATAGGAGATAAAGCTTTTGCATTAACGGCAAAATTCTTGTTTATAATATGATTATTATACAAGCACACCGATTCCGCTTCTCCCCAAAAAAACGCTCTCCGGTGATTGAAACCAGATGTTGGAATAATACGCAGTGCGTTTCTTTGAAGAGAGTGGTCATGTGACTATCAATGATATCGATGAATTCAAAATGACTATAAAAGTGTTACGTGTTATTTTATAGTCACTTTGGATGAATTGTGACCAAACTGCACGATTTTCAAATCAGACGAAACTTTAAGCAGCATGTCACAGATTTGCAAAATCACCAAATTCACAAAATACCATTAAGTGCCATTTTATTGTAATCACAATGTTGAAAGGAGTGGCATTTTCCGTAATTTTGCGATATTTACACAACTATTTCTCATTGATATGCGAGGACGGGTGGGCAAAATTCAATATTTTTTTGAAGGAGTACCGAATAAACGTGGTGGAAACATTAAAAAATCGGCAACAAAGCCTTTTTACTGGTTAATTCCGTTGTAATCGCTAATTGTTCTAGTCACCGATCGTTTTGGCGGCGATATCCAGGTTTTGGGTAATCTATATTCCCCGCCCTCTCTTTTCTCTCGAAGTTTTATATTTCGGGTTTACCCGTTCGTTCACATTGGCAACAGCTGTTGAAGACATTGAGGGCTCAAATTAACATTTACGTTGGCTTTAATATTACCTATCAAGATTTGTAAATTTACCGTCCCAATTTTATGCGAATGGTAATATTATTGTCCTTACCGTTACAGATATTTATTAGGACGATAATTAACTTCCTCATGTATTTCTATGGTGATAAACTTCGCAAATCTGAAATTGTGCCAATCCTGAATGTTGATTTAAAATAGTGATTGAATAATTCGGCAATGAAGGCATTTTTGCTGGTCATAAGACGAGATGACGTTAATGAACAGCACTTCTTCTACAGGATATTTTACGTATGCGATTTAATGCTAAAAAGATTGGGCTCAAGTGCTTTTTTTTCGAGTGCTCGAGTGCCTAATAGAGGTCAGGCGCTAATTGTAACTAATTCCCTCAAGTTTCAACGTGTTTTCAACAAAACAATACCCCGGCGATAATTATAGCTAAAATGTTACCGAGCAATTCACAATTTTATTTATGGAATTTGCAAATTCACCAGTTTCTTGACGATTTTGATTTTGATATTGTCACGCCCTAATTATTAGTGCAAAAAATACTCCCCTTCTTCTGTGGCGGTTTAACGGGTTCTTTGTTCCATTCTTCAGAAAGTTCTGACAGGGGGATATAGAATACTGAATCCGGAGGGTTGAATCCCTGTCCACTTACTGGTGATTTTCCCCGAAAATGATGTGTTCCAGACGTTAGTTAGACGATAGATAAAACATTAGATTATTAAATTTCGTGACGCCCCGTTTTCGAAAATACAAAGTTATATTGCAAAAAATGCGTTATGATACATTTGGAATGAAACATTATTTACGGTTAATTCAGATCATATTTTACTCTTCATGACACCCGGTATCCGAAAATACAGTTGTATCTCGAAAAATGTGTTTTGTTACATTTAAAATAAAACATTTTTGCGTATAATTTAGATCATATTTTACTTTTCAGGACACCCGTTTCCAAAAATACAAAGTTATATCGCGAAAATGTGCTTTGTTACATTTAGAATAAAACATTTTTGCGATTAATTCAGATCATATTTTACTTTTCAGGACACCCGTTTTCGAAAATACAAGGTTATATCGCAAAATGTGTTTTGTTACATTTAAAATAAAACATTTTGCGATTAATTTAGATCAAATTTTACCTTTCACGGCAACCCGTTTCCAAAAATACAAAGTTATATCACAAAAAAATGCGTTTTGTTACATTTATTTTGCATTCCCAATAAAATACATATTTTCCCTAATTCTGTTCCTGTCGTTCAAGCTCGACACACGTTTGGACGAGTGTGGGGCGGTTTTTTGGTCGACGATAAATTAAAAAGTTGCCACACGTTATTTGTATAACGATAATAACTGAAAATTAAGATTTTATAATAGAAGTGAATTTGTCTCAAGATGGTATTTTACGATTCCTGCCAACAGAAAATAAACACGCTGACAGGCTTGGTTATAACTGATATTCGTTTAATTTATTTTACACTATTAATAAACGCGCCAGACCAATTGCGACCATATAAATTGCAGTCGCATCGGTATGGACTGTATGTTTTTGGCGCTCTCACATTAATAATAATTTTCAACAAAACAATACCCCGACGGTCATTAAAGCTGAATTCGTTACCGAATAATTCACAATTTTATTTACGGAATTTGCAATTTCAAGATCTCACTTGACGATTTTGATGATGTCATGCCCTAATTATTACTGCTTAAATGCCTCAAAATACAACAAATGTAATCATTTTCGACGATAACAGGCGCAACAATTCGTAAACGAGCCGTTATAACGAAATTCGCATTGATTTTACCTCTCTCTTGTTTACAATTTTAACATTCCGCCGGCCACGTATGGTCGAATAAAATGTTCACATATTCGAAACATGACTTGGTCAAGGATGGAAGGGATCACTAAAGAGCTAATAGAAAGTACATACGCGAGGGTATGATATTAATATCGAGAATATTTGTGAGCATATCACAGGACGGAAATATTTTGCACCCGGCTGTTTGTTGGCAGAACAACGATACGCTAAAGTTAATTGATCGAATACAGGGAAGTATTTATTTATCATTTCACTTGCGAACATCGAGGTTTTGGCGGAATTGTACGATCATGTTGTCTTTCTTAAATAATAACTTTTTCAATAAATGTTCATTTTACTTTTGCGTCTTTATTATATGTCGGGTTTTCATTTATTTCAAATTCGAAATTGTCCGAAATACTCCAACAGGTGTATAAGTACAATAATAATAGTACTTACCAGGGAAGTTTATTACACACGATGTTTGAAGGGCGTCGTAACTCCCGTTTATTAATTATAAATTTTTTTACATTCTGCTTAAAAAACAACGGCAGTCATCTCACGTAACTCTCGCGACCAAATCTTTTTTGTTTTGTATGGCATCGTCTTGGCGACAAATTTATTGCCGACTAAATTTTAATTGTGTTTTAATATAAGTTATTTTCTGTTTGTTGGTTTCTAAACTTTACAAACTTGGGTAGCAATTACTATTAATGGGAGATTTGTGCATATGAACGATTGAATATCGCGACTGGATGTCCGATATCTGAGAATGCGTAATTCACTTTCAACATTAATTTTCAGGATATCAGCGTTCATGTGGTCGAATGAAAATTATTTATCAAATGGATTGGTATTTCGAGACACTCTCAAAATTATTTGGGATCCACTATCATATCATTCGTTTATTTCTTATATTCATGTTTTTCTCAAGAATCACCGTCGTTATATTTAGTGTACCTTCGCAAAAGAAAACTCTTTGTTCACATCGTTCCTATTAGTGTAATTGAAATGGTTCCATTACATTTGAACCCACGTACATTTGAACCCATGGCAATTGCACCTGCCTACTATTGCACCTATGGAATTTTTTTTTGTTTCACGGATATTTGAACCCATACTAACCCTAACCCATGGGTTTAACACCCGCATATAGATTGAACCCGCGGATATACACATGGGTTCAAATGTACGGTCACCGATTGAAATATATGGTAACCTCGCAAGTGGCATTGTGATGCGAATATTTGATACTAGGTCAGCAGCATTACAAAGAGTGCTATTTATGAATGCTGAAAGTACATGACATTACTAAACATTTTGCCAATATATGAAGTTTTCTGCCCGATGTAAACTAACTCGCACACAAACCAAGGCATGTCGACATTTAAAAATTACTTGTCTTTGGGTAAGCTCTGAAATAGTATAATATAAATGTAAATGAGAAATTAGGTCACGCTAGCTCACGAAACGGGAGGATTTTCAAAGTGATCTTGTGTAATATTTCGGAGAAAAAGGTTGAAAGGAAAGTAGGTCATCCTATCTCCTAAAACAGGGGAGTATCCTGCGTAATATTTCGGAGGGAACGTAGGTTAACTTATCTTTTAAAACAGCCGGTGGCGACTTTCAAAGTGGTTCGAAATCACAAATTAATAATTATCAGATTAGGTTTAGGGATAAATCGAAAAGTTGAATATCCAGCGCACCTAACCCTAATTAGTTGATTGCTATTTATGTTTGGGGGGGGGGGGGGGATTATTTTGCACGGGATTTGTACAAACGATCCACCCTGTAATTAATATGGTTTCCAGCCTGCCTCGTGTCTGTTAGATGGAAGGAGTAACAAATGTGAAAGGCTTTGCTGTTTACGCGAGTAAGCAACTGACACCGTATTACATTGCATGAAAGTTTTGACCCGGCAGGTGTTAGCAGATGTCATTTCGTTGCCGATGAATTCGCTTGTTTTAATTAAACATGAATTCGCTTAAAGGGAACTCAGTTAACGAAAAGGCTTCTCTTTAATTCATAATATTAACCGGAGGAGCGCTTTTTTGAGTATCTATGCCGTTTTAAATGGGTTATATGAAAGGCTAGGGCACCTAACTTGTTAAAATCGGCAAAAGCACTTTCGCACTTTTTTTTTCGACTGCGAAGCACTTTCGCACTCATAATTTGCTTAGAGTTAACACTGATACACACATACATGACTACACACATATACACATGAATACACATGTATACAGATACATACATATACACACACACACATAAATAGCCAACACACGCACACACATACACATACATACATACACACATGCACACATACATATGTACTTCTACTTCTATTTTTAACTCAAATTTTGTTCTGTTTTCTATGTCCATCATCATGTGCCAGCCGATAAGCCTTATCCCTTGTTATATTCATCCTTTATTAACATCTGCCTAATTTCTTAATCCAAATAAATTTTACATTTACACTCAGAACAAAACCCTGGACAACCAATCACTGATAATGTGTTGAAATCTAAAATGTATTTAAAATAGCAATTTAATCGTCTTTGAATGTAAGATTCAAATTATTGATATTTTAAATGTTTGTTTTTCTTTTAGGCTGTCGAAGCACAAATGTTGTTGAAGCGTCCACAACCAATCAAGAATATATTTGTTGTTTTAATGTTGATGCAATGGCTGCCAGATATTAAGCAAGTAAGTATATACAGAGTGTCCGAAAAGTTCCGTCTGATTTTATAGTAATAACAATTGAAAATTTCTTTGACTTAGTTTATTAATAGTTCTTTTTGTGCTTGGAATTCTCATTTATCATACAACAAAATTTATTTATACATACAATTGTTATCACTATAAAATGTGGCAACATTTTTAATTAGTGTTGCAGTGGTGTCGGGTGAGATTTGTTCGATATCCTGTATAGCTTGATTATGGAATAACTTTTGATAGATCACGGATCATAGTATGTGGACCTCCTGAAGTATGCGCACCAAGATGGCGCACACCCTGATCAGGTTGTGTGACATCTTGGTGCGCATACTTCAGGAGGTCCACAAACTATGATCCGTGATCTATCAAAAGTTGTTTTTCAGGAGTAGGCTACCTTGTTTGTTTTGGAAACCTTCGAATACAAACAAATATAAGTCACAACTAATATTAATAATAAATATGAGTCACAACTAAGACACTTGTAGTTTTGGAGATGTGTTTGATTAAAGGGTTTACTGAGTAAATAGGAACTTTAGTGCCACTAGACATCTCAAATAGGCATATTTATTAATTTTGTTTTGACTGTGCTGATAACTATATTTTATAAGCATTTTTTTTACGACAACAACCCAACAAGAACAACAATTTGGCTGCATTCCAAAGGACTCCTCCATGTCCAATAAAAGGCTATTTACTAGGGACATAACGTATGAAACATGATGAGAACACCTTTACATACCAAATAGATGTATCAGTCTTCCAGTGGCTTTTACTAACTTCAAGTTATTTAAATTTGAAATCACTGCAATATCTAACATGGCATCAAAATTACAATAAGCAATCCACTATGAGATGATTCCATTTGTCATTGCAACAGGTTATATCACACACATTAAAAAATGGCCTTCTTTGCGTGACCTTGATATTTTGTTTTCTAGGTTGAGCAGCAGATCTGGTTGGCCAGTATATTGAAGAGATTATTTACATCATGCAATGAAAATAAAATAATAGCTTGTCTGTGCAAAGTCGTTACTAAAGTTCTTGGTATGTGAAAAGTATTAATAAAATAAGATGTTTGCTCAAATACACATAAAGCTCGTAAATAGCAAGGAATATGAATATATAGGACTATGAAGCTCTATTGTATTTTACCCTAAACTAATTAGGGTGTTTCAGTTTACAAGAAAAAAACCCTCAATTCGAATTTTGTGGTTTCTTAAAGTTTGAATTATTTGTTGAATACTAAACAGAACCTCACAAACTTTTTCCATCGGAATTGAGATTTTTTTTCAAATAGACGAATTGACGTGTATTTCCAAGTCTTGGTTTAACTATCTTATGAGTATAATATAGCCTACATATGCAATACTGATCATCCAAAAAATATTGGTTTTGCTGCTGTTGTCACAACCATGTAGTTTGTCTTTCGCTCTGAAAAAGGCCCTGTACAAGCAGCTACTCTTAAGTGAGGGACTTATTAGTTTGAATGTTGAGCTTCTAACTTGCGATACTAGTTTAGTATAACACTTGATCACCAGGCCCACTATTTTCATTTTAGTCATTCTTGTCTCACATCCACATTTACACAAGAGCACGGTACTTCACCTTCTTGAGTTAATTGAACTACTAGGAACATATTCAATGTCTCCAAGACAAACTGCTGCCTATATTGAACTACTCAGACAAGACTCAGAGCAACACAGGCATTTGGTGAGTTGGGTTTGTTCTTTGATTGCTTCTATTTAAGCTCGGAAGTTCTCAATATTTTCGAATTAACAACACATTTATTTTCTGTTACACAAATTACGATGCTTTAGGGAGAGTGTTAAATTATGACAGGGAATTTTTTTGATCATATACGCATATTTTATCAATATTTATGTGAGGTTGGTTTTGTGTGCATAGCTGTCAGTGAAGCATGGTCTAGTCTCGTATAATTCTAGCTTATTTAAACTTGTGTTTGTGTGAGATTCTGCATTTTGGTTCTAACTATGATTAGCTGAGTCCATGTTGTAATATAGTATGTATTATACTATGCAGATTTATTTAAAGAATTTGCTCCCAGAATAAACCCATATTTTGAGGAGAATCATTTCAGAGCTTGCCAGTTAATTTTTGTTGAAGCAAAACACCTATGAATGGAGAAATTTAAATACATAGCTGAAGTCTGATAAAATGAAACCTCTTTGCCAACTTTTAACGTCCACTAAAAATTTTCTTTGGAGTTCGAAAGCTAGTTTTTCTCTTTTCTTTCTGTTCAGTGGCAAAATATATTAACAATTTTTGACTGATTCATAGTTTGTTTTTCATATTGCAGAATCCTTATTTTGGGCGGATGCTTCATAGTTTATCTGCGATGGCTCGGAAAGACACCGCTGAAAGAAAATCTTCTCACTTCTTTGACTTACAAGATTCCACTTCTGTAAGTTTCAGTGAATATTTTTGCTTTGTTTAATGATAAAATATTGCAGTTGGTGTAATTACATGTAATTTGTATTGCACAATGTTGGTTGTTTGACCACATTTATTATTCACTGTGGTATGACTACCAAACCAAAGCCTCGCTTATCAATAATACCGGTACTCCGATAATCAAAATGTTAATCTTAAAATGTTTAATTAGATACTCGAACCTTTGGTGTCGCCGCTTTATAACCAGCTTTGGTTTCCCGGGGCTTCCCCTCTCTAGTGAAAATGTGTATTCAACATTATTTCTTTGAACTTTGCATGTTATTTTTTTTCCTGGATGGAAAAATTAAACTTGACTATGACTATGTAGTTTCTGTGCTAGTTAGTGTTTGACCATGTGTATAGGAGCTCACACAAGGCTGTGTTGTCAGAAAATTTTTTCGAAATTTTACAATTCTGCTAGTGACCTAAAATCCACAGCTCTACTCCCGTGCATTTAACATAATAAGAGACAAAATAAATAAAATGTTGCTAAATATTTGATGCTGACCTATGTTATGAATAGTGTTGCTAGTATTTTTTTTCCATTGTGGACTCCTTAATATTGAATCATTCCCAATTAGGCGTATAAAAAATAGGCAGATTTCAGGAAAATTTTAGCAATTTTCATCATGTAAAATCGTACAGTTGTGAAATTTCTGTCACATATAAAATGACTTGTGTCCATCCCTTGTTGAATATGATATTCAAAAAAATTCTTTCCCAGGGCATCACAGTTCCAGAGATCAAAAAATGGGGAGGATCTGGATTCTCATTTCATGCTTGGTTGTGTCTGAACTTTCATCCTCATATGAAAAGAAGGAGTAAATGTAGGAGACAGTTGTATAGGTAGGTGGTAGGACAACCTCTGATTTATGGGGCTTGAATCCAAGATCTTTATCCTGGTGTGGTGGCCTAGTACAGGGGAGTATCGAGGTATTTTCCAAAGAGGGGATTCTGAAATTTTTAATAGCTAAGATAGACCATGACAGCCAGCGGGTGCGATGCAGTCGAAGGCCTGGAAAGGAGGGTTTTCAAGAGTCTTTTTAGTGTCTAAAAAGCATTTCAGGCTTGCTAAATTTGCTATGTATTTTTTTCATTTATTTAAAGGGGAGGGGCCTTCCGACCCACACCCTCTCATTGCCACACCCTCTTATGGCCACATCCCTGGCCTAGTGGTTAAAGCAGGGGATCCCAAGCTTTTTTCAAGACGACCCCAAGGACAACTTTCAAGTGTCTAGTGCGACCCTTGGTCAATATAGGCATATATTTTTCATGAAACTTTAGAGCTTCTTCCAGTGGACTTTTGAGTTTGATCATGTGGATGTATTAGGTAAAATAAGCTAAAACCAAACAGTGATGTGATGTCACAATGTAGCATAAGCATAGAGGAGCATGCCTATGGTCCTGTTTTACAGTAATCCATGGTACAAACTGCTAAATTTAACATGGTTTGTCAAATCTTAGATGTTTTGTACATCCAGCCTCAACTGTTTGCGACCCTACCTACTTATCACTACGACTTTTGACTTAATTGTGTTGTGTTCCAATCCTTTGCCATAGGGTGCAATTATGCCAAAGCAAAAAGATTTCTTCTGACAATATTTGCCCGTTACCTATCATTAGATATTGTTAGGCTTTTGCAGAGTCTTGTTAATAGCAAGAAGCATAAGTTAGTGTTATACATTTATGATAATTAGCTTTATTCTACTTTTTTGTTCAGTTTTTTCTCATCATCTGGGACTGGTATGGAAGCATTTTTCACTCCTGAATGTGAACTTGTCATCGCTGTTTGCAATAAAAAGAATTATTTAACTGTGAAGTTGAATGAAGCACCTTTGATTGACAACAAATGGGTAGGTCTTTAGTTCAAATAAAATTTACTCAAAGCAATGACACATTTGAATAATTTTTGTACGAAAACAAAAATATGATTATGAATATATTGGATACATTATTGTCAAGATCAGTCGGGCATAAATTAATACAAATTCCGTTTTTCTCACATGTAGGAATTTGTGCCACTTATTTTAACATCTTCTGTGAAAGATTTATATATTACAGTGAGTCTTCCCAGCCTCTTTAGAACATAAAAACTTTTATGTAATTTACTTGCTTTTTGATTTTTGTATTGCTTTCTATTATATGTTTCTTTTTTTTAACTTCGTAGTTTAACTGATGTTTACTGAGTTGTTGTATGATTTTCTTCTTTTCTTCCTCTAGCATTGTCTACACATTGTTCACCATCCAGCAAAACGTCCATTTGGGAGCAACGGTACCTTGAACGTTTATATTGATGGAAGGCTGGTCATGACAACAACATTAAGGTGAACTTATATTTTGTTTTGAATAGATTTTTTTTTTGAAATTTAGTTATTATTTTTGCATTCGTGTTTTATTATGTATACTTCGAACAAGGCTTAATAGAAGTGGCTTACATGGATGCTTATGGAGATAAAATCTCTTGTCCATTCGGTGCGATTTGAATTTTAGGTCTCTGAATTTTAGGTGATCTGATGTTATTTACTTGTTGTTATTTGCACCTACTTGTTTTAGTCTAGAAAAACATACAATATTATACATACTATATATGGTAATCCCAAATTAGCAGTGATATATGAAATCTGTATTTTATGCATAACAGGTGTGACTATGAGAAAATATGTCATGAAACACATTTTTCAAGCATGAAAACTTTTGCAGATTATACCTCACTTGAAGGCCATGTAGGATATCCAGTAATACAGCATTCAAGTGTCAGAAAGCACACGATTGTGCAATTATGCTGAAAGCGATTTTAACATGCAATGGGAAAATAATTGCAAATTTGAAATTTGTCCATCTTTTGTATAATTGTACAAGAAATAAATCACTTGTCAAATCCTGTAATTTGGTATTATTTAACCAAACTGTAAATTCTCAAACTTGATTTTCAGATGTGCAAACCTTGGTGAGACCTTTTCCATGTGTCATATAGGATCTGCTGGACTTAGAACAAGCGCTTCCAATATCTCACTATCCACTCCTGGCATCCCTGGTACTCCTGTGAGTGAATTAGGAACCCCTGTTACTCCAAAGACATATGGATCACCAGTTACCCCTTCAAGGTATATTGAAATCATTCTTTTATTTTTTGTCTCTATCTGCGTTATGTGCTTTCAGCTTAATATACAGGGTGAGCCCCAAAAAACAGGACCCATACATTTCTTACTACTAATATGAAAATGGAACAAAGTATTTATTTAACACTTATACTTTTGTTTGTGCCCGAATACTTAAATAATTTAGGACACTTTGCACAAAAGTTATGTTCTCTCTTGAATAGGGTTGTGTTTTTTGTTTGATCGCTTTGCGCATCGGGACACACATCGGGGCACAAGTTTACAGGTCAGAGATTACGAGTTAAAATTCGACTTCAGCCCTTGATCATGTAGGAATTGCAATGTAAATACAAAACAAGTTGAATTTCCTTCAATGAAGAAAAAAAAATATGAACACTTGTAATATTTAACCATTCAACACTCTAGTATGATTGGACCCAAAAGTTTCAGTAGTCTAGGACATTTTGTACAAAAGTTAGGTTCTGTCTGGAATATGTTCCAAATGACTTGGGCTGTGTTTTTTTGGGTCGCCCTGTATGCTTTCAAGGACTTGTCAATATTACCCTTTTTACTTCATGAACACTTAATTTTTTCGACTCTGGAATTGAATGAATAGTTTTGTCTGTTCAGTGATTTTAGCTCAATTTTTTACAAATATGTCAAACCTAGTTTTCCCTAAATAAAGAAATTTGTGGAAAAAACATTTTGCATACAATTTTACAATTATTGTTGATTTGCGTTGATGATTTGATTTCTGCGGGGCTAACTATTTTTTACTTCTATTCTTTTGTGCCGATGGATACGTATGTGTAAAATACAAGGATGCTGTAGCAAGAGTAGTGTGCAGCAAGACTCTTGAATCACGTACAATAATTATTGTTGACATGGTCTTTTTTATCTTATGCAATTTTTATTTGCGTGCTATAGGTATTTTGCAGAATCTTTACCTGTTACAAATACATAATTTTTTATTCAAATATTTACAATTTTATTTGATAATATTATCCAGGAGAGAGCAAATAGCTGACCATATAAATCCAGTTCTTCACAAACATTTAGATCCGTTGAGAAGGTATTTGTTGCATCCGGTGCTTAGGGAAGACATTTGGTAGCTAATGGTGCATTTAACATCTTACGTAATGGTGCTTTAGGATTGCTATTTACTGGAATTTTTCATCGTTTGTTTGATGGCCAGCCAGGTTGATTGTGGGTGAAATAATATATATGTAATGTCTAAATTGGGCCACCTTCAACAGAGAAATTTGCACAACTCATTTTAGTTAACAAACAATTTTGAAATTTGCCCATCCTAAGTTGAATAAAATCAAGAGTTATGTTTGACTATAAAATGTCAAATTTTCAGAGACAAGTTTTTGAATAAGTAAATTTCAAATTATCTCCAATATAACATTTTTGACTATTTGAATAAATTTGGAATCCTATCATGTTAGACTATGTTAGACAGAAGTATCATTTGAATCCCAACTATTAGCCATTTAGAAATTGACTAAGACTCTTGGCTCCGGGTTTTAGAACTCTGCGGAAAAATTTGTAATATGAGGTGAAATGTGTTGGCTTGGTGTATTTAACATCTATTATGCCTGCATTACCAAGTTGTATAAAATAATGTGTCGATTATACCAAGTTTCTTGAAGTTTCTTGTTTATTTGCCTTATGATGGTTAGTGGCCTATTTTTTTAGAGCAGGGCTGTGCAACCTTTAATACATGAGTGCCAGATACGAATAACTGCGTGAAAACCACGGGCCGCACCTTTATTACAAAATTTCTGGTAGTTGCAGAAACAAAAAAGTTGGTTACTAATCTTACTTGAAACATGCGTTATTCGCTTTGCGCAAGCTATTTGTTAGGGCATTGTGATAAATGGTAAATACTTGTATATACCTGGTTTTAAACTAAATTAAAAACTCGATTTGCAGGCCGCACATCATTCAAAATTGTCAATTCTCTGCGTGCTGCACAATTCTTCCTCTTGTGGGGGGGGGGCTGTGTTAGAGGATTCAACTATTTTGGTGGCACAAGTTAGAAATAGTGCGTTCAACTTAGGTTTATCACTTGGTGGTGTAATGGGTTAGGTTCATATACGGCTCATATTGAGTACTTACAAAATTCTCAAAATTATCTTTTCTTTTCATTTTTCAATATGGAATCATAGTTTATCTTAAATTGTAACAAATTGAATATAGAATACAACTATTTAGAGATGAACATCCGCCATTCATTACTTCATATTAACATAATAACAATGCAGGTCATTTGCACTAATTGAAATTTCACAATGCTTTATGACACAATTTAATACCTGACTATACTGTCTGCTGTTGTCCTTAGTCCTTTCATTAACAATACAGTGAATTGTGTCTGCTCTACTTATTCACAAAGTCTCTTCATATTACACTGCATGAATGTTACATATAAATGTTAATTATCTACCACTGTTCCATTGCTGCATATTGTGGATGTGTTGCCTGTTGCGTCCTTTTGTGATAGACTGTCTATCCTATGTTTATTGTACTGCTAGATTCAGGGATGCTTTATAAGATGAAGTCATGAGTTTATAGCACTAATTGAGCAGAATGTTATTCCATAATAAATAATTTTGTACTGCTACTGCCTCACTATACCTTGCAAAGTTAGATTATGCCCCAACAAAAACTTGCTGAAACTTGAATAATATGGAATGAGATTCTTCTCTTTTATTGCTACATAAATCGTAGGACACTTTCCTACAAATTACAATTCTTCTTTGCTTGACAATATATGAATACCTAACAAAATGAATGTCAACTTGGTATATCATGTAACAGAATGATATACGTTTTTGAATTGTATGTGTATACAAAATTGGAACATACTTGTATATTCAATTTATATCATCCAAACTTACTTTACATGAACTAAAGCTGGTACTCCCGAAGTATATGAACCAAGATGGCGGACACTGGAACATAGTTTGTGTACCTGGTTAGGGTTAAGCCATAATTTTAGGTACAAATACTACGGAAGTCACTTGGCTAGTCCCCGAACTCGTAATAGAACTAAAATAAGGAAAATTGGAATAAAATTATGGCCTAACCCTAACCTGGTATACATGCTATGAACCGGTGTCCGTCATCTTGGTTCACATACTTCGGGAGCACCCTAAATTCTTTATAACATATCCCGAATCCTATTTTTAATGCTCACTTGGACTAGATTCTAAAATTTATTATACCCTAATGCTCTGGTCCATAACCGTTTGTCATAAACTCCTTTTTTTCCTAGTTTGGAGCTTATTATTTCTCCCTCACTAGTCACTATGCGCATAAATGTTGTTTTTAGTTATTTTGTTCAATCTTTTAGGAATCCTTAGTTTGCAGAGTGCAGCTCGCACTCAGTTTGTGTACAATTCAAATAGTTATAATATGTCCAATCTAGTAAATACCTAAAAAATAGTAGTAAACCCACACTGAATGCATATAATTCTGCATTTTTTCACTGAAAACAGCAGAATTTATTCCTGGGGTGGAATTTCTCCTTAAAGTTGAGAAATACTGTTCTAATTTATCATCAGATCCTATGTGCCCATATGCGCAAAATGCACCGAATCAGTCAGACAATCAGAAAATTTTCATGTAAAAGTACATACCGTATTTCCCGGTGAATAAGTCTCCCCGGCAAATAAGACGAGGTTCCCTTAAAATGAATCAGGTGGAAACTTTGGGTCTAGAAAAGCGTCTTATCCACCGGGAAATACGGTATTTATGCTCGTTTGCATTTTGTTCCAATATCAATGTTGTGACCATGTGATTTTCAATTTGGCATGTTATCACCAGAGTCACAGCCTGGCTGGTATTTTCTAACTATCCGGAATGAGATTTTTCGGAGTCTAATCACTTTTTAGACTGGTAATTAACGTCAAAATTTTCTACAGAGACTTAAAGATCATTAAGTTTACTAATCTTTTTTTACATCTATTAAAAAAATACTTGCATACACAAAAAGTTGTTGTCTTGAAGTTCTTCGGGGCTGGAGTCCGGAGTATAAATTTTTCACAACTCTGGAGTGTGGAACCAGAGTCAATAGTAAATTTACTCCGACTCCCAGTCCTGTCAAGCACCGAATCAGTCACACAAAAAGTTCTCATGCCACATTTAGGGTGTCCATAAAGTTCCTTTACAATTTCAATTTTGTTATGAAGTCAGTTCTCATTATATCTTAACCAGGTTTGTTGTTTTTTAATCAGTAAATGTTCAAGTATTTTTACTTCATTTAACACATCTGTGAGGCCAAAACAATATATGGCATCCATAAATTCCCTTTGCAATTAAAAAAAAAAAATTAAATACTTTATGGACACCCTATATTCATACTTATGCTTGTTTGCATTTTGTCTTAACATCAATGTTATGATCATGGAATTTTCAATTTGGCATGTTTTCACCAGAGTAAATTTTCTCCGACACCCAGTCCTGCCGAGCACAGAATCAGTTACACAAAATGTTTTCATTCCAGTGTTCCCTACATATTTATGCTTGTTTGCATTTTGTCTTAACATCAATGTTGTGTTCATGATTCAGTCGATTCACATTCAATCTTCCATCACCTCGTACTCTTGTTGGAAATTTTTCATCGCTTTCACCGACAAATTTTTCACCTTCTGCATTTCGAAGTGGGGGGATCAGAGTCTGTGTAAGTTACTTTTTTAGATTTTGGGTGATTTTCACTTTTTGTTGGTTATTTTTGAGTGACTTCAATGAATTTTAATCTAATTTGGAGTAGTTTTTGAAACCTGCATTTGATAAGTTTTGTTTTGTTTTTTAGGAATTTTTGGTGATTTTTTACTTTTGGCTGGGTTTTTTCGGAGTGTTTGAAAATAATCATGCTTTCATGAATTTTTAATTGGGATAAGGACTACCTACGTCTGTTTGTTTCTTTATATGATTGATTTTATTTTGTGAGTGCTCTATTACAGGTGTTCTCAAACGTTTGGTGCTTGTGAACCTGTGACGAGGTTGACTAATATTTACAAAGCCCCAAGCTAAATTTATAAAAATAAAAACAAAAACAAAAAACGCATTGTTACTCAGCGATTAATGTTCCTGAGTAAAATAAAATTACTTTATTCAATGACTCGGATGTATTTGCTGCTTTGTATTTGAAAAATTTTCTGTATATTAACAAGTTAACAAACAGCTCTTGAAGCCCTGGGGCTCTGTATGGTGAACTTTTGAGAACATATGCTCTGGTATAACCGTAGTGATCATTTTCAACTCACAAATGTTGAAATGGACGTTTTATTTGAATTTTGTTTTGTGAAAAGTGATTTTCCAATGGTAGTGAACTTACTTTTCAGTAATACTTCTGATTGCATTGTTCCTTGTGTTATATTATTTTTTAAATTTTTTTAGAAAACTTAATACTCGACTGGATATTGAAACTTTGAGAAAAAGGTTTGAAAAAGTCATTTGTGATGCAATAATTATCCTTATCAAACTCTGAAGTTTGGGATAATTGCAAAATTAAATCTTTATTTTATCACAATTTTTGTTATAGTTTTGTAATTTTTAAATTTTTTGTGTTTTCTTTTTATTTGAAGGCATGTATTGAGATATTTTTTCATTTTATTGTTTTTTCTGATTTTTTATTTATTTTTGACTAAACTTAATACACTGCGGCTAAATGTACTCCATTCTTAATTTGAAATAAACTTATTGATTATTATGACATAAACCAGAATGAATGGAAATAATTGTTCTAAAAAATCTGAAAATATTAAAAAAAATATTCATGATGATTCATTCCCTTTTCCGTCAACATGGCAAATTTAAAAAAATAAGATTCCGATCCAGAATATGGTTGCTGTAAATTTTATCCCGATAATTTATGCATGTGTTGCCTCTTTATTTGATCTGTAACAATTTTTTTCTTCTTGAATTTTTTATTCGTCTTTAAGTGGACAATGGGTATTGAATGAAGCATTGTATATAACTATATTGAAACCATTCTGTTCGTATTGATAGCTTGAGACGTGTTTGTTGTGGCCTTTTTTAAAATTTGTCAATGAAAAACCAGCTAACAATAACCTACAAATAATAGATAGTAAGTTGAAAGTATGTTTGTTTCATTCAAAATAAACGTTGATAATACATGGACAGAATCGCAATCTTTGAACAATAAAGAATATCCAAAACAAGACTTACAAGATCAAGTCTAACAAATATTTTCATTTTTAATTAGCTTTATGCCCCCAAGAATTGTCTACTCCCCCATTGTGGGCCTTGCCCCACCCTTCGCGAACCACTGATCTAAATAAATTTTTTTCTGACTTGACAGATTATGAACAGATTATGAACAGCGTCGGTTTACCATATAAGTACATTATAAGGAAATTCATATCCTCAGGTGAAAAAAAAACCATCCAGACATTTAACTTTATATTTTTCTTTTTTTCCAGGGTTGAAAATGCTTCAAAGACAGACAGAGTTGTAACGATAGATGCAGGGACACAAGATGATGTTTGGGGTCGCGCAGTATCGCTTCGTGGCCAGCTCGGATCAGTGGCCGCTTTCAACGATGTGTTAACAGAAGCTCAAGTCAAGGCTTTGAATATTGCAGGTAAAACCGAAATTCTCTCTCACTACTGGACCAGTGGTTCTCAAACTTTTTTAGCCACGCACTTTTTCAGCATTTGTCAAGTCTCGTGCCCCACCTCAAAAATAACCAGTTAGTAATAAGCTACAAATAACAGATAGATATTATTAAGGCGAAAGTATGTTTTAACAAAAAATATGTGGATGGAACATAGCGCGCACTTTACTGTTTGAGAACCACTGTACTGGTCCAATAATTTGAAAATTCCAGTCATGAAAAATAAAAATGCCTTCTGGAAGGCCATAACCTATACATCTTTTCTTTTGGGTTATTAGGGATACCATAGTCGAATAATTTTCTAATTCTAAATTGTTGTAGTTGTTGTTGTTCTTGAATAAAAATGACTTTTCCCTCTAACTACTGGTTCAGTAAGAACTACTGGTTCAATTAGGTGTCAAATATGAAAATGTCTCTTATAAGGCTTTTACTTATATATTTTATCATACTCGTTTTGGTCTATTTAGGACCCCAAAGTTTCAAATTGAAATTAAATAGCTGAATGATTTTTATTCACCTGTCAGGAATTTGCAAAAGGGGGTGTTCTAAAATTTCTAGTTTTTTAAGTTAAACCATATGAGCTAAGGGGTCGGCCGGAAAATGTGGGATTCCAAGACTCTTGAGGTAATAAAAAGCATTTCGTACTATGAAAAATTGCTATGTATGATATAGAATTTTTTTTACACTCTCCACCCCTGGCTTCGCACCTGTCACTTGTAACTGATGATTTTATACTTTCAGGTCCAGACAAGAAGACAGTCATGAACTCAGATGACGTCCCAGGCGACATCAAATCCAAACTAGTTGTATACTATGCAGCGAAGGCTTGTCATAGATATGTATGCCGAGACCTGTCTTCTAGTCAAACACCACGAGATGGGAATCTAACTGGTCATAAGATTGTGACATGGGATGTGAAGGTAATACTGTTGTACGTGAGATATTTTGCCTATCGCTCTGGACATAGCTCCTTATATAAGCAACCTCTGACCATGCTTTTTCCAGTGACCCACCAAGTCATGAATTAATGCAAAAAACATACTCTTTTTATTTCCGCAGTAAAAATATAATTTGTTGACCCATTTACAATAAAAGGTTTGCCATCTCTGGTGTGTCTTATAAAATTGAGCCTCATCCCTTGAGTAAACATTTTTAAACTAAACTGTCATCCAGGACTCTATCAATGCAATAGGAGGAGTTCATGTCTTGTTCCCGTTACTGGAAGAAATAAATACAATGCATCTCAATAGAGGAGAGAGTAATGAAGCAGTGTAAGTGGTATTTCTGATGTTGCATTTTGTGAGCCTATTTTTAGGCGCTCCAGAAGTGTGTGTACCAATATGGAGGTAAATTTGCCTACTTTACATCAAGTTGTGTAAAGTGACTGAAACCTTGGGCAGGGGCTATGCTATATTCACTTGGCTAACACAAACAGTCCCCGAACTCGATATAAAACTAAAATGAGGAAAATAGGAATAAAATTATGGCCCAACCCTAACCTGGTACTCACACTACGAGGAGTACCAATTTTTATTATTAACGCTCCATCTGGCTTCATCTCCGTACAAGGCTCAACCCAAGCAGCTAGGTGGAAAATGTTGTATTTAGGAAGAAAGAAGATCTTTACGGTTTGGAATTGTCTATTCAATTTATCATACTCTGAGTGAGGTGGTGGGCAGGAATTTTAGTCATAGATGTGACATTTGCGATGCTAACATTGTCCAATGCTCGAATCATTAGGATATCACACTCACAATGCTGTTTGTTTATAAGGTTCCCACTTCAGTCAAGGTTATTTAGGAACGTAAAACAATAGGTTAGACTATCCTAATTGGTGAAAAGCAGCGTTAATTTTAACAATAACACATTGGATGATTACAATGTGTATTTTACATGTTTCAGTTCCCCAAATGAAGTTGTTCAAGATGATGCTTCTCCAGTTAATGAAGATGTTTCATGGGTTATGATTGAAAGCCCAAAGTCATCAGGTATGATTGTACAGTGTACAGTATTTAATTTTTGCTATTATCTTGGAAGTTTTTCATAAGATAATTATACAGGGTGTTCATACTTTACAGTTTTAATTCTGTTATAAAGTCGGTTCTCGATATATTTTAACCAGGTTTGTTGTTTTTAATCGGTTATTGTTCAAGTATTTTTACTTCATTTATCACATCTGTGGGGGTCAAAACAATATAGGGTATCGATAATATCCCTTCGGAATTTTAAAAATTTTAAGACTTCATGGACACCGTATAAATTAAATGTGTTTAACTAGTTTTCTGTAAAAGACCTCAATGTGTTCCGTGTTAAATTCTCGGCATGGCATATTTTACAATAACAAATATATTCATATAATCAAATATGTAGTGAAACCATTCGAGGAAAACTCATTTAGACAATTTTCTAGGCTTTTATTTTCTTCAGCATTACTGCTATACTAAAACAAGAATGGGAACAATATACAAGATGTAGTAATATTGACGCGCATCAACCAAATAAAACTCTCGCTTTGCCAGGCAGCTATTAACATCTTCAGATTACTCGGCAAGGGTGCCATGTTGGCCACATTAGGTGGCCCTAATTCAATTTCATCACAATATATACGTGAAACTAATTGTACATGGTTCCTTTGAGCTTCTGGAATGTTGATTGGGGTTTGCTTCGCCAAAAACGGTTGAAAACCATTGCTCTAACTCATAAACAGCAACACAACTGAATCTGTAACTTTTATTTTACATTCCCACAGATTTGAAACTCCAAAAGAACCATGTGGCAGCTTTTATTATTTTATTGAAGAACTTTGCAGCTCATTCAGGCACAGGTTCCATAGGAAGACATGCAGTTAATGAAGATATGCTCGTGCAATGTTCTGGAATTGCTACCATTGGTGCTCTCTTGCAGAAGGTAAGAATATAATTTAACTTATTTTTTATTTTTTTTTAAATTCATTTGCATACTCTCTGCCATTAGAAGTACTTTAGTAAATAATTAACTCTAGGGGTAGTTGTGTATGCATGTAATATTTTTTGTAATTTGTAACCTGCAATGCCAAAGTGGTATGGGGTAGACTTTTTATTACTTATCGATTTTAATCGGTAAGTATGTTGATTGGTATTTGTCTGTTTGTCTGTTAGACACTTTCGTATGTTACGCGATATCGCACGAAAGCGAAGTTGAACCCATTGATTTTGGATGAATTATGTCGTATAATTAGCGAGTTGTTAATTAATTAGTGATGTGACACACGGTGTCGCTGTGGAGTAAGGGCGGATGAATCGAAACCGCAGTTTTTGTTTTGGGGGATCCCCTAACTTTCGATCGTTAAGTCTTCGTTTTCCGACCGATATTCTCGTTGTTTGTTTGTTCTATTATATATTCACTAGGATGCTATCAACCTAGGATTAAGTTATTTCATTCCTTAAAATTCCTCAAAAATCTTCCTGATGCCATGGTTTCAATCTAACTTTTCATATTCACAGATGTTGGTAAGCTATTCTCAACTCATATTATTATGGTAGATATACTCGTGAAAAGTTTGCAGATAAAAATATTCAATTATCGAGTTTGAAACACAATAATAACAAAGTGATCTAATATTACAATGACAAAGTACATAAATTAAGCTTGTATAACCGTTTTATCTGGATTTCTCAGAATGATGACAATTCAAGATGACCTGCGTATTTGATTATGACATTTGCAATAATAAGAGTTGTTAAATTATTAAACTGGAACATTTTTTATTGTAATCTGAGCTGAAATCTTTTTATTTATTTGTTTTTTTCAAATTTTGAGTCAAGGTCTAATTTAACAACAGCAATAAAAATCGTAATAGCAGAGATGAATTCATGATACCAAGAAATTAATTTTTTTTTGTTATTCAATTCCGTATACATCTCTGTAGACAACTTAGTTTACAGTAAAGCAACCTAATTTGGTTAATTTATTGATATATGAAAATTGCACTATAATTATGTACTTAACGAAAGAAATAATTAAATTATGTTGCGATGAACGTAATACTACAACATCTGATTAATATGTTGCTGATGATTATTGAATTAATTAATGGCAATCAAATTTTTAACTTCGTTGATTTGGATTGCAATGTTATTGAGAAATAAATAACTGTATCACGGAAATGGAAAATGATCCATTTAGCTGTGGTCTCAGTTTTGGCCCTCCAGAAGTGTATGTACCATATGGAGTTAACTAATTTTGTTCGCGTACTTTACATCAAGTTGTGGTAGGAGACTGAAACCTATGGGCAGGAGGATATTCATTTGGCTAATACGGACAGTCCTCAAACTTGTAATAGAACCAAAATGAGAAAATCTGAATAAAATTATTGCCTAACCCTTACCTGGCTGGTACACATACTACGAGAGTACCTTGGTTGCTATAAAAAAATGGCTGAAAAATGCCCTAGACTCTATTACTGATTACTTATCGATTTTAATCGGTAGAATTTCAGAATTTTCCTAGAATTTCAGTCCTAAATTACCAAGTCCTGAATCTGAGGTCTCATTAGAAGTCGCACCTTCTGATACCCCGATTGTTTATATTCACACATGGACATGATGATGACTTGAATTCATCTTATCCACTTCAAAGCACTGAATCTCAAATGGTAGGGCACTTCCCACAAGGGAGTCGTAGAGAATTTTTTTATGGGGCGTGAAGCTAATTGAAAATGAAAAAAATTGTTAGATTTGATCTTGCCCGCCTTATTTTGGATATTTACATTTTATCCACGAATTTTCAACGTGTTTTTTCAATTTAAAACATACTTTTGCCTTACTATGTGTTATTTGTAGCTTATTGTTGGCTAGTTATTTTGGAAGTGGGGCGCGATACTTGACAAATTCTAAAAAGGGGGCTCGACTTAAAAGGTTTGAGAACTACTGGTCTAAAGTAACCATAATACAATAATATTTTTCCTTATTAGCAATAACGTGGGACCATTGCCTGTGCCAAATTTTCGAAAATTTCAATTTTTTTTTCAATGACTATTCTCATTTTCTACATTAGATGCCTGCTGAATTGATCGATGCAGATGTATTGATGGCAACACAGTTACTTCTGGAATCTATCGATTCTTCAACAACAATGGGAACTAATCTATTGCATCAAGTTTATCAGTATTTGCTGTTTGACTTCAGGTAAGTAACATATTTTTTATATTTAAGCAAAATTCCACTTTAAGAATTGCATCTGCAGAACTTTTTGCTCAATCAAATGGTTCAAGGTATTCTAGTAACTCAGTAAATTTTGTGCTGATCACAAAAAATTGAACGCATCACAGTTAAACAGATAGATATCTCGGATGTTATCTAGTGAAGACCTTGGCTGGTCCCCTAGTTAGGTCACAGGACCAGTATAAATGCCTTGAAAGTTGTATGAAGATTTCTTTAATTTTGTGATGTCATTTGTAATAATTTCTCTATTTTTAGAATCTGGAGTAGAAGTGAATTCACTGTTCGTATTGGACATATTCAATATCTGGCAACAGTGATAAAGGACAACAGGAAAGCTTTCAGAAAGAAATATGGAGTGCAATACATGCTGGATGTTATTAAGACTTATTACTGGTAAATATATTTGTTTCTAAATTGATTCTAAAGTTTTGAAGTTTTTCGATAGGAAATTCAGGGCAAGCTTGCATCTTTCTGTGTCAATCCATGGCATTTGAGCAAGGGATGGGCAAGGTCTTTGTACCAGGGGCCAAACATTTTGCCCACCCAGACTGGCGGGTCATGTAAGTGTGATGTAAAAAGTTACATTTTATGAACAATATTTACAGTGTTACAAAAGCAAAAGTGAAAAACAATAAGTCTCGTGTCAAAATAAAATTTAATCGCAATCTTAACAAATTCCTTGAGCTATTTTTAGCTAAAACATCGAAATTTGGTTTCAGTTTGGTTGTGGTAGCATACGGGGGCCAGATTGAATTCCCCAACAGGCAGGATTTGGCCCGCAGTTTGCCCATGGCAGCATTAGAGGACCGCATGGTCCTAGCTAAGAGTTCTGTCGCTCCAAATTTTTATATATTTCCTGCACATTTAATGTAACTATTTCTATTTCAGTCAGTTTGACTTAGAAAACTAATAGAATTAGCATTAGGTGTTATTATTTCCGATCGTCATTGCCTCATTACAACGCTAGATCACAAGATTTCCTATTAATTTCAAAAATGCCTGTTTATTAAGCTCACAGTATTGGTTGAGCAGCATGCTAACCACTAGATCATCTGGCAGAAAAAATATTTATTTTAGGTCACTCAACCATTTTTACACATTCACTTGAACAAGTATTAATAAGTGATACACTATGAGCTACCATTCTTTTGAGGGCCGGAACCTATCTCTTTTGGTATCGTCTATTCAATTCACGCCCTAGGTTAGGTGACAGGCATTGAGTTAAAACCCAAGATTTTTTTTATGATGAAAGTTGCTCCAAGCGAGGGTATGTGCACTCAGTTATAAGTATGGGATATCGTTCTTTAAGCAAAGTTACAGGCGAAGTACCAACAGCTGCTGAGATCATTAATCATTACAGTGTAGAATTGTGCGGTCACAAATACCAATGATCTCGAGACTTAATAAAACAGGGGTTGGACCGGGGTTAAATTCAACATAAGATATCTAAGCTGCGACATCAACATTGTTAGGTATAATGTTCAATCCACAAGCCATTCTCAAATACAACAATTTATCGACCTTTTTTATTCTACAGTTCTTCCGACTCCCAACTCAGTATTGATGACACCTGTGTTATACGAAGCTCACTTCTAGGCCTTGTCAAATACTATGCAGCTCGAGATATAACTGCTGATGAACTAAGTTCTATTCTAGGATTCATAACTGCTTCAAAAGCACAGCAAGAAGTCCAGGTATTTGCTCTTAGAATTTTTTTCAAAGTGTTCATACCAGTGTTAACTCTAAGCAAATTATGAGTGCGAAAGTGCTTCGCAGTCCAAAAAAACAGTGCGAAAGTGGTTTTGCCGATTTTCACAAGTTATGTGCCCTAGCCTTTCATATAACCCATTTAAAACGGCATAGATACTCGAAAAAGCGCTCCTCCGGTTAATATTATGAATTAAAGAGAAGCCTTTTCGTTAACCGAGTTCCCTTTAAGCGAATTCATGTTTAATTAAAACAAGCGAATTCATCGGCAACGAAATGACATCTGCTAACACCTGCCGCGGACAAAACTTTCATGCAATGTATCACGGTGTCAGTTGCTTACTCGCGTAAACAGCAAAGACTTTCACATTTGTTACTCCTTCCATCTAACAGACACGAGGCAGGCTGGAAACCATATTAGTTACAGGGTGGATCGTTTGTACAAATCCCGTGCAAAATAATCCCCCAAATATAAATAGCCTAATTAGGGTTAGGTGCGCTGGAAATTCAACTTTTCGATTTATCCCTAAACCTAATCTGATAATTATTAATTTGTGATTTTGAACCACTTTGAAAGTCGCCACCCGCTGTTTTAAAAGATAGGTTAACCTACGTTCCCTCCGAAATATTACGCAGGATACTCCCCTGTTTTAGGAGATAGGTTGACCTACTTTCCTTTCAAACTTTTTTCTCCGAAATATTACACAAGATCACTTTGAAAATCCTCCCGTTTCGTGAGCTAGCGTGACCTAATTTCATTTACATTTATATTATACTATTTCAGAGCTTACCCAAAGACAAGTAATTTTTAAATGTCGACATGCCTTGGTTTGTGTGCGAGTTAGTTTAAATCGGGCAGAAAACTTCATATATTGGCAAAATGTTCAGTAATGTCATGTACTTTCAGCATTCATAAATAGCACTTTGTAATGCTGCTGACCTAGTATCAAATATTCGCATCACAACGTCACTTGCGAGGTTTCCATATATTTCAATTACACTAATAGAAACGATGACACCAAAGAGTTTTCTTTTCCGAAGGTACACTAAATATAAGGAGGGTGATTCTTGAGAAAAACATGAATATAAAAAATAAACGAATGATATGATAGTGGATCCCAAATAATTTTGAGAGTGTCTCGAAATACCAATCCATTTGATAAATAATTTTTATTCGACCACATGAACGCTGATTCTGAAAATTAATGTTGAAAGAGAATTACGCATTCTCAGATATCGGACATCCAGTCGCGATATTCAATCGTTCATATGCACAAATCTCACATTAATAGTAATTGCTACCCAAGTTTGTAAAGTTTAGAAACCAACAAACAGAAAATAACTTATCCTAAAACACAATTAAAATTCAGTCGGCAATAAATTCTCGCCAAGACGATGCCATACAAAACAAAAAGATTTGGTCGCGAGAGTTACGTGAGATGCTGCCGTTGTTTTTTAAGCAGAATGAAAAATTTATAATTAATAAACGGGAGTTACGACGCCCTTTACACATCGTGTGTATTAAACTTCCCTGGTAAGTACTAATATTATTGTACTTATACACCTGTTGGGAGTATTTCGGACAATTTCGAATTTAAAATAAATGAAAACCCGACATATAATAAAGACGCAAAAGTAAAATGAACATTTATTGAAAAAGTTATTATTTAAGAAAGACAACATGATCGTACAATTCCGCCAAAACCTCGATGTTCGCAAGTGAGATGATAAATAAATACTTCCCTGTATTCGATCAATTAACTTTAGCGTATCGTTGTTCTGCCAACAAACAGCCGGGTGCAAAATATTTCCGTCCTGTGATATGCTCACAAATATTCTCGATATTAATATCATACCCTCGCGTATGTACTTTCTATTAGCTCTTTAGTGATCCCTTCCATCCTTGGCCAAGTCATGTTTCGAATATGTGAACTTTTATTCGACCATACATGGCCGGCGGGATGTTAAATTGTAACAGAGAGGTAAAACAATCGCGAATTTCGTTATAACGGCTCGTTTACGAATTGTTGCGCCTGTTATCGTCGAAAATGATTACATTTGTTGTATTTTGAGGCATTTAAGCAGTAATAATTAGGGCATGACATCATCAAAATCGTCAAGTGAGATCTTGAAATTGCAAATTCCGTAAATAAAATTGTGAATTATTCGGTAACGAATTCAGCTTTAATGACCGTCGGGGTATTGTTTTGTTGAAAATTATTATTAATGTGAGAGCGCCAAAAACATACAGTCCATACCGATGCGACTGCAATTTATATGGTCGCAATTGGTGTGGCGCGTTTATTAATAGTGTAAAATTTAAACGAATATCAATTATAACCAAGCCTGTCAGCGTGTTTATTTTCTGTGGGCAGGAACGTAAAAACCATCTTGAGACAAATTCACTTCTATTATAAAATCTTAATTTTCAGTTATTATCGTTATACAAATAACGTGTGGCAACTTTTTAATTTATCGTCGACCAAAAAACCGCCCCACACTCGTCCAAACGTGTGTCGAGCTTGAACGACAGGAACAGATTCATCGACGACCTTAATTAGGGAAAATATGTATTTTATTGGGAATGCAAAATAAATGTAACAAAACGCATTTTTTGTGATATAACTTTGTATTTTCGGAAACGGGTTGCCGTGAAAGGTAAAATTTGATCTAAATTAATCGCAAAAATGTTTTATTTTAAATGTAACAAAACACATTTTGCGATATAACCTTGTATTTTCGAAAACGGGTGTCCTGAAAAGTAAAATATGATCTAAATTAATCGCAAAAATGTTTTATTTTAAATGTAACAAAACACATTTTTCGAGATACAACTGTATTTTCGGATACCGGGTGTCATGAAGAGTAAAATATGATCTGAATTAACCGTAAATAATGTTTCATTCCAAATGTATCATAACGCATTTTTTGCGATATAACTTTGTATTTTCGAAAACGGGGCGTCACGAAATTAATAATCTAATGTTTTATCTATCGTCTAACTAACGTCTGGAACACATCATTTTCGGGGAGAACTCTAGCCCGCGAAACGTCATTTAATTTAAAATAAGAATGTTTCACGCATTTCAAAACGGAAAATCACCAGTAAGTGGACAGGGATTCAACCCTCCGGATTCAGTATTCTATATCCCCGTGTCAGAACTTTCTGAAGAAAACAAAGAACCCGTCAAACCGCCGCGGAAGAAGGGAGTATTTTTTGCACTAATAATTAGGGCGTGACAATATCAAAATCGTCAAGAAACTGGTGAATTTGCAAATTCCATAAATAAAATTGTGAATTGCTCGGTAACATTTTAGCTATAATTATCGCCGGGGTATTGTTTTGTTGAAAACACGTTGAAACTTGAGGGAATTAGTTACAATTAGCGCCTGACCTCTATTAGGCACTCGAGCACTCGAAAAAAAATCGCCCAATCTTTTTAGCATTAAGTCGCATACGTAAAATATCCTGTAAAAGAAGTGCTGTTCATTAACGTCATCTCGTCTTATGACCACGCAGAAATGCCTTTATTGCCGAATTATTCAATCACTATTTTAAATCAACATTCAGGATTGGCACAATTTCAGATTTGCGAAGTTTATCACCATAGAAATACATGAGAAAGTTAATTATCGTCTTAATAAATATCTGCATCACGGTATGGACAATAATATTACCATTCGCATAAAATTGGGACGGTAAATTTACAAATCTTGATAGGTAATATTAAAGCCAACGCAAATGTTAATTTGAGTCCTCAATGTCTTCAACAGCTGTTGCCGATGTGAACGAACGGGTAAACCCGAAATATAAAACTTCGATGTCCGCCGACCCACAAGAATTCATATTTGTAAAAAGAGAGGGCGGGAATATAGATTACCCAAAACCTGGATATCGCCGCCAAAACGATCGGTGACAAGAACAATTAGCGATTACAACGGAATTAACCAGTAAAAAGGCTTTGTTGCCGATTTTTTAATGTTTCCACCACGTTTATTCGGTACTCCTTAAAAATATTCGATTCAAAAAATATTGAATTTTGCCCACCCGTCCTCGCATATCAATGAGAAATAGTTGTGTAAATATCGCAAAATTCCGGAAAATGCCACGTCCTTTCAACATTGTGATTACAATAAAATGGCACTTAATGGTATTTTGTGAATTTGATTTTGCAAATCTGTGACATGCTGCTAAAAGTTTCGTCTGATTTGAAAATCGTGCAGTTTGGTCACAATTCATCCAAAGTGACTATAACACTTACTAACACTTTTATAGTCATTTTGAATTCATCGATATCATTGATAGTCACATGACCACTCTCGTTTAAAGAAACGCACTGCTAAGATTCCAACATCTGGTTTCAAACACCCGGGAGCGTTTTTTGCGGGAGAAGCGGAATCGGTGTGCTTGTATAATAATCATATTATAAACAAGAATTTTGCCGTTAATGCAAAAGCTTTATCTCCTATGTCTGCATCTCATAGGTTAGAATTCCGGTAAATATCGTTATGATATGCAGAATTGAGTTACAAAAGTACTAGTATGTTACTTATTTGTCAACTTAATACTCGAAAATATTTGTTAACTTTGAATTTTTATTCCATTCAAAATCGGAAAAAAGTGCTATTTCTCTTCAAAATCGGAAAAAAGTGCTATTTCGCAGTCCCTAAAAAAAGTTGCGAAAGTGTTTCGCAATTTTCGCAAAAAAGTGCGCTAATAGTGAACACTGGTTCATACACCTTCACTTGTGTTAATTTGGGCACATGGGCACTTTTTGACTCACTTTGTCTGTGATGCTATAAACTAGGGGGTGAAACTGGCGGCCCGTGGGCCAAATGCGGCCTTCAAGGAAAAATTGTGCGACTTGCGAAGAAGTGACAATTTTGAAGAATGTGCGAGCCAATGAAAGAGTATTTAATTCAATATTGCGTCGCAAAGTCTATACCTGGGTCTAATTTATTATCCATGCTTATTACGTTATAATGCCCTAACAGCTATCTTGTGCAAAGTGAACAATGCATGTCATGAGATCAATAATCAATATTTTGTGTCTGCATCTACTAGAAAGCCTAAAGGTGCAGCCCACGGTTTCACCCAGTTATTTGTATCTGGCCCTCGTGTATTGAAGATGTCACACCCCTGTTATTAACTATTCTGCGTTACCATTTTCTCAACTTTATTTCAGCTTTGTGAATGCCTTGATCTGCTTTCATCATTGCTTGAATGTCCATGCAAAGGTCAACTGCATTGTTTATTGTATGAGCAAGGAAACGCCGATCTCTTGTACGTCATTCTTGCTGACCAACAATTCAGTGAAGTCATCAGAATAAAAATATGCAAGGTTGGAGAGCTTTTTAATACAAATCTGCAAAGAGCCAGGGTTAGACTCCTCATCAATAAAGTGAAAAAAGTACTAATAGGAGAGTTGCAGTTTTCTCAAAGCAAAGTCTCCATTCGAAAGCAAAAAGAGTATTTGTTGGCAAGACGCAAGAGATGATAGCAATAGTTATTCCCTATAGATTCTGTGTGCTATGTATCTGTTAGCTCCATTCAGAAGTCATGAATGTCATAGTCTGAATTTTATACGTCATATGGAAGTTGGGAGACATAATGGTATTTTTACTCTCTGGAGTCAGAAGTCAAAATTTTCAAATTTGTATTTTCATAAAGTGGGAAGTGATAATCGAGGTCAATTTTGTACATGAATTGAAAAAAAAATTATTTTTCAAGGTTTTCAACTGTTCGTGAAGAAGGCTTACATATGAGAAAGTTTTCAATATCAGATTTGATTTCCCTAAAAGTCTAAATCTTTATCAATCTGGAATCGAACTCAAAATATTCAACTCTTAGTTGGGAGTTGGAGTTATCATGGCAAATCTTCCCTGCCTCCACATCCCTATTTCAAAGTGACCACTGCGACACTCTTTTTTGGTACTCCTGTAGTGTGTGTGTACCAGGTTAGGGTTAGGCCATGATTTTATTCCGATTTTCCTCATTTTAGTTATGACAACTTGATGTAAAGTAGGCGAACAAAATTAGTTACCTTCAGATTGGTACACATACTTCTGAAGCGCCTTTTTTCTGTCTTTACACAGATGTTGACGAAACTTCTCAAGACAGAATATGTTTACGAAAAGAACAAAACGTTTCTCAAACTTCAATCAGTTGGATTCTCCAGTCTTATCACAAGAATGAAAGATCTACCACCAACAAGAGTCTTCTGTGACCAATTATTGGACCTTGTTATTGAGATTGGTAAGTAAATTCATTGTAGAAAATGGATCAACCGGTTGAATCCTGTTTAGACTAGTTATTCTCCATAATTTAAACTTAGTACACTTTGACTTTTCTAGTCATGTTCAAAATGAATCAAAAATTGGAATCCATTCCTATTGACTTATATTTGTTAAATCTGTTTATTCCGGGAATAATTATCAAGAGTAGTTATATCCAAAAATCTTATAGTAAGTCTCCAACAGACTATTTACTTTCTGAACCTTAGAAAATTAGAGAAAATATCAAATAATTTTTCATATTTTCAACTTGAAAGTCTTCGGTATAAACAATTTCCTTTTTTGGGGAAATCAGACTTTGTTCAATGTTTGAAATTTGTCTTATAAATTTAGTCAACAACTCTTCTAGTTCATCAGGCCCAATTTTCAAACATAAAGGTATGTTATCTGGGTGAATAAAAATCACATCATGGGTGAAAAGAACACTTGCATGTTATATTGATTGGTGCTGATTTAGATTATTAGAGATGATACTTCACTTGATGGTGGTTTGGTTATGGGCATTATCTAATTATACTTTTAAAGCTGGACAAGTGTGGCACAAGGGAGACAAGTGGGATGCAAGCTAACAAGTGTGTCACAAATATGACACAAATGACACACGGCATGTGTGGCACAAACGGGGCATATGTGGCACAAACGGGTCATGCGTGGCACAAATGCGGCATGTGTGGCACAAACGGGGCATGCGTGGCACAAATGCGGCATGTGTGGCCCTAGTGGGACAAGTGTGGAACAAGAGGCGCAAGTTAAGCATAAATGGGTCGGGTGAAGCAATTAAGATATTTTAGAATCGTGTTCAATCAGTGAAAAGACAGAATTTCATTCCATATACCTTTTATGGAATCGGCTGTGTTTGATTAAGTATTATTTATGATATAAACTTGAAGATAGAATCTGGTACAATTATATGGCTTAAAGAATTATGCATGGCTTGGTGTGATGTTCTATTGAATAATGTATCTTATTGTGAATCATGAGAGCTTAGTAATTCCTTACAACCTCCTAACAAATTTGGAGTTGCTTGGCATACACCTATTTTTCGACAAGCAACTGTTGGGGCCGGGAATCTCTTTCATTGATGTAAAAAGAGATCATGAAATATCTTTCCTTGCCATTTTTTTCAATCTGTTGGCACTTTCATAACTATGATTTCTTGACCATATGTAAAGATGCTTGATTGAAAGTACGCAGAAGTAGAAATTCTATTCTGATATCACAATCAAGTAGTCACGTAGTGTATGTACCAGGTTAGGGTTGGATCATAATTTTATTCTGATTTTTCTTATTTCATTCTATTATGAGTTCGGGGACTGTCTGTGTTAGCCAAGTGAATATACCCCTACCCATAGGTTTCAGCCACTTCACAAAACTTGATCTAAAGTAGGCGATCAAAATGAGCTACCTCCATATTGGTACTCGGCCTTCTAGTCCACCTTCAAATGTATATACCTGCCAGTGAATATGAAATACGAAAAAAGGAAGTAGCGATGTGACATATTCATTCACTTATTCTTTATTTTCTTGACCAGATCTTGGATCAGGAGCTTTGTTCTCTGTTCTTCATTTCTTTCATCGAGCTCATATATCAACTAGAAGAGATGCTGCCAAACGGTTGCTGGATCTGCTTCTTACTAAAAATGGATTCCTGGCTCAATGTGTCAACCAACCAGCTTGGCAGGTAAAGATAGTTCTGTTCTTGTTATGAATTATTTTTTTATTCATTTTTCTATTTTGAGAAAAGCTTTATGAAAAGAGTCATGGATACATAACGAGTTACTTTTTGGTAAGTCCTGCTGCACACTAACACAAATGTATTTCTGTAACGATCTCTGACTTAAACTTCCTCAGACACGCAGTTTACAACATTGACTCTTGAACTGCATATGTAGGTAATCTAACCAGAATTCTAAACACCATCATCCAAGTCTGTTTTTTTTGGTGGGATGGGACAGAAAAAGGTTCCTCCCGAAGTATATGTACCAAGATGGCGCACAACCTGAACATAGTTGTGTACTAGGTTGGGGTTCAGGTTGTGCGTCATCTTGGTACACTTCCTTACAGAGCGCTGCTTTTTTTATATACTAATGCCAGAAGTCACATTCAAATATTTTACTTTGACCTATTAGCGATGTGCTAGAATGCCCATGTGTGGCAGCGATTATATATCTAAGCATTACAAGATAATTTTGAGAGTATTATAATGGCCTTTTTGCTTCCCTCTATTTTCTGAATCACCGACAAATGTCGATTGAAAATATGTTTCATTCAATATTCGGCACTCCAGAAGTATGTGTACCAATATGAAGATAACTAATTTTGTTCGCCTACTTTACATCAAGTTGTGTAAAGGGACTGATTACTATGGGCAGGCGACATATTCACTTGGCTAACACAGAGAGTCCCTGAACTCATAATAGAACTAAAAAAAGGAAAATCGGAATAAAATTATGGCCTAAATTGGTACACACACTACGGGAGTACCCAATATCCGTTCTTAATTCAGCTTGGTAGTATTTGTCATAACCTTATCAGTCCCATCTATTTAACAAAATTGGAAAAGTGAATTATGTAACATGAGGTGATGTTTTAAATATTTCAGGATACTTTGACGAGGTTATTGGTGAAAGACTCAGATTATACAGAATCAAGAACTGGAAGTTTTTCTCAAAGGTAATTTACCTTTCAATTTGTACGATACAATGAAGATCATAAAAATGTTGCAATTTAATTCCTGTAAATTAAAAAATTAAATGTTTTTTTCAGATCTGATGCAGGATTCGAATCTCTAGACGATGTTCCCTCACTTGTTGTTGATGGAAGCCATCTTGAGCCCAGAAAAGAGTCAATGAATGAAGAAAATGGTAAAACAATTCGTTATGTACAATGTTTTCTATGTGTACATGGATTCATGTTGTTAGACCATTGACTCAAAGCTCTTAAACAGAACCTTGAAATTTGCCTTGGACAGCATTTTAAACCAGTATTAAGAGCAAGCAACAACTAATACAAAAAAAATGTCAACAAATTCATTTCAATAAAATTTTGAGAAGTTAAACGGAAAGTGAGATGATTTTCTTTATCTCAAAAAATGTATTTTACCAAGAAGAGCAAGATTTTTATCAAATTTTCCAAAAAAAAATCATAGCAATGTCTGTGACGTTTGTTTGAAATACCTTTGTGTCAGCATGCAGCAAAACTCTGTGCCTACCAATGCTGAAATGGAAAAGATCCATTTTTTTCTGAATAGAAGTTTTTCGTTTTTTCAAGGATCATTGTACAAATTATTTTTATGTATTAATTCATTGAGGAATTGAGGAGGCATAGGGAAGAAAAGGTGGAGATACCGATAATGATTATCAAGCTATGACACCCAAATTTAATATTTTTGTAAAACCACTTTATTATCCCTATTTACAGCCAACGATTCAAGATCTGCTTCTATCAATGGTGAAGAAGATGAAAATAAGAACACACAACAACAACAACAGCAACAACAAACCAAATCAGTCTTTGATATTTTCAATAAAAATTCGCCACAATCTGAGAATGGAAATATGCAAACGTTGAAAAAACCAATGTCATTCCCTGAAGAACTGAAAAAATTTAAGTATGTTTTTGTTATGTTATTTTCGTACAATTTTATTTTTTCATATTTCATGAGAGAGGAATGTTGATAAGGTGGTTCAATCGAATGGAGTACTGCAGACTCTCATCCGATAACATGCCCTAATTGGGCATTGTGTGCTCCAATAGTGTGTGTACCAGGTCAGGGTTAGGCAACACTTTCATTCCAATTTTTGTTGTTTTAGTTCTATTACGAGTGTGGGGACTACCTGTATTGACCAAGTGAATATACCCCCTGCACATCGGCTTCCGCCCCTTTACACAACTTGATGTAAACTAGGTGAACAAAATTAGTTACGTCCATATTTGTACACACACTTCTGGAGCGCCGATGATTGTTAGGTTAGGGCTCATCACCAATCTCGCTGACTATTTCCTTCTGGTCTTAGTAACAAATTTGTTCCAAATTCCCAAATTTGGAGTCTTATTTATATTGCTACTAATATGTAGTAAGCTTATATGTTTGGAGTACTGGAATATTTTTTGTCTAGCATAACCTTGCAATTTATTGCTTTCAGATAGTTTTGTATTATTCCAGTAATATGATAATATTTTGGGGAATCATAAGGAATAAATAAACCTTGAGAGTGCTATACCAAGATACTTATGCCCAATGTACATATTTTTTTTCACGCCATCTCTCCTACAATAAAATTACATTCAAAATTATGTTATATCACATTTTTCAGGGACAACATCATAACACAAATCAGTTCGCCAGTGATGAAAGATTTTGCAAGCGAAAGTTTTTCCGAGCTCACAGTTTCTGAGCACTCTAGCACCACCAGTCTGAAACAAAGTGGAAAAACGAGTCCTACTCTTTCAGATCATTATTTCAACTTTGAACCTAGAGTAGAGAATTTGTCGAGTACCGCAGGAAGCATGAGCAATTTACTCGACTATGAAGCAGTAAGTGGAGATTTGTTTTTTTTAATTTCAGTTTAGATAAAGATATAGGATAGGTTTTCATAACTATGAAACAGTCTATGGTCTTTTCTGGATTTTACATCACACCCAGAATTCCAGCGTTTACTTGAACCACCCTACTGCGGCGAGGGATCCAGCAATGTGATTCGGACCTGCTGGCCCATGCATGAGAATCAGAAGTGGCGAGCGTATTTCAAACACCTAGCATTTATTACATTGAGTTTGTAGAATTTGTCTGATACCACTTGGTAAACACAATTAATACATGATTACCGCAGAGCGAGCTGATACAAAAATCATTGAAGCCTTAATCAATGACAATAAAACATGATACAGGCAGTGTTGACAGAAATTAACAAAACGGAATAACGACGATGTTAACGCCATAGGTGCAAATAGGTACTTCTTAGTGGATAATTGTCTGCTTCTGAGAATAACAAAAGAGGATTTATTATCTCATTATTTTATTTTTTTTTAATCCAGGAATATGGAATGTCATTAAAAGAACGTTTTAGTCAAATAGAAGAAGATTTAGCAGATGCTGTGACTGAGATCTTGTACATCATGATATGGAGAGGAATTGATGGAACAACTGTAGATTCATGGAAGGTGGGGACTTGTTTCATAGTGGTTTTATGCGTGTACTTTACCGTGAATTTGTGAGTTTTATGGTCTGGTACAGTTCTCAATCTTTAATGATCTGTGAGCTTTTACCAAAGACTCAAACCACAGGTCGGGAAACTTTAGCATTGAAAGAGCCATTTGTCATAATAACATCTACTCAAATGTCAGTAGCTATTGTAGTTCTTATCAGGTAAAAGCTAATTAAATTACGTATCATGTAATAATTTAGTTAACGATGAAATAAAAAAACTTCGAAAATAAAAAGGAAAAAGTTTGTTTTGGCAGATCTAAGTCACCTTAATACGACCTATTTTTACCTTTCAACTTATACCTGCTGTGATGTGTAATTAGCGGGTAGTAATTGACTTTATGTCTCAGACTTTTATTGAATCCTTACTGCTTCTTCTCCAGAGCCGCACGTTGCCGATCGCAGATCTATACACTTGGCCTGTTGTTTTTCTATAAAAATACCTACTTTTGCTTTCAACTATTTTCTATTGGTCTTTTTTATTCACAGAATTTTATAATAAAGACTAACAAACGATTGGAAAACTAATTTTTTTTGTCTTTGTTTCAATTTTACAGGCTCGAGGACAAGTATTTGCATGTTTGAACAAGTTGTCCAGTTCTCATGATCTTGTTCAAAATTCTGAGAAATTGAAACTAAGAATTCTAGAACTCTGTGTTGAAGCTGCTTGTAATGATCTGAAGAATCTTACAGCAGGTAAATTAGTTGGTTTAAACTTTTGAATTCATTTTTAATGAGGAATTTTATGTGCCATAATACACTGTTGGGCTATCAAGCCTCTTCAACAAATTACAATGTATTATATATGTTTGGTAGCATGCAGTCGCAAATAATTTATTTATTAATGTTTGACCCGCGCCGTATCGGTCCAAGATTTGTTTTGAATATAATGCGCATTTGATCTCTAGGTTCATTTATATTCTAGTCCAGTGCTTAAATAACGAGGTGGTTTGATCAGCTTGGCTACAATAAGGTAATTGGACCTACGTTACCTTTTATTTTATCTCTCAACAGTTATAATATCTTGTTTCATACTATAAATTACCAAAGCAAAATCTGAGATGCTGTATGTTTAATTTTCAAGTTTCAGAACAACATTTGGTATTTGGGCTGGCTGACTGGTCAGAGTTCTATTTTCTAATACCAATGTTGATATGATATGCTGACAATGAAAATCTTACCCTCCAAAACCCAGAAACATTTTTCTATCTTGAGTGAATGTGCAAACCAATAGGAAAATAACTAAAATTTTTCCATGCTCCCGAAATATGTGCACCAAGATGCCGCACAACCTGAACATAGTATGTGCATCAGGTTAGTGTTCAGGTTGTACGCCATCTTGGTGCACATACTTCCGAAGCGCCAAATTTTCTATTTTTATTTCAGGAGCAGCAAAGTCTAATGCATCTGGTGCGAATTCTTTTCTTCACATCGCAGAGAAATCAGCAGAATTGATCAGACATGTCAATGATTTTCTTGTCAATCAAGGATCTGATGCCACGCATGTTTGGTCTATAAATGTGAGTAGTCATTCATATTTAAAGGAATATTAATGTATGGAATAATCAATCATTCTTGCCGTTTTGGTGTTTTTGAGCTTTTGCTCCCCGCCGCTTCTCTTCCCAGTAATATTATTCGTTCAATATTTATTTCTCAAAGTTTTGTTGGAATTTTTAAATCATATCCCTGCTGTTCTCATTCTTCTGTAAGATTGTGTGCTCGATTTTTTTTCTCTAAGTTTTGTGTGCTGTAGTAACTAATTATTATTGGTGCTTGTGATCTTTGGCTCCTCGTGGCTCCCCACGACTTCCCTTCCCAACATTCAACTTTTATTACTCTCAAGTTTTGTATGTTATATTTTACTGGCTAGAAAAAATGAACTTGACTATGATTATGACTCTGGTATTGGAAATTGAAGCGGCATATATCAATTTCTTGGAGCTTGAAATTTCACAGTCCTACAGATTGCAAGTTTTAATTATAGGTTTTAATATTCATGTTTCGTGATGTTTTCAAAGAATTTAGTTTGAATGAGTTCCTAATATAATAAGGCTGCTGGGAGAGTGTGAGTGCCTTTGTAGTTCTACACTAAATTCTTATGAAGATATCTTGTTGTACTTCTGACTTATGTTTGCAATATTCAATATTTTGAATGTCTGTTCTGCTCTACTAGGCAGATAAGGTGTGTGATACAGCACATTGTATTGTATATTTTTTTCACTGTGGGCACAGAGACTAAAGTTCAATTAAAAATCAGAGCTGTCTCTTAGCTGCCAAACCTGACATGTGCAAACTACAGCCCGCGAGCCAAATCCAGCCCGTTGGGTAATTTAATCTGCCCTGATGGCCTGATACTGCCACAACCGAACTAAAACCAAATTTTGACGTTTCAGCTGAAAAATAGCTCGAGGAATTTGTTGAGATTGCTATTATATTTTGTTTTGACACGAGGCTGATTGTTTTCCACTTTTGCTTTTGTAACACTTCATAATGATAAAATGTACTTTTTTTTTGTCACACTTACATGGCCAGCCGGTCTAGGTAGGAAAATTTTTTTGGCCCCTGGTCCGAGAACCTTACCAACCTCTGTTCCAAACGTTTTTATTCTTGGTATTCACAGCTCATGGAAAACATGTTTATGTTATTTGATGTTCTCGTTGTCTGGGACAACAACAATGAGTCATCATTGAATGGACCAACAGAATGGGTTGAGCTTGCAAGCATCGGATTGAGGCTACTGCTCGGGTGAGTACTTTTTACAGATGTAAATATTTCATGGAGGGATCCAATGTTGAGGAGGCTTGAGCTATCCATCCTATATATTTATTAGTTATTTCTTAAAAGCAGAACGCTCAATGATGTTGTGTGTTTTTTCTGCTGCGCTAGAAACTAATGGCATTTTTTTTCCAAACCAAACTTAACGATTCAGCGTTCTGATTGATATCCCTTCACATTAGTTCTGGTTTCCTTTTGCATTGCTTAAACCCCAGAAACAGTTTTTTTAACACTACTAAGTCTACAATTTTACTACTTTTTATTCTGTGTAATTGTTTTATATTGTTTACTGTTTAACATGTTTACAGATGCATGAATACAGATAAACTTGAACTGGTTGCCATGGCAGCAGCAAAATTACATCATCTTATCCACTCGAGGTCACCGAGGAGCACAGAAGAAATTTGCTACCTTTTGAACAATCTTCATAAAATACAATGTAAAAGCATAAAAGGTACTGATTAATAGCGAGCATTAGGCCTCAATAAAAATCAATGTCAATATTTAAGGATGCATTTCTTGGCTGCTGGCCCTAACTATTTAGCAAGGCAGAGAAGTCCAGGGGAATTTACTTTTTAGGCCAGGGTAGGATTTTACATATTTATTCTGGAGAAGAATCAATGTCGGTGGGATAAGTTAACCAGTTAATTATTTTAAATGCATGGACTTGGTGGTGGAGGAAGTCGTAACCGACCAGCGGTTATGTGAACCACCCTACGGCGGTGAAAAATCCAGCAATCCTCTTGCATACAACTATCCTTATGGGATTCGAACCTGTGAACCCATGCAGGGTAATCGGAGCGTATTCACAGCGCTAAGCACGATGCCCCACGCCGCCGAGCTTTCAACTCCTGAATAATGTGGACTCTATTTTGAATCCTCTGGGTTGTAAAAAGTTTTAAACCAGACTTCAGCTCCGAACTGCCAATCTGGAGAGATCCCACATTTTTCAAAGTCCCACTTCAATACTGGTTGCTTTTATATAGCCAGACTATGAGTAAAGAATATATAAAAACCCAACAAAACTGTTCTCTAACAAAACGTGACCATACTATGCAATTCAAGAGTCTTGATGCATACTAACACATGTGAATTTCTGTAACGTTTTGTCTGACCAAAATCAAACTTCCTCATTAGTCTGATTTTGGCCAGACGAAACGTCATAGCAATACATTTGTGTTAGTGTGCAGCAGGACTCTTGAATTCCATAAACTGTTCATTGTTTGGTGCTCCCGAAGTATGTGTACCAGGTTAGGGTTCAGGTTGTGCGCCATCTTGGTGCACATACTTCCGGAGCGGCCATTGTTTTATATCTTCAATATTTTATTCTTATTTTCAGATGATACCCATGTTGTAAAGTTTGTTGTTCCATTGATTCGAGATTTGCTGGATAAGAATTACGAAGTTCTCGCTCTGGGACAGTTTTTGAATGATCTACCTCCCACTAGTGGAAGCGCTACATTCTTCGATGACTTCGTAAAATATTGTCAATCTAAGGAATGGATTCAATTCATAAATAAACATGTAAGTTGAGAGTTTCTTCTCTACTACCCTTATTTTCTTACCAACTAATAAACTATAAAGCAGTGATTACCAACAAGGTTTCTGGCACTCCAGGGCTACGCCAGTACAGTCCATGGTTTTCGCAAATTTCCATCTAAATTTGAAAGTCTTTATTATTATATTTTTATAAAATTATTTAAATTTAATCTAATGCTTATTAGGCTTGCCACTATTATTCAACTTGCTACACTTAATACAAATCCTGACGCTATTCCACTGTTCAATTACGATAAGTAAAAGTTTTTATGATTAAATCCCATTTCATCAATGCGATAAGTGATTTTTTTGAACACCTTATGATCATAACCTGGATGTTCATTATTCACATGCTTCTACATATGTGTGATGTGTTCCTAAATAAGTCTGCCGAAAACATTTCAATCCAAACAGTTACTACAGATCGCCATCGTTTATCCCAGGTCCAACACAAAGCTTCCCAACATGAAGAAGACACATTCCGTGATTCTCACAATCAGATGACAAAGTACTGGCTCAACGTCATGGAGGATTCTACAGTTGCTTGTCATAAGAGAGACCGGGATGGTGGTGAAAGCAAATTGAAATTCCAAGCTCAGGTCCGTGTTTCTTATCAAATTTGGTCAACTTCCATATTTTCCCCGGTACTCACGTAGTATGTTTAACAGGTTAGGGTTAGGGCATTTTATTCCAATTTTCCTTATTTCAGTTCTATTAAGAGTTTGGGGACTGTCTGCGTTAGCCAAGTGAATATACCCCCTGCCCATAGGTTTCAGTCTCTTAATTCAACTTGATGTGATGTAGGCGAACAAAATTAGTTACCTCAATATTGGTACACACACTTCTGGGGCGCCTTTTCCCCAGGGTTAAAGGAAAGGCCATAATGACTTGAATTTGGCGAATGGCGAATCATGTCCCCACATTCATCTGACAGTCCATGTCTGATATTTATCCATTTGATCCAGATCGCTTAATGTTTACCTGAGTTTACGCTTCTACCCGATCAATATATACATGATTGCTCTCATGATGATTGATTGATGCTGTAGCAGGTTTTGTGAGTTCATAAAATAATTTTGCCTATAAGATATAATTCTTCCCAGACTATATACGGCCTGCAAGTCAGTGTTTGAGAAAATTATTGATTAATGATACGAAATCATTATTTTCTTCTGATTCATTCGGTTGAATTATTTTCCAGATCGAGATTCCCTTTCAAAGTCGTCGAACAACGGAAGAAGAAAGACAAGCAAAGAATATGAAGCAATTGTTCAATCAACACAATGCTGCACTAAGGCAATGGAGAGCTACGAAGAGGTTTTTAACAAGTGGAAGAGGCCCTTGGAAAGATAGGTAGGGATTTGTTAATTTGGCGCTCCAAAAGTATGTGTACCAATACAGTGATAACTAATTTTGTTTGCCTATTTTACATACCTTTACAAGTAAGTGTAAAGGGACTGTAATAGAGCTGAAATAGAGAAAATCGTAATAAAATTATACCCTAACCTAACCTGGTACACATACTACGGGAGTATCGTTAATTTTGCTACATGAAAATAAAATAATTGGTATGGTTTCTATTTGCCTGCTCTTGTAATATAGCTCTATTTTTTTTTGTTGTAACATCTTTTCTGCAACGGATATGTATACGTCATTTGGCACATACTGTTCACTAGGTTCGCTTCTTCTTTGAACAAATGAAAAAAAAATAGGAGGGAGACTAAATAGGAGACAGGCTCTCTTGTTTTGGTGAAAATGGTAAAAATTAAAAAGCTGACCATGGTGCGGGTTTTAATTCATGATAATAATAAATAAGATTCTCAGCCAGAGGATTGTTTGCCTCTTTGTCTCTGCATGTTATTTAACATGGAATATTGCGGCGGAATGTTAAATAAAGGCGCGGCTCGCGGTTTCGTCTAGTTATTCGACCTTGCCCTCGTTTATTGAATGTTGCACACCCTGACCTAACCAAAGCTTACTGTGAAATTGTGAAATCATTATAGAAATGTATCGTTAATTTTTCAATCTCAAACATATATCAACTTTCTTCTTACTCACTGTTTACCTCAATTCTTAGGAACCTCGGAGAAGTAGCCTGGAAGCTATCGAATGTTGAGAACTTTTCGCGAATGAGATTGAAATTGACTGAGAACTATAACTTTGATCCTCACACAGATGCAAGTAGATTAAGAGACAATGTGGAAATCATTGAACCTGTTACCCAGGTAAGTCCTAGAATTTCAAGAATATTTGGCACTTTCGAAGTATGTGCACCAAGATGGCGCACAACCTGAACCCTAACCTGGTACAACTACTATGTTCAAGTTGTGCGCCATCTTGGTGCACATACTTCTGGAGCTCCAAATATTTCATCTAACACAGGGGTGTGCGACCTTTAATACAGAAGGGCCTGACACAAACAACTGGATGAAATCGCGGGCTGCACCTTTATTCAACATAGGCTCTCTAGTTGCAAGCACAAATAATAGGTTTTTTGTTATTGATTTTAGGGGTTATTAGGGGGTCCTTGCAGAAATGATGAGTTAAGACAGATAAATTTCTGAAGGAAACTGCTATTCAAATTTTTTGTCACACTATTTTATTGTAACTTTCATTTTTTTCTTTTTAGATCAGCATGTTTGCTATGTAATCTTAAAACATTTTTGTTTCGTATGTAAGTTAATTCAACATCCGGTCTTCAGTGTTAACTCGTATAAACGTATAATTAGTAAATGCCCATAAACATAACCAAAGTAACTCCCAAGATACACCGACAGGAATGAGCTCTCAAGAACAGAGAGCAGAGAGCTAGTTCACCTTCTCAGCAGATTGGCTATTATCAGTCATCTGTGACTGATGGCATCACTGGTCATGCTCTGCCATCTGGGAAAATGCTAGTCGCTAGAAATACAATGAAGATACAGTTAACATTCAGATTATTTAAAATGAAATCTACGAAATTATTGTATTTATTTAATCGTAGCAACAAAATTTCGAAGGATTGTGAAAAGGTTATTTAACTGTTATATCAAATTAACAGGATTCCCAATTAAACATGTATAACTTCTGATTAATATATTTGTTTTATATCGGAGTCTATATTGTAGGAGTCTAATATATAACTAAAGTAGTAAACCAGTCAACAACAATTAACGGATTAGTCAACAGACAATTCATGTAGTTCGCAACTTTATGTTACAAATTCTCTAATAACATTCCATTCCTCACAGATGACAGCTGATGATGGTCTAATTCCTGCATCAGCAGTAAAGCAAGCTGAATCCGCAAAATCATCGAGTTTAGAAGATGACAGCGTAGGAGATGAAGAATGGAGTACTCTGACTAGTAATGTCAAGTAAGTAGTTTACTTCTGATTGGACAGGGTGGGTACATTTCTGGGTACTCCCGTAGTATGTGCAACAATAGGGCGGACACCGGATGTGTACCAGGTTAAGGTTAGGACATAAATATAACAGGAGTCACTTGGCTAGTTCCCGAACTCGTAATAGAACTAAAATAAGGAAAATTGTAATAAAATTATGGCCTAATCCTAACCTGGTACACATACAATGTTCAGGTGTCCGCCAAAGGTGTCTTGTTACTACATACATCTTCAATTTGACTTTATACTCAGTGTGTTTAATTTGTTTATCAAATATTGTTTGATATTTATATTGTTCAAAGTGGTTCTGAGTTTACTGGCTGGAATATCTGATTGTGATATATACTTTTAATTCATTCTCTGTTTTCATAAGTTTGATCTTGTCATGTCTGGAAAAGTTGAACAATGTTGACAAAACCTTCTAACAAATCTTCAATTTTTGTTAATACAGATATGAATATAATAAAAAATACAAATATTTTATTTTTACACTTGTCGCAATAAATTATTAAGCAAATACTATTCTGGTACTTTGTATTAGCTGGTACTCGGACGAGAGGACATGGATCGCCAATTGATTAAGCCATTTTTCTCTCTTCCTAACTAAATACGAAGTTTCGATCTTTAATATCCTAATATTAGTTAACGTTAAGCTTGACGTAAAGTTATAAATTACAAAATTATGGATTGCATTACTACTACGTTGCTCAGCCATATTGTTGCAGCAACAAGATGTTTTCTAATATTATTATTATATCTAGGGCTGTCCAAATTCGAATAATTTTTTGATTCGAATCGAATATTTTTGCCAAATCGAACCGAATAATCGAATACTGATGCGCAATCCTGAATCTGTCTCTATTATACAATAACCGCCTACCCTTCAATGTTATGGTAACATATGTGCAGTTACATTTTACTTACTGCTGGTATTTTGCAATACAATGATTTCAGATGAAAGGTGATCAAACGCTTGCATGAACTGGTCAAAAAAAAGTGGAGGACTCCAAAATTTGGGTCTCAAACTGTTGAGTCATGAGTGTTAAGAGTAAAAATTGCACAATTCAAAAATTGCAATCTCAATTCTAATGGATTCAGTTTTAATAGGACATGTAAAGCCTGTAAATGCTATGCTAATCCTATTCACTAGTCTCATGTTTTTTTGTGTAATTTTCAGCAAAATAATAACAACCATTAATATAGATAAAACTGTTGCTCAAATTCGAAATTGCATTTAACAAATTCGAAGCTAGTTTGATGACTATAATATGCAATCAAAATTCAAGAGTGCAATTATTTTTCTTGGTATATAGATGGATAATACATAGTTGCCATCATAAAAAATTACATATTCCTTTGAAAGAAGGTATTGCCATCATAAGGATCCCAAAACACCTGTTTCAGCTTTGAGTTGCCTGTACCATGTTCTTATGATAACTAACTCAACAGCTTCAAATCGATTCTATTTATAGAACTATCGTTTTCTAATTTTCCCTTTTTTCTCCTTGTGTACTCTCTCAAAAAGTCATTACAGATTATAACTCTTAAGTTATTATGACCATGCATGAAATGGTGTACTCTCTGAAAAACGTCATTACAGATTTCAACTTTTAAGTTATGATGACCATGCATGAAATGGCTGAACACGTGCCACCGGGTGGACATTAGGAATAACATGTTTATCACAAAATGAAGGCGAGAGAAATATCGGGAAACCAATTAAGCCGGGGGCGAGAGTGGTCTAAGCTCGAAGCGCCGCCACTTGTCCGATGAAAAACGTCCTGCAAAGGTGGTTTCCGCTTTTTGTACCTAATTTTAGTGATTCGGAAATTAGCCGAAAAACGATTCGAATAATTTGAGATTCGATTTCGAATATTTGGTTCGCTTGGACAGCCCTAATTATATCATTCTCAAATTTATTTATTTTGTCTTGTAGCACTACAGCAGACACACAAAGCCAAAAAGAGAAAAGTGTGTTCTCAGCAGAATGTCATCTTGTAACACTGATGGATTACATTGTTGGAAAGATTGAAATCTCAACAACTCATGTCTACTTCTATGATAGCAGTGTTAATAAAGATGAAGGTAGATTTATTTACGATTTTATTTTTAAATATATTTGCACCGTCCATTTAACTAAGCTTCTATATGAGTAGTTGCCAACCTTATCTGATGTATTCCTTTCTTTGTCTAGTTTGGATTTCTTTATTCCTTTCTTGTTATGCATAAAAACTGTTTTGCACTGGCCTTCAAAATAAGATCCTATGTAAGCAGCGAATGGCGCTCGTTGTTTTGAAAACCTCTTGTACAAGAAGTCTCGGCATGTCATGTCATTTCATCCTATGACAAGGTCTTTCACACCCTTGGTGGGGTAGTTTGTTTGGTCAATGGGCCGACTGAATAACATTAAAACTTGAGGATATCTTCAACTCGTAATAACTACTGAACTATACGCTATGGGTTATTACATGGTATGTCCTCTGTCTCAAACAGTAATTCCTACAGACTTGGGTTTTTCATTCTTACTAGACTATTATCTTTCTGTTAATTTACTTTTCAATAATCCCTAGAAACTGGACGAGATTTCAAATGGTCTTTACAACACTTACGTGAAGCCCATTTCCGTCGATACAATCTCAGAAGAAGTGCATTGGAACTGTTCTTAATCGACCAGTCTAATTATTTCATCAACTTTGACGACCTCAAACAAAGAAACGCAGCTTACAAGGCTTTACTCAGTGTTAGACCTCCTAATTTGTTATATTTTGGAAGCAGATCGCCGCAAGAGCTCTTAAAGGTAATTTGAATCAGTTAAAATTGCATATTTGTGACTAGAAATGTTCATCAAATACTTACAACACTGTCCATGTTATTCTGTTCCGCATCACATGTACTGTTACGCTTGATTGCTTTTATCTTTGTTTTTATTTCTGAGTTGTGGGCACATTATGGTACATTCAGCCTATGTCCACACATACGGTTTAATAGTTGTATTTGAGTATATTGTCAAGACAAGGCCAATATTTCCAGGCTTAATCGGCCTGTATGGTCATTTTATTAACCCTGGATGGTTTAACCAACTCGCCTAATTTTCCTGCAATTCAAGGGTTTATTACGTCATTCTAAAGTAAATCAAGCATTACTACACTATTCGAGAAATAGCTAGGTCAGAAATTCAGAAAATTAATTTTTTTTTTTTTCATTAAATTTGCAATTTCTGTCATGAAATCCTTGTTAATTCGACTATTATCATATAATACAACCTTATATTACACGATCAGAATAGATATATATTAGCTTGCACAGCACCCATGCTGCATTCATCCGAAGCAAGAAGCAGCAGATACAAAATCAATGAAGCGTAAAACAATAACAATGAAAGAAGTTAACAGGCAGTGTTGCCAGAAATAGACAAAACGAAATAGTACAAATATTACAATATCAACATATTCACTCTGTTTTAACTTTTAGTTTAACAGAGGTAAAGTAGTCCATCACAAATTATAGAGACTAATCTTTCTGAAGAAGCCCCATGCTTTGTGAGCACATCAGCTAACTGGTATTTTGACTGCAACCATTCTACGCCACAAATTTCCTTCTTCATAATCATTTCTTTGAGCATTCCAATTTCAATTCGAAGTCTTTTGTTGGAAACATTTTTACTGGAGTATAATGCATCTCGAAGTGAGCAATTATCTGTCATTACATAAATTGGTATATTGAATGAGTTTGCAAAATAAATTTCTGACAGCATGCTCTTAACAAATACAGCATTATCCACGGCGTCAGATAGTGAAAGTGTTTCAGCTGCCAAAGTGCTTTTGGCCACTCTACGAATCCGTTTCGATTGCCATGTTAGCAATGAGCATTTGTCATCATCTCCAACTAGAAATACTAGGTGTCCACCTTGACTACCTCCATCAATTAAATTCCCATATGCAGCATCTGCAAATACCACAATCCTGAGTGATTGGTCTTTTCCCAGATATTGATACTTCAGCTTCATTTCTCGAGCTTTCAGTTTTCTAATTATTTTATTGGCATGATGAACATCTTTCTGTTTGCCTTCTTTTAGATTTGTGGCAAGTTGGCAGACATCATAACTCACATCTGGCCGGGTTTGATTCGATGTCCAAAGCAATTGACCAACTATAGCTCTCAATGCATCCCTGTCTTTTTCATTCAACTCATTTTCATTTGAACTTGATGTAAAATTTTTAAGACTCTCAATATATGTTTCTTGATCTACTGTTATTGCTGTTTTATTTTGTTGAATATTAAGACCAAGATATTTAAAAGCCTCGTTTTTCTCACGACTAATCTGAAAAGTGGAACGCAAGCTTGTTATAAATGTATTTTCAAAATTCTGTGTTCCAGCCCAAATGATATCATCAACGTGAATTCCCATAATTCCATGCAAGTTTTATCACTGTTTAGGTGAAATAAAGCAGAATCTCCGCATGACATTTTTGCCCCATTATTCAATATAAAATCTTTGAGCTTTTTATACCATTTCAAAGATGCATCAGCCAGTCCATAAACACACTTATTTAGTTTCCAGAGTTTGTTGGAGCCAGCTTCTTTAGGGGGAACCAGGAATATTTCACGATCCAAATTTTCGCCTTGCAGAAAGGCAGTCTTTATGTCAATGGTATTCAATTTCCATTTTTTCTGAGCGACAATTGCCAACAGCAAGCGGAGGGAATCTTTAGAACATGTTGGCGATTCTTTTAAGACACTGTCATTGTTTTCCTCAAAGCCTCTTGCCACAAGTCGTGCTTTAGGTACAACACCATCTTCTGTAGATTTTAGAGAACAGACCCATCGTACTGAAATAGTTATTTGTCCAGTGTTGTCAACCTCTTCATAAACATTATTTTCTTTCCAACTTTTTAACTCTGATAATTTTGCGTCGTCAAAGTTAACATCTTTTGTAACCAGAACATTTTCTGTAGGTGCTTGGAGTTCTTCTTGTAAGTTTTCGACCTGCTCAAAAATCAACATATCCAGTATTTCCCTTAATGCTTTCTGGTGATCGATATTTCACATTGAAAGAATTTTTATATTTTCCAGTTGCTTTTCCAGCTCGATTTATAATTTCCACTTCATAATCCATACCATCATGCGAATATGTGACAATTTTACCTCTTGCTAAGTGACATGAAATATCACTGTCATCGTCCCTGTTTGTAACATTCGTATTTGAATCATCTCCACTGACGTCACTAACATCTGCTTGAGCAGTTTGTGATATTGGAGCCTTATTTTTGTCATTGGAATTATCAGGCAAAATAGTCATCTCGGTAGGTTCCGCCACATGTTGGACTCTGCAAGAATGCACTTTCACACATTGGCCTCCATGCCGAATAAAGATTAAAGGCCCATCTTGACCAATTACACGTCCAGGTCCTTTCCATTTCTGTTGTTCATCTCTTTTATAATACACATACTCTCCCTTTGTGAAGGCATCAACCGTCTCTCTCGTTGTTTTCGTAGTGCCCTTCGAATCTTTTCAGATGATTCCGACTCAATAAATGCTTTCCGAGCAATATGAAGAGCCAATATGTTTTTTGCCACATACATGCTTGTACTTGTTCCTTCTAGTGCTGGAAGATTTTCATGAATAACAGATGGTAGTCTGATGCTTCTACCGAAAACAAGTTGATTAGGGCTAAATCCTTTAGTATTGATAAGACTATTTTTAGCACTAAGTGCCCAAGCCAGAGCTGTTTCCCAATTACAATTATTTTCATCTCTCACCTTAAGAAGAATTTCAGAAAGAATTCTGTTATGACGCTCGCCCAGTCCATTGCTCCATGGAGAATATGCCGGAGTAGTAGAAATTTTGATGCCAAAATTCTCACACATATCATGAAATTCAGCAGATCAAATTCTCCACCATTATCTGAAAGTACTCTGTTTGGTGCTCCGAATATGCTAATCCAGTGTTGCATGAATTTTTCAACAATCGTGGAAGTCTTTTATTATGAATGACAACAGCGCTGCTGTAACGAGTAAATTCGTCTACAATATGGAGGTACCACACATTTTGTTCTAACTGATGGAGATCCAATGCTACAGTCTGATTGAAATCCGTAGCCCAAGATAAGCCAACCACAGGACGTGGACAAGGCCTTTTATATTTGGTGCATATTTCACATCTATCAACTGTTTCATCTATAATCTGACTATATTCAGGACGATATTTTCCAGTATTAGTTATCAATCTTTTCATATTTTCTTTCGATGCATGCCCAAATTGTTTGTGAATTTTCAATATATCATTTTTGCTGTAACTTTTTGAACCCGTTTTCTGATAATAAAATTTCAGTTTTGTGACCTTTTGAACGCCTTTTCCTAGGCAGTATTTTGACTGTGTAGTGGCCATTATTGGATAAATGGAGTGCAATTTCCTGTCCCAACATCATAGCCGTATCATTCTTCATATTCAGGTGAGTTTCTGCTCTCTTCAGAGATCTTTTACTCATCAGCAATGGAAGATGGGTGTCTATGATTTCCACTTCCAATTCCAGAATTTTACGGGCCAATTTGAATGGGAATTACTACTCTTTTAATAGCATTAACAGTGCGGCCATCTCCAAATTTAAAGGTTCGACTACTGGAAATATCTTGATGTTTTCGCGCATCTCAGGCTCCAAAAGTTCAATGTATTTCTCAAACCAGGTTTTTCCTGCCACAGTTTTTGTGCATGCGGTATCAACTATAGCATATTCAGCATTTTCTGAAATGAAGATTTCTTGACAGTTTTCATTGGTCATTAATGCCATTTGCACATTTTCACATTCTTCATCATCCGAGTCATCAGCACAGAAACTTCCCGATTTTGATGAGGGCATTTGCGAGCCCAGTGCATTTTTGAGTCGCAGATGGAACATCTTGATATATTGCCATTTCTGTCAATTGGATTCATGTTTTGATCAAAATCCTTTTTACTTTTCACCTGATAATCAGATTTCCTGGTAAACTTGTTACCGGTATTCCCAGTATATCTTCTTCTTGAAGTTACCGGTATCGGTAGTTCAGTTGAAGCTGCACCTTGTGACACAAATGCATCATTTGTTTGTGATAAAGACAACAAACTTCCTCCGGTGCTACCGTACAATTATGTTTTGAAAAAATTCTTTTTAATCCAGATTTCATTGACTCATATTTTAAATCACTGCCAACTGTCAATACAAGCTGTTTTTGTTCTTCAGTTAATAGTGCACCATCCATAATTCGGAATGCCAAAACTGCATCAGGCCAATTTCATATCAAACTTTACCAAATTAGAATTCAAATGCTCAAATTCTAATATATAATCAGCCATTGCTAGACCGGCTGGCCTAGTGTAGGAATTAAATGCAGTATATGCATCATAGGCTAAATCAGTCTTCTCTGATTTGAAAGCAAACATCCAATTTTTCAATAAGTAGCTTAGACCATCATCCACATTCAGTTCATCCGCAGTTAGATCAGAAACAGCCTTTTCAGCTTTAGAATTGCCATCTAAAGACAAAAGTCGCACCAAAATTCCTTGTTTTTCACCGGTATCTCAGTCACCGCTTTCCACATGTCAGTTTATTTACCCACTCCATGTAGGTCAAATCTTCACCAAACTTTGGTGGTTGAAGTTGTTTTGCAGTCATTTTCCTCTGCTACCAATGTTAATTCGACTATTATCATATAATACAACCTTATATTACACGATCAGAATAGATATATATTAGCTTGCACAGCACCCATGCTGCATTCATCCGAAGCAAGAAGCAGCAGATACAAAATCAATGAAGCGTAAAACAATAACAATGAAAGAAGTTAACAGGCAGTGTTGCCAGAAATAGACAAAACGAAATAGTACAAATATTACAATATCAACAATCCTGACTTATGTGTTTCTTATTTACAATAAAAAAAATTCTTGATGTTCATGAAATATTACTTTTACTTTTTTCAGGCATCTGGATTAACTCAGAAATGGGTGCAGCGAGAAATCAGTAACTTTGATTATTTAATGCAATTGAATACAATAGCTGGGAGAACATATAATGATCTGAGCCAGTATCCAGTGGTAAGAATGGTGTTTTCTTTTTATATGGGCTAGAAACCTACGATAGCCAAAATCGAATACTCTACTCCGAGATATATTCTAGAATTATATTATCATACATTGAATATACAGAGTGACCAATGAACAAACTCCCATCAATTTCCTAATGAATTCTATGACAACAAAGAAAATTTATTTGGCACTTGAACTTCTGATTGTGTATGACTGTATCCAAAATTTCAGTGTTTCAGGACACTTTGTACAAAATGGTATTTTTTCTTTCAAAATATGTTTCGAATGACTTGGATTAGGTTTTTTGTCGCACCCTCTATACACCGGTTTTTCAAAATTCGAAATGTCATAATCAGTGGACAAATTTTCTTAAATCTTTCGTAAATTTATAGAAGTTCAATTTGGTAGTGTAGAATTGACGAGATGGTCATTGTTTTGATGAATTTCTTTTTTTCCCCACAGTTCCAAAAGTTAAATGAAGTCTATTTTTCAATTGACCATCTGAGGTCAAATGCTCCAGAATGACGAAGTTTCAAATGGAACATTCTAAATTGTTTTAAAATTCAAGAAAATATTACATCAATTCAAACCAATTAAGAGTTGAGCTAACCCTTGTACATGCTTGGTACCCGCTCTTAGAGGTATCGCATGCTTCACAGGGTGGCAGATACTAGCTATCAAATTATTGAAGCTTGATAGTAAATTTTAATTTATTTAACTTCTAGTTTCCTTGGATAGTTGCTGACTACACTTCAGAGAAATTAGATTTGACGAATCCGGCTTCATTCAGGGATTTGTCCAAACCAGTCGGAGTTCAAAATCCTGACAATGAACAGGAAGGTATGGATAAGATTATATGTTAGTTATGTTACTGTGAAACCAACTACTTATCTCCTTCTTCTATGCTTTGCACAAGTGGATCTGTATGTGGTTTGGGAACCACTGCCCTAAAATCATAATTTTTAGATATTGAATATCATTGAAATCCAACAGATTCAGTCATCAGTTCTGTACATCAATATTGTTGTTTAATATATGTTACGAGCCTCGATGAATATTCTTCATTTATTCTGGAATTTGATCCAATGTTTTCTTCACTTCCAAGTTCATATTTTTTTTTTAAAAGAAGTCATACAGCCTAGTTATTGTTCAATATATGTTACGAGCCTTGATGAATATTCTTCATTTATTCTGAAATTTGATCCAATGTTTTCTTCACTTTCAAGTTCAATTTTTATTTTTTAAAAGAAGTCGCACAACTCCTCCGATTTGAAGGGGATTTTTTATCATAAAAAGTCGCGCAACCTATTTATCATTATAAAGATATTGGAAACTATCATAACCCATGTTACGTAGGGACCTATTTTTCAAAGAAGTCACACAACCTTGTATATTCACAGTACGAGACAAATTTGACAATTTTGAAGATCCGAGTGGAATGATAGAGAAGTTTCATTACGGCACTCATTATTCAAATTCCGCTGGTGTTCTTCATTACATGATTAGAATGGAACCATTCACGACGTTACATATACAGCTGCAGAGTGGAAGGTTTGTTTTATTGATTATATGCGTTAGAAATACCTAGCCACCACATCATGCTGCGCTGCAGAATTGTGTGTACCAATATGGAGGTAACTAATTTTGTTCGCCTACTTTATATCAAGTTGTGTTAAGGGACTGAAACTTATGGGCACGGGGTATACTCACTTGGTTAACACAGACAGTCCCTGAACTTGTAATACAACTAAAATGAGGAAAATTGGAATGAAATTATGGCCTAACCTAACCTGGTACACACACTACAGGAATACTCATTTGTGCATCATACCAGTTCAGTGAAATTGTGCTAAAACTCTATTTACTTAATTACAAGTGCTTTTTTATGAAAGAGAACTTTGACACTATTCTAATTTCAATTCTATGATTTATTTGGTATAATACAGATTTGATCTTGCCGATCGTCAGTTCCATTCCATTCCTACATCATGGCAAGCTATCATGGACAATCCTAACGATGTAAAAGAACTTATTCCAGAGTTTTTCTACCTTCCTGAATTCCTGGTCAACTTGAACAGTAAGTTGGTTCATTTTATTCTTTATCATTGTCATCACGCTTATTATTTTATGAATATATGGAAAAATTTTTTTAAATCCTGTTGCCCTGCTGAGTGGTGAGAGTGTTGTTTCTCTATTTTGACCTCGCAGCTTAAAGAACACATCTCTACCACGTCACTCTTGGTACAAAAAATCTGATAGCCAATGTTGAATCAAAGACCTTTTATTACCTTACATAAACAGACGCTCCTTCTCATCAGTTTTCTTCCTATTGAATGTGTATAAGACGTTCTAAGGTGTATGAAAACATTTTAAAAAGTCTGAAGTCTGAGTCTGAATGTTACCCCAAATTGGAAAGTGATTTTTATACTATTTTGTCCTAGGATTTTTGCTGCTAAATCCCACGTTTTATTGTAGTCAACATAGAGTGACTATAGGTTTAGCCAGAATGGACATTTTGCACTGAAAAGCAGAATCCCCCAAATAGTGCTTGTAATATTCTGGCAGCTTTTATCAAGACTCATTATCCATTTGAGAAAGTTTATTAAAGTTGTCAATTTACTTTTGCAGAATTTGATCTTGGAAAACATCAGATTACTAAAGATCTTGTGAACGATGTTATTTTGCCGGTTTGGGCAAAGACGCCGGAAGAATTTGTATTCAAGGTAACTAATTTTGCAGTGTTTGACCATCATTTTGGATGTTTTTGGGAGTTTTCAATATGAAAGAATGAAACGTACAAAAGTAATATATTTTGGGAGACACAACTTCTTAAAAAACAACCCAAATGTCATGAATGTGTGCTTACATGAATCAAATTTCGTTTAGAAACATTTCCATGATATCTGAATCAAAGTAAATTGTTCCGAAATTTGCATTAATATTTTCGACCTTTTTCGTTTTTTACATGCAATTAGTTTTTTTGAGAGCTTTAAAGTTTACTTGTCTCATTTCCCAAGTTATAAAAACACGTTTATCACGCCACTGACAGAACTTCAAATTTTAATAGTACGGGTATTCTGGGTTTTTTAATCAGATCTCTACCACACCAATAAAATATTTATTCGTTTTCTACTCACTTCGACTGTTTATTAACGATTATAAAACCTAGTTAACACTGCTAAAACTTGCAAAATGTTAATAGTACGGGTATTCGTGTATAAAACTAATATTCAGATCTCTACTACACCAATAAAATGTATCTGAAATGTCCGCTCGCTTCAACTGGTTATTATCAGTTATAAAACCTAGTTACACAATCTTATACAATTCCCTCTCTCTAAATAAACATCCTGAGTATGTTTCATTTTATCTTTTTTAGAATCGAAAAGCGCTTGAATCAGAATATGTTTGCCAGAATCTCCATCACTGGATAGATTTGATATTTGGTTACAAACAGAGAGGAGATGAAGCTGCTAAAGCATTGAATGTGTTTTATTATTGCACATATGAAGGTAAATTAGCATGTTAGTATTATACCTGTGGTGCCAATGCCAGCTTTACTTGCAGCTCTGGTAAGGCTCTCGATAACCTTGACGGTATCTCATCTATTCAACGCTCAACGGTGTGTAATTCATAACTAGTTAAGGTTTATATGGATGTAATGCTTGATAACAAATACAATTCATTTCATTATTAATGTGTGATGACCTGATCGTCAGGAGCTATCTAGTAGCTATCTCTTTCTAGTGGCATCCTTTGTCAATATTGACTGAAAATGTGAAATTGATCAATCCATTAGTTGCGCAGAAATACGAATTTTTCCTCAACAACAACAATAATTTATCAAAATGTACACGTTTGTAATAATTCGTTTGTAATATTTATTTATTCGAATTAAGATACATCAGTTTAACACAATCAAACTATAACAGTTTAACAGACACTGACTAAGATAGCGACAACCAAGAATCAAAAATTAACAGCTTTTTTATGTCTATCGACTTGTGGTGTGATTGGCCTAAACATGAATATGTCACACACACAGACTTACAAAGCAGCCAATCAAAATGTTGTCTACTTGACATGTTACGAAGTCACAACACACGACACACTTCATGTCTGATAATAACATTTAAATATAATAGAAAAGATCCCCAAAAACTCAAACTACAAAATTCATTTCAGGGGCTGTTGATCTTGATGCAATCACTGACCCAGTGCAGAGAAAAGCAGTCGAAGGAATGATTAATAACTTCGGTCAAACTCCGACGCAACTTCTACGGGAACCTCATCCAAGGAGAATGTCTCGAGTCGAAGCGGCAAGAAGGTTGCAGCGGAGGAAGATTGTCTCCTCTTACTGGAGATATGAGAACCCTCAGTGTGTTGGATCATCCTGATGAACTGAAAGCTTTCTTTGTGGAGGTTTGTGATTCGCGGTAGTGTCAATCCCAGAAAGATTTTCATTTTTTTCGTCATCCTGGAAGTCAACGAAATGACTTTATCACATAGCGAACCATGTCCTCCCACTAGTTTTGCAGTCCATGTCAGGTACAGGGATAGTTATCCAAAGATATGTTTGCATATGTATGGAAAGAGAAGCCAAAACCAACCATCAGTCCCATAATTATCCATCACAACATTAATCAAGTGTTCATGATTTTAAATAAAACAGCAAAATTTTGGGTGAAATGGTGGTTCCAGTGGGGATTAGGGAATTGAATTTGAATAGAAATTTGAAAGTAACAGCCATCTAGCAGTTTGCACCATCTTCATGTACTTGAAATCTAAAGCTGATTGTTGGTATTAGTTGTGTGAAAAAAGTTCATTTCAAAATCAATACATATGTTTGCCAAAACAATCTATGAAGCGGTATCAAATTCTTAAGGGTATTTTCACAACAGTACTTTGAAGTAATCTAAAAAAGCTTCTTTTATGTGACCTCAACCAAGAATTGCAAAATCAATCTTTTTTTTATCCAATATTTTACAGGTCATGCCAGAAAGCGATCCTCTTGTTTTTGTATCTGTTCCAAAATATCAAGCAAGATCATTTATACAAGCAGGGATGCCAGATGTGCTGGTTACAATCAGCAAACATGGGATTCTCGGAAGTCATGGATGGCTGCCATACGATAAAAGCATCACCAATTATTTCACTTTTGAGAAAGACCCGAGTATTACTAATCCAAAGTAAGTGCTTTTATGTGTTTTGGGGAGATGTGGCGAAATCTCAATAGCTGACATTCTAGGCTTGTACCCCACAAATATTTTGTTTTTAATAATGTATTAATTTGCAAATCGATGGCCTTGAACCTGATCTATTTCCAGTTCAAAGTCCACTACCTAACGTAGGATATGTAATCAATGGGTTAGGCCAGCGTTTCTCAAACTGTGTTCTGTGGAAGAGGGATCAAAATTATGTCTATAATATAGATCGCCATGGTGATCTTTTTAATTTTATCATAGGCTAGATTTTTTAAAAACTGCACAACTATTTCATCTTCTAATTTTTGGAGTTGCGTGAGGTGAGATGAAAAGCGAAGTTGTTCGGGCAAAACTAGTTTGGCAAATGTTGGGTTAAGCAATTGGAAGGGTGAGAATCTTTGCGGTTCAGTCCGGCATTACCTCACCAATGTATTACACCATGAGTGAGGTTATGTATATTGGATTTAAACCCGGATTGTATAACGTACAATGTTATCATAGTTAAGTGTAATGGCTCAACGACTTGTCAACGTCTCCACTCCCTTCGATTCATCAAATGCCACTTCATGTCCAAGTTTTTCCTAAAACCTCAGTTATGGATTTCACTACTTAATAGCTGTTTTCCTAATCGTTGTTACACAGCTTTGATTGTCGCTTCAATCAATACTTATTAAACCACAATCCCACACTGAGAGCAAATAACTATTGGCACTTTAATAGTGGCTCGTAACTTCATCCATAGATTGTTATTCTTCATTTCTGAGTGCAATACTCAATTCTCAATTCTCAATGCAATATGTGTACCTTATTTTAAATTTGTATTTTGAACTAAATCATTATATATCTCTCTCTAGACTTCAGCGCAAAATCCAAGGCCTCCCGATACCTGGAATCACTTTATCTGCTCGGTTATTTGTGATTACCCACGATGCAAAGTTACTGTTTGTTGGAGGACATTGGGACAACAGTGTGAGAGCTGTTACTTTAGGAAGATCTAGGAATATAACACACTTGGTCAGACATTTCGGTGAGTGAATATGTTTGTTGTGGGCTTTTATATTTAGATAATAGACGATTTCTGTGGGGAAATTTTTATTTGTTCAAATTTCATCTACTCTTCAAAACCTATTCCTAAATTTGTAAGACTGATTTAAATACTCATATGATTTAGTGCATTCAATACACATGATAAAAGTTCAATACATAGAATACACAAATCTCTACAGTACACTACAGTATTGTGTAAGTACTGTGTACTGTGCAAACTCTTGCCTCAAAGCGTGAAAGCTGAAATTTGAGTTTTTATCATTGTTTTGGTATTTAGACATTGTAACCTGCCTGGCACTTGACAACTGTGGATCTCACTTGATATCTGGATCAGCCGATACAACCTGTGTCATATGGCAGGTATGGGTTATATCATTTTATTTGGGAATGCTTCTAAAGATTTATAATTGGATTTTTGTGATGGGAAGTGTTAGGAACGTGATTCCCATGGGGTATGAGTCTTGGACCTCCAGAAGAATGCGCACCAAGATGGCATGACCTGAACATAGTATGTGTGTACTGGTTAGGATTAAGGCTGTGCGACATTTTGGTGCGCATACTTCTGCAGCACCTATGAGTATTTCATAGTTTTTCATAATTGTTATAAGGAACTACATATCAATCCACCCCTGTTTTAATACCATATCTGTGCGGGATGTACAAATTGAATCAAATATGCATGAAAATGCAAAGAATGTTTAACATGCAAAGTAAATTTCTAATCCAACTTTATATTCTAGATTATACAACACAACGGAGTATCAACTGGAGTTTCACAACGACCATTACAAGTATTATATGGGCACGAGGATGAAGTGATGTGTGTGGCGATCAATACTGAACTAGACATGGCGGTTTCTTCTTCAAAGGTATGTGGATAAGGTCAGGGTTTTCTAAAATGTGGTCAACAGACCCCTAGGGGTCCCTGATGACTGCACAGGGGTCTGTGACAATATGAAAAGAAATACAGGTGGAGACTTGCCGTTCGGTCTGTTTTGCCTTGTTGCAAATTGCTAAAAGTATTGATAAATTTTGCAGTGAAAAGCATCCACATCCATCGCATAATATAGTTTGTGTTGTTGTATTGTAAATGGAACATCTTTCCACGTTGGTTAGGTACAGAAATTGATACCGCATAGAATAGGGGTCCTTGAAAAATAATATTCACAGATAAGGGTCCATGGCATAAAAAGTTTAGGAAACCTTGCATTAGATTACGATAGATGCAAAATATTTTTGTTATTTTACAAAAAACGCTTGTCCTGATTGTGTGAATCTCACTTTCTATATAAGTACTCTAAATTTCCTGCTTATGTTAACCTACTTCGACCATTTGTCTTACAGTATAGATAGATATTAATTTATTTTCTGAATATTTCATTGCATAAGAGTACATATCGCTGTGAGAATAAACAAACAATAATCATGAAATATATCGAAAGGGGGCCAGCATTACTTCAAGGTCAACAAGGTCGACTGACCTTTATATATGCCGGTATCTATCTTGACTCAGAACGGCAGAGCAAGTGTGAGATGAGTTTTTGAGACATTTTTGATGTCCCACTGTTGCAGGGTAATTCATGCCTCTGAAACAATAGGCGGTTTTTAATATACCCATACCTGATCTGGATTGTGAACCGATTGGAACTACGAGTGCATGGCATTAGGAATACCTAGGAATACCATGCAGGGTTAAATTATGTGCGAAAGGATTGCTGGACTCCTCGCAGTCGCATGGGGGGGGGGGGGACACGTAACTACTGGTCGGTTACGGCTTCCTCTACCATTAAGTTCGTGCATCTGAAAAACAAATAACTGGCCAACTTATTTCATACTCGAATTGGACTGAAAAGTCTGTCCTATGATTCAGTATATGATTAGGCCATTTTTTGGGGGTTTTCCTTTCTTTCAGAATAAAACTTATATCATATTCAATAATTGAGTTAGTCACTAGAAACTAAATGCGGATTTAATTTGTTTCAGGATGGTACTTGCATTATCCACACAGTAAGGAAAGGCAACTATGTTCGTACTATTCAACCTATGAGCAACTGTTCAGATCCTTTAGTTGTTCCGTACATCGCATTGTCTGAGGAAGGACACATTGCTTTATATGCTCACACAAAGAAAGATGCTAAAGAGGTAATGTGTAGGTCTTCAAATGAAGGATTTAGAACAGAGATTCTTAAAATGGCAATACCGCTCTCATACGGTGCAAAACAAATACAACAGGGGCAAAAAACGCAGAGGGCACATTCTCGAGAGGTCAAAATTATTGCAAACTTTGTTTTGCTTATGGATTGCATCTGACCAAAATGTGTCAAAATATTAAGAAATTTTGTTGAAGATCACCAAACTTGTCCACTTCATTAGTAACAATTCGTGCTAATTGATATTCTGTGTCACAATCTAGTTAGCCCTCAACTTCACTATGCATGAGCTTTACTGATATACTTTCACTAATTCACTAAAACAAAAATATTTTAAAACCATTTTCAGGAGAAATTATATTTACACTTGTACTCGATCAATGGGAAACACCTTGCTGTAGATTGTTTGGAGTCAAAGTTGAATCATATGACAATAACAGGGGAATTCTTGATATCGGGAGACGTCAAAGGATCTCTGGTGATAAGGGAATTGTTCAGGTATGCATCTGATGATATTCATTGCCTGAAATGTGATTTGAAATTGTTCAACTCAATGAATGTTTATTTTTTGAGTTCTGGTAACAAAGTTATGTTATGTTTGTAATTTGTGGAAAATTTGTTATTTTTGTGAAGAAATTATAAGAGATATGCATAATCTTAACTTAATTTTTCAAAATGTTTTTCTGACATAATACATTTTATAAAAATTTTAAAAATTTACTACGATGTCATAATACATTTTCTGAGATCCGACAAAACGTCATATGATGAAATCACATCATTTCAATTTCAGATGGCCCTTCCACATTAACTTTCACTTCACTTATGGTTAATATATTCCAGCCTTTTCAATTACATACCAGTTAGCTGCATAAAATTGGCTACTACTTGTCAAGAGCTTTTTCTGAGTAGGACAAAGTTTTTAATGTTGTGTATGATTTAAAAAAATAAAAAAGGTCATTTACCACCTTTCAGTGGCGCAAAGATATTCTATACAAAGCTACGACACACTATTTTATACATAAGTGTAACATCAGGCCGCATATTGGTCTGTATTGGAGATGGGAAACTTCTTGTACTATAGATCACCAGTAAGTAGGGTGAAGCACGAAAATTGTGTAACATTTTGGCGAGATAGTGAGAACCAGAACAGCCGTTTTTGTCTTTCTTTTTTTATCTAAATTTAAATGAGTATTACTTTAATTAAGTTTTTTATTGAAGAACGCAAGGTGTTCATCAAGTTCTAAATTTTTTTTAAATTGCAAAGGGAATTTATGGATACCATAAAAGTTTGTTGGCCCCTAAATTAGGTAAAAAAATTCAATAATTAATGATAAAAAAATAAAACAAACATGATTAAGCTAATATGCTAAGAACTGACTCTGTAATAAAATTGAAATTGTTACAAGACTTCATGAAAACCTGTATTGTATATCAAATATAGTATAATAATTTCATTCAGTTGGCCAATTTTCGACTATCCGCCTTATCCTATCAAAGTTTTTTGTCCTTATTGATCAATTTTACTACTTTTATTCAAATGGTTTCCTTCTTGTATTATGCATTTGCTCCTGAAATATTTATATTCAATTTCACTTTTGATGTTTAAATAATCTTCTCATGTTTGTGGCTGTTTTGGTTCTAACTATGCTGAGCATGAACATAACTGGACAGTGGTGATTAAAATAAAAATTAGGGAATGTGCATTTAACACCCTACACACCAGGGGTGTGCAATGGGTGACCCGCGGGCCACAACTTGGCCTGTCAACCCAAGTAGTGTGGCCCTTGTCAACAACAACAACAAAGATTTTTCCCTATCAAGCATAAAATCCTGATCCGAAAGTTTATTTTTTAACTGACGCTCACATGGGTAAAATACATAATATCATTTTACTTTTGTCGCTGCGTTAAATCTTTTACTGTTTTGCCCAATACTTTCATTAGTGTAAGGCTAAGCGATAGCCTATTCATTGGGAAAATTTTGAATTTGTTGTGTACATGGAAAAACTAATTTTTTTTGTAGTCATTCTAGATATCTGAAGTTGGTTGTATGACCAGCTGACAAAAAATGTTGCACACCCCTTTGTTACACACTTGACTTTGTAATAGCAGACATATAAAGCTAATTTAAAGACTGATGCTCTAATACAGTGCTTTTCAACTGGGGTTTCGCCAAACACTTATTGGGGTTCCGAGAGTTTTGGGGAGCTCTGTAGGACTGATGATAATTTCTCTTTGGTTGAACTGTGTCATTTGCGTGTCAATTTCCCAATATCTTTTCTGTTAAAAAGTATTTTCCGTTTTAACAACTGCTAAGTATAAAAACAGAAGTCGCTTGAATTAAGCCTATATGTGCATGAATATTTCATTAAGTAACTTGGAGCCACTTTTATAAGTTTGTGAAAGGAACGAACAGCAGAAAGGTCATTAACTTTCTCGTATGAGAGAAATATTTTATTTATTAAAACCTTTATATATATTCTATTAATGCTACTGAAAAAGAACAGTCCAAGCCAAAACTGATGAGACTCACAGATCATATTAGCCTTTTAATGCCGATGGTCCTATTGATTTTACGCATGTTTGTTATCATTGTGCCATTACTTATTATTACTTAGTATTTATAACTGGTTTTCATGCTTGTATGAGGGTGCTGTTTTTTGGTGTTTTATTATTGTTTGTACCAAGCTCGCAGAAGGAGATATAAATGTGTATTCAAATTCCGAAAAAACTTTTCAATAGCAACCTCTTTTCAAATTTTTTATGTCACTTTATAAGTATTAACATCTTGGTGTTTCTTATGGTATTATTCGGTGAAATAAAACGGCGCTTTAAAAGTATGTGCACCAAGATGGCACACAACCTGATAATCCTAACCTGGTACACATACTATGTTTAGGTTGTGCGCCATCTTGGTGCACATACTTCGGGAGCACAATTAAAACCATAGTGGTGCTATTACGCTGTTTTCTTGAATAGTGTCTTTTGACGGAATTACCTCCTTATTGGTACACATACTTCTGGAGCGTCGTTGATTCTGTGGTATAGGCCAAGTATTTTGAGCAAGGCTATGTAAATTTATCCAATTCCTTGCCACTAATTACACATCACATTATATTTGAGGGAATCTTTGCAAGATGGCTCTTGTAGTGATAAATGTTTTCAAACCGGGCCTAGGCTATTGCACGCAACCTTTACATTTTTAGTGGCTTAGTTCAATGGGGATCATATATATATATATATAATATAACCCCATTTTTACTGTTGTCTACTACTACTCCGACTTGGCAGTTTTGTTTTTAAAACTTTCAAATTTTCACAAAATTCATCCAAATTATTTATTCTCCAAAAAGTATATATACCCCGGCTACCCTTGTATTACACAAGGCCTTATAATAGTCATTAGTTTACATTTTTTGCATTATAAGTCTCTTCAATGAAATTTACAGGGTGTCCATAAAGTCCCTTTAAATCTCAAATATGATATGATATATCTCAACTAGATTTTTAGTATTTTTACTTCATTTAATACATCTGTGAGGGCCAAAACAATATATGGTATCGATAAATTCCCTTTGCAATTTTATGGACACCATATGTGGGTTTGAGTTGATATGATCATGATTCGATATAGTATATACATGATTTATGGATAAGATTTTCATATTTATCCCAGCAGAGAAAAGCCGATAAGAAGGTTTATTTACACTCAGTTGCCAGTCCAGGTCCGGTATGGGAATAATAGACTAGTTACTAGTGTCAGATGCATGAACTTATGTATTCAATCTTTCACAGTCTGAAACAGTGGTTCCCAAACTTTTATGACTTTGGCCTTCCATAGGCTTTTGACACTTGTGGCCAACTCATGACATTACAGTAGTATTTATAGTGTTATTTTTATTGGTTCCGAATCCCATTAAGTTCAAACAATTCATGCTCAACAAAGTGAAATCAATGGGGAGAACGTGGAGTTTTCTCGTGAAGACAAAAGTAGAATCGGTTTTGCGCCCAGCATTGCAATGCTGTGCCCGCTCTGGGAGCCCCCCCCCTTCGATTGGGAACCGCTGGTTTAAAATATTATTCAAAAATTGATTTGAAATAGCAGGCCTATAAAATGAGAAGTAATTACCATTATGTTTCAATGTTTTTAATTTTTTTAACAGCTTGGAACCCGTATCACACCTAACATTATGCCAGAGTATATACTGTGTATCGGTAGCAAAGAATGGTTCTCATATCTTAGTGACATTACGAGATGGAAAACTAATCATTGTGGGAGTTGGCAGACCAGCAGAAGCAAGACCTTTGTTTTCTTAACTCATGTTTATTTGATTTACATCTGAAACATTGCTGGGAATTATAAATTGTAACAATTTATGTCCTGAAATTTTTTATTTCCTATTCATTTTTTATTCCCCATGACAGTGGTTCTCAAACTTTTTGCCACGCCCTCTTTTTAGAATTTGTCAAGCCTTGCGCCCCATTTCAAAAATAACTAGCTAAAAATGAGCTACAAATAACAGATAGTAAGACAGAAGTATGTTTTATTCATAAAACATGTTAAAAATATGTGGATGGAATCGAAAAATTTAAAATAAAGAAATGTGAATATCCAAAATAAGGCGAGCAAGATCAAATCTTACAAATATTTTTATTTTCAATTAGCTTCATGTCCCCTCAAAAAATTGTCTATGTCTCCTTGTTAAGCGCGCCCCAGAGTTTGAGAACCACTGCTCTAAGACCTTCAATTATTTAATATTGGCTTCTTCTGAACTGTTTCTGTGATCAAGATCACTCGAATTGTCAAAGGGTATCTGTTGATACCTCTTTTATTCAAGGATAAATTTCTGACCGTGATATTTGGGGCTTAGTCTCTTCTTAAATATTTGATTCAATATAATTTTAGTTCTTGTACATTAGCGGTCGAGCTTCACTCAAAGAGTGTGTTTTCGGCTCTTGGTGTCAGTTTTCAGAAAATTCAGATTTTTTCACTAGTAGAAACTTGGCTATGAGCATCACTAAGAACATAGCAGTGAAGCATATACTCAAATAATGACATACCGTAATAGGCTATCAATTCTTCTGCTTAGAATATGTTTTTCAGTTTACATTCCAAGGCTCTTATTGCTTCAATAGTATGCTGTTTATTTATTGTTTATTATCACATGAATGTTTATCATTTCAGTGGTATTTATAGTGTTATTATGATTGGTAGATTCCAAATCCCTTCATGTTCAAACAATTCATGCTCAACAAGGGAAAAGTGAAATCAAGTTTTGTGTCCAGCATTGCGGGGAACTGCTGGCATAAACCATAACTATATATCGTTTCAGTATCTCTTTGCTTATATGTCAGTGTTCACTTGTTACTTTGCTCACATATGAAACACCTTTATTTCTGAGTGAGTACATGACTTCATATTTCTCAAGTTCCCTCATAGAAATACTGAACTAAAAATACGATTTGCAGAAGATCTGTGATTTAACTAAAGAGATGCTAAATCTCTAAAACAGTGGTTCGCAATCTTTTTTTCAAGCGACCCAAATTTATTAACAAGTGTATTTTTTAAATTCTTGTGACCCAAAGATCTGCACATATACTATTGAGCATCACTTTAATACAAATATAAAATGGACAATAAAATTTACCAGAAAATAAAATTAGAAACTTGAGTTTCTGTTGACCCAGGTAACCCAGTTTTGCGTCGGGACCCGTAGGCTGAGAAACACTGCTTTAATAAAGCATTTATGTTTTCAAATAAATTGCTTCTCGTATTCTCTAAATAAAATCTCATACTAATATACACTGCACAGAAATTCTTGTTTGTCTTGTTTATTTTTTCAAATATGAACAATCTTTGAATTCAGATGCGGTACAATTATCTACTTATCTAATTCTTTTGCAATGCTTTTTTGTGATGACTACTATATATAATATATCTTACTCTTTTAAGATCAACTAACTGAACTTTCCATCTTTTTTGTGTATTGGGCTCATGTAATTAGTTCTTTGTATTCATTTTATATTGTTAACAGACCAAACATGTTACCTTGATTGGCTCACCACTCAATGAAATGATTATTTAGTAATGGTCTACCTAAAATATTTCTATTGTGGGTACTAAAAGGTAATTGAATGAAAAAAAAGGAACAGTAGGGAAATAATTTAATCCTTATCTGCTATGAGCCTTCTGTAGAGATGCTATTGAACAGTTACAGGGACTTCATCGAGTAATAAATAGAAAATGTGTTGCATATGGAAAAGTAGGCTTGAAACTCTGGAAAAAGCTTCTTTTTTTTCCTAACAGTTCTGTACTTGCTGTGAATATTTCAAACACGAGCTGTCTTCATAATATATTTCGAGCATTTTAAAGGTTGAAAATTCACATCTAAGAAGGGTCCTCTCTTATTATTGTTCTTGGTTTGTTTCTGGTAGTTCATATGCACTTAATGTAAAGCAATTCACAAAGGTTGAAAAACAAATTAATTTTTTTTTATAATAGAAAAAGATTTATCATATGTTTAATAATTTCATTTGTCTGATTCTATCTAAATAATATAATGATTTACATGTGTTTTTTTGTGATATTGAAATCTAAATATTCTAATTGTCATTTCTATAATATAATCACAATATATTGTCTTCCTTACTAAGATATTTGAATGTTCCGAATTGTTGAACATAAAGTGATTGGGTACTCCCGTATTATGTGTACCAGGTTAGGTCATAATTTTGTTCTAATTTTCTTTATTTTAGTTTTTTTACTTGTTCGTGACTGTCTGTTTTAGCCAAGTGAATATTCCCTCTGCCCATAGGCTTCAGTCCCTTTAGACAACTTGATGTAAAGTCGGCGAACAAAATTAGTTACCTCCATATTGGTACACATACTTTTTGAGCGCCAGTGATTGTCGTCAGGCTAAGTCTAGCGTCAATTGGTATTAAGTAAAGCAAAATGCACATATAATTCTATATAGTTTTAGAATCTATTTCATTTGAGTAAATATTGTAACTTTTGCTCAAGGGTGAGTCTCATTTACATCTGATTAAGTGCACATGTTTCTGCTCTGAGCAAATTATCTCAAAAAAAAAATCATGGAATCGAGTCCATGCATCTGAAAACAAAATATTTGGCTAACTAACCCCTTACCCGACATGGACTTGTAACCGGACGAGATGCCGTGGTTTGTCATAGGATCATGCTGGCCTAACACTTCATGCCACACCCTCAAGACATAGCATCAATTTGATTGGTCAGAACTAAGTTACTTGAAATAATATTTCTCTCCAATCGTTGTGTGGTATTGTTACATGCTCCAGTGATGCCACGCCTCTTTAATGAGCATCAATTTGATTGGTTGAAATTTAGTGGCTTGAAATAATTCTCTCCAATCTTTGTATAATTTATTAGGTCCATTTCCTTTCTGTATTATGGAAACATTATTTCTCGCTTGTACAATCTTTTATATCTATCTAATTTTAAGAAATATTTCTTGTATATACAGATATGTAATAGTAATAATAGAAATATGTATTCATGTATATAAACTATATTTTAGATTCCTATGCATTTCTTTTTCCATGAAACATTGAGTCAAAAATCGTCGCTTGAAGGCTGAAACCGTTTACTGCATTGTGAAATCGTAATTGTGATGTAACAATCTCCCTGACTCTTTTGATTATGATGTAGTTTGTCATTAGATGATGTAATAATAATGTTAATTTTTCAGCGACAATGTAATATTTACAAATATTGAAAATACAGTTTCGGTATTAGTGAAATTGCTTTTTGTTGTTTGAATATGAGTAATGGTGGGGATAACCCAGCTGCCATTAACAGGTATTTTTGAAACGGAGATGTCTCCTTCCATAAGGAGGGATTTTGCCATTGGGTAGGAGGGCATGGAATTTCTAATTGGCCAGTTGGAAAGCATCAGGTGCGGCCGAAAACGTGGTTTATCAAGATGGCCTAAAAAGCGTTTCAAGCAGAAAAATGTCCCTTTTTACATTTCAATAGAGAGGTTCCGACCTTCAACCCTCGCCTTCATTGGTTAAGCCCATGGCTTCGCTTTCTGCGGATTCTGTCGGAACAACCAGCGAACAAAGTCAAATAAGAATCCACGATGTGTTTGCAAGACTAGGAATACAACGTTGAGCTTACATATGCGACAAATTGATGACTTCAAAAACTTGCTGATCAATGGCAGTTTTAACGTCGGCTTCTTGGACTTTGGTCTCAATGGAAAGTATGTGATGCTGCAGTAAGCAATTTAATTTCTGATACCACTCATTGGGCGAGTCCTCTGAGGGGTGCAAAGCTATTGTGTACTGTTGGTGATGCAAAGATTAAACAGTCGAATATCATGCGAGCGAAGGGCCATTCTTCGTGTCAAAATAATCAATCTGGAATAATATTCAGCAAATATTTATGATTATCCATCAAGAGCACAAAGCCGGCAGTATGGTAGCGAAAATTAGCTGCCTTAACATTATACTTCGAGTTATCAGTTCATGTCGTGTATGGTATTAGTTACATTTCAGATTCATGGATTTTGAACAACTCATTGAAAAAGGACATTCAACTCGACGACAGAGTTTATAAATACAGCAAAAATGCCTACAAAATCATTTAAAGGGCAGGTCGCAGTAAAGTAATCCCTTGGTCGGTTCTTACAAAATATTACTTCTTTATGTACTGCATGTTAGGCGAGCGGAGGTCTGTAACAACTTATTCGTAAGGGAATTCCAATCGACGGCATAATTCATAAATACAGCGAAATGCGTATGAAATGCACTCAATTTTACTAATCGTACTGTTTCCTGTCCGAGTGTTTATGCATAGCCCCTATGTTAGTATTTTCCATATAGGCGTTATTCATTCATTTTGAATTGGCAATTCAGCCTCAATAAACTTAGTCATTTCCACGTATTCAGTGCGATGTGCAAGTGTTTATTACTAATTCGAGTTTTTCTGCCGCAATTGACACTTCCTCAAATGCCTGTTAAATTTCGAAAACTTAGTGGGGTTACGCAGGTGATGTCATTCTATGAATCATGTTATACCAGGAGTGTGCAGGCCAAATGCGACCTTCAAGAAAAAGTTATAAGGCCCGCGTAGAAGTGCCAATTTTGAATAGTGTGCGCCCCACGAATCGGTTTTTCAATTCAATTTGGTACGCGCGATTAATTTCAATTCGTTTCCGTTTCGAAGCTAATGCCTGAACCCAATTTATTCATGTCTATGACTCAACAATGCCTTAACAGCTAGCTTGTTCGAACAACGCATGTCATAAGATCAATAACCAAGATTTTTGTGCCTGCAACTACTAGTAAGCCTATGTTAAATGAAGGACGACCCGCGGTTTCACGCACTTGTTTTTATTCGTCCATCCTTTATTAAAGTATGAACACCCCTGTCTTATACCAACTACAACAGTTGTTTTCAACCCGGTGTTCCGCGGAACCCTAGTTTCCGCCAGTACAGTCGAAAGTTTCCGCAAGTTCACATTCTAATCCGAGAGTTTATATTATTATATGTATATTATTTAAATATAAACAAATTCACGGGTATAATATAATCATATAATGATGGTGTTCTACTAGTGTTCCGTGAAAGACTTTCAGGTGTTCGCGTCAAATTGTTGTTCCACAATGTTTTGATTGCCATATTCTTTTGATTACAATTGCCATGTTTCCCCCAAAATAAGTCATGGTCTTATTTCAATTTAAAAAAAAAAATAACACTAGGGGTCTTTTATTTTCATTTACAAAAACAAATTTCGCGCTATCGACTAGGTCTTGTTTCAAGGGAAGGCTCAATGGAATCATTTTTAAAACTCAGGCTAGGTCTTATTTTCGGGGAAACACGGTATATACACATAATTGCATAAGCTTCTGAATGATTTACTGGAAAATCATTAATTCAAACACAAAAGTTGAAAACAACTAAAATACGATATTGAAATCCTTAAGAACATTAGTTTAGGCTTAATTTATTAAATTTCGTAATCACTGAAAATCAACAATCTGCTAAAACACAATTTCGCTTGAACGGTTACGTTAATACGAACATTAGCTAGTTTTTGTAGTATTCAGTGTTGTTTTTAGTGGACAGGAAGTGCCCTATGGATCGTTTTGCTATTATGTTGTTATTTTTATTGCTCTTGTTGGTATTTTTCTTGTTGTTGTTATGAAACAAATCGCCTTTCTCATTCACCAATGGACTAATTGCTTTAAAATGTTTAGTGGTTAATAATTGTATTTTTCGCCGGGAGTATTATATTTATTCGTTTCTGAAATTTTCAGGAATCATAGGAGATCTGATTGTTTTTTTTAAATTAATTTGAATTAAAGGCTTTTAAGTTGTTGCGGGCACAAAAATTTTCGCTGTCCGATTTGCACACGCTGGATTTGCCGCGTACCATATATAATTGGCACTACTTCGCGGGGGCACAATTTTTACTTGTGGCGCTTTTGGCTCGCGGGACGCATGTTGCACATCCCTGAATTGAAGTAATACGATGATTAGGCTATGTTTTCAAGTCAAGCAGATTTGCAAACATAATAGTGAGTAAATAGGTTAAGATTTGTGTAATTGACCTGCAATCGGGAGAGCTATACAAAAACAGTTCGCGAACGAAAAGGTCATTCAGGTGGATTTACGCATTCGAAACTTTGCATGAAACGCAGCGGAAGGACTTCTCTCAATTGGGAAGAAATTCCCGTTTTTTAAACGCAAGTAGTAACTGGTATGAGCCATTGAATGACAGCGTCTTTGCGCGATCGGTATATGCTAGCGAAAGTGTGATTGCTCGTTGAAACAGAAGCGGATGGATCTTCAAAATGGATATTGTCGTAGCATAGTTACTCTGTTTCATCGGCGAATGCTAAGGAATAAATGGATAACTTACTTTGTGAAAATGTAATGTTTTGGTGCACGATACATGTGATATTTGAAAGTGATAGAAAGTTTATACCTTTAGCTCAACGATTAAAGCAATGAAAGGTCTGGAAGAAATGCCTACATTTTGAAAATCGATTATTCGTTACAGGATGGATTCCTTTATAATTCGTGTACCAGAATGCTTGCGATATAATAATCTTTTGTTCAAACCTCCACTAACGTTAAAAATGAGAAAAATAGTAATTATACAGTTAGAGTTGTACGGTACGTTTGAGTGGTATTCAATTTAAGGTAAAATAAAAATTGACATTTCTTTTTACAAAAAATATAATATTTGAAAGCTCGTAGTGTGGTAATTAGCCGGGGGCGAATGCTGATCTGATCTGATAGGATATTAACATAACTTATGACGAGCGTTGGTCTGATGTTCAATTTCGAGAGGAAAGTAAAATGGTTATTTTAGACTAAAGTAATAGAAAGTAGCGCTCATATACGGTGTCTATGAAGTCTTGAAAAAATATGAAATTGCGTAGGGGTATTGTCGATACCATATATTGTTTTGGCCCTCACATGTGTATAAATTTAATTAAAAATACTTACTGATTACGAATAATTACTGATTAAAAACAACAAACCTGGTTAAGATATATTATAAGATATATTAAGAGAACTGACTACATAACAAAATTGAAATTGTAAAGGACTTTATGAAAAAATATATATATAGGTAAAATATACTGACCAATTCATAACGAAGTTATAATTACGTTTTTTAGCGAAAACTATGTTTCTTTGTTGAGATACAACATGGTAAAAATTTATCTAACTAATAACCAATAGAATACAGAAGAAGCTTGAAAACAGCAGATACTCAATAGGATCGGATGTCTTTATTTTTAACTTATTTGCTTTGATAACATGTTCTAAATTATTAATCAGAAACGGAACTTTAGAAAACTTGCTATGTCGTTAGGCGGTCGGCTTTAATTGAGCATTCTTTGAGATATTGTTTCAATGAGCATTATGGTTCAGAATAACTTCAATTTCATGGCGTGTTTCATGTTTTAGCTGTTGTGTAAAGTGATGCCAATTATAACGCCCAACGTTATTCGAATGAAAGATTTCTATTGAAAATCTTAAAATATAGGCTACTTCATTTAATCAGCTGCGATTTTATCAACTTGTTTATCAGATGTGATGATAATTTGAATAATAATAAGAGTTTATATCTTATATATACGTCCTATCGCAAACGCATGAAGTTGGAAGTGGCCCTGCCCATGCAGTGAACGCAATAAAACGCTGTAGCATCGTCAGAAACTACCCCAAGTATAATTAGCATCGATTTGAAAACGTTGAGTCAAACTTCAGAAATTCTTGTATGATTAACCCCATAACTTATTTGACAGTCAGAAAACTTGCGAATAATTTAGAAACAATCCTAATTCACATGCACTTTTTATTCAGCAATATAGACTGATAAGTTTTGAAAAATTATTTACTTGCTCAAGTATCAAGTTCCGTAAATTCCCTTATGCTATATTTTGACGCCTTCACTTCAAACAAGGTTTTTTTAAAACAGCCTGTGTTTTTCAAAGAGTTGCTATTAAATCAACTTTATATTTTGAAACAGTTTTAGTGTTGAACAGAAATAAATAAAGATGGTGCGTCTAACAAGGACGGACGCTGTCACTGTTCGTTGTTTCACTTGTGCTGGTATCTGCGGGTGAGTCAAATTGTTTTATATCTTTTTCATGAATGGCCAATGAAGTACTTAATATATAAAAAATTAATAAAAACTTGTTATGAATAAGAGTCTGAACAAGCAACAATATAGAAATACCTCGTGTTCATATATAAATATATCGTGTTTTTGAAAGAATTTTCTCCGAGGCGACTAATCCTGTTTATTGCATCCTGGATGACGTTATCGGCACGAGGGCAAACTCACGCATCATATTCAATGGGCCATCAAAAATCATTTATGTGGCAAACTGTTTGTAACACCTAACACAATTAATTAGCTTGTCTTTAGACAAAAATCGCTGAAACGTAAAGAGCTCCGACGTTTCTGAAAGGGCTGGGATGCTTTCCAGTGGCGTATCTACGTAAAATTGCGCTCATGGTAAGATTTAAAGGTGCGCCCCTTGGCCAATTTCTGACAATTTATAACGGCTGTTGTTGAAATTATATATTTGTACGTTATTACAACGGAAAACACCCTCGCCACGTTAAAATAACGAATTAGTCATTATCTAGTTGAGATTAGGGTGAGAGATAGAAAAGATTTGAAAATTTGAATTTCCAGCGCAATTTGCATTCCTAACTCAAACTGGAAAGCCACAAACAATTGTGTTACTTAGGCGAGGGCTCCCTACAAACATTCCCGCCACGTTTTAAAATACCAAATTAGTACGATCACTATTTAGTTTGGGTTATGAATGATTTAAAAAATAAATTCTCATTGCACTTTGCATTCCCAACCCTCAATAGATAAACTACTAATATTTTTATTCTGTGCGGTGGCGGGGGTGTTGTTTTCAGGGGGATTTTGACAAAAAATTCTAATTTTTTTATTCAAAAATTTAGATGCGTTGGGAGACATAGGAGGTTATCGACGACACGAGAACCAGCGCCCTGTATCACGCATGAAACCTAAAAGACGTATGAGTGGGGTTGACAGCGTTGAGGCTTGTGCCCAAGTATGCCAAAGATTGAGCTCCATAAAATGCACGTAAGTAAGCCCAAATGGTTCTAGACAAATTCGCCGCAATAAATTTTGCCGCAGGAAATTTCGCGGCGGGAAATCTCGCCGCATAAAATTCTGCCTCATGAAAAATCGCTTCAAGTGCATTTTGCTTTAAACAAGTATTTATGATAAAACAGTTTTTAAACAACGGTTTTTGAAGTATCTTTTTATTTAAAAAAGATTCGTTATTTAAGAGCAACTAACCTAACCTTATGCGCGAAATTCTCTGCGCGAGATTTTCTACGGCGAAATATCCTACGGCGAATTTTCCGGACACGGGGCCAAATCATGTCGTCCTCTTGCGCTTTCGTTTTCCGGCATTGCCGATTCAAATTCCGTGAGTTTTAACTATGTGGGAGGGGATTTCTGGACCTGTAGTCGCCATCAAGTCAATGTACAGGGTGTCCGTGACGTCTCTTTACAATTTCAGTTTTGTTATGGAGTTAGTTCTCAATATATCTTAAAGTTTGTTGTCTTTTAGTCAGTAATTGTTTAAGTACTTTTACTTCATGTAATAAATTATCTGTATGGGACAAATAATATATAGGGTTCGATAAATTCTCTTCGCAATTTTAAAGAATTTCAAGACTTCATGGACACCCTATATATTATACAAATGACTTGTTAACCCTTCTCATACCCGACTGGTAACCGGATAATGGTTTTCCATATGATAAATTCATTTTATGTGGTTTCTTTTTCATTGATAAATACGAATATTCTAATTCTGCACGTACGTAGTCCCAATTCAATGCCGAGACAAACTATGACTCGGCGTTTGACGCATTGTGCTAATAGTAACACTTTTGCTATTCCACATCTTGCGCTTCCCTTTCCCGACATTACAGGTTCGACTTAATCATGTGCTTAATCATTCTTGACCTGTAGTCTCCATTAAGTCAATGTACAGCGTGTCCATAAAGTCCTTTTAAATTTCATTTTTGTTACAAAGTCAGTTCTCAATATAAATTAACCAGGTTTGTTGTTTTTTAATCAGTAATTGTAAGTAAGTATGACTCGACGATTGACACATTGTGCTAATCGTAACACACCTATTTGAGCTCTTGCGCCTGCCTTACCCGGCATTGCAGGTTCGAATTACGTGTGTTCTAATTATTATATTTTTAAAAAACTACTGACTTCATAACAAAATTGAAATTGTAAAGGGACTCTATGGACACCCCGTACTATCATAACAAAATTTGTTTAAAATGCGTTTGCACAATTCCCACTCTTTTAGTTCTTTAGACCAGGGGTGTGCAACCTTTATTACAGGAGGGCCAGATACAAATAACTAGGTGAAGCCGCGGGCCGCACTTTTATTTAGGCTATCTTTTCTAGTAGTAGTATTACTGACCTTACGGTATTGTTAGAGGTTCTCGCAGAAATGGTGAGTTACAACGCATAAATTTCTAAAGAAAACTGATTTTCAAATTTATTGTCAAAGCGACTTTAAACGAATTCGGCGAGAAACACGTTTTTATACCATTGAGTATTCTACAAAAGAATTTTGCGAGCTATTTTTTGCTGATACGACAGTGGCATTCAGGATTTGCGATGCAAAGAGATTGGAATTGCTCTAAAAACTCGTTTTTCGCGGGCATATCATTCAAATTTGGCATTTCTCAGCGGGCTGCACAATTTTTTCTTGTGGGCCGCTTTTGGCCCGCGTGCCGCAGTTTGTACACTCCTGCTTTAAACTATAACATTCATCTCGACCATGATGACTCATAATGAATCATAAGAAATAAACAAAGTATTCATACTTTGCATTTTCTATCACAGGATGTTCGTCGTGCGTAAGCGAAACATGAGGTGTTGGTTTTACGATGACAGTACAACGAAGAGTCTAAGTTCTGACTTCGACGAGTTTATAAGAGATGCCGGTTTCACTATATTCACTATGTTGCTGGACGGAGGTAACTTGAACATTTTATTTTATCTTGGGTAAAGCGCAAGAGTTCCACTTTTGCTCTTGAGCGTAGTGGACAAGTGGTTAAGCTGACATAGGCAAACTACGGCCCGCGGGCCAAATATGGCCCGTTTAGTATTTCAATCTGGCTCGCCTGATGCTGCCACAACCAAACTAAAACCAAATTTTGATGTTTCATCTGAAAGATAGGTTTAAGGAAATTGTTGCGATTACATTTCGTTTTACCACGAGGTCTATTGCTTTCCGCTTTCTTTTGTAACACTTTAAATATTGTTCATAAAATGTTACTTATCACATAACACTTACATGGTCTGCCAGTCTAGGTAGATCAAAATTTTGGCCCCTGGTCTAAAAACCTTGCTCATCCCCGGGGTAAAATGTTAGGCCAGTGATTTCTAATTTCGGTTGAATTCCCCACTTTCCTTTCACTTTTGCTCCTTGGCGCAGTGGATTAGTGGTCAAGCTGACTTGAGCAAACTACGGCCTGTGAGCCAATGTTTATAAAATGTAACTTCTCGCTTCACAATTACATGGTCAGTACCCGAACACGTAATGGAGCTACGATAAGAAAAATTGGAATAAAATTATTGCCTAGCCTTAACCAGGTACACACACTACGGAAATACCCCGAACTCGAATTTTTTCTAAAATAAAGGTAATTCTTCACATATCAGTGACTGCTTATATAGGGCCTTGTTTGGGGTAAAATGCGTATCATTTGAATTTATATAAAAATGAATTATTTATCCATTCAGGGGTTCGCGGAATTTGTTTTGCATAGGTACCGTCACAACAACATATGTTCATGCATAGAGTCACGACAAATTTTAAAATTGCAAAGGGAATTTATTGATACCATTTTTTGGCCCTCACAGATGTAATAAATGAAGTAAGAATACTTGAAAAATTACTGATTAAAAAACAACAAACCTGGTTGAGATAATTTGAGAACTGACTTCATAACAAAACTGAAAATGTAAAGCGACTTCATGAACATCCCGTATAACAGACTGATCATTATATGAACATTTCTCGCGTATACATCATGGAACGTCTTTCAAACTCTAATTTGTATAAAAATTTCAGACGAGCCTGTCAGAGACACTACTCAATGTATCCAAGACGACGATCCTTTGGGCGTCAAGTACAGAGGAACGAAATCTAAGACACTAAGTGGAATAAAATGTCAGAGATGGTCAAAGAATTCACCTCACCGACCCACTTACAGGTGAGGTTATATATAGAATAGAATTTACATATTTATTACGGAGGAGAGGAAAGGTTTCAAGTATTAAATCGATATTCCTTCGTTTTGTCGATTTTGTGTAATTGGGAAACTTACGGGTTCGATTTTTGTTGGTCAGTCTGTACGGCGACTATTCTAAATTCAACAAAAGTGGGTTAAATACACAGAAAGACTGAAAAGCACCTGTACAAGCAAATACCTTTTGAGGTATTTTCATATATCTCTAATAATTTTTATTAAAAAAACTTCTGTAGGCCAAGTAATGCGGGAAAGCATAAGAATTTCTGCAGAAACCCAGACATGGACTCCGGTGGTATCTGGTGTTACACAACCAATAAGAAAAAAAGATGGGAATACTGTGATGTGCCAAAATGTTCAGGTCCGTTAGTAGATATGTATTCAACCTATTTAACACAAGAGAGACAGATAAAACATCCAGTAAAAAAAAGTAAAAAAAACTCAATTTAAAATAATACATGGTGTCTAAAAAGTAAGTAAGTATACACTTCCATTTAACTTTTAACTTGGATTAACCTTCTTGTCATTCTATGTGTTGATAAAAAATGCAAACAATACTAAGATTTTACTACTGATATATACTATGTTTTCTGGAGAAATGAACGCTCTATGATGAGTACCTGAAATGCAAATCAGAATAAAAGTGTAACTTACTTTTGACAAACCCTGTACAAATATTTTAAAACAAATCTTATTAAATAAATCTCTATATCCCAACGTAATGAAAATTGAATTCATAAGTAGTGTTACGACGGACACGATATGACAATGTCAAATATCATAGTTAACGACTGAAGCAACATAAATTTTCCCAATTGGTAACTAAGCGGTTAATTCGTTTTTGAGAAGAATCGCAGTTATCGCTTAGTTTGATTTTTTTTGTTTATATTGATTGGCCAAATTCGCATTTCTCTATAACGAACGGCAAAGTTGCTTCAACATTGTATAATATTCAAGATATGAGTGTCTGATAGATACGCTATTACTTCCATATATATATGGTACTCCCGTAGTATGTGCAACAAGATGGCGGACACCGGAACGTAGTATGTGTACTAGGTTGGGGTTAGGCCATAATTGCAGTTACAAATACTACCGGAGTCATTTGGCTAGTCCCCAAACTTGTAATAGAACTACAATAAGGAAAATTGCAATAAGATTATAGCCTAACCCTAACACATGTGGTACACATGTCCAGGTGTCCACCATCTTGATGCTCATACTACAGATGCGCCATATATATTTATGACATCCTGAAACAACTCATTTTTTATCCAAAATGCTGGTTTAAAAAAAAATGAGTTATCAAATGTGTCTTTCTGCTCATCGAGCGATCTATTCGTGTTAGTGCTTGTATTGTTTCTTGTACTGAGTATCTGAAGAGAGTGTGATGTTCCCAAAATGTTCAAGTTCTTATTTTAGTTTAATGTCGTTTGTCTTGTTGGGTTGTAAATGAAACATTATCCTTCCTCGTCGGTTAAGCACAGAAATTCATGCGACAGAGGACTGGGGTCCGTCACAACTAAGATTCACAAATAGGGATCCGCAGTCGAAAAGTTAGACTCAAATCAACTTGAATTATTTCATTGAACATTGGGAATGGGAATGGGAATTTTTGTGGTTCCCTCAGCACTTGCTTATTTTGCTTAATAGTTAATTTAGCACTGGCTGACAGTTATTTTATATCATAGAACTGCTGCCGAAGACAACTACTCCTCGAGCTGAAACCGAATCCACGACAACTCCGGAGCCTGTACCAAAAGAATGTTACATTTGCAACGGGTAAAAATGATTTTAGATCATTTTTGTTTCTGATTTCTATCTTAGTTTATTGCAGGGGGTGTGCAACCTTTATGACAGGAAGGGTGAAACCGCGGGCCGCACCTTTATTTAACATAGATTTTGCAGTAGTTTTGATTATTGATCCTACGAAATGCACAAGTTTGATATTGTCATAGACACAGATAGAGTAAATTGAACTCGGTTTCATTACACATTTGAACCCGTGATTTGAACCCACGGCAATTGCACCTGCATAATATTGCACCTATGGAAATTTGCACCTACGGATATTTGAACCGTACTAACCCTAACCCATAAATTTTAGCATCCGCATATAGATTGAACCTGCGGATATACGGGTTCAAATGTGCTATCACCATTGAACTCAGATATAGGCTCTGCAACGCAAAAAATTTGAATTACTCGCACGTACTAGATTATCCTAAAAATGTGTTTCGCGGGCCGCACACCGTTCAAAATTGGCCCTTCCCCGCGTGCCGTCCATTTTCTTCGTGTTGGCGGCATTTTGGCCGCGGGCTGCAGGTTGCACACCCCTGGTTTGATGAAATTCGGTTGAGGTTAACAGATTAGTCATGGTTGTAATAATCTGTACAACTAACAAATTGAATTTTACTATGTGGTATTTCCTGTAATACTTTTAACTAATAAATGTAATTTGACGTCATAAATACAATGATACATTTGATTGTAAATGTTTGAAGTATAAGTATTTAGTTAATGTTCTCCTCCGCTCTCAAAAAGGTGAAAAAGTTTGACATTTCATTGCGCCACACTAATCTTTTGTTCCAAACCTTTTAAATAAATCGTGGCCCCTTCCAGAGGCTGTTATCACTCATTGCCCCCTTGTTTATTATGCCAGTGGTATTCATAGTTTTACTTTGATGGTATATATATTCCAAACCCCATTATGTTCAAACAATTCATGATCAACAAAGAAAAACACAATGTGAAGGAAGAGTAAAATGAGTTTTGTGCGTGGCATGGTGCCCCCCCCAACCACCCGCTTCAATTGCTCTGTGACCCCCTGGGAACAACTGTTTTGGAGCCTATTTGTCTTTTAAATTATTTTTCTCTTCTCAATCACTGTAACAGCAACTCGACTTAACAGTTACAAGGGATCCTAACGATATTATTCAATAAGTGGTTGCATTCCATGACCACTGTCTACACCAGTGGTTCCCAATCGTGATGTCGTGGCCTCCCAAAGGGGCGATGGAGCATTTGGTCGAGGTGATAAAGCTAGGCGCAAAACTGATTTTACTTTTCCCTTGACTTCCTTTCTCTTAAAAAAACTCCTCGTTCTTCCCGGTTTTGATATCTTCAATTTGTAGAGTAATAATTGTTTGAACTTTGGGATTTGGAATCTACAAATCCAAATAACACTAAAAATACCACTGGGATAATAAACAGGGGTCATGGGTGCTAAAAGCCACCGGAAGGGAGCAACAGGCCATAGAAGGTTGCGAATTACTGCTCTACATGGTGTTATGATATAATCTACATTCCTACCATTGACACAGATACGGTTACGTTGGCAACTTGACTCAGACCATATCAGGAAAGACATGCCAGCGATGGGACGCATCGCACCCACATCAGCACTCCAATCATCCAAGTCAAAAGCCAGGTAACGCTTCGTTTTTTGCTCAAATTTGCTCAAGGCAATGTCACAAACACTCACTCCTAAGTAAAGGAGACTCGTCTGTTAGCGAAGTTGTGTGGCGAATACTGAAATGTTTAAAGCTTATCCAAACTTTATGGCCGTGGCCATTAAATATAGCGAGAGAACAAGACACCATAGCTTATGTCTCTGTACATGACTGGGTTAAACAGATAAGCACGTGCTCAGGTCACCAAGAAAAAGGGGCGCTACATACTTTTTTCATAGCCGAATTTGCAATGGCGCTCAGTGTTTAATAAAACGATTCGAGTTGGTCAGACGACACATATCTCAACATTGACCCGGCTAAATTACATTCCTACTTATTTTTGTCTCAAATATCATATTCAACATTTTTATAAGTTGTAGGAATAGGACCCCCCCCCCCCCCCCACCCCACACACACACACGGAAAATAAATTAGGCGAATTAATCATAACTTGGCCCTCAGTTAGTAATAAATACAATACTTACTTTCCAGATAACACGGAACACCGGTTTTATTAACATTATAAAGAAAAAAAAATTCATAAATGGAACCTCAAAGTCTTTAATGCTTAGGCATCCAAAGGGCTTGATACGGCCCTGTCTCCGTAACCAAATTTGCGAATTAGTAATGCACGACATGGTAATAGGTATATGGAATAACTGGAATAATTAGTACTCTCGTAATATGTGTACCAGGTTCGGGTTGGGCCATAATTTTATTCCGATTTTCATTTACTGTACATCAAGTTGTGTCAAGAAAAACTGAATCATATGGGCAGGGAGTATATTCACTTGGCTAACACAGACAGTTCCCAAACTCGTAATAGAACTAAAATAAAGAAAATCGGAATAAAATTATGGCCAAACCCTGACTTGGTTTGTACACACACTACAGGAGTACCATAAACTGGGTAGGCAACGCTAAACCGGGTTGGTATCGGTTATTCCAACAATTAATTCTTCAGGTCTCAGCGTTGGCTTGTCTGCAGTTTTGTTCAGAGTGGAAACATCCCATTAAAAATATTAAGTTAACTTTTGGTTTTCCCTTCGTCAACTTCTTACATAAATTATATTAGTTACAGATTACAAAATAACAAACATGTTGTAAAAAAAGTTGTTGCACTATTTACATTTTATTTAATTTGTATAGTACGTTTTGTCAATATGTATACACATGAATAGGATTGACCCTTTCAGGATATGCCATGACCTCTTTTAGGTTTCGAGTCGCTGCCATAATTACTTCCTGTTAAATAAAGGTTTAAACCTTTTAAATTCTGTGATATCCGGACTTTCTTTTGCGTACGAACGTCGGGTAAAAATAATTATCGTAGAACTTTGATAGAGAGTGAGTCACTACAGTGTACGGATGAAAAACTATAAACTAATCTATCAAAATGATCCAGTCGAGCCAAGCTAATTTAAGTTTATTCTTATCAACCAGTTAAAAATAATCACATGTAATATTCGAAAAAAAAACGGGAGATAATCGTACACATTTAGTGGGGTAGAGAAGTCGCGGAGAATCAAAGCTGGTTATCGAGCAGCGCCATCCAAGGTATAAGGGAATAATCATTTGTGCGAAACGGGGCAGAAAGTCCGGTGCGTCTGGATCATTTGTTCAATGGTTTTAAAACTTTCATGGTCCGTGGCCTCCCAAATACTCTCATCACTCCGTGCCTCTCTGCTCTTAAATAAAAAATAGTTTTTTTTTAAACGGAATTACATCAGAATCTTATCACTTAACACGATTTTGCTACTGCGTTTATAAGATACAATGTTACGCGCTCGTAAACCCGGATTTTTAGGAAGTTTGGCGAATGGAGTCCCTTATATTTTATTCGCCACGTTCAATAATATAAAGCCAACAAATGAATGAAAGCAAAGATTAAATGCATTACAGTCAGAAAATTGAAGGAATCAACAGTTAATTTGATGTGAATTAATGCTGTTATCACAAATGGTACATGTTGGAGGTGATACCTCTTTAGTATGTGTACCAGATTAGGGTTAGGCCATATTTTTATTCCGATTTTCCTTATTTCAGTTCTATTACGAGTTTGGGGACTGCCTGTGTAAGCCGAGTGAATATACCCCTTGTCCCTAGGTTTCAGTACCGTTACACTACTTGATATAAAGTAGGCGAACAAATTTAGTTACCTCCATATTGGTACACACACTTCTGGAGCGCCGTGAAGGCTTTCGCTCGTGACCCCAGGAAACCACGCCATCTTCTTCTATGTGGGGGTCGAGGCCCCTGTTTGAGAAACGCTTAATTAGATACATGTGGGTTAAATAAATATAATATTTTATTTTCAGGTCGTAACCTGGATTCTAATTTCTGTCGCAATCCTGATGGTGACACGAAACCTTGGTGTTACACTACTGATCCAAACACTAGGTGGGAGCATTGCGACTTGGAAAGGTAAACTTTTTCTTGTTGTTTGTCGTCTTTGCATACACGCACTTTTCCACACGTTAATTTGCTGCTAGGACATATAAACCAACAAATATTTTTGCTCATACCTTTGCACCCTTGGACATTTTCTCCCATACTTTTCGCGCACATAGATATATTTTTTACTATGAAAATTTACATCTATGCCATTTGCATCCATGAACCTTTGCACCAACGGATATTAACACCCATAAATATTTGCACTTATGAATCTTTTAATTTATGGACTATTGCACACACGGACTTTTGCATCCACGGACATTGGCGCCTATAAATATTTTCACTCAGTTACAATTTCACACGGAAATTTAATTACAAGCCATTTCGCCATGATTAACCCACCGGTTTCGAACTCGCGGTTATTTACACCCATTATACAGAATGATCAGACCACTGTTATAAACCTACCTATGTTTGAACCCACTGTATTTTAGCCCAGGAACTAAGAACTTATCACGTTAGAATTGTATATCATACATGTGAAATTGTGCGTCAAATAATGAATTTTTCTTAGGAAATAACCATTTTAACTGATTTTTTTTGGTATCACCTTTATTTCAACATTTTTGCTCATACAGGTGCACCAACGCTGATGGATCTGTGTTAATTCCTCTTCAAAGAATCACAACAGAATGTATAATTGGTGCAGGAGGAAACTATCGAGGTACAAAACAAGTAACAAGATCGGGTAAAACATGCGCTCAATGGACGAGTCAATCTTTACACAAGCATACGAAGACCCCTGATCAATACCCGTGCAGGTGAGGAGAATCATGAGTACTTCATTTGGTACTCCCGTAGTATGTGTACTAGGTTGGGGTTAGGGCATAATTTTATTCCGATTTTTCTTATTTTAGTTCTATTACGAGTTCGCGGACTGTCAGTGTTGGCCAAATGAATCTACCAGTCCCTTTACACAACTTGATGTAAAACAGGCGAACAAAATTAGTTACCTCGATATTGGTACACATACTTCTGGAGCGCCTTTCATTTTATGAATTTTAAAAATTGCGATATTGTCAATGTCTGAATGTGTAGAAGGATTGGCTTTTGAAAAATTGTCTTTTAAATAGTTAGCAAGTCTGAGTTAGAGAAATTCCACGCCCAAATGCGACACTTAGCCACTGAAAAAATACTTCGACCCCTGATTTACCGAAATTTTAGAAAAAATTTTGGACAGAAAAATTTACTTAATTTTACTTATGATAGATGAAAAGAGCTTGCAATTACTTGCACGTAACATAAAACTAAATTGAAAACTCCTTCCGTGCGCCGCACACTATTCAAAATTGGCACTTACCGGGGGCCGGAGTTATTCTTTGTGGGCCGCAGATTGCACACCACTGGACTAAAAATTAGTGGTGAGATAATACCAAAATAAAAATCATAATGTTTTTAGTGGTTTGGAAGAAAACTACTGCCGAAATCCGAGTGCTAATTTTGATCAAGGGCCCTGGTGTTATACAACCGATCCAAGCACAAGATGGGAAACCTGTGGCATACCAGAGTGTGGGACGGATGGTGGGCCTCCCCCGACAACAACAACGACTACCACGACAAGTACTGCACCATCGACCTCAGTACCAGGTAACTCGATACTGAAAGTCAATATAGATTCTGGTTTTAGAAATGGCGGTCGCTGATAATATAATTTATCGCCAAAATGCCTGAAAAAACTGTAAGACTTTGTAAAAACTGTAGCAAGTTACTGCCTAGTTTTATAAATCTATACCCATTAATAGTTACTCTAGATCAGGTGTTATCAAACGTATGGTGATATGGAGCCCGTGAAGAGATTAACTATCATTTACAGAGACACACAATAAATATGTAAAAAAACATACAATGTATCTACTCATCAAGGGTCGATTGAAATTAAAAAAAATGTATCTTACGTAGCATTATTTTGTGGCATGAAACGCTTTTCAGTTCCTCAAGACTTAAAAACTTACCGAACTCGCTATATGTTAGAGTCTAACTTGGCGATTAGAAATTTCAGAACAAGCCCACCCGCCCCAGAAAATTCTTGGCTACGCCCCGGGAAATCAGGCAAAAAAGCTGCAAGAGTCTACTTCATCTTCTCTACTCTGATACATATATTGAAACTCAATATTATTCATCATGTACAGGAACATGTGGAAGTCCAACGATCGAGTCAACCTATTATACTCAAGGTTTTGCCATCGTTGGTGGAAGACTCGTTGAAACAAGAAGACGAAAAAGAGGAACGGAGCAACAGGAAAGGTATATTGATAAAATTATTCTATAACATTTGGATTTTTTCATATTGACCATACAAAATAATGATGAATGGCATAGTAAGACTGTCTAACCCAATAAGCAGAACTATTTAAAAAGCGAGCTTTGCCAAAAACTGAAAAAAAATTTCTACATATTTTGTGCTTGTTTCATGGATACAGTGGGATACTGCATATAGAAGTTGACGGTATTTTTTGGCTCGTCCGCGGTATAAAGAATTGTTCCGCACGATTTCCATGACAAGGCACGAGCGATTATACAAAATGTGTAAAATTGTAAGAGCAGTAGCCCAGTGCACCGTTTCCCAACCAGTGGGCCCATTGCCGGGCCACAGAAACACTTTTTTTTGCATGAGAATATTATTGGGCCAGAATTTTTGTCCAACGAAAATGGGCCACGGAAGGAAAAAGGGTGAAAACCACACCCTGGTGTTTACATCGGAGGGTTAAGATCTTTGCTTCAAATAAATTCCTCACCACTCAACTAAAGTGTTTGGTCGCAGAAACATTTCCAGATGGGCCACAAATCTGTTGAAAATTGCAGCCATGCATTATTTTTTGCAACGAAATGGGCCACGACAGATAAAAGATTGAGAACCACTGGATCGCTAGTCCAGACTGAATCTAGGGATATCTTTCCATCTTAATATAAATTCATATGATTGTCAATTGTTACTTGTTCGGTGTTCTATTCAAAATAAACACCTTAGACCAGTGGTTCTCAAACTTTTTAGGCCGCGCCACCTTTTTAAAATTTCTCAAGTCTCGCGTCCAACCTCTGAAATAACTAGCTAACAATAAACTACAAATATTAGATAGTAACGCAAAGGTTTTATTCAAAAACATGTTGAAAATACTTGGATGGAACATAAATATCCAAAATAAATATATTTAAATTTCCAAAATGAGGCGAGCAAGATCAAATCCAAGAAATATTTATATTTTTAATAAGCTTCACACTCTTTAAAAGAGTTGTCTACGTTTCCCTTGTGAGCGCGCCCCACCATTTAAGAACCACTGAGTTAGACTTTATAACTTCACATAATTCTTTTGAATAAATCAATTTCCAACTAACAGGATCCTGGGAGGAGATATTGCATATCATGGTAGCTGGCCATGGTCTGCTAGTCTCCGCTATTACGACGGTCATTTCTGCGGAGGAACTCTGATACAAACAACATGGGTATTGACGGCCTCACATTGTTTGGATGACAATTCACCGTGAGTATTATGATAGGATAGGATTTCTATATATTTAACTCCGGGGAAAGGAAAGCCGATAAGATGGCTTAATCATAGGGCGAACCACGTCCTTTCGTCCGGTTACCCGTTCATATCGGGTATTTTATTAGGTAGTTATTGGTTTTCAGATGTATGGTCTTGATGATGGAAAAGGGCCGTAACTGACCTTTGGTTACGTGAGCCACCCTGTGGCGCTGAGGTGTCCTGCAATCCTCTTGCACATAATTAACCCCCGCATGGAATTCGAACCGGCGAACTCACGCAGGGTAATAAGAGGTGCGGTTGCGATCATATTCCTAATGCTTGGCACGATGCGCCACACCGCTGAGCCTGTAGGGGCGTTTTTGAGTAATTTGATTTTGAATAAGATTTTCCTGTTTTTATGCCGGGAAAATGAAAGATTTTGAGAATTAGATGACGTATAACGGATTCTCGACTTTTACCGAACCTATACCTAGTATGGGATCAGTTATCCGGTTATTTGCATGAACGTCCATTTATATATGATTGCACACCCGGAAGTTTTACTGATCCAGAACACTCTGTACAATAGTCGTGTTCCGCTCAAGGTTTTCAGACCAGGGGCCAAGATTTTTGCCCAACTAGACTGGCGGGTCATTTAAGTGTAACGTGGAAAGTTACATTTCCCAAAAAATATGTACAGCGTTACATAAGTGGAAACAATAACCGTAGAGACAGAACTAAACTTAATTGCGATCTCAACTAATTCTTTGAGATATTTATCAGATTTTATTATTCAAAATTTGGTTTTAGTTTGATTGTAGCAGCATCGGGCAAGCCAGGTTGAATTAACCAATGAGCCGAAGTTTTCCCAGATTAGCCAGGGCTAACCAAAACTAATGTCTCCCAGCTCTGTCACGGGTATAAACGAATATATACATAAATACACAACTTTTCAGTTTTCTATAGTAACTTTTAGTTGCGGCTCAGCACTTTGCTCTGATGGAACAAACTGTTTTCAACAATTTAAATTAAAACTTTTATATAACGTTTTGTTTGCTCTCCTGATTGCAGAATCAGTTTTTATTTCTTTCTTTTTACCAATCATTTTATTGGTATGCTGATTAAGGAGTCGAAATAAACTTGTACTTACTTGCAGGCCTGATCACATGTCCGTTAAAATTGGTCACAACAGGGGGTCCGAACCTCAAATGCAAATGAGAAAAGTTCTGCGATACATTCTACACGAATCTTATTCTAAGAGCAAAGTGAAAAACGACATTGCACTAATTCAATTAAAAGTGCCATTCCAGATTACTGATTACGTGCGCACGGCATGTCTACCTCAACCTGACTATGAAGTACCAGGAGAAAGTTTTTGCGTCGTAACTGGCTGGGGTAATACATACGGTGAGAGGATAAATAATTTTTATAACTTGAATTGGAATTGACTTTGGAAAAAGTGCTTAGTAACATGGACATAATTGAAATTGTTGATAAATTTATTTTGTCTATGGGCAAAAATAGTCAGCATTAGTTACTATACATAATGATATATTTGTATAATTCTTTATTATTAAATATTGTATTGTAAAAGTAAGGTTTACGACTTTTATCCAGAAGTCTAATATCAGTAGGCGATGTTCCAATAACCATGGTTTTATTAAACAAAAAATGTCGGAATGATTTAAATTTCCAAAATATAACAAGACAATTACTTTGTTACCAAAACGCCACCTGCTAATCGTCATAAAACCGTAACCGCTGGTTGGTTGCACCACTATTGGGTGCATGCTTTGATATCGACTTCAAGAGTTCAATTACATGAAAATATTCTCAAACTTTTCTTGTTGTGTCTTGTTCAGTTACATTCCACTGTACGAACGCACTTCTTGAATATTTACCTATCTTTTATTTAACAGATCCGAAGTATCAAAACGATTTGAAGCAAGCAGTGTTGCAGGTTCACAGTTACGAAAAATGCATGCGGTATATGTCTTCCTTTCACATGAAAGATAAAACTCAAATGTGTGCTGGGACAAGAGGAGCGGGTATTGATACATGCCGAGTAAGTGTTATTTTTCGTTTTATTTCGGCGCTCTAGCAGTGTATGTATTAATATAGAGGTAACTAATTTTTTCCGCCTACTTTACATCAAGTTGTATAAAGGGACTGAAACCTATGGGCCGGGCGTATATCACTTGGCCAACACAGGCAGTCCCCGAACTCGTTGTAGAACTAAAATAGGGAAAATCGGAATAAAGTTATGGCATAATCCTAACCTGGTACACACACTAAGGGAGTACCTTTAATTTTCTCTTATCATTCTGTCTCTCTCTCTTTTTGCTTTCGCTCGTTTTGTCGCTCTCTTTTGTTTACTAGTTTGTACGCTTTTTCTCTTCCTTCGCACAATCTTATTTTTTCAAATAGTTCCTCTCATGTTGTTTCACGCTCTCCTTTTTTTACTCTCTCCCATTTTCCCAAATGCTTTTCCGTGTTATTTCGCTCTCTCTCTCATTTCTATTTTTTATTAACTGCCCAAGTGGTTTAAAATTCTGAATGAAGCACTAGCAAGCAATAACGTTGATCAATATGTAAATTACTGATGACATTCGGTAAAATTTTGTTAAAAATATGGTAACCATATTAGTCATTTGTGGTAATAAATTTTAGCATCTTTTTATTGCTTCTTACGCAGTGCGTCAGTGATAGACCATATAGGAAAAGCTATTTAAATATGGATCCAACGGGCCCATATATGGTTATAGAAAATATGGTTATAAAAAAGGTAAAATAATAGGCAATCCGGTGCTCTAGATGTTTGTGTACCAATATGGAGATAACTAATTTTGTTCGCCTATTTTACATCAAGTTGTGTAAAGGGACTGATACCTATGGGCAGGGGGGACATTCAATTGGCTAACACAGACAGTCCCCGAACTCGTAATAGAACTAAAATAAGGAAAATTGGAATAAAATTATGCCTTTACCCTAACCTGGTACATACACTACGGGAGTACCGACAATCTTCTAAAAAAAACTTTCATTCCCAGCCTATTAACAATTTAAAAAAGAATTAATCCAGTCATTGAAACAAACAAAACACGTTTTTGCTCCAACAACAATAGCAATGTAATGAAACATTTTTTTCCTACTTTAATGCGCAGGGAGACAGCGGAGGGCCATTGGTATGTTTGAATAGTGATCGCTGGACTATACAGGGAGTGACGTCATGGGGAAGCGGATGTGAAGACAAAAAAGGAAGCTACGGATCGTACACTCGAGTCAGCAAATACATCGGATGGATTAAGAAAAATATGGAGAAGTACGGTTAAATATGGCAACCCTGGACGCTTTCACAGATTTACCATTTCTTTGATAAATCAGAATTTACGTATCACCACTTTTACTAAAAAATTGATATCTTGGTAGATAAAAATATGGGAAAGTAAATATAAGAAAACTGATATAATCTCTCTCCACGAAATAGCAAGTACATTTGCGATCTTTTGTTAGATCATAGTCTAACTTTTTCAGATAAAACAATTTATGGCTTAATAAACAGCAATAATTCAGAGTAAATACAGTAGTCACAAACAAGTATAATAAATAAACATAAAAACCGTGAATTCATTCACAGATTTGAGAGACTCTAGATTTTACTACTTTTACTTTCCAACATATATCCTAGCTGATTTTTTTTGAATATTATTACATTCATTTTTAATACTTTCGAATCTACTAAATCTTTGGTAACCTTGAAGGGATTGAAAGTTTCCCCGCTGATTTAATCGAGACCAATTTCCACCTCTCAACATTTATAGGGTGTCCATGAAGTTTTAAAATTTGAAGTCAGTTCTCAATATATCTCAACAAACTTTTTTGCTTTCAAATCAGTAATTGTTAAAATATTCATACTTCATTTAATACATCTGTGGGATCTAAAACAATATATAATATCGATAAATTCCTTTGCAAAAAATTTCAAGACTGCATATGGATACCCTATATATTTCTCAGTAAAAATAGGGAGCCGCACAGCTATATACAGCAGCCATAGAAGTATTTCGACACTGGGAAGACTTGAGGTTTTATTACCCAATATATATTCAAGTTGATATTTTTCGAATTCAACTACCTAAATAAATTAGAAAATTCCATTTCGGTTTGTCACGTTAAATGATCTTTTCTGTTTGAGACTTTAAGAATTTTCTGGTAGCATTCATTTCTCCCTATGAGGAAACTTATGAATCTTCGTTGTGATTTTATTAGCAACATTTGTGTTATAACCTCATTTTATTGATTAATTTTGTAGTAGTCAGAATTTATAGTAATAAACTTTCATACTTTACTCGTGATTTCAGGAGACACAAGGGGGCCGGATGAAACACTTCGTTGCGCAGGACCGGCCCGCGGGCCGTAATTTGCCCACCCCTTTGTGTTTTACTGAACCATAACCGGGGTTGCCACCTGATCAAAAATTTGATGCAATTTTGTTGATAAGTAAAAACTTGTGTTGCACTACATTTGTGGTTCTTTTGCAAACTAATGGCGGGTATTTTACTTTGCCAATTCGTTTTTACTTTATGCTCAGCAAATAAATTCTTCTGCGGACCTCTGGGCGATAATAGACTCCTAATTGAGAACCATTGCATCGGAAAGATTCTCGGATCTTTTGTACAAACCCGCTGCCGAAGCAAAACACCCCACCTCCGCTCAAATTTGGGTGTCAAGTCATTTTTGCAACCAGTAAAAAATATCACTAGAGCCCAAATTACGAAAAAATGATAATTACACAGTTTTACTGAGTAAGGGATGTTGCAGGAACCAAAGCTGGTTGTCGAGCAGCGACATCCAATGTTCTAATATCTGATTCAAAAAGTTTGAATGCCGTTGAAAAAAGGGATTTGAAAGGGAGGTGTATAATCTGCAATACCAACACAGTTATGTTTCTAAGGCTTTACTCGCTAGGCCATAGATTTTCAATGTGCTCCATACGGAGACCCAGGTATCCGAAAGATAAACCTAGGGACTCCGTGAACCATTCTTTTACTTATTGAAATACTGATTTGGTAATTTGCAACTGTCCAAGAAAGCAATAACGGCAACTATATTTGGCAACGGTCGCATCAAAATGGGGCAACAAGGCAGTAATTCAAATATGACATTATCTATATGTTCCAATAGATAATTTCATAAATTTATTGCGGGGCTGCCTAATTATTAGTCAAGCTCTTCACGGGCTCCATAAACTCCAAAAGTTTTAGAACTCCTGCGCTAGGCCATTGCGTCGTCAAATAATTAGTGGTAAAATAAGACTGACTAGCTATGACTTAAATAAACACATTCTTTAAAAAAAATTTCAACTTTACCCGTATTCGTCAACTGATCAAATGTAATTGCAAAGTTTTTGTAGTAGTAAATAGGTCAAGAAGTAAACGAGAAGTCATTTGAATGCGATTGGAAGGGCTATTCATTGCGAACGGTTTCGAGTGGTCAATAGGTTACGTAGGTTAAACGTAATTGAAACTCTGCATTGAATGATCGAGATGTCGCGGACATGCATGTTTACTATTGACGCATATGCAGATTGAACCTGTGATGGGGGTATGTTTCACATAAGAGGTGCACACTTTCCGAGCTTCTCTATTGGTGCAACTGAGCACGGCCCCTAATGTGCGCGTCTCTCAAGAGCCGATCATGCTTGCTCACGCTAGTTAAAGGAAAATCATTCCTATTCGCGCTCGTTATGTATTTGATATGTATGAATAAAATACAAATTGGTCAATGGGAACCGTTGTTCTGACCGTAATTTAAAAAGCAAACTAATAGAATACGAAAAACTTTTGGCGCAGTCAATAAAATATAAGTAGGCTTGTAGAATAAACAGTTTCGAGTTCGGAGGATTGTGATATATTGTATTGTATCGTTGTTTGGCATATAGGAATACTTTATATGAGATTTAGGCGTAGATTATACAAATTGGGTTCCATTACATTTGAACCCACGTACATTTGAACCCATGACAATTGCAACATCTTCCTCGACTTCAACCTAGCTACTGAGACGATGAAGAAATATAGCATAAATTTGCGCGTTAGTAAATATCTATTGGCACGAGACCTAAATCATTTCATGTCTATAGGATCAAGATAACAGTTATAAGATAGTTAATTTCACATAACTGACCACGTTTTTGAGACTGGGTAGGATTTACATTTTCATCCCGGGGAAAGTCGATACGACGGCTCAATCATATGACGAACCACAGCCTCTCGTCCGGTTACCAGTTAAATTCTGGTTGCCAGTCAGATGCATCTACAAACATTCAAAATGGAAATTTGGTTTGAAATGATATTTGAGAAAACAAATAAGCAAAAATTTATTTTACCCGAGTAAATATTGAAGTCTATGTCGCTCCAACAACGTGAATTTTTTAACACTCAGTCGCTATTAAAAATTGGCTAGGAGAATTTCTGTGTCCTTTTCCCTCAGTGCCGTAAGCACGTGCTTTTTGTGCTTTATTGTTAATCCAGCCATGGGCGAAGAAAGATAATAAGGCAGCTATACCATATGGCAAACCACGCTTCTCTGGTTACCAGTACATGTCGGATATGGGATTGGTTAGCGCCAGTGGTTCTCAAACTATTTGAAAAAAATTTGCGTAACGGTCTCCCTGCAATTATTTTAAGGACTCGCGGTCCACTAAAAATTCAGAATAGGAAGATGTTATATCGAGCATTGATTTATTGCATGTCGTTAGTACAGTTTAATGTCATAGGTGCAATTGCTTGGCTTTCACCTGTTCATCTATTTGGGATTCTGTTTGGGCCATTGTTCTTGTATCATGTCTCATGTGTTGTAAGTAAATACTAAAACGTTTTTCAGCACTATCCCGTATGAAAACCGTCACAGCAGTGCTTCTGTATTGGTGTCAAGTTGCTTCGCGGTCCCCCCAAAACCACTTGGCGGACCCCTAAGCGACCGCGGACCCCACTTTAAGAACCAATGGGTTTGCATGTTATTTCTCCCAGATGCATAGATTTGATGGTGTAGAAAGCCGTAACCGAGCAGGGGCTATGTAAACCCCTGACGGCTGCGAGAAGCCAGCAATCCTATCGCACCATCCCCCGCGGGATTCGGACCAGAGAACCCGCGCATTACTGTTCCAAGAGTATATTCCAAGCCGCTTCCTTATTTCAGGCCCGCGTCGCATTCAGAGAGTAATCAAAAAATTGTATTTTGTGTTGTTTCGTCATCAAATTAACCAAAATTTTTTTTTTGAAATATTGTTACATCACTAATGTCACTGAATTGACTAGTGTTATGACTAGCTGAGGCAACTAGCAAAGTTGAATGATGTACATGGCAGTCTAATATGGAATCCGGCTTTCTATAGTTTTGGTCGGGAATATAGGCTGACAATTTTGGCATCCTAGAAAACTAAAAATCGAATGCGGACTCTATTCGCCTAGGCTAGCTATGCCTGATAACTGAATATTATATTCATGTTATGGTCTAACAATATAATTCATGTCGGGTGTTTTTTGCAACCAGCCTAAACAGTATTACAAAAAATGCTGCCTATATGTCAAAAAATTTAGAAATCCCCCTTTGGTACCTCACATTTGGTCAATCAATCAATCTCCAGTTATTTGTAAATTATTTTGTGAACATGAGTTTAAAAAGAAAGCTGACGAATTCGAATCGATTTTTAACTGAGAGAAGGAAAATACCACATTGCTTGTTTGATATGTTGGCAGGTTGTGTCGGGAAGAAATAATTGAATTTTAAATGGCATTTTAGAATCTTGTGAGCAATTAGCATTTTCCAAAGTTAAGATATTTCCATGAAAATCTTATCGATGTTGGAAAGCACTTATATTTGGGAAAGCTCTTTTTTCGTTATGAAAAGTTTGAAATCTTACACTATATGTATATATGGAAAGACTTTTGCCGGTTTTAGTAAGTTTTTTTAGTGTTTTTATCAGGGGTTAACTTGATAATGACAGATACTGATCAACGTGTTTGCACATTAAAATTGTTTGCTTCGTATTGCAATGTCTATCTATCCTTGGTACAATAATGGCCCGCAAACAATGCAAAAATAGTTTTGTGGCCCCCGGAGCCGACAACCTTGGACCACCCTGGTATAGTAGCTGATAAGATTCTAAGCATCTTTTGCACGGAGCCCCCGCCAAAATTAAACACCCCAGCAACACTAAAAATGAGTATATATCCAGTTGGTGTTCGGTTCGGGAATGTAGATAGCGTGGGAAATTCAAACCTATAAATCATTTCTAATTCAAATGGATAATTACTAATTGGTTATTTACGAACGTTTCGGTATGTTGTTCTAAAATCTCACATTTTGCGTAATTGGCGGGGATTTTGTTCCAAAAATCCGATTCCAGTATTTCTTTAATAAAAAAAATTTCCAATTTTATATTTTTTTTTATCATATAGGATCGTGTGGAAAACAGGCAATTCAACCAACTTATTCCATCCAAGGCTTTGATATTGAAGGGGGCCGCCTCATTTAATCAAGGAGAAGAAAGAGAGAGGTTGATCAACAAGAAAGGTGAATTCTCAGAAATTGTTAGCAAAATTAATTTCCACGTTACAGTCTATTCAGAGGGGGGGCAAGGTTTTAGGTCCAGTGGTCATTCATTTTGCCCACCTAGACTGACGGGCCATGTAAGTTGTGACATAAAAAGTTACATTTTATGAATAATATTTACAGTGTTAAAAGAGGGAAAATGAAAAACAATAAGCATTGTGCCAAATTACATTTTGTCGCAATCTCAACAAATTCCTTGAGCTAATTTTCAGCTCAAACATCAAAATTTGGATTTAGTTTGGTTGCGGCAGCTCCAGGCGGGCCAGATTGAAGCACTCAACAGGTCTGATTTGGCCCACGAGCTGTAGTTTGCCCATGTCAGGTCTATATTATTTGACTGGCGTAAAAAAAACTTAAGCTTGTCGTGGAAATGTTTTGGTTCTGCTGCACCCTGAGACATACTGTCATATGTTTCGTTTACTTAGGTCGGTCTGAGATATCCTTCGGCTTGAACTAGTTAACATCAGTTGCGGGCAATTCAAAATGTCGCAGAAGATGTTTTACATTCACAAAGTCTGATTATTAATTAAAAGCAGTGCGCCCAATTGTAAAAATCTTACAATGCAAAATATTATTTATTTAACGTTTTAGTAGGAAATTTAAAATTTCGAGTTCTTGCATAATTTGTTAACATCAGTTCTGACAAAAGTTGTAGCAACACTGACTAGTCAAATGTTCATCGGTCAGCTGACTTCTACATTTGCTTTTGTGAGCTTCATTTGGTAGAAAAGCTGAAGCGACAAGAGCAAAAAAAAAAAAAATTCTGTATTTTTAACCACGTGAGCTCCTTTTAAACATACACTGTTTGATTCGGATTTTATGCCTGATGGGGAAAAATATGAGTGTTGATAAGAGCTTGGCGGGCCGACTTGTGGCTCGCCGCCCGCCTGTTGCACCACTCTGACGTTGCTCATTGCAACATTGCTGGAATTGAAACGTTCTTCTAAAACCAATTCCCCCCATGAATCATAAATATATTCATAGGACTGATAATGTAAAAATATGAGGGCAAAATTTTACTTTTATTGAGAGAATAAAAGTTGAGAGTCTCAGAAAACAGCGCACGATTACTACGAGTATCTTTAATTAAGATGGGCTTTCTAGTAGTTGCAGACACAAAAAAATGTGATTATTGATATTATGACATGCGTTGTACGCTTTGCACAAGCTCAGATATAGGCATTGCAACGCAAGGAAATTGGAATTGCTCGCACATACTCAATTAACTGGAGAACTCATTTTGCTGGTCACCTTCCAAAAGTAGCGTTTTTCCGCGGGCCGCTCAAGTTTTCCTTGTGGGCTGCATTTGACCCGCGGGCCGCAGGTTGCACACCCTCAATGAAGAGAATAAATAAAGCACAACCTGTGCTAGCAGAGCAATGCAATCTGTCGACGTTTTGAATTTCTATACACTAAAACTATATCAGTGCATGACAGGGAGTACTGGTATATATAGCAAGGCTCACTCGATTATTTTTCAATCAGATTTCAGATTTTAATTTTGATTATTTTCAGAATCTTGGGAGGTGAAATTGCATTGCATGGTAGCTGGCCATGGTCTGTCAGCATGCGTAAGAATACTGACTTTCATTTCTGGGGAGGGACCTTGATAAAACCTGGTTGGGTTGTGACGGCTGCACATTGCTTGGATGACGAATTACCGTAAGTTATCATTTAAATATATATTTTTCTATTTTACATGGTAGTGTTATAATCTTACATAATACCCATACATTACTCAGCAAATCCCTGAGTCGTTTTTTTCGCTAGATTTGCTGCTGTTATTCAGTAACAAGGTGTCAATATTCAATCATCCAGTGCTCTAAAACGTGTTTCATCCTTTTCGAGTACAATATTTATATTTAAAATCGTCACAGATAACAGTAACAGAGGTGAATGTTACAATTTGGGCAATTATCGTTTCGCCAATACTGTGAGTTTTAAACTAAAAAAGCGACGCCCAGTACGAAGTTACGTTCATTTATTATAAGTTCGTATAAACAAACACTTTCCGTTAAAATGGACACTATGGATAGTTTTGCTGATTTTTTTTTCTTTCGCACCACCAGATAAATTGCCTTTCAATTTTTTGTAGTTGATGATAAATGTATTTCTTTGATGAATATTTTTATTTCTTATGATATCGACGCGTACGGGATCTGGTTCTTTTATCATGTATATATTTTGGACGTGAACAAAATTAGTTACCTTCATATTAGTACATCCACTTCTGGAGCGCTTATTTTGTTTGTTTCATATATATGGTAAGCCTAACTAATCTTCTTTTTATCCACAGACCGGATCGTTACGCCATTAAAGTCGGGCACAACAAAGGTACAGAAGTCGAGATGCAAGAGAGGAAAGTTCGCCGATACATTTTACATAAATCGTATTCTAGACCCAAACACGACATTGCGTTGGTCCAGCTAAAAACACCGTTTATTATCACAAAACACGTGCGTGTTGCCTGCCTGCCTGAACCTGATTATGAAGTTCCCGGTGGTAGCTTTTGCGTCACGACTGGTTGGGGTAGAACTTATGGTATGTACAACCAGTGATTTCTCTACACTCGCCCCAACCTATAGAGGGTGAACACCACCCTAAAGTTTGAAACACTCCCCTAATTTTCAGGTGTGACACCATACTTTTATTCTTAACGTAAATAAAAATGAATTCGAACATCCAGAAAGTGGCTTATATGCCGATGAAATTACGAGTCAAATATATATATACACATTTTTATCACAAGTTACAAATAGTTTTATCACAAATAACAAAATATTTAACACCCCTAAATTTGAAAACAACCCCCCTCCCCCTAAAATGAAAGGCTTAGAAACATACTGAGTACAATTTTCACACTAAGTACAACATGTATTCACTCTTGTAATGGGTTTTACCTCACCGAGCAATAAATAATTGAGGAAATTTATTGAAAAATGAGTGCAAAGTCCGGGACCCAACGTCCAATATTAAAGTGAAATCAGCACGGATTTGATTACGCTTTGCGGCTGGGGTGTTAATAAACTAATCACGGTCAAAAAATTATTCAAATCAAACTATGGTAATTAATGTAGAAATGACGAATAACATCAAATAGAAGCTTAATAAAATCTCCCGGTAGACCCCAGGGAATCCAAGAGCCCAGTTAGATAGATCCAGATTTAAATCTTTATCTTATTATCAGATGATGATAAGGCCCGAGGGGATTTGAAGCAAGCAGTGTTGCCAGTACATAGCTACGAGGACTGCAATTCCTATTTATCTTCTCACTACATGGGGGATAAAACTCAAATGTGTGCTGGGTGGAAAGGAGAGGGCGTGGATACATGTAAAGTAAGTTGTTAAATCTTTTTAGGGAAGTTTTCTTAAAACAAGATCACGCGCACTTATTCAAAAATAAAGGAAATTGGTCTCTTAGTGAAGTTACAGACGAACACTGAAGCGCCAAGAGCCACTGAGACAATACAGTGAAATGGACGCTCCAGAAGTATGTGCACCAATATGGAGGAAACTATTTTTGTTTGCCTACTTTACATCAAGTTGTGTAAAGGAAATGAAGCCTATGGGCAGGGGTATATTTACTTGGATAACACAAACAGTCCTATAACACGCAATAGAATTAAAATAGGAAAAATCGGAATAAAATTATGACCTAACCTGGTACACACACTACGGTAGTACCGGAAAATGATCTTCGACCAAAGTTAAGGGGTTCACTAAAGTACGAGATAGATTTCTGACTAAAGTCAGGGACAAACAACTTCTAAGAGCTGCCAAGACTAAAAAAGAAAATGATCTTTGACTAAAGTTACTCCACACTACTACTATACAGTAGTGGTTCCCAAACTCTTTAAGCCGCGCCACCCTTTTTAGAATTTGTTAAATCTGTCGGCCCACCTTATAAATAACTAGTTAATATTATGCTACAAATAAGAGATAGTTAGGCAAAAAGTATGTTTTATTCAAGAAAACAAGTTGAAAATACGTCGATGGAATCGCAATCTATAAGCAATAAAGAAATGTAAATATTCAAAATAAGGCAGGCAAGATCAAATCTAATAAAATATTTTCTTCGAATCGAATACTGGACCAATTGCTTTGAAATTTTCAGTGGTTGAAGATAAATTTTTTCCTCAGGAGGCTATTACTTTTATTCATTTTAATTATTTCTGTTAGCTCTGTGAGATTTGTTTTTGTTTGCTATGACGTCATTAAACGTTCTGCGAACATCGGACGCCATTTTGTGTCCTACTGTACTGCTTCGCTTGGTGTGAATATATTTGTAGACTGTGATCTGACGGTACGGTACACCGTACTGTACTGCGAACAGACGTGTCCATATATTTGGGCGAAGTTCTCTTGTATAATATATATGATTCACTTTTCTTCATAATAGAGCGACAATAGTAATACAGGGTGGTAGCTAAAAAGCAGAAACCATTAAGGTCAGATCGTGAACAAAATCCGTATAGTGATAGGTTGAATTGGAACGATATAATTGGAAGTTAACCTTCAAAACGCTTCTAAGGTTAAGACACTTCTCTGAAGTGCACGGACAACATTTTGAGCATATATAAGTGTAATATTTCATATTCCCAATAATAACTTTGTGAAAGATATTCTTTGTAAAAATGAATACCTGTTTAACAAATTTTCTGTTTTTCTAGCGGCCACCATGTATTTGAGCAAATGCACATATATATAATGTACACATATACGTAATATATCTAATGTACATATATATATATATATATATATATATATATATTAGGGCGACATTAGTAGTATTCAAACGAATGATTCATATTTTTCTTGACAATAGGGCGACAGTGGTGGACCATTGGTCTGTTTGAATAACGGTCGCTGGACTCTACAGGGAGTGACATCATGGGGACCAGGGGAATGCAAAGACAAGCAAGGAAACTATGGATCGTATAGTCGTGTCAGCAAATATATGGGATGGATTAAGAAGAAGATGGCAAAGTACAGCTAAATCTGGCAGCTACAATTCGCATATTCGAGAAGCATTTACATGTTTTTGTGCTTCAGTTATTTGACTATATATAACCAAGTGCATATTTGTTTTTTACGCATAGGAGGGTTTACAACCGCCTTATTATTGTACTACTATTAGTTGGATAGAAATTTATATAATAATAAAGTAAAATACAAAGAAATCTTTGATGTGGTTTTTAATCGGTAGCAATCCGCAAGTTTGCCAAACCATTGATCAAAAACGACAGCACTACGATGTCAAAGGTTATTTCACAGAGTGTTTTCACTCTGTCGAGCGTGAATTTTTTTTAACATAATGGGATTTGAAATCTACCAATCAAAATAACACTAGAGTGATAAACAGGGGGCCATGCGTGCTAAAAGAATCTGGAAATTGCCCGAGAGCAATTGAAGCAATTGGGAATGACTGCTTTAGACACATTTTCTATATGTTCCAATAAATTATTTTTATAAATTCATTGCTGGGCTAGGCGATTAATAGTCAACCTCATTCACAGAGGATCATTAAAACCCAAAAGTTTTAGAATCCTAGCGTTATGCCATTGCGCGCACAAAAAATAGTGGTGAATTAGGACTAGGGATTGCGGAATCGAGTCTGTATTCGATTAATAAATCGATTCTCCGCGGAATCGACTATAATCGATTCCAATGCATTAAAATCGATTCTTAACGTTGAAACGTGGATTGCAAACAATGTGTAAAGTTTTATGGCAAGTCTTCCACATATATGTATAAACTGCTTTACTGCTATGCTGAGTTGCTACGACGTCGCGAACTTCACTATATATGTATATTTCGCTAGAAAGCTTTTACGTTCATTTATTTCAAAATTCTCTGAGGGATTCGTTTTTTTTGTGCAATTTTGTCTGCTGTGACAGATTGAATACTCATACTACTTAGTTTCGGCCTTCTTGTCCTTCCACTTATTTGAAGATAGCTCTCGAGATATCATATAGTATTGTTTAAGTGCGTATGTTTTCTCGACAAGATATGTCGAACAATCGAGATTCGGAAACGGAATCGAAAATTTAGGAATCGAATAAGAATCCAATACTTAAAGTAGTCATATTTAGCACCCTCAAATTTAGGACTAGCTATAACACTTAAATAAACACTTTCTTTGAGTTTCATTCATCTTTGACCGTATTTGCCAATAGATCAAATGTTTTTACTAAGTTGTTGATTAGTAAATAGGTCATCAAGCGAACGAGAAGTCATTTGAATGCACATGGAACGGCTAGTCATTGCGACGGTTTCAAGTAGTCAATAGGTTACGTAGGTTGATTGACGTATTCGAAACTGCATTGAATGATCGAGATATCGCGGTCATGAATGTCTACTGTTGGCGAAAATACTTTATATACCTGTGATGTTGAACAATTTTTAGTGAGTAGAGAAGGGAGTGTTGATCGTAATATGTATTTCATGCGAAGTTACAGATTGGCTTTAAAAACAGAAACAAGGTCATTTGAAACATTTTATAGAAATAACATAACTTTGTGAAAAGCGTCCTCGATTACTGTACTTTTTGTTACAATCATACGCAAATAGAAGTTTAGGTAATAAATATTTATTTCCGTAGATTTAATTAATTTATGGGTTCTATTTTTGTGTCACCATTCAACATTCACTGAATGTAAAGTTGCAAATTTGGTAACCGCATTCAGAGAGCGAGATATCGCGGACATGCGTGTTTACTAATGATGCATATACAGTATGAACATGTGATTAGTTTGATTCACACTAGGTCCAAACTCATCCAGCTTGTTCACTGACTGAAATACAGTAAGATCTTGGTAATGGACCACCTCTTTTGTGAGAGGCTGCATTAGTCCTAATATGTCGTATATGACGGTGGCGGTCTGACCACAATGAACAAATACATTAAAGGAATAATCGGGAATGGGTAGTTTCGAAAAGTTTTGGACTTATATATATTTGAGGAGGTTTTGGTCCAAAATATTCTCAAATTGACTTGGAAGAATGATCTTTTAGAATTTATAAGTTCGACTTTGGCCAGTTCCAGTTTTCAATATCATCATATCATAATTCGTTTACTCATCCAGAAACAAATATATTTTTAGGCGAGAGTCTTGATCAAAATTTGACTTACCAACTCCTATACACAAGTGCAAGAGACTAGGTATAAAACAAAATTGAAAAAGAGTATTTAGCAAATAAAGTGCCTTTGAAATTAGTTTACGAATTTCCCAATAATAATGGCATAAGTGGATGAGCATTTAATTATAATGAGCTATTTTCAGTCAGTTCATAAAATAACTTTAACTAGATGCAATTAACATCAGGCAGAATATATGTTAAATACAGATGCAAAATAAAAATAGGTTTTCAAAGTTCCGAAACCCCAAGTCCGCGATTGACCACATAATATATCGATATACCAATCAGCAGAAGTTACACGAGACTATCTCCCTTCCTCAATGCCTTTGCGATAGTGGATCCGTATGCGTATAATGCAAGGATACTGTAGCAGGAATAAAAATACCATACTATGCAATTCAAGAGTCCTGCTGCACACAAATAGTGTTCGCGTGCAGCAGAACTCTTGAATTGCATAGTTATATCGGCATATTCTAATTTACAGTGATAGGACATATTGAAATAATGGTTTCAACACCTTCAACAGTTACTTTAGTTCTACTATCTTTGGTATTTTCAGGTAATACATTTACGTTTGTACTTATTTTTACATTTCTTTCTTAGTGTTATTTTAGTTCGTTATTATATGATGCCTTTTTGAGTTTTTTGCTCATGAAACTTCTATGCGGGTTACATCTAATTAACTTACATGCCGAGTTCACAAATAATTAACTAATTATAATATTTACAGACGTCAGTTCAATTGGTGTATACGAATGTATCGAAAATGACGATCCCCTAGGTGTCAAGTACAGAGGAACACAGTCACAAACACGGAGTGGAATTGAATGTCAGAGATGGACGGACAATTCACCTCATCGGCGCAATTATTGGTAAAGCGTGGAATTGATTCAATTCTCTATTTAAATTAAAATATTATTTGTATTTATTTTAATAAATTCTATTTTCCCCTACGCGGGTTACCGTAAAATGTACCAGTGTATGCTCAAATGAAAATGAAGAAAAACAAAAATCCCAGGCTTGTCTATAGGTATGGGATTCCTGTGTGATGTGACAGCACACATTTGTATTTCCTATATTTTGTTTTGCACTTCTCTTTGAACATGTAGTCCTGTGCAGTGGGCGCTAAACATATGTTTAACAATTTTTATTGAATTATATTCCAATTAGAATCCCAGGGGATAGAACATGCATTAATTTCTATGGGATGGGATTGGACAGAAAAATAAGCCTGATTCTCCACTTTTACAAAAGAGGAAAAATCACTGATAGCACCGAATAGATATAACCTGTCCAATGCAATTCTTTATTCAGATTATAATATTTTATTTATAAATTCATTTTTGCCTCTCTGCACGGAAGAGGACCAGATTAATGGCCAGTATTGGCAGTGTTTTATCAAATGAAAATGCATAAAAAACAAATATTACAGAATTTTTTTATAGGATTGTCTCTGTATTTTGACGCGTTCTTTTAATTGTGACGTTTAATAAACGATTTTTTGTTAAAGATCCATTTCTTTATGTTTGCAACATGGTTGTCAATCGGTCATCTTAATGCACAGGGTAACCATAAAAACAGAACCCAATAAATTTTTTTACTTGTTCTACAAAAATGAAGTAAATTTATTTAAGACTTGAACATCTGTTTGTATATGATCGTACCCAAAAGTTTTAGTAATAGAAGACGCTTTACACAACTTTTTTTTTTTCTGAAGTATTATCCTAGTGAGCTGGGTTCTGTTTCTGAGTCACTGAGATTTATTGAAAATTGCTTTTCATAGTCTCAGTTGCGCGATCAATTTGCGCATGTGAATAATAGAAAAACTATGCATATAACAATGTAATATAAAATTGGTTTATTTTCAGCAAATCGAAAAAATGTTGACCATTTTTTCAGGCCACCGAATCCAGAGACGCATGAGAATTATTGCAGAAATCCAGACGGAGAAAGTGAGGTTTGGTGTTATACAACAGATGTGAACGTTAGATGGGAGTACTGCGATGTTCCAAAATGCCCAGGTTTGTAGCTGAGAATTTGGTGTTTTGCCTTTGCATGCAATCTTTGAAAGGCAACGTTGTATTTCTATGCATTTCGCTTCAAGCAAGTCTCTACTCTATAAGCAAGCAAGCATCAAATTTACATTGTGTGACTATGGGTATAAGTTTAAAAAGCAGATTATCTGTCGTACATAATTGATGCAATTTTCACTTCTAGTAAAGTAAGTGCTATTGTCTTATACTTGGCAGGCATTGCTTCCTGTGACTATAGAGGTAAATTTTTAAATCGTTAGTTATTTTATATATTTATTCTTTTTTTATCATTCATGCGACCCTTTTTGCTTCTGTACAAGCGGCCACTGATATATAAGGAGCAACTTTAGTTTGAGAGGACCAAAATCTTTTTTGTTTCGCGTTGTCCGCCCAATTATTTAGATTTGGGTGAGGTGGTAGTGGTCACGTTTTTAAGTTTATAATTTTATCATCAATGAGTTAGATTTATGTCGCGAGAGTTAGAATCGGTTTTTATTATCACTGAACGAAATGAAATATTTCTTTTTACTTCTAATCATTGAATATACTTAGCTCACTTTAGCAAAATAATGATTGAAAAATTAAATTGTCTGATTTTATTTTTTTCAGAAATACCGGATCACGCTTCAAGAGAATGTTTTCTTTGTAACGGGTAAAAATATTTACTCACTTTTGATTTTACTGGAATGTTATGATATATGGCCTAACTAACAAAACACGTTTAAAATAGATGCTAAAGTGTCGACATTGGCGAATAAAATTGACCTATATCGATCCCATCAATGAAATTACGTGTATTAAGTTTATTTTGAAAAGGAGTCGCGACAAACAATTCACTAACTCGAGTTTCACCTGTTAGAGGATTTGCAAACTTTAAAATCAGTTTAATTATTTTTTAACGCTATCAATAATAAGGATAAAACTATATCAAGATTTGTGTATGCATCTAGGCTATGCATAATGAAATATTAATTTC